AATTTAACTACAAAGTATAGTTTAATTTTAATTTGACTTTAGAACGTAAGTGTCTTTGTGTTTCAATTATTTTATCTTTTCCCAAGACAAATATTTTACCAATTTAGTTTCTTCAATGTATTTAGGCGAATATTCCTTTATTTGGCTTTTTCTTCGTTATTTGCAATTGTCAACACTGAGTTGGGGGAGGAGTAAGCGGAGGCGTTTGTTTGGTTGGGGGCACCTCGTTGACTTCGATTTATGTTTGCTGCGGGCCGACAGCCCCCGAAAGTAAATTAAATTTGCGTTTTTTTTTATTAGGAAGTATTTTATTTAATCGTACAGTCTTGTTTTCCTCCTTGCCACGTGGAATGTGAAAGGAGAGGGAGTGCTCCTTCCGTGCCACTAAAAACGACGAGTGTTATTGTACCTGTTCTCTGATTATTCGCCTTGTTGAAAAGACACACAGCAAGTCACACAGGCGTGGATTTTGAATTTGAATTTTCTTGTCAACACACACACACACGCACACCGGAAATGGGAAATTATTCCGTTTCCGTCGCGACAGACGAATTCCATTGTCGCATAAATTGCAAATTAAACCTTAAGACCAATGTGCGCGTAATTGCGTATATGTGAGTTTTTTCATGCGTTTAAGCAGAAAATTAAAATCATAGGTGCCTTATTTTTTATTTTCTTAAATAAACCATAAGTATATGCTTTTAAAATGTCTCCCTTTATGTGGTTTCTTTTCAAGAGTACTTTTTCAACCCGAAAGTCATATATTTACATATTAAATATAATCTCAATTTTTATGCAGACCAAAACAAGCTTAAGCTTTGCAAGAACAATAAACATTTTCCTTTAAAAATAAACCAAGGGATTTAGAAAATCTTCAGCAATATACAACATTATTATGCACATTTATAGAAGCATTATTCTGACCCAATTTGAGCAATTTGTAGACTGAATTCAAGTACATTTTAATAAAGTTAAGCGATAATTATCGCACTCGCTCTTTAAGAGCTCTTAAAATGCGTATACGTTCGGTATGGCATGGCAGAGTGTTGGAAACGAGTGCGCCGAGTGCGTTGGCAGGAAGTGCGAGAAGTGGCCACAATTGCATTTAGCCGAACTAAAAACATTTACGACTGGCAAACACTGCGTGACAGAATGAGCGGAAAAGGCTCCGCCGGCGGTGCAGACAAGTCGCTCCAGATGGCACATAACAGACACTTAAATGGCAAAAGTTAAAATTACAATTAAACACAAAGTAAGAGACCGAGAAGCCATTCAAAGAGTTTCTTCAACACCGAGAAAAATAATAATAAAATGAGGTTTATAGCCATTAAGTGAATTAATATTTATGAATCATTATTTTCTTTGTTTTAAGAAAGCTTATCTTAAGTTTAAAATAATAAAGTTATTTTAGAAATATATTAAGTTTTTGTTTAAATTAATGGAAATCCTGGATAAGTTAAGCAATATAAATTGTGTTAGATCTTAATATTACATTTGCCTTCATTAATCCATCAAGCCTAATAGATTTCATAACCATTATGATTTTTGATCAATATCCTTTTTTGTCCTCTGTACATGGAGCAACGGATGGCATTCAGCATGGTCATCGGATATCCTTCTCCAGCAGAAATTGCAGAAAAGGGCAGCTTTGGCTGGACAAATGCAAACAGCTCGATGAAGTGAAGCCCCACGAAGCTGGGTAAATTGTTGGCTTAACAAATTGCTAATCCACTTTCACCGGGGCTGCGATGGGAATGGAATGGACTCGTTTGGATGAGGGAATGCATTTGAATGCTTCTCCTCAAAGAATCCTCAAAGTAGTGGGCAATCGGAGAGTCGCTTTGCAGTCCATTCAAGACTACAGCCCCGGAAAAAGCCCCACTTCTGAAAGTTTTTGTGTTTACATCAAAGGGTGAATTTATCTGATATGATTAAGTTGCAGTTCCATAACACCCGAAACCCATATTAAGTAAATCAAAAGTTTTGTGATTTAATCTAGTTGCATTTGGCTCAAAGTCTCAGGCCATAGGTGAGGTGTTGCCCCAGATTTTCTTTTTGATTTAATTTCATCTGCCAAAAGGACTGAGTTAAAAATATTTAAATTAAATTGTGATGTAGGGAAGTATGTGTGTATGTGTTCAGTGCTTTCAACTCACTCAAAGGTCATTCGACTTGGCTTTCAAGAAAATTAGTTTTAAATTAATTAAAAGATTTTCCCATAACTGTGCGCTGTGCGGCTCTTGATGGCGTTGGAAAAGTGAGGCCAAGCGAAGAAAGAATGGTTAAAACTTGGATAATCATCCCAACCGCACAGCACCGTCGCCCACGTTTTGCCAAGCGACTGGGAGGTCACTCCCCACCCCCTCGAAGAACTCAGCCCAGCTCACTTTTTAATAGTTCGCAAAACCACGAAAGGCTATGTGAGTTTAAACACTGTTACAAATACTTTTCCGGAGGCGGAATGTGTACTCCGCAGCAGACGCAATCCGGAAAAGTTTGCCGCTTTTCTTCTTTTTCACTTTCATGTAGTAGTCCTTAAGTATTTATTTGCATTTCAACTTTGTGCTGGCAAAGCAATTATTTCAGCAAAATTAAGCATTTTAAATTATGCATGTTCAGTATAATTCAAGTTAACTAACTACTTGGTATTCGGTAGTTCCATAAAGTAAGCCAAAAAGTTAACTTTCCCGTCTTCCTAGCGGAAATTTAAAAATTGCAAAAAAAAGTAGCCAAGCGGAAATTGTGAAACATACAAATATTATACAAATCCATTTAAAGTTAATCAAGAAATCGTCTTAAGTAACTGGAGACGGCTGAGGGTCGTCAAATTACTAAATAAATATTTTTCGCATTTGTATGTTTGCATGTTTGAGTTGCCAAAGGAAATTAACCCATGAGAAAGGAGTCGCAGGACCGACGCCATCAGCTGTTTATACTTTCATCCCCAATGTTAAGAGTTCGCTGTCAAAAAAAGTTAACTAAACTCCATATAAAAAACCCCTGGCTGACTTTACCTTTTAAAGCGTTTCCTTACAAAGTGAAGTTTAGCTAGCATTTATTAGAAAAGTTCGTAAAATGTGGTTACCTGTTGTGAATACATTTTTGTCCTAATAAGTGGTTAGTTAAAACTTTTAATGGGTATATGTATATTTGGAAATTTGGTAATACTCATTGGAAATATACATAATTGGTAACACTAACTAGTAAAAATCGGAAAATAGTCAAAAGCATTAAGGAAAGCATTTCTAGCAACTTAAAAGTGCATTTTGGTATGAAAAAACATATGGGGAAATCCTTAGCCATAAAGACTGTCCACATGGGGTTGTTTTCACCGGTTCTCGCTTGTTGCGGTGGGATGGTATGGTATGGTATGGATACGGATGCCAACCCCCGAGAAACTCCGGCGCTCTCCAATCGTTACCTGGCCCCTGATTAATTTAGTCTGGGTCTCTCACTTTGTTCTGTTTTCTTTTCTGCCAGGTACCCACAGGGTATACCATGACATGTGTTCCTCCATAGAGCGAGTGTGGGTGTATGGTTTGGAGGTGGTGGTGGTGGTGGTGCATTTCTAAGCCAAGTCAAATTGAATGCAGCGAAGAAGAGCTGTGACATCAGATGTCCATGGTATATGTACATGAACGTAATTAGAAAAACATCGGTGTACATGGTTTTGTGTGTAAAGCCACCAGGAAGTCCGAATATATAAAAAGAGTAATTGCTGAAACCAACTGCAAGTCATAGTCCATTTGTTTCAAACTCTGATGCAAACTAGTATGAAGTTTGTTTTAGAAAAATGTACGCTTGGCTTGTTCGGTAAATATGGTTAAAAACAAAATATTAGAAGCTTGTGTTTCTGCTATGCTAATAATAAAAACCGTAGTTAAAACAATATTTATGAGTCTATTTGAAAAGAGGAAAGACTTTAAATTTAAATAACACGCCTCTGGTGTTTTTCAAATCTTTCTAGCTTCTAATGCAATTTGAGTTAAACCAAATCTAATGACAGGCTCACCCGGAAGCCATTCTGACTGTCAAAGGATTCTGGGGAAATTAAAGAAATCTGACGGATTTCCATTGTCGGCTTTTCCGCCCTGTGTTAGCCTAGCAATTGACCAGTTTTGTCCTTGACAAAAGGAAAGACAGGCCAACAAAGGGGAAAAGCTTCACAAAGGAAATTCAATTTAATGGATTTTAAATGCTGAGGTTAGCCGACCCTTTAAGGATACCCTGTCAACACTCACAACAAAACAACGAATTTGTTTAACAATTAATACATTTTAATTATAAAAAATTCCCTGTTAAAAGTTATTTAAAAGTATTGAAGTGTTTATGATCCTTAAAGTCTAAAATGAAATAAAACCAAAAAGAGGAAGTAGGCAGTCTAGAACAGGAAGTAAAATCGATCGACTAATATCGCACCCTGAACCTTTGTTTAAATATTTAAGTATGCGATGTTAGCACGCAAGGATTGATAAATGTATTTTGGCAAATAGAGTTGTTTACTTAAAGCAACCCCCATATCGACATCATGTAAATCATTTAAAACCTTTTAAGAAAACATTAATACTTTATTGTAAAAATTTATGTTTATTTCAAAGGAAACTCTTAGTGAGTAATGGATATTTCCCTTCATATCGATCCCCTGCAGTTCTTAACCCCAACTTCCTTTACATATTTACAAAATGTATGAGCTGTTCACACGCAACTTACTTGAATGATAAATCAATTCAGACAATTAGATTTATGTTCAAGAAAATGATTTATATTTTTGAAAGGAGTTCCTTGTGGTTTAATACTTTTAAATGCATCACATTGCCATCTTGATTCTAGTTTTCCTTGGAATTGATTATCCCATACCTGTCGACGGCACTTTGGAAAAAACACCCCGAAATAGACTGCAATTTTTGGAACACCACCGAATAACGAGAGCGGGAACCAAAACAGCCAGACAGTCAGTCATAAAAAGGTTTTTATAATTGCAATGAGATCACTTCACTTACCCAACAGAAAGATGATATATGCAGTTCACTCTATGCACGATGATTTTGATGAGTTCACTTAGCACTTAAGTATCTCTACAGAACCTTTTGGCTTAATCCGGAAAGCTCTTCAGTTTGGTTCGAAAATCGAAGCCAGACAAAGGCCGTAACACTCGTTATGGCCATTTGGAGGACCATTGTTCACTAACGTTTGGTAAATTCAATTTTGACAATTTTCAAGTGACACTTGACGGCGGCACAATCCACGAGATACAATTGCATCCGATAGAAGCAGCTATTTCCGTATGAAGTATCTACGAAATACGACAAAAAATCAAGATGCCAAGACGACCGGACATTCACCCACGAACAGAGACGGCAGCAAACTGATTGCCACGCGACTTTGAGCTACAGGCCAGAGCCAAAATAAAGCCACGAGCGCAGTGCCGAGCACGAGGCGCCAGGATATAAACACAGGACTCAGCACTTCATGTCCTCGTGAAAAAAGCGAGAGGCGCACGCCATGTCTGGTGTGAGGACTGCGCAGAGAGAGAGTTGAAGAGCATAAACCAAAGATGCACGAGGGTTGATTTCCCGCCCGACGAGGGGGTGGCTCGAGTAGTTGGGTGGTTGGGAGGACACCCAGCTCGACATGTCATGTTGTGACGCCGTCTGCTGCGAGTTTCACTACAGCCAGCCGGTCGAAAGGGGGTGGAAAGGCTGTTGCCGGCCAGTTGAACTTACGGCCAGCCGAACAATTCAGAGCAAATTAATCCCAAATCTGAATGCCTAAATCTGTGTTCTGCTGCCTAGATTGATATTGGATTTGGGTTTGTGAATTGTAAGAGAAATAACTAGACGTTTAAGTAGATAAACAAATAGTGCTATTAGGACAGTGATTTTGTATGCGTTTATATGCAAAAATTATGTTTCAAGGTGATGCTACTTATTTAAAAAGAACAAGATAGTCCAATACTTTCAAAATACTTGTTTTATAAGTACAGCCTTGTTTGGGAAATAAACTGTAAATAATTCGATTATAATATCTATAAATTAAAACCATAGTTTGTTAAAGAAAATTTGTTGTCGTTTATAAAAAATCTTTAATTAACGAAGACAAAATCGAATTCAGTTACTTGCAATACCGATCGGCCTTCATTTTACTGCGTCTGTCTAATAGCGTTTCATGCAGGGATCCCTGAGCCTTGGCATCTTTGAGTTCTTTTACATCATTTTGATTAATCCGCATCTTCTTGTCTTGGAACTTTTGAAACTTTTTTCTACACAAAACAAAAGAAGGCTCATAAATCATGTAAATCCTTTAGATAGATATTGTATCATTATCATTACTTACACATAATTCTTTTCAACTTCTCCCAAATCTCCTTTTTCTTCCTTGGGCTCTGTATCAACGACCACATCTCTGGTGGCGTTACTCCGCACTTTACAGATTTCATGTTGCCCAACCTTCTTCCGTAACGCCACACAGGCATCGTCTTCGGGATCTATGGACATAAAGTGTCCGGTCTCTGATAGCAGGGCCATTCGTCTTTCCTTTAATTAACAGAATTAGGTTTAGTAATACAAATATGGTTTGTTAAAATAACTAGGTGTCACATACCTCAAAAACAGGCTCCCACTGTTCCATACTACCGACAGCTTCAGATCGGCCAGTAACCATGCCATCTTTTTCAATTTTCAAATACTTTCCATAGCCGGACTTAAAGGCTACCTTCCGATCGTTGATGGGAAAAGCAGTGAAAATCTCCTCAGGATCCGGACCATCGCCGGCGTTATGGGGTGCTCCCAATGTGAAAAGACTGGAAAATTAATATATTTTGGGTTTTATATATAGCCTGACATATTTCTTTTCCAGTTTAATATTATTTTTATTACCCATTATCCATGGCTTTCAGGTAGCAGCGATCGCCAAACTCAATCGACACTGTACCGGTAATGTCACCAGCTGTCTTCGCTGTCCACCAGCCACCGTGCTCCACTGCATCTTCGTCCACAACCACCTTAGGCTTCTTTGAAGAACCAGCCTCATCCTTCTCCTTCTTGCGCTTTTTGCTTTTTCTGCAAAACCATTTTTATTTTAAACTATTTTCAAAGATATAATTCTTTCAAAGTTTACTCACTTATGTTTTTCACCCTTTAAAACTAGTTTTTTTATACGCGCATGGTCGTAATCTGACATAGTCACTATTAGTTGTGATAATGTATTCTTTTTTTGTTACTAAATAAACTAAAACATGTAATAAACTCAATGTTTTGGTTTCGGTCAACAACAGTGTGACCGTTGTATACCTTACAAGAAATACTTTATTTCTTTTATTAAAATTCCGAACGTTCCAATTCCGCACATCTAGTAAAGATTTCAACCAGTTATTGTTTGTTTTTAAAATGATTTAAACAAAACCAAAATATTTTTTTCACATAAATACTTTATTTTTCAGGTTTAATACGTATACTAAGCTTTCAAAAAAGAAAAAAGATCACGACTGCTTGTTTTGTTAACCTAAACAAAACATTATACACATAAATATGGTCAAATAAATTATCTTAAGCATAATTGTTTGTATAAATAAATATACGCTAAAGTAAAAGTACATAATACATTTAAATAGGTTATAAAAAATTTGACTTTGAATACTTTGGAAATAGCATTGGCTTTTAAGCTTATAAATATGAATAAATACAACAAACCGGAAAGTCCGTAAGTATATAGGAATGACCAAACTTGGATATCAAAACCGTTACATATATCCTTCGACTGAGACATTTTGCCATTGACCCTAAATTAAAGATTATTAAAAAAGAAATCTAAATTGGAATTCTAACTTACCGCAATGCCAAGGTTCCATCCAACGCCAGCAGGATTTTCCTTTGTAATCCCACAGCGCCTGCAGATGATGCCATTAAGGGAAATCGCCCAAACCTCGGATCCCACGGACACTGACCGGAAGCCACAATGTAGCTCTGTGTGCGGTGGAACATTGGCGGCATTGGGCAGAAACTGCCAGTGTGAGCCTTCGGGAAATGTCCGTGAGATCTCCTTTCGCACAGCCAAACGATGCTGGTTATCCAGCGCCCATATTCCTGCGCGACCCACGCTTATCGCCTTAAAAGTAACGCCCGTTGGAGCCTCCACCTGTTGCCAGGCATCACCACAGGGATTTTGCCTGTTGATTCCATAACGGAAGAACACCATGCCGTTCCGAGCTACAGTCCACACCTGACCGGTAGGACCTACACTGATACCGACGAGCGGCTGGTCGCTGGTGATGTGTTCCCATGCATCGCCACGAGGATTCAGGCTGCATACACCGTGCCGGATTAGGACATCGCCATTCGAAGCAACGGCCCATGCCGCAACTGCTGTGTTACCCTCAACAGAACTACTATCCGTCACATCGTCATCCAATACCTAGAAATAAAGTTATTAGAAATCCAATAAAATAAATAGATATTAAATAGAGACCAACCTGAAGTGCGGCATCGAGAATCTTTGACTGGCTTAGTTCCTGCCAGGGTCCACTGCTGCTAAGGCGACATCGCTTCATCCATCTGCGCCTCCGAACACAGTCCGTGAGCTTCTTGTGAGCATGGTAATTGGCAGGAAAGTCAATGGCATATTGCCAGCCCTCCTTGTCCGCGCCACCAGGAATATTATAGTCTATGGCCCAATCTGAGATCCATTCACAGTGCGTGGACAGCAGCTTTGTGTGCTCCTTGCTGCGCTTCTGCCGCCCAGTGGCATCACTCCACATGTGCCTATCCGTGGGTAAACTTTTAGCGGTGAATCCACTGATTGGATTCCATCGTTGGTTTTCGTACACGTAATACGTGTGCGTATCAATCATTGGGTTGATCTTGCCGGAGCCTTCTAAGCCCTTTAGGAACATACCGCCCCAGCCACCGTTGTATACCCACCCGGTGTTGTCACATGAAATGCCCCACACCACATCCACGCCACTGTTGAATATCCTCTTAACATGACCTCCCATTTGACGCCAATGCATTCGCTCCATGGAAACAATTAGTGAGGGGCATCTATATAACACATTGAAGAGCTTAATGCGACCACTGACATAAAGCCGAGTCACACTCTCCGGATCTATGCGGTATTTGTAGTCTGTGTAAACAGCGTTATTCACGATCATTAAATAGTGATCTTTGAGAGCCCTGCAGGATATAAAAGCTTTAGGTATTTCATTTTATACATAATTTGTAAAAATGCATACTTTAATTTTAAAGTAAAAGAAGCCCCCGGAGCGAATGCCATTTTATCGTTGCGAATCTCGTCTAGCCATTCGGACTCCTTCATCGAGTTCAGCACTGTTGTGCGTTCGTTGAAACGAGGATTTAGATGTAAAGCAATGACTCGATGCTTTTCCACACGATGCGGCTGCACTTTGACTGTGGAATGCGATTGCAAGTCAAATCGAATCTGATCAGCGTCATCGTAAACACAGCCGGATATCTCTAGTTCAGTGCCACATGGCATTCTGTAAATAAATATATATTAAAATATCTAGTATTAAACCCTTAATTTTAATTATGATTTTTTGAAATTAACACAGTGACCATATAATTTTGGTGTCACTCGTATAAAAAACGAAGTATACTAACAACCAAAGGTTATTACCTGATCATAAACCCAAATATATTTTTCACCAAAGCTTTGCCTGAATCGTGATTAATAAGGTATGTAATAATCCCACTTACCCATTGTAAAGAGTATTGTAGTAAGGAGTTTCGCATGTGGAAACATCCATCTTCTCTACGTATCCCTCGCCCGATTCGGTTTCCTGCTGTGCTTTCATATTAGCGGCGTCGAAGACAAACACATCGCCCAGATCGCTAGTCAGCCAGATAGCATTGCTAGCTGGTTTACCCACCAGTGTGTTGATTTGACTGCACACTGACGACAGGTGGGACAGCCAATCTTCCATCTCCGAATCGCTGGAGAATTGTAGCTTTACCGGAGAGCAGTTCACTGGCAAATGAGGTGCATGGATGGCGATCCGGGGTGCTCCTGCTTCACTGCAGCATTGCACACAAGTGATATCTGATAGTGGGAACTGAATTTTAGTAGCAGCTCCATCCGGACTTAGCACTGTAAAAGTGCCAGAGTCTCCGGATCGAGAGGACTCGCTACTACTCGTTCCTGTACCGCTGCTCACCCACTCCAGTTCGATGATGCAATCCTCAAATTCGCCTCCAGGTCGCTGGTACCGAGCATCCGCCGATTTTACCCACGATGAAAGCTCCACTGCCTTCTCAAACTTGGCCATAGTCTGCAGCTTGGCGAGCCTTTCCTGCCGTCTCTGTAGCTTGCTTAGAATATCCTTGCGCCAATTCGCATTCACATCCACTTTACTGTCGCCGGTCGACTGTTCGTTGAACCAATTGGGCATGTTACCAGCATCTACGGTCACTGCACCCGGAGCGACACAGCTCCATAGTATGCCACACTCTGTCCAGAACTGAGAGCCGGTGTGGTCATCATCCTCACCTAAAAACACATCCGATCCGTGGTGTGTAGAGTCCGATTCGAAAACAGTTGAATCGCTTTCCGGATGGGCTTCGGTACCTACAACGGATCCAACGCTTCGCACAGGCGACCAAGCCCTAGGATTCCTTAACTGTGTTTCAAACTTTCCGGAAATTTCCAGTACATCTGCCGCGGGGGCACTGGAGGCATGCGAAGTTTCGCGTAGGGCCGCAGTTCGCTGCTTATGGCGATCGTTTAGGTTCAGACTTCCTATAGTCGGAGGTGAATCGGCACTGAGTTTCCAACGTTCATTCTTGAGAAGACCAGGTGGACCTCCATTGCTAGAGCAAGAGCCAGTAGAGCTGTTAAGAACGGTTTCTATAACGGCACACGTCTCCACGACGCCTTTTTCCTTCTCCTTTGAATACAAATTGGAGAAACTTTGATGTTTTGAGCCTGGGGTTGAACTACTTCCTCCACTTTTGCGGGACACAATAGATAGAGAGCTGGAAGTGCGACTGATTTGCATTGGACACTGAATCAAACGCCACTTTTTGCCCGTAGGATCGGCAGAAGTCACTCCAGAGCGGTGGTACAAACAGCGATCAGCAGCTCCAACGGCAAAGACCTGCAATAGATTGTGCTAATAATTAAGAAGATATGTGTTGTTTTAATTCAATCTCACCTGGTCGTTAGCCGCCACAGAGACCATAGAAATGTTGCCTACCATTTCCACCCAGCCTTTTCCAATAGCCGAGTCTTCGCTGATGCCCGCTGCTTCGCCCTTAACGCCTCTTCTAAACCAGGCATGATGATCGTTGGTCACACACCAAACTGCATCGGTTCCCACGGAAACATGAACGATGCGCAGGCTAGATGCGGCTACAGGGGTCTTGACATCAAGCCACGCATCTCCGACTAGATTATCTCGAGTTACACCAGTACGGACAATAACACGTCCGTTATAAAGCACGGCCCATACTAATCCCGTGGGTCCCACGCTGATCTGCGATAGTTCACTGCCAGTTGGTGTGGGCACGGCCGTCCATCGGAGTCCCTCGGGTGCTGTTTTCGACACCCCCGTACGGAACATTGCCCTTCCGTGGGCTGTGATAGCCCAGACACACAATGTGCCAGCAGGGGCGTTGGGCACACAGGTGCCGCCAATTGCTACGTCGATGAATGGTTCCTGAGTGGGATCCTTGTGTAGTGGAGCCACGGCACACCAGCTATTTAAAGCGGCATACCTGCGATACCTAACCCACTTACGTCGTCGCACATAGGAGTTCCAGGATTTTTTTGCCGAATACGTAGCAGGAAAGTCCAGTGCATACATCCAGCCATCCTCGGGAAGTTGCTGCCCATCAAGCTCCAGGTCCAGATGCCAGTCACCGTCCCACTGCCAAGCCATCGAAGGCAGCCGTATTTTATCAACACCGCGCTCCACACTGCCATCGGCGGAGGAGTATCTGTACCTGTCCGTAGGCAGCAGCGTCTTCGAGAATCCCTCGATGGGAAGCCAGCGCTCATTTTCGTACGACTCCTCCCGTATTCGTATTGGAACGTCCAGTCCGTGAACGTGGACGTATACCTGACGGTCACCGCCGATGGCCCACAAGAAATTAGGGACAGCGCAAATCTTCTTGAACTCCAATCCCAGGTAGGGAAGTTCACGCCAGGCTCCCGAGCTGGTGGACAGCGTGTAGACACGTCCTTCGCTGCTGGCGGCAAACAAATAAGAGCTCGGCATGCTGTCCCCGTTTACTATAGATAGGGGATCCTCTTTTCGTATGTCATCGTTTTTATAATCCAAACAGAAAAATTGATTTTTCTGAAGATTGTCTAGCCAACGATGGCCTAACCGTCAGCTGGTATCAAGCCGATAGTATCGTTTACCCTTTGTTTTTAAATTGCTTATAAATAACTTGAACGGGATCTTTACAAAGTTCTATCTTATTTGCTGCTAAATGTAGGTTAAAAATCTAATTTTCTAGATTGGTTTAAAAGAATTAAAATTGAATCATTTTAAAAATGACATGAACAATGGTGTGGGTCCTTATAATCTTTGTTTCATAAGGACAACTTTCCCAGTTATACTTGTATTAATATAATAATCTAGTTAAATAGTTATATTTAAATATCGGCAACTGTGAGTTGTACAACCCTAATAAATTCTTAGTGTTATTAACTATCGTGAAAAAGAATAAATAAAATACCGTTTACTATCGAAACAAAAGCCGTCATATTGTTATCCTCTGGCTGGTATTCAATGTATCGATACTATTGCGAGTGGTTAACTCAGCTCTAATTGACGCCAAGAAATTTTGATTGATTTTGAAAAATATGGTAAAAATTAAAGCGATTTTTCTGTTAAACGTACAGGTAGACCCCTAAAACCAAGGATGTACGTTTAGGGATATATAAACCGGTTAACGTTAAAAAGGACAACCGTACATTGGGGCATTCGGCGTGGCGACGTTCGACGCAGAAAACCGAGCACGCGCAGGCCAGACCAGACGGTCGGTCGGTCGTATCAGCTGCTGACTGTGGCACCCAGAGGCCGACCACGGATAAATCCCCCATATCGCCCGTACTCCCCGATCCGTAACCCCAGTCCCGAACCGAATCCGAGGCCCTTACAGCAGCCGGTATTTTGTGCTCCTCTGTAGTAAAACATATGTACATACGCCTACAGAGTACAAACGTTCATCTGGTACACACATATTAGCCGTATATACTATAGCTACTATATATGTATCCACCGATGTCCTGTGCATCCCGTGAAACCTATTCGCTGCATCCGCGATTCGGGGGTGATGGTCGGCCTGCCAGAAAACTCCCCTAAAAATAGCATACAAGCAAGTGATTAAACCCCTATTAACCGGAACCTTTTCTACTCCATACAGTTAACCACTTCGGAGCTAAAGTAAACTGGTCTTTATCGGGAAACTCAGTGGTAAGTGCAACCAGTGACCTAATAGTTAAATTCTAAATGCCTGTTATCCACAGAAAAACTTATATCCGACGGACGGAACGGACAGTCCCTGGAAAACACATCACATCAAGTCATGCCACGGGGAAAACGCCGAGCTGCAGATACTATTAGCGACAACATGGATCATGGTCAATCGAAGAGGGCCCGAACCAGTTACACCAGCATACCCTCACAACAGAGCAGCAGGTGAGTGCGAAAAATAGGAAACAAAGGGCATTCGGTGTTGTATCATCTGTTCCGAGAAAAAGCATCTGGTTTCCGGTGTAGAGATTCCTAGGCCATTTCAATGCCATTTGAAATTTGGGCAAAGAGAATCCACGTACACACACCTGCCGATGAAGAATTTATTTGTTTTCCAATTGAAACGAGATGAGTGTAAAATAACCATTCAGATATCATATTGTCTTTTTTAGTATTGGATTGAAAAATAATTAGATAGATACATATATATTATCTAAAAAAAGTTCAAATGTTGAAAAGACTAAGCAATTTAGTTTAAGCTGAAGTGTAATCACTTATTCATTTTATTCACTTGTAAAAGCTTTAAGTTTCGAAATTGATATTCATCGTCTTTTATACAACTGAGAACATTTACTTGACCTGTACCACGAAATTTTTTCAAGTATAAAATAATCTACTTCTTTATAAAAAATTATTTAGGTTCATCCAATTGTTTATTGACGATTTGTTTTCTTATTGACGTAGTTTTATTACAATACTTCAATAGAAATCTGTAGTTTCCTTAAAAGTACCTACTTGCCTGATTGTTGATTTCATAAAACATCCAAAAAGCCGTGTTGTCCATGTCCATGTTCACTATTCCTGTGAGAAACGTATTATAAAAGTTTAAAAATAATTATGTTCCCAAGGTTTTCAGCAGGCATCCGTATTTATTTCCACTTTAAACTGATTAATACTAATTATAACAAAAAGCATTTAAGGTTCCTATGTATTTCCCCGCACACAAATCTTTCAATATTTCAATTGGCAAACTCTTGAATGGATTAAGAGATAATGAATGTTTAATAGGAGGTGCAGGAGTTTTTGCTTAACAATGTGTCATAAAAAACGGATATTCAGTAAAGGTGTTTCATTAAAATAGCTGAAACATGAGTATAAGTTTTAATATGACGTCCACGATGCCAACTTTGGTCTTTTGATAAGATAAGTCTGCCTGTTAAATAATAGTTGTTGGTTAATAATGATATATATTAACATTTAATAATCATATATGGTGCGCTATTATTTTATACATTAACAATATGGAAGACATTTGCATTTCTCATATATGTATCTTTAGTTGATTCCGATAATCTCGTAAATGTTAATCTCAATATCTGCCGGGACAACTCTTAATTTGGACTCTTAAAGTTTAAAAATAGGACTACAGGATTGCAATAGATCCAACAAACGTGGGGGATATGTGTAGACAACGATATGATCAAATAGTTGAACGAAAACGAACGCTTCACTTAATTCCTGGGTCTGCTCTCCTCACTCCATAGAACCGTACTGGACCTTCTTGACTTTAAAGTACCTAAAAGGAAATTTTCTTTAGAATAGTTTTTGAGGGAATATACAATTTACATCTCACCTCCATCCGCCGTATCCTGAAATGGTCAGCAGCACGGCAATGGCCAGGGCAGTACCCACGGCCAAAGGCGCAGTCTCATCGCGATAGGATCCTGTGGCACTGCAGTGGAAGGACGGACCCCACTTGCCGCTGTCCTTGAACATGAAGCTCTGCATGTGCATGTCCCGCAGATATAGCTTGGCTATATGCCCCGATAGGTCTCCAGAATCATGTGGCGCGTACATAATCACAGTCTGCTCCTTGTCGCACACATAGGATTTGCCCACCGGCGTGGGAAAGTACATGGGCGTCTGGGCGGGCGAAGTCAGTTTCACATCCAAATTAGGACGATCCGGGTGTTCAAAAAGCCAATTCGAAGAGGAGTAGCTCAGTTCGAAGAGGGTAATATACCAACCTTCACCGCCGGACGACTGAGGACCAAAGTTCAAACATTAGTCAATATTCAACCTTTAACAACCTCTGACCTTATACGGTGGCAATTTGCAGTGATGGGGAGTGTCTACTTTGGGGTTTATATATATACTTTTCCTTTAATTTACTAGCGTAATTGGGCACATTCCTAGTCAGCAATTAGGAGCAATTTGTATGGCCCTGTTACTATGTTTTTATATCTCATATATCGATTTCCTGAATGTGAATTTTTTATGGGACAACCACTGAATTTGGTGTACCTTTTCCCATCACTGTCTAAGTACCACAACCCACGTACCTTTTTAAATGTCATGGACAGCCGGAAACCCTTAAAGTCCATAGTGAGAATTTCCATATTTGACTCGACGCACTCTCCGCTCAGTTGGGGATCATCCGGCATGTACAGATCGGCCTCCACATCTTCGTTCAGTTTATTTCGGTACTTGATACTGATTAGTCCGTCTACCTGCATCAGAATGCAGGTGACTCCATTGGTGGCATTGAAACGATACAGCGAGGCGGTGGCATCATGGTTCATGGAGGCGGCCTAGAACAGACTCAGTGTTTAGCTATGACGGGGAGTTGAGAAAACCCAAACTTGGATTACCGATGGCGACTTAGTTGTATACTTGCTGACCCGTGGCGTCTTAGTTGTGAAGGAACTTAGCTGCAATCCCTGAGCGGTGGAGACTAAAAAGGAGTGGTTACAAAGGTTTCACAGGTTGTCCAGCAAAGCGTTGTTCATTTTTCAGTCAGTGTGTCACAAAACCGTCCTCGACAGTATCGATTTTCAGTGCTCCCACCACCTACAAAACCAACATCCCCTGCCCCGCAGTGTTTCTATTCACTCACCCAAAAGTGCTAGGAGCGCTGAACAAATTAGCGTTCCATTGCCCAATCCTTGGACTCTGGACAAAGATTGCCTAAAGCCGGACAATTTCATCTTCTCTAACAAAATCCTTGTTCACTTTGTAGTCAATTCCAATTACTATTTTACGCTGCTGTCTCCGCTCAACGCAACTACGACGTGTTTCCTCCTTCGGGTACTGCGCACAACTGCGGCCCAAATAAAATAGCACTGTCCTGCTATTTGCTCGAATCCACCCACTCCCACTTCCTCTTACTCCCAACCCGCTCTTCCCTTATCATGCGACGGGACTTCACTCTCGCTTTTCGCCTGCGCAGTCGCTCGTATTAGGACGCTGGAGGATATATGGATTTCTATATAAATATATTTGTATGTTATGCACTTGGAAAAAATCTAGTAGAAAGTTATGATTAAGCTAGAAGGAAAATGAAACTTGGTTATTTTCTAAGATATTTTTCGAATATTTTAAAATATATTTCTAGATATTCTCAACCAAGATTTTCAGAAAATTTCCAGCTTAATAATAAGATTTTTTCTTTACAGTCTAATCAATATCAATTGAGCGATCATTTCTATTGCAGTTAATGGAGGGAGGCAATGCAACATTGTCTCCCTGAAATGAACATGCAAGTTCGACAGCCTTTGGTTTTCCTAATTCGATTTGTCATATCTGGGTTGGCATTATTTTCTTTGCTTCCCTATGTGTGCCTCCGCTCTTGGCATTGGCCTCGTCTCTGGTCTGCCATGTTTACTATCGCTATTTTTAGGGGCCAATACTCAAAAACAAACCCCAGAGGAGAGGCAAGTCGAATAAAATAAACAAAAGAGGCCACACGGCATTAGCGACAGATTCGATTAAAAGTCTGGTGTATACGTGGGGAAAGCAAAAAACAGTGCAGTAAATTCCATATAATTTAGATGGCAGAGTGTGTGAATTTGATTGAATCATTGAACCCAACGATTGATTAAATCAAAAACTTATTGTTTCTATCTTCGCAGACGCCATATCAGAGCCGAAGATAACTTCAGTCAAAAACGTTGTTTGACATGGTTCCAGGAATACACCACTCCAGACGAACCAGAGACATTAGGTAAGTTGCATTTAATTTTGATTTCACTGCAGTGTTTCTATTTTTCATGGCATTTTAAATCCTTGAAGATCGTTCAAAATTTTAAGGTTTTGAAATAAAATTGTTTAAATAACCACATGAAAAGCAATTCTAGAAATACATATGTGACATCTTATTTATTGGCCCTTTAAAATACTTATGTAACTATCTGATTCTTTAGGTCCCGATGGAATGGAGAAATTCTGCGAAGATATCGGCGTGGAGCCCGAGAATATTGTGATGCTGGTGTTGGCCTACAAAATGGGCGCCACCCAGATGGGCTTCTTCAGCCAGCAGGAGTGGCTAAAAGGCCTCACAGAACTGGACTGCGATTCGGCAGCGAAAATGGTTGTGAAACTGGACTATCTGCGCAGCATACTCAATGATCCCAACTCCTTTAAAAGCATCTACAGATATGCCTATGACTTTGCCAAGGTGGATTCATTATTTATGTGAACTATGTTATGTGGTTAATATTTCCTTATTTTTAGGATTCGGACCAACGGTGTATGGATATTATCACTGCCAAAGCTATGCTTCAACTCCTTTTGGGCAAACATTGGCCCCTGTATCCACAGTTCGCACAGTTTCTAGAGCAATCAAAGTACAAGGCGATCAACAAGGATCAGTGGTGTAATATCCTAGAGTTCTCGCGCACCATCTGCATTGATCTATCAAATTACGATATTGACGGAGCTTGTAAGTAATTTTGATATTATTATTTTTAACTCATGAATATTATGTTGTAAACATGTATTATATTAAATCTACCTATAGGGCCCGTCATGCTCGATGAGTTTGTGGAATGGCTGCGTCTGCAGCGGAGCCAGGTCACCTCGACTTCCGGATCCAGCTGAGAGATGCTGTATCGAGTCGCCTATTTCTAGTTCAACTTTGGGAGCTCAGTGCGGAGGAGTTCGCGGAGGCAGAGATGGGATGCGATCGGAATGATAATAAGATGAGATCGGCGGAATTATAAGACACAACCACAGGACACTCAAGTTACACCCACATCGACACTCACCCACGAACACAAACACAACCACACACTCGCCCATACAGAAACACAAGGCATTTTGGAGAGACTGCGTACACTGGCAAAGCAACCAACTATGAAACTAAACTATTGATAATATATTTAATGTAATAATTTATGTATTAACGACAACTAAAAACTAAAACCACACTTTTCTACTTTTAAGGCATCTTTGAAAAACGAAAAACAAAAATGAAAACAAGAACAACAGCAACAAGAGCCAAAATGGGGGCAGCTTGTAAAAAGTAAACCCAGAAAATGAAACGAAGGCAATAACCAAGAGACCCCCAATAGACATAATATAGACCTTACAATTGAACTCAACCGATCCCTTCAAGATATCAGCAAGCATAGTCAAAATCTCAACGAAAATCAACACCAATTCTGGGGAACTCGTAGACGTTATTAAATCAATGTAGAAAAACAACATTTGGGGATTATTTAATAAAATTATTAAGTGAAAATGTGGCAGCTTATCTTTTTTATTTAAAATCGAAATAGCCAGTAAGTTTTAATTCGCAAAAATGTGGAATTTTTTGCGACAAATGTAAAATGAAGACTGTTCATATACAATATGTTGTCTTACTAAGAAAATGTAAAGGGTTAAAATTGCTTTAAACAAGGAAGGCGTTGAAATATCCTGTGTAATAACACAAATTTATCATATTCACAGTAAAATATTCAATCTGAAGAACATGTTAATTTAGAAATTCAAATTAATAACGGGTAATCAGAGTGATTTTAACGGCGCCATTAAAATACTAACCTATTAGACATACCACATTCCTGTACAGGAATTCAAACACATAACGGCTAGAAAGGACGTTTTACAGCACCGACTATAAAAACACAAAATATATACCGAAAAGTGTGCGATAGTCGGCAAAGCGGGCACACCAATTCAGCAGACGCTTGTCGCCCAACACATTTTGGCATTTAAAAAATCGAACGGTTTCGGCGCGTTGTCCGCTTTGTGCTTGATTTTCGTGCATTCGATGGGCATATTCGAGGTTTGATCGCCGTTTCACTTGTCGATTGTGTGGATCTCTGTTTCCGAATCCTTATCACCAGGATTTTTCGTGGGTAGAGTCATTTGGCCAGAAAACCAGCCGGATTTTTCACATTTCCAGGCGAACGCCAGTGCAAAAGGAGGGAACCCAAAAGGAAAAAAAGGAGATAGCAAGATGGCCGCGAAGCCCGAGGATAAAAGCACGGATATTCCGGATCGTCTTTTCGATTCCAACCAGCGAAAAACCTACAAACGCATGCGGTTCTTTGGCAAGGTAAGTGCGGATCATGCAATGCGTAAACGCATGCGAATAAGTTCCAAGGAACACACCAAAACCTACACAAACACACATCCCGGTTTTTGGTTCCGTTTTCCTTACTGCTCTTTGTCGTTGTTGTTGCTCGCCTTTGTTGTTGTTGCTTTAAAAGTGTAAGTAAAAAAGAGAGTGTTGGAATGTGTGTTAGTGTGCGTGTAGTTGGCAGCCAGTTCAGTGTTTTTGGCGCGACTTCCTGAATTTGGATAAAAAAAAATGTTCTTAAGCCAGTAATCATATCGTATAATTCATATTTGAAATATTTCTTACTTCCTTCTAATGAATTTCTTTTTTAAAATAATTTTCGCAGGGTGGCTTTGCAAAATGTTACGAGATCATTGATGTGGAGTCCGACGACGTCTTTGCCGGCAAGATCGTGTCGAAGAAGCTGATGATCAAGCACAATCAGAAAGAAAAGACCGCCCAGGAGATAACTATACATCGCAGCCTAAACCATCCGAACATTGTCAAGTTCCATAGCTACTTTGAGGATGTGCAAAACATCTACATTGTGTTGGAGCTGTGCAAGAAAAGAGTAAGTTATTCTTGGTCCCCTTTTATATACTATTATTAGTAACTTTACCCACTTGTAGTCCATGATGGAGCTGCACAAGCGTAGGAAAAGCATTACGGAGTTTGAGTGTCGCTACTACATTTACCAGATCATTCAGGGTGTAAAGTACTTGCATGATAGTCGCATCATCCATCGTGATCTCAAGCTGGGCAATCTGTTTCTCAACGACTTGTTGCATGTGAAAATCGGAGATTTCGGTCTGGCCACCCGTATCGACTACGAGGGCGAACGGAAGAAGACGTTGTGCGGCACGCCTAATTATATTGCCCCAGAGATTCTGACTAAGAAGGGTCATTCTTTCGAAGTAGATATCTGGTCTATTGGCTGCGTCATGTATACACTGCTAGTCGGCCAGCCTCCGTTCGAGACCAAGACATTGAAGGACACTTACTCAAAGATCAAGAAGTGCGAGTACCGCGTTCCCAGCTACTTAAGAAAGCCGGCGGCTGACATGGTCATTGCCATGCTGCAACCCAATCCGGAAAGCCGCCCTACAATTGGGCAACTGCTAAACTTTGATTTCCTCAAGGGCTCTAAGGTGCCCACGTTCTTGCCAAGCTCTTGTCTAACAATGGCGCCACGTATTGGCAGCAATGACACCATCGAGGACTCTGTGCATCGCAAGCCACTAATGGAGATGAACGGCATGAGGCACGACGATACACGTCTTGAGTCGACCTTCCTCAAGGCCAATCTTCACGATGCTATTACTGCCTCAGCACAGGTGTGTCGCCACAGCGAAGACTATCGCAGCGATATCGAGAGTCTGCACCAGCAGCTCACCAATCTCATCAATGGCAAGGTAATTGTTTCCTTCTGTCTATGATTTATTCGCCAAATAACCTATTGGGTCTGTTCATTTTAATTGCCTAAGAATATATTTCAGTATAGTTATAAAATTTAAACATCATTTTACAAGTCAACTAAACGCATTCACTTTTTAGCCTCGAATTTTGCAAGGCAATCTGGGCGACGAAAACACCGATCCTGCTGCACAGCCACTATTCTGGATATCCAAGTGGGTTGACTACAGTGATAAATACGGCTTTGGTTACCAGCTTTGCGATGAGGGCATTGGCGTGATGTTCAACGACACCACAAAACTGATCTTGCTGCCTAATCAGATAAACGTGCACTTCATCGACAAAGACGGCAAGGAGAGTTACATGACCACCACGGATTACTGCAAGACGCTGGACAAGAAGATGAAACTGCTCTCGTACTTTAAGCGTTACATGATCGAGCATCTGGTCAAGGCTGGCGCTAACAATGTTAATATCGAAAGCGATCAGATCTCGCGTATGCCTCATCTGCACTCCTGGTTCCGTACAACATGTGCCGTGGTCATGCATCTGACCAACGGATCCGTGCAGGTAAGGACCCTAATTTAAAGACTGAAATATGTATTAGAGCGTAATCAATTATCCACTCACTTAGCTCAACTTCTCGGACCACATGAAACTCATCCTCTGCCCACGCATGAGTGCCATAACCTATATGGATCATGAGAAAAATTTCCGCACCTATCGTTTCTCGACCATTGTGGAGAACGGCGTCTCTAAAGACTTGTACCAGAAGATTCGCTATGCCCAGGAGAAACTTAGGAAAATGCTGGAGAAGATGTTCATTTAATTGTAGCCATCCAACTATGATTTTCTCACCAAACCAATCCCACTCTCGTGCGTTTTAAAAAGTGTAGTTTCTGTTTACATTATTCTAAGCCGAATGTTAGTTTAAGCTAATCCACGGATGCTATGGCCAACTTCACAAACAGCCACAAACGAATCCTCTCCCACGCATCTCTAAAATTGTAGTTTCTGTTTAAATTGATTTAATTGTTCGATGTTTTTAGAATTTGTTTTTGCCGTTCCCTTTCATTACTAGTTAAGTTATATTCATCGTCAATGTCGAGCCATATATAAATATATCTGTTGGTCTTCGTACACGATTACTTAATAAATTTTTAAAGAAATAAAACTAGATGTTTAAACTAAGCAATCGTGTTCCGAAAAATCCACACTCACCAAATTGACTGATAACGCCATTTAAATGCTGGATCCATTATGAAAAGTGTAGTGTTATATTTAATTTTTGTAAAGCGCCACAGCGCCATAAATAAGTTTTAATTTGACTGCAAGGCTTGAAAGTGCTTTACAGGACAATTATTTTATAAGTTTTGGTCAGAAAAACCGTTCGTGATAAGATACAATTTGTAATTGCTTATAAACGAAAAGCGCATAAATAATTTAATAAAATATCAGGAAATAAACCTTATTTTTAAAATATATGAGGTATCTTTAAGGGATATTTAAAACTAACGGATTAACAATTCCAATTTTCTTAAAGTGGTTTTTAATCATTTGATAAGACTTGAATTGAAAAACCGCTCTACCAGCTCAAGGGTTTTACAACACTGGTATTTGTTATTTAGACAACTGTGAGCAAAGGTAACTCTGATACGAGTGCTTTGGTCATACTAATCAGCATATTGATTTTATTTTCTCGAAAAAAGATTCCAATACGTATACACTCGCTGAAAGGCCAAATAAGTCTTAATATTTAAATGCAATTAGAGCCGAGGCAGACATAGATCCTCGACATGGGTGACAACGAACAGAAGGCGCTCCAGCTGATGGCCGAGGCGGAGAAGAAGTTGACCCAGCAGAAGGGCTTTCTGGGATCGCTTTTCGGGTTCGTATAAAGGAAATTTCGCAATTGAGAAAGGGGGAAGTGACTCTATATGTCTGGTCTAGCTTTCCATTTTTTATTCTTGCGTTATATCAAATATTATAAAGCACTGCATATTTTCTTCACCAGTCCTATTCCAATATACTTACTATACATTTTATACATACATACCTTCTGGCAATAATACGTATACGTAGATGTAGCCTCCACCCAGAATCATAATATCGCAAAAATTGCAAATTAAACTGATAAAAGTTGGAGATATGTTTTACAAAAATTATGTAAATTATTGATAAGACAGTTTTTTTTTGTTGTTTTGCTAATAAATAATATATATACGCATGAGCTTACTTTTATAGAGGTTTCGATGAATCATAGTTTTTAACAGGCAACAACATTGCTAGTCATTTACTGGTTTAGCATTTAAATATCTTCGCAAAATGGAAATTTCAAACTTACAAGCACTTAATTGATATTAGTTCCAAATTATTAAAGATAGATAAAAATATTTAAAAATAAATTAGATATACGTAAAACTCAAACCCTAATCTCATAATAAAACTTTCTTAACTGTTCTCAAGGTGCTGTATTCTAGAAGCTATAAACATGGCATGATTTTTTATTATAAAATATGAATGAGGCTTATAACTAATGGGTAATTAATTTTAGCGGCTCAAACAAGGTGGAGGATGCTATCGAATGCTACCAGCGGGCTGGCAACATGTTCAAGATGTCTAAGAACTGGACAAAGGCTGGTGAGTGCTTCTGCGAGGCGGCCACGCTGCATGCCCGGGCTGGCAGTCGGCATGATGCCGGAACCTGCTACGTGGACGCTTCCAACTGCTATAAAAAAGTGGACGTTGAAAACGCCGTCAACTGTTTGATGAAGTCCATCGACATTTATACGGACATGGGTCGCTTCACGATGGCCGCAAAGCATCACCAGAGCATCGCTGAGATGTACGAAAGTGATCCCAATACTCTGGTGGGTACCAATTTGATTTAATATGATTTGGCTACATATTTATATGGTATCTAATCTATTTTTTAGGCCAAGTCCATTCAGCACTACGAACAGGCGGCTGATTACTTTAAGGGCGAGGAGTCGGTCAGTTCGGCCAACAAGTGTATGCTGAAGGTGGCCCAGTATGCCGCCCAATTGGAGGAATACGAAAAAGCAATATCCATATACGAGCAGGTAGCCGCTTCCTCGCTGGAGAGCTCTCTGCTCAAATACAGTGCCAAGGAGTACTTCTTTAGGGCCGCCCTCTGCCACCTGAGTGTGGATCTTCTGAACGCCCAGCATGCCATTGAAAAGTATGCACAGCAGTACCCAGCATTCCAGGACTCACGGGAGTTCAAGCTCATCAAGGTGGGTTTTTTTTAAGAGACTTTCTTCATATATGACCATTTCTTGAATGTTCCTATTTTTGGTAAAGAACAGGTGATTAATAACTGAAATTGTTTGAATTACAGGTGTTGTGTGAGCATCTCGAAGAGCAAAACATCGAGGGATTCACAGAGGCCGTCAAGGATTACGATAGTATCTCCCGGTTGGACCAGTGGTATACTACCATACTACTGCGAATCAAGAAGGCTGCGGACGAAGATCCTGATCTGCGATAAAATAATCAATTGCACTTTCTGATGAAGTCGCGTACACATTACATTATTAAATGCTTTATTCGGTTCGGATATTAATCTACCTATATATAACTAAATGAAAATTTATTAAACGTGTTGCATTGCTAAACCTGAGAGCACCCAAAAAGACAGCCTGCTTAACCGCGTGAATTGAACTTACTGAATAGTCCATGTACCCATATTCTAGAGTTTAAACTAACGCTTATGCAACGAATGAAAAATCAGCAGAAGCCACGGTTCATCCTGCGTTACTCTACGTGCTATTCGATTAAATTTTTATTATTTCTAATATGAAATGATTAGAGGTGTTATGTTTGTCTGTTTTTGTGTTACTCTTGTTATTTGTGTAAGTAGCCAATGAGTAAACTAGCTGCTGTTTTATTTGGATGCGTTAAATACCCTATAGAAATCCGTATCCATACTACTATAATATATTGATACCTTTCATTCTATGTGTGTACTGTGTTAGAATATGTCGAGATTAACTCAAAAGTCCCTGGTAGTAAAAGAAGATGTATTTGAAAACAATTATAATTCCATTTATTGCACAGAAAAAAAAACTAAATAAAAACATACGGTTTTAGATTGTACGCATATACACAACCTATAAATAAAATATATGTCCATATTAAGAATTAACGATTACCCCTATAAATATCCAAAAGAGGAAACGGAATTCTAATAAATACTTGAGGGTCACATTTATAGAAAAATTCCATCTCGCAAAATTTTAAGAAAATGTTTAGTAGATCAACTTCCTATAAACATGTACGAAGCAAGTTATAATCCAATAAATAAAATAACTATGGAGCTGCGAAGAGTTCTCGGGCGATGAGGCCGAAACAAAAATATCAATTTATTGAATGAATATCTCCAGGAAGAACACAACACAAATGAAACCCACAACACATTTAATAAATACAAATACAAAGATACCATAGATATTTCCAATTCAAACTACTTTAATAAAGTTATATGCTTGGATTAATATGTCATCCTGTCTTCGTATCCAACGATTTATGTCAATATACGCACAACCAATCCAGCCATATTCATTGTCTTTCTTTTTAAACTAGAATGGCACATCCTTATGAAATATTTATATAGTACAGCTTACACCGATACTTAACTCTACTTCAAATAATACTTAAACCTAGTTTTAAATGTCACTACATTTACGATAAGGAACTGAGTTGCTCAGTTTATATATCAATCTGATTAGTGCCTGGGGTTACCCCGTGATGTCAACCAGTTTCCATCTCAATCAGCTGCAATATGTAGTAGTTTATCCACCTGATCGTGCGAACTGAGATACATTTTGCGAACGTCATTGCCAAGAGCGGCAGACAAAGGCCTGCCCTGCCAATATCAATATCGGAGTTCTCTCACGCCATGACTCTCAGAGTTGCGATCTGTACCGATCGGGGTCTCTGATTCAGAGTCGGGCTCTCGGGGCGACGATGACGATGGGATGATATGACCATATCAGTGCTCTGAATGGATCGATGGAGCTATCTCTCAGTCATTCAGCCAATGTCGGTGCGTTAGGTTCACATTGTTGTGGATAGTGGAATTCGATTTGTCATCGGGTTCTTCGCATAACCACCAGTGGCTTAATCCAGAAATTAAAATAAATAAATAGAATTATATAAACGCGAAGCCAATACGTTGGCATATATATATATATGTATAGCCTCCTGCTGCGGGTGTATTTGTATATGTGTGGAATTCCCATTGCATTCCGGTTTTTCGAATAACATCCAACCAACAACAATAACAGTGTCTATATAAACGTCTCTTTGTCACACCGAAGTACCGACATCGAAAAACCCCAAAATACAATAATAAACTCTTCATAAAAAAAATCTCTAAATAATTGATGCACACCCACTTGCTTACGCAAAAGTGTGATTTTATTAGTGTGCTTAATCGATGAAATAAAAAAACCTTTTTTCAAAGACCTAGGCTCAAACTGACTCTTTTCCCCAGCCGCAGAATGCTTAAAATAACAGGTAAGCCTAATGAGCAATTAATAATGGGATATTCCACAATGTAGTTAGTTTTTAAAGCCAATCAATATGCTTATTTAATATTTTACAAGTACTCGTGTGTACACTGTACACACACATATTCACATTATATATTTATAACGTACATAAATGTGTATAAGGTCGTCTATGGATCACTGCTATCAGTTGGAAAATGCTCATTGTTTACGCATCTGAAAATATATTTAAAAAATTAATTTGATTTAATGCGGAAATAAGTAAACATCAGTGAAAAATGTTATTTATTTTAAAAATCTTTGAATTTAATGAGCTTCATTGTAAGCTCCTTTTTTAAATCCTACAACTAAATAAGTTTTTACTGATTGTAAATCTCCAGTCAAAGGTTGAAAGTAAAAATATTCAATATAAAGCTATTGAAATAAAGTTAGACTGCAGTAGGGGAACAAATCGTTGTAACTAAACTTATCTTCGGACCTACTTATCCAGATCGCATGTTGATATGGATCCCATTCCTTTTGGGTGCCATAATTCAGTGCTTGGCGGAGCCTCAAAACAGCCAAGTTCCTCTTCAACTATCGGTGGGAAATCCATTAACTGCTTTCACAGCACCCACGGCTTTTCAGAGTGGATCAAGCCATGTCACTTCCGTTCGGAGCAACTTTGATACGGATGTCTTGATCAGCATCTCGCAAGGTGTCCAGGACTTTGCACTCGATCTCCTGCAGCGCATATCCGTTGAAGTGGAGAAGGTCAACAAGGACTTCATGATATCACCCTTCTCCGTTTGGTCACTCCTCGTGCTCCTTTATGAAGGATCCGAGGGTGAGACCTACAATCAGTTACGTCAAGCGCTGCGGATCAATGTCGAGGATGAAAAGCTACGTGGGGCCTACAAAGTGTGGAGCTCATTCCTTAAGTGAGTAGTTGAAAGATTCAAATGGAATTTGTAAAGTAAATTTATATTTCATCTAAAGCACGACCACACCTACCATCGAGGTGGCAACTCTGCAGGCCATTTACACTGGCAAGGGTTATCCCATCCAAAATAACTACAGGAATGCTATTCAGAACTACAATGTCCAGCCCGTGGAAGTTGACTTCTATAGCCCAGATTCGGTGGTGCAGATCAACGAGGCGACCAATCGCACAACCCGTGGACTAATTCCGTACACTATTCTGCCACAGGATATTTTTGGAGCCAAGATGTTTCTGCTATCCTCGCTGTACTTCAAGGGCCAATGGAAGGTTGGATCTCGACTTCCTCTCTATCGGTTATATTACATCCATTAAACATATCCATCGATTGCAGTTTCCTTTCAACAAGACCCTGACGAGAGATGAACTCTTTTACAGCGAAAGCGGCGAGGCTCTCGGCAAGATACCCATGATGGTGCAAGAAGCAGATTTCCCTTATATCCTGAACATCGAGGGCTTGGATGGCTATGTTCTGGAACTGCCCTATGGCGTCCAGGATAGGTTATCGATGATCGTGGTGTTGCCAAAACGCGGATTTAAATTAAACGACGTTGCCAACAATTTGAAAAACATAGGACTGTGGAAAATCCTTAAAAAACTGTCCAACGAGGGCAACGAAGTGGAGGTTGTCATGCCCAAGTTCGTGACTTCAACTGACTTTGCTCTTAAGGGTATCCTCAACAAGGTCGGTATATAATTATTTTTTTTTACTCATACTAACAGTTTTATGAAGTTTAAAACTTGTTATGACCTTATGGTTTCGTAATTAATTAAAATCCTTTTTGAATTGCATGCAAAAACACAGATGGGCATTCGAGATCTATTTGACGAGAGTGCCGCCAACCTAAACCGAATGTCTCCCGGATTATTTGCCAAGCTAATCATCCACTCTACAAAGATAATCGTCGACGAACAGGGCACCACGGCGGGAGCTGTCACGGAGGCTGCCCTGGTCAACAAGGCCACGCCACCCAGGTTCCTTTTGAACAGGCCATTTCAATACATGATCATAGAAAAAGCAACCGGCCTGCTGCTGTTCGCCGGCCAAGTTCGGAACCCCAAGGTGGTTTAGAGATCTATGTCAGAATTTGTTCACGCTCCGCAATAAACACATTACATTAAGTCAAACCAGGTTTATTATTTGGTGCATATTTAAACATTTCTGATTTTTTGATTTGTTGATTTTAAATGAATGGGAATAAAAAAAACACGTGAAATATATGGTTACATCCAAGTCTTGGTTGGTAATAATGAAATGCAATTATACAAATTTGAACATATGTAAATATAATTTTATAGAATCCATTGGGAACTACTGAAATATGTTAGGAACATATAGACAAAGCAATCCGGATGTCCAGTTATCTCTGCAACTATACGGACATTTTTAAAATATTTAAAATTTAATTTATGATAATTAAATTAAGAGGGAATCTTTTTTCTTTATTTTTAATTTTTTCAGAAGAAAATGTCGTAACTTGCGCCTTCAATAGCATTAGAAAGCTTAAAATACTAAGTGGTGAACTTGGAACATGGCTTGGAATACGGACCGACTCAATTTCGATTATATAAATGCGAATCCGAATATATAAATGCAATTCTACTTAGAAGTCTGTCTAGTCTTCAAAATATAGTGTTGAATATAGTTCTGGTTTCATAAAAGTCAAACTAATCGAGGATATTTGCCAAAAAGTGTATGTGCCACGTCCTTTAATTAGGATCAATCAGGAATTGTTACTTCTGTCACATATTCCGATATCTTGTATTGCAGGCAAGATAATGGTCGGGGTTTCAATTTTTTTCGGAGCCATCGTGATTTTTTTGGCACATGGTGGATATGCCAATAAGACGGATTGCAATGAGACTGCTACTACTCCGGTTTACATTCCCGATTGGAACGGCGTCATAACGGGAACCCAAAATTTTGCTTTCCGCGTTATAGAGAAATTGTCAAGAAGGAATACTAAAAAAAGCAATAACTACCTGATGGCGCCGTACAGTCTTTGGCTCTCATATATGATGCTATATTACGAATCGCAAGGAGAAACTCAAACGGAGTTAGGTGGCTTATTGGGAGCCTTTATCACTTTGAATATAACAAATATGGCTGATTTCTACAACGATAGGCGTGGACTTCTAAAGTAAGTAATACAAAGTCATTAATTTAAAAAGGAAAAATTACTGTGATAAGTTTTAGTATTGTGACAACTAATTTGCATTTTTCCCTTTCCTTAAAGTTCTACTTCTTCCGAATTCGAGACAGCCTCCTTTCAGGGATTTTTTAAGGCCAAGGAATATTCTTCCACAAGCAAATATAATCTTGTGTACTTCTACGCCGATTTGGGACCGTGGTCACTGGACACTTTTAGGTCAGATAATAACCATAATATAGCTAGGGCTATAAACCAAGAAATACGGCGATCAACTAAAGGTCATATAGAACCTGATATTAGTAGAAAAAATTTATTTGTGGAAAGACTCATCCTGGTCTCTGCCTTTTACTTCAAGGCCAAGTGGCAGGTTGGAATTTGACATTCATTCTCCTTCAGATACTGTTAAAGTTTATATATGACTCAGATCGCGTTTGACAAGAGCCTGACGAAATTGGAGGACTTTCACCACGAGACAAACAACAAGGAAACCTCAAAGAAGCACATGATGAACCAGATCGGAGATTTTGCGTATGTCAAGGACTTAAGCGGATTGAATGGGGATGTTCTGGAGCTTCCGTACGCCACAACAACCATCAGCTTAACCGAATCGGATTACATATCCGATGAGGTTCCCTACGGTACAAAAAACTTAAGTTTAGTGATGCTCGCTTTTCTACCCAATCACGGCTATAGTATCTTCGACATTTCCGTCAATCTCGGAATTCTGGGACTGCCGTTAGTCCTAGAAAAGCTGGATGGTTTTAGAAACACAGCCAAGAACAACCAAGTGGAGGTCAAGATTCCCAAATTCGATCAACAAAATGATTATACGCTTATAGATTTTACGGCAGAGGTCGGTAAAATTCATAAATTAATCAGAAACCTTGAAATTTATTAAAAATCCATTTATAGATAGGAGCCCCGAATGCCATCAAAGAATCTACTGCAAATTTTACCTTCCAAAACTCTGACATTCTTAAGCCTTTCCTCTCGTCTTTCTACCACTATGTCCGTTTCGCCGTAGACGAAGAAGGCGAGCCTGGAACAGTTCCGAAGCATTCAAAGGACAACAAGGGTACAGTCAAGTTTCACTTAAACCGACCCTTCCTGTATATGGTCGTGGAAAAAGGAATGGGCGTGATCCTTCTTACTGGCGCGATGCGGGCTTAGGATTCGAATCATTTATGTACACAATATTAAATGAAAAGCGTTTTAATGAATTTTGTTGGAAAATAAAAACTAGCATCTGCACGTTTAATTTCCTATTTTATGGTTGGGTCATTATTTTGATTAGAAATAAATATTCTATAACGGATCGTAATACGTTAACAAAGGCACATAGCTGGCAAAAAACTGTTTTAAAAAAATATATTTTTGCTAGCGCATTGCTTCTTCTTTCAATAATATGAATAAAAGAAGTGGTGTGCATGGCAACAAATAACTTAACACAGCTTTAACAGTTGTAAAGAAAACTTAGTTAGAAATTATTTTTTATGAACTTTATAATACACCTATTCTGGAAAATGAAATGCTTTGTATAATATATTACCTTTGACAAAATCTAGTCATGTGCACGAAAAAAAGGAATGTATAATATTGATTTAAAAATTTATGATTTTGCTTTGTGGTGTACTCTGATCATGGCTTGGAATATTGAATTAGTTGAATTTATTACAGATAAACTTAACAAAAATGGTATATAAATAGGCTTTTACTCAAATAAATCTCCAGTTTCGAAAAAGTGAAAAACTAAATAAAATTGTGATCAGTAGAGAAAGACAGATTATGTTCCGATTTCCACTGCTATTCGGCACCATTGTCCTTTTTTCGGTTTTACGATGCAACAATGCCAATAATATGATGGACACCACTTCGAAGGGAGTGCACGATTTTTCCCTTGACCTTCTGCAACACATATCCGTCGATCCGCAAAATTCGAACAAGAACTTTATGATATCGCCGTACTCTGTGTGGTCTCTCCTGGTCCTTCTCTACGATGGATCGTCGGGCGAAACCTACAACCAGCTGCGTCAGACCCTGCGTATCAGTGTCGATGATCAAACACTAAGCGGGTTCCTCAAGGCGAAGAACCAATTTCTCAAGTAATACAAGAACTAGCCTGCCATTTAGCAAATTAAAATGTTTGTGCCTTCCATGCTAGCACCAAATCCTCGGGAGTCGACATCGGTTCCCTTCAGGCTATTTACACCGACATTAAATATCCTATCATGAGAAGTTACTGGACAGCCATTCAGAATTATAACGTTAAGCCCGTAGAAGTAAATTTCAACGACCTGAGTACGGGGAGTCGAATAAATCAGGACATTAGTCGCAGCACAAGAGGTCTTATAAAAAACTCCGTACAGCAACGAGATTTGCTTAACGCTAGGATGTTTTTGCTTTCTTCTCTCTACTTCAAGGGTCAATGGACGGTAGAGTTAATTTGTTTCTTTCATTGAGCCCTTTGATACATTTCCATTCCATTGCAGATACCATTTAATAAAGAAATAACACGAGATTACCCTTTTCACAACGAGAACGATGAGGTTATCGCTCAGGTGCCGATGATGGCGCAGGAAGGAAATTTCGCCGCTGTCCCCCAGGCAAAGGGGCTGGGTGCCCATGTTATACAGATGACCTACGGCTCCCTCGAGTGGATTTCAATGATTGTTATTGTCCCTGAACAAAAAGTTACACTAAATGCTGTAATTAATAATCTTAAGACCGTGGGATTGCACTCCATTCTTAAACAGTTGGCCGACTACAAAACGCATTCCCCGGATGCATCGATTAATGTCATAATGCCAAAGTTTGAAACGTCTACGGACCTTTCACTCAAGGAAGTCCTCACTCAGGTTAGTCATTTCTTAAGTCTGATTTGAAAAATCATTTTTAAATTGAAACCTAAATTTAACTCATTTTGATACATTTTTCCAACCTAGATGGGCATCAGGGACCTTTTTGATGAGAAAACCGCCAATCTGGACCGCATGGCTAAAGGATTATTCGCCTCACTCTGCAAACATTCCTCAAAGATCACTGTTGATGAGGAAGGAACCACGGCCGCAGCAGTCACAGTGGCTGAGCTGAGCAGCAGATTTGCTCCCGCTACACTCCGCGTGAACAAACCTTTCCTGTACTTAATTGTCGAAAAGGAAAGTGGATTGCTACTTTTCGCTGGCCAAGTTCGGAACCCTAAGGCAGCTTAGCGTTCCTTGATTGCCTTTATTAACATCTTTATTTCTTGGTACGACCCGTGGCTTTTTTGCCACCCACGGGCTGCTGTTTGTCTTTACCGGCCTTGCTGGAAATGAGGGGGTGTGTTTCTGTAATAAAGAGTTTATGATTCAAATGCCAATAGACGGATTTTCAGCAGATCATACCATCGGTGGGTGCATCAGGTAGGCTAACATCATAGAGTTGCATTCGTCGACGCTTGGAAGCCATGATATCGTCCTCGTAGTCATGCTGATCAGAGCTAAGTAACACTGCACTGGCCTCTAATCCATCCTGACCAGTCCAGCCGTCCTCGGGATCTTCCACCTCAGGCGCCATTGGCAAAAACTGCAATGCATTCTCGTCCTCGCCCTCCTCGTCCGAGGAGCAAAAGGCAGCTACTGGTTCTACTTTCTGCACATCCACCTCAATTTCTTCATCTTGTTGCGCGTCTGCGTTAAGGTCTACTGACTTGTCCTCGTCCGCAATGTCAAACTCCGATTCCCTTTCCTCGTACTCCACATTTTCATCTAATTCTTTGAAATCCGGTGCAAAGGCGGACCAGTTCTCTACCTGATTTTGAGCCCAAATAGATACCAGACCAGAGCTAATGCTGGCAATAATTGGTCGCACTGGATGCCAAACTACGTCCAAGAGCAGCTCTCCTTTGGTACCGTGCAGAATTTTAACCAGGTTTCCAATGGACTTTTCCCATATGTAAAGAGCATGCTGGCGCGCACTGCCAGCGCAAATGTACTCGCCATCGCCGGAAAAGCAGCACTTTTTCCAGGTGGTTCTAAATAAAAGTGATATAAGTCAATATACGGTTTTAATACTTCGTGTAACGTGTTACTTGTTGACCAAATCCTGTAATTTTTGAATAGGTTCCGGCTCACCGTCTTTTCCTAGAGTTATAATTTCTTTTGAGTCATAAACTCGAATAACTCGATCTGACGTGTTGATGAGGAATGCACTAAATAATAATTTTGAATATTTATAATACAGTTGAAAGGTTTTTTTTCTAGCACTTACTCTCCGCGCCTTGCAAATTCGATGCTTTTCACAGCCGTTGCACTTGAGGTACCTACAATAATTCGAAAACTTGCGACCACCTCAAAAGTATCCACATCCATGACGAGTATTTTTCCCTTGGCATTGCCTGTGTAAATGTGTTTACCCCTGCGGTCGAAAGAAGCCACAATGTTTAAGTCTCCCTGGGGAAAAAAGAAGTTATTTAAGAAATCAAACTCCATATTATATACTTACATCAGGATCCAAGGGCAGACAACGATGACTTCCACCTATTTCTACCAGAACGGCGGCATATCGCATCGGACAGACCAAAAGCCGGTTGTCATTACGAGGATCGAATTGAACTTTCAATACGGGCGAGGGAAACCTGTACTTTTGCTCCAACTCACCGGATAAGACGTCCCAAATGCATACATTGTTATCCGTGGATGCCGAGAGTAACTAAAATTTATTTCGATTTTTAGAAACTGTCCAGTAAGGAGGATGATGACCAACCTTGTGACCATTTCTGGTCCAACTGAGACTGCAAACGGGATGCACATGAGCTGAAATAATCTTGGCAATACCCCGCGTCAGAAAATCCCAAATAACAATGCGACCATCGTTGCAGCCTACGGCCAAAAGGGTTCCGTATTTGTTAAAGGCACACGTCACGGCCAGCGAAATGCAGTCCAATGAACCATCGAACTCTTCAGGGTAGTTTTGTCCAAAAGATTCTGAAAGAATCGGGTGTTATACGTTAGAAAGATAAGATTTTTACAGGTTTCTCACCCAACAGCTCCAAATTCATTTTTGTTTACTATCTTCTTCTTTCAAGATGACAGATGACATTCACTGGGAACCACATTCACGTTAATTATCATAGAAATTTATATTCGATAGTTTATTACATTTTTTTATGTATATTACTAATTTGAGAAAAAAGGCTGGCAATTTCTAAAAATAAATATTATAACAATCTTCATCTTAGCTTAAAAAAATATTGTATTATACTAACCTGTCTTAACTGTTTCACAAAGATCAAAGAAACATTTATAACATGCAGTCTTATGATCGCGAATAAAATAATGTACTAATTTTTATTTGATCAAATAATCTCTAAGTGCTTTAGTAGTGTCCTCCCTAGCAAACACGATAGTCATATCGATAGATTTTATACTTTTGAAATATCGATAGTGCTGTCGGATTACCTCCACCTCTATTTTTTGAGCTCTGTGCACGTTGTATGTGAAAAATTTATGCAGATGTATTTGCCAATTGTAACGAAGTCCAGATTGTGAAATTACAAGCAGACATCGAGCAGCATAATAAGTGCATTAACTTGACCAGACCAACGTTTCGAATCGAGCCATTTCGGTGACATTTAGGCCGTTGCACGCGATTGTGTCAACGTCACCTTTGGAGCACTCGCTCTCACTCTTTCGCTCGCTCTCGCTTCCCCTCTCGCTGCCAATTTTTTGCGTACCCTCTCTCGCTCGCTCCCGAAAGCTTAACGGTTGGAGTGAAATAATGAAATAACCGAGTTTCGACTTTCGTTCACAACAAAAGTGCGGGCCTTTCATGCCAAAATTACTTTCGGTTTCGAATTGTTTTTTAACTCTGCTTCGAGGTTTTCTAGAATTCCTGTTGGCCAGCGAGAGAAAGATAGGGTGAACAAAGTAGTCTGCAATTACGGTGCTCGCGCTCTGCTTGTGCTTTCAACTCCGCTCTCTTCCTAGCTTTCCCCCTCCTTCTCCCTCCCATTCCCCTTCGTATTTACTGTGTCTGTGCATTAGAATATGATAATCATTTAAACGTTTTAAATCATTACAGTGTATTCATCGCCAGCCACGTTAAAAGGAAGAACGTGTATGTGAATACGACCCGGCAGAGGAAGATAAGAGAAGGATTCAGGAGCCCAAATTCTCAATCCCCATCCCACACAAACACACATATAGGCGCACGTACGCACGCTCTCCGGTAGAGGAAGGGTAAATAAAGCAAGCAACGAGCAAAATGTCTGGCGAAGAAACGTCTGCCGATCGCAATGTCGAGATCTGGAAAATCAAGAAGCTCATCAAGAGCCTGGAAATGGCCCGCGGGTGAGTTATAACGTTAATATCCTTTTTACTTCTGTTTCCCCACCTCTTTTGTGTACATGTGTGGGGTATACACAACGAAAAAACAATAACATGAGGGTGGATTTGGGTGTGGGTGTGTGGGGCTTAGCGAGTACAACCACCTTTCCTTGTCTTGTTGTTACCAAATGACTCTCTTTATTTTACATTGTTTCCAATCTTCACAAGATCCCTTTCGCTCTCTTCTCTCGTTTTTGCATACGAGCAACACGTTTCTATCGAGTTATTATCAGTTTAAACTAGACTGATTGAGTGCGAGAGAGTAACAGAGAGACAGAGAGAGAGAGGACGTGAGTAATGCGCCTCGTGGCCATTGTGCGTGTGCGTATGCGTTTGTGTGTGTTTGCCCCAAAATGGGCCAAGCTTTGTGGAGCCCCCTCTCCAATCTCGTTAACTTTCTAGGCATGGTCCTTACCGCTTTGCACTACTTTAGTGTGGGTAACAAGGTCAGCGAATAGAGTGACCCCCGCAGGAACGTATGCATATGAATATCTTTCTGTCAACATACGCCACAGTTGGAGCCAACATAATACAATTGCCAATTGGAGTTTGCGACGTTTGCCAATTGGGCCTTTGCTATGTACAGTTATCTAAGAATTCCTATTGGTTTTTATTCCAACGGCCAATAAATTTGATGTTTTTGTTAGCCGTGGACTTTATTTGTCAGAATACGTATGATTTCATGATATAATGTTAAAAAACTTGTTTAATAAATAATAATAAAAGTTTTTCTCAATTTATTTTTACTACTGAAAAAAAATATATTGTAAAACAAGAAAAAGTTCAAACTAATAATATATACTATATAATAACTAGACTATGTCAATAACTTCCTTGCTTGAGAAAAGATTTCACGGTCAATTTTCCGACATTACTTAGATTTCTTTATTTGTAAGCATTTGAAGCTTTTGTCTTGCGCTGTTATGGTAGAAAGAAGAGCCGCAAATTATCTTTGTAACTTCCACGTCTCATTTTCACCCCTTTTTTTGTGTTTTTCAGCAATGGAACCAGCATGATTTCTTTGATTATTCCACCAAAAGATCAAATCTCTCGGGTCAGCAAAATGTTGGCCGATGAGTTTGGAACGGCCTCGAATATCAAGTCGCGCGTAAATCGCCTGTCCGTCCTCGGTGCCATTACGTCGGTACAGCACAGACTCAAATTATACACCAAAGGTAAGTATTGTATAATCAGGGGAACCTTAACCTTAAAGACTTCAATATCTAACTTGTATTTGGCTTTTAGTGCCTCCAAACGGTTTGGTCATTTACTGCGGTACAATTGTCACAGAGGAGGGCAAGGAGAAGAAGGTGAATATAGACTTCGAGCCATTCAAGCCCATCAACACGTCGCTATACCTGTGCGACAACAAGTTCCACACGGAGGCCCTCACTGCCCTGCTCGCCGACGACAACAAATTCGGATTCATCGTGATGGACGGTAACGGAGCGCTTTTCGGAACCCTTCAGGGCAACACCCGCGAAGTGCTCCACAAGTTCACCGTCGATCTGCCGAAGAAGCACGGACGCGGTGGTCAGTCCGCCCTTCGTTTCGCCCGTCTGCGTATGGAGAAGCGCCACAATTATGTGCGAAAGGTCGCCGAGGTGGCTACCCAGCTCTTCATCACGAATGACAAGCCCAACATTGCCGGACTCATCCTGGCTGGTAGTGCGGATTTCAAGACCGAGCTCAGTCAATCGGATATGTTCGATCCCGTAAGTTACAAGTTTTTAACTGATAGTTACAAAATGTATTGAACTTTATTGTTTTTCCAGCGTTTGCAATCTAAAGTCATCAAGCTGGTGGATGTGTCTTACGGTGGGGAAAACGGTTTTAACCAGGCCATTGAATTGGCGGCCGAATCGTTGCAGAATGTGAAATTCATACAGGAAAAGAAACTCATTGGTCGTTACTTTGATGAAATTTCTCAGGTGAGTTGTCAAGACAAAACTTTGTTTTTCTTTGTTACATACTTTACGCTTTTTCTTGCAATAGGACACTGGCAAATATTGTTTTGGAGTGGAGGACACTTTGCGGGCACTGGAACTTGGCTCGGTGGAGACTCTCATTTGTTGGGAAAACCTGGACATTCAGCGTTATGTTCTTAAGAACCATGCCAACTCGACGTCAACGACAGTATTACATTTGACGCCCGAGCAGGAAAAGGACAAGTCGCACTTCACTGACAAGGAGGTGAGTAGTAAATTCGTATCTATCCTAGCATATATGCTAATTGCTGGTTTTGTTTAATAAAGAGCGGGGTGGAAATGGAGCTGATTGAGTCTCAGCCGCTACTGGAATGGCTGGCAAACAACTACAAAATGTTCGGCGCCACACTGGAGATTATTACGGACAAGTCCCAGGAGGGAAGTCAGTTCGTGCGAGGTTTCGGTGGAATCGGCGGTAAGTTAGACAGCCAAATCTTAGTTATCCCTCAGATTAGCTGGCTAGCTAGTAGTAGATTTATATTGTTCAAAGACAAAAATGTTGCAACTATTTCCATTCCTCTTTCCCTCATGCTGCTTTCACATGGTCGTCAACGCTTTAATGTAAATTAATCTTTAAAATTGGTACCACAATTCGATATGTAGGCATATTGCGCTATAAAGTAGATTTTCAGTCCCTACAGGCCGACGAGCCGCTGGAGGATGTCGATCTCGATGACTATTAAGCCGGTGTGGGGTTCGAACGGGTCTCGATTATGCGTTAAATACATAATAAACCAGTACTTTTTGGGAAACCTCGTAAAGCAAAACGTTCAAATCGATTAGGAACCAATTTACTTGCCACATAGTTTTACCTATGTTCAGCGTAGCCGTTCAATATTTATCACCAATAGGGTCCCTCATCAGTCGGATGGTGCATTTCCTTGTCGAACAGATCAACGTGTATCTAGATATGTACCTATACGTTTTACCAAATTTTTAAATTAGTCGTGCACCAAACAAAACGGAGTGCGAGATTATTTTTAAGCAACAAATTAAATTCGTATTTCGTATTCGTAATTCGTAATTCAATTGTCATGTAAAAGAGATAATAGCGCATTCTCTGTTCACCTTGTTCGATTTTGACTGCGGTTTTAGAAAGCATAAGATCTACGGTGAACATGCCGCAATTTAGCTGGAAGAATTTCGAACGTATCTGCATTTCCCTTATTCAAAATACAAACGAGTGTTATAAGAAAGTATACAAATCTAATCCATAAAATTGTAATAAAAATTAAACCAGAAATAAAACACCACACATAATGAGGATGAATATCCGTTTATAATCAGTCGCGAAAACAACACGGGCTTCATGTACTATTTATTAATTAGTAAATGAAAAATATATAATGTCAATGGAGGTGAGAGCCTGAAGTTCAGTTGTATTTGTATTAGTTGGATATATTAGTTCCTTATTCTTTGTTTCGTATCTGTTTTTTTTTTCGAAAGCTTGTATTGTTTTGATTATTTTATTTTATTTTAATTTTATTATGCTTCCGCAGGTATCTTACGCTACAAGGTGGACTTCCAGAGTATGCAGCTTGATGAATTGGACAATGACTGCTTCGACCTAGATGATTACTAGAAAATGTTTCTGTAGAAATGAATTTGCAACTACCGTCGACCGCAAACTGAAAACTGCAACTACATAAAACCAGGAAATCAAATAGAATATTTTAATAATACGAGAAACACACAAACCTTCTTCCATTTTAACGTTGTTGGCGAAAAAAGTAAAATTTAAATTAATGCATATAAATACAAACGATATAATGTTAAATCGAGGAAAACATATTAAAATGATACCGTTTTACGTGAACAAAAATCATCAATTGTATAAATTTGTTAATCAATATTTTAAATATTTGTATAAAACTTCTTTGCTTTGCCTTATAGATAATAAGATATTGCTTCTATAGCTGAAAAGATAAGGAAAAACCATTTCTACCCTATTTTAATTTAATAATTGATACGAATTCCACTAAGATAAAATTCCGGATCTGTGGTAACAGATACTGGTACTGGTGGCTATTTGTATAAGTGTACTACCAGTATAATAATGAAAGTGTTGTTGAAAGTAAAGGGAAATGGGCATGACATTTCTTACTTTCTATTCGCAGGCACACTTGGAAACAGTTTATTTTCAGATCCACAGCTGATTAGTTGACGAATGTAAGTGTACGAACACAAGTACAAGCTTTAGCATTTGTTTTATTAGCGATTTGCATTTAAGAATTCGGATAGATCCATGTGGTAAGCTGAAACTTGTTTGCTGAGCCACATTTCTATACAAGTGTCTGTACTCGTTTCAATATATGTAAGTATATAAGCGACTTACAGTCAAGCTTCTCAAGCTTAGAAAATATTAAATTATTATAACATGTCTTCAAGTAAGTAATTTCATTACTTTAAATAATCCCGAAACTAAGACTATTTACTCATTTACCGACTAATCTAATCAGAGGAATTTAATAAAATCAATATTTTCATTTTTTGTGATTAATGGTTCTTCTTGGTTAACTCTTTTTAAACCAAGGTCCACTCTAAAGCCTACATGTTGCGGAGCTGTATGTGTAGATTTACAGTCGCGATCGTACGTATTTCAATTATTTTGAGTGTGAGCAGCCCAGACGAGGGTTTACAACTTAATGAGAATTTGATCAAGAGAACGTTAAAACACAATCAGCTGCAGTCGAACAGGGCACTTTCAATTGAATCGTCGGCGATAGAGGTTCGGATTTCGTTAACCCAAAAATAGTCAGTTATTTAGTGGCCAATTTAGACCTGACAAACGGACACTTTCGGTAAGAGATATGGCTGCCCCAGTGGATCAGACAGTGGCTGTTAATCAGATTCGCGATGGCCTCATGGACGACTGGAATATCCTGGAAAACGTCTTCAAACTGCTCCAGAAAGAGGATACCTTCTGTGTAAACCCCGAGAGTTGGGGCAAGCAAAAGATAGTTCCGTTTTTGCAGCCAGACAAACTGAAGGTGAGTGAACGATAGACGAGCCGGCGTCTGTCGATCTGAAGATAATGGTCGGTCGGGCTGATTAATAAAAGAGTTCAGTTTAAAACTTGACCCCTTGCTAGCAATTTAAAACAATTATGATCTAACACACGCGAAATTCTATTTGAATGGAAAAAAATTAATTGATAATGGTTTATTTTGATTAGGCACACTTAAACTCAAGTATCTGATAATTCCAAGTCCTGGTGTTTATTACTAGTTTTTAGAAAATTGATAAAAATATTGTCTGGGTCAATGAGTATAACTTGTTAAGAAAAAAGAGTTACAAATCTAAAATAGTTTTGTTTGTTGTAGAAGGTAACACTTATCATTTTTAATTCATTATTTTTAATGCGTTGATCTTATGCTATTATTTTAAGCTTATCTGTTAAATATGATTTTGTATTATCATTCCTAGGAACTGATTAATCTGAAAATCCGGGAGACGGAGAAGTGCACACTCGTTGAAATCGAGGAGCTGTGTCAGCAGGTGATCCATTACTCCGTGAAAACATCGCACGGGCGCTTCCATAATCAGCTCTTCGGGCAACTCGACCCTTTTGGATTGGCAGGGGCTCTGATCACAGAGGCCATGAACGGCAGCACGTAAGTCCGCAGCATTATTCCGTACATAGTATGCCTACATGACCGACAGCTGATTGCATCTCAATTCCAATCTACAAGTGGTTGCAGAGTTCAACGCACAGATAATTGTGTTAATGTAATGTAAATTCCAAAGTACTATTATAACTCTCTGAAAACCAGCTATAGTTTATAATTGTAACTGCGCGCATAAAATTGTAATAACTTGCTTTCAAACTTTCTTCTGCAGTTACACCTACGAAGTTGCACCTGTCTTCAGTTTGATTGAAACTGAAATAATTTCAACCATATGCAAACTAGCAGGATACAAGGATGGCGATGGAATTTTTGCTCCTGGCGGTTCCACCTCCAATATGTACGGATTGGTTTTGGCCCGCTATAAGTTCGCACCCGAGGTGAAGACCTCCGGAATGTTTGGGATGAGACCCCTGGTACTGTTCACTTCTGATGAATCGCACTATAGCTTCGTGAAAGCGGCCAACTGGTTAGGATTGGGCAGCGATAATTGTGTGTCGGTAAAAACAAATGACAGAGGTCAGATGCTTCTGGATGACCTTGAGGCGAAGATCACAGAAGCAAAGGCTCGGGGTGGGCAACCGTTCTTTGTCAATTGCACCGCAGGTACAACTGTATTAGGTGCTTTCGATGACATAAATGCAGCAGCGGATGTGGCAGAGCGACATGGTCTGTGGCTGCATGTGGACGCTTGTTTGGGAGGGGCATCACTGTTGTCCTCCAAAAATAGACCTCTTTTATCTGGCTTGGAGCGGGCCAACTCCTTTGCCTGGAATCCACATAAAACCCTTGGGGCTCCTCTGCAGTGCTCGCTTTTCATAACCCGGGAATCGGGACGCCTTTTGGAAAGATGCAACAGCACCGAAGCACACTATTTGTTTCAACAGGATAAGTTTTACGATGTCTCCTACGACACGGGCAACAAAAGTGTCCAGTGCGGCCGAAAGATCGACGCGTTTAAGTTTTGGTTGATGTTGAAGGCCCGTGGGTATGGAAAGTACGGACTCCTGGTCGACCATGCCATCGATATGTCTAGATTGTTAGAGGATAAGCTACGACAGCGGGGAGATCGCTTCAGGTTGGTGCTCCAGAAGCACCAGTACTCCAATGTCTGTTTTTGGTACATACCAAAGTCAATGAGGGTTTCCAGCAAGGATGAAACGGCAGAATGGTGGGATCGTCTTTATACTGTAAGTTAAGAAACTGATCCGATTTTGAAAATGAATTTTTAAATGATTTATTTCGTTAACTTAGGTGGCTCCCAAGATTAAGGAGCAGATGGCCTACAGTGGCACTTTGATGGTTGGTTACTCTCCCCTCAAAGCCCTAAATCTAGGAAACTTCTTCCGAATGGTCCTAACTTGTTTTCCCATCCTGGAAAGCAAAGAGTTGGACTTTATCTTAGATGAAATTGAGAGGTTGGGAGAGAAAATTGTCGTGTAATATAAAATATTAGTTTAAAAGATGTAAATGTACTATAACTTAGCTAATAAAAGCAAAACATTTTTATTAAAATTCGATAACAATTTCGAAAACTTTTTATATTTATACTTTTTTTAAAGCTCTAGGTAGTACCTTAGAAATTATCAAATAAAAATCAAAACTGGTCACACCAACAATAACTATCGATAAGAGCCATCGGTATTATTATACAAAAGTGAGATCCATCAGCTGCTCTGCAATCAAAACAATCCAAATTTGTTGCGAAATTGTTGATAAACTGGACTAATAAAAAAGCTTAAACATGGGTCGTGCGGAAGTGGGTACTCCCAAGTACCTAGCCAACAAGATGAAGTCGAAAGGCCTGCAGAAACTGCGATGGTACTGTCAAATGTGTCAAAAGCAGTGCCGCGACGAGAATGGCTTCAAGTGCCACACCATGAGTGAGTCCCACCAGCGCCAGTTGCTCCTCTTTGCCGATTCCCCGGGCAAATTCCTGCACAGTTTCAGTAAGGAGTTCTCCGACGGCTATATGGAGCTATTACGCCGACGATTTGGCACCAAACGGACCAGCGCCAACAAGATCTACCAGGAGTATATCGCACACAAGGAGCATATCCATATGAACGCAACGCGATGGCTCACCCTTTCTGACTACGTTAAGTGGCTTGGTCGGACGGGGCAGGTGATAGCAGACGAGACAGAGAAGGGATGGTTCGTAACCTACATCGATCGAAGTCCGGAGGCCATGGAACGGCAAGCGAAAGCCGATCGCAAGGAGAAGATGGAGAAGGATGACGAAGAGCGAATGGCTGATTTTATTGAGCAACAAATAAAAAAAGCGAAGTCCAAAGACGGTGAGGACGATGAAGGCCAGGAGAAGTTCACCGAATTAAAGCGCGACGAGAACGAACCCCTTAAACTGGATATTCGCCTGGAGAAAAAGTTTCAGCCTGAAACTGTGCTTGGAAAATCAGCTCTATCCAAACGACCTGCCTCTGAAGTGGATGAAAAAGTCTTTAAAAAACCCAAATCCGTGGCTGGAGACAGCCAGACACGCTCTGCACTGGATGACATTATCAAGCAGGAGGAGGCCAAGAAGGAGCGCGCCAATCGGAAAGACTACTGGCTGCACAAGAACATTGTGGTGAAGTTTATCTCGAAGTCTATGGGTGACAAATTCTTCAAACAGAAAGCGGTTGTCCAAGAAGTAATTGACAAATACCAAGCTAAGATTAAATTCTTAGACACAGGGGAAAAGCTGAAAGTGGATCAAGTAAGGCTTGCATTGTAATTAACTTATCATTGTTATTTAAACAAGTTTATATATTTTCTAGGCTCATTTGGAGACTGTAATACCCGCTTTGGATAAAACAGTTATGGTGGTCAATGGCGCTTATCGTGGATCTGAAGCTTTGCTAAGGAAGTTAGATGAGCGCAAATATTCAGTCAGTGTTGAGATCTTGCATGGTCCCCTAAAAGGACGTGTTGTGGACAATGTACAGTACGAGGACATATCTAAATTGTCCGGCACATAGTTTTACTTTTCTTAATCTAAGATCTATAGATGTACCTTTTGTAATTCGAAAATACTATACTCGTATCACAATGCGTAACCATTATTGGAAAAAGGCTGAGAGCGAACTAAACTAAAATCTGCACATTATAAGTTCGTTACTTAAACTTGGCCCGCCTAGCATTTAGGTTAATTAAACATGACTTTTTACTGGATATCTAGAACACACTCATTTACTCATTCAAGTAGGTATGTAAACAATATTTTTGGGTTCAGTTTAGGAACAATGAAAGCACTAAACAAAGACCGATTGACTAGCAATAATTCCCACACTTGCTAAACTTCAACCAGTCTTAATATCAGTGTGGTAAAGTGCATATTCGCGATATGCGGATTCTTTATTTTATTGTTATCCTCTTACGATTTGGAGCATCTTTAGATACAGCTAACGATGCGAAGGCCAGATCAATGGGGAGGTGGTGGGATGCAGTGCCTCGTCTTTTGACAGACGTCGTTACCATGAAAGCAAACATTCTCACAGCTGTACCGCTCGAACTCGCAGCTAATACAATCGATGCCTTATGTAAGATAAAATCTTACTTAGTACAAAATATTATAAATTTAGGATATTTCTAGGTTCCTCCACGCTTTTTATGGACAAAGTGCCTCCACAGATTACTCCGGACATAAAGAAAATGCATTTTCAGTACATGACTCCATGCCAAAACTATAGTGTCCCTTTGCTGGACGCCTCCAAGCTTTGGAAGCATTCGAGATTCAGTAAAGGACGTAAGGTTGTGATCTTGGCTACCGGATGGACTAACACTGTGAACGAATCTTCAGCCATTTCGATGATATCAAAGGCGTTTATGTGTCGCGGCGATGTTAATTTTGTGGTTTGTTAAGAGCAATGTTGATATCCCATTTTTTTTAAAAACTGTTTCCTAGATTGTGGATGCCGCTGATTATGTGGATACCTTGTACTCGTGGTCGGCCCTCAACACGGATTTAATTGGGGAGCATATTGGAGTTGGTCTAACCCATCTAATAGAGTTAACCCCTTTACGAAATATTCACTTGATAGGTATGTTTGAAATTGTATTAAAGAAAAAACTATTCTACATTATTTTTGATTATAAATTTTTCTATGCAGGACATTCTCTTGGAGCACACATAATGGGCACCGCTGGTCGCACATTTAAAAAGTTAACTGGAAAATTAATTCCCAGGATAACTGGTCTGGATCCTGCCAAGCCCTGCTTCAGACGGGAGAACATTCTGCCCGGATTGTCGCAAGGCGATGCCAAACTGGTGGATATCATTCACACTAACATTGGTATTTTGGCCAAGCGAGGGCCTCTGGGAGATGTTGATTTCTATCCAGGCGGAGCACATCCCATTCAGCCGGGCTGTTTAACCATAGGCTGCTCGCATACTCGAGCGGTGGAGTATTTTGCCGAAAGTGCCTATCCCCACCAAGGAAAAAACTTCATGGGTAAAAAGTGCGCCTCTTGGGACAAGTTAAAAAGACGAGATTGTTCTGCAGGTATAGTCTCCCCGATGGGCTATAAAATTAATCCTCAAGCGAGGGGCATGTACTACGTAGATGTTAATGGCTGGCCTCCTTATGGGCGAAACCCGAAGACAACTATTGATCCTAGATCAAGAACTTGCTACCTTTGTCAGACGTAAAATTACAGAGATATCATTTAACACATTACATTTAAATTATATACATTAGGATAACGTCCTTAGAATAAAAATCTATAGATAAATATTTGTTAAGATTTATATATTTATTTTATATTTTACTTCCTATTTTCTGCGTTATCCTAATTATCTTAGATATTTGTTGGTACAACGATCAGCAATCAATTTGCGTAAGATCAAGGTCATCATTAAAGGCCTCTGATATGTCCTTTTGACTCTGCATGGCGCGCTCTTGGGTTTCTGCAATTCGCCACAACTCATCGTCGTCATTTCCCATCAACATAGAACGATCTCCACAACCCTTGATATCCGGCCGTATTCTGGCTTTAGGCTGAGAGGGTCCGTTGGTGCGCTTCTGCCTATTTCCCATCGTTATTTGGCTCTCTTCAAAGTAGCTGTTTGGATGACTAATGGTCGGCTCCACAGCGGAGTTGTGGGTGATCTGAAAGTATTTGCCGCAGCCAATTTGATAATGACCGCGGGACACGAAGAACATAACCTCTTCGATTGCGCTAGCAGATAGGCCGTAAGAGGATAGCTTGGTTTTTAAAGAGCCCTGATCCATGTACTTATACGGACAGCCGTGGCAATCTCCTGGCGCAACCATATCCTTGATGATCTTTCCGCAGGAGTAGGGGGTATAGTTGACCATAGATCCCTTCTTTCCGTAGTTGTGGTATATATTGTACTCGTAACTCTTTGCGAACTTGTCCGCGTCTATTTTCTTCGTGAACTCCTCGCGCCAGAATCGTAAGGAATCCTCCAGAGTCACACCAATCCCCTTAAGAAACAGGCCATACTGCATACGACCGTTGTGCTTCATATGATGGTGAGCGCGAATGTGCTCATGACACATGCGCATACACAAAGGCATTGAAGTCTTGGAGAGCTGGTCGAGGGACTCGATGGGTATAGCTGCATCTCGGCACACTGTGTAATCCTTACCGGTGTATGAGTTATGCAGGGCTTTTAGCATGCGGGATATGCGCTCGTCACCCTCTACGTCCGCCAACATGCTTTTGGCTGACTGCAGTCCTTGTTCGATTTCCGTCTGTTGCCGAGTACCCACTATAAATACCAAATCTTGGGTGTTCACATAGGCAAATCCTGCTTTCAAATAGCACCGTCGACTCCGCACTAGATCCAAAACCTGGGTGAACGGTACCTTGTAGAAGTCTAACAGCTCGATCTTGGCTACACTCTGACCCGCTGTGCTCTCGTACAGACCATTCTTAACCTCGTCCTTTTGAGCCTCAGTAAGGGGTTGTACATCAAAGTTATTGGCCTCCAAGAACTGCTTCACCTCAGAGCTGCTGAGTGCAGCGAATTTGTATCGAAATAAATCCATTTCGCGGGCCACGAACCAGCGTGTAAGATCATCGGAACGGCAGTATGCCAGCCGCAGGATAAAGTGTGAAATATAATCACGTCGTCGGGTTTGAATATCTGCCTCGTGTTTAGTGCCTCCGCCGGCGGTGCAAAGTCTCAGATAGTTGCGCAATCCTTCACGGGTCAATTCTGCACTAACATACTCCTTCCACTCATCGGAGAGCAATCGAAGATTCCTGCTACTTGCGCGGTCAAGGACACGAAGAAGGCGCAGGCGCTCCAGTGCTAGCTCTTCGAATTCCTCTAGATGCACGTCATCCATTGGCGGATAATGGTACATCATAACGTTGTGTGGATATTTGGTCTCCAGGCTGACCACCTCCACTTTGACTTCATGTCGCGGACGTTTCTTAAGGCGGAATTCCATTTTACTACGATATTGTAAAATACAATTTGTTTAATGCCCTTAATATTGTTTTGGCGCCTAAACTGGTGATGACCAGGATCAGCTGTTGTCATGGTTATCGATATTGATGTTGAAAAAAAAAACCTATCGATAAAGAGTTGGCTATATTCGTTATTTTAAAACTTGATCGGTGTTCATAATCTAACTAAAAGCTCCAGAAAAATAAAGTTGTTTAAAAAAATGAAGTAAACAAACATCAAGCCTCTTATACTTCTAAAAATGGATTGATTATTATTAAAAAATATATTATTCCTATATTAGGAAACTATTTATAGTTGGTAATAGTTAAATAAAGTTTTATTTTTATTTATTTTCAGGTACTTTTTAATCTGACTAGAACTCTTTGTACCAAAATAAGGTACGCTAGGTAATTCTTAAACATAAACCTCTCTAGAACTAATTCCTATGACCTCTAGTGATCTTCTTAACCGTTTCCAAAAAAGCTTTCGCTCCTCAAATTTGGGACTTGCATCTCCCTTGCCAGTTGGCCATTTAATATATGTTTTCACATCCATTAGGTATTGTAAAGTTTTTGGACGTTTTCGACGTGGAATGTCTTCTAGGAAAACCAGGATCAAGTGTTCCTTGCTCACCTCAAAGATTCTGAATTGGAAATAATTTAGTTAAGTAATTTAAGTTTTATTCAATCAATATCTCTTACCGATGCTGTGCCAAATACATTTCAAATTGACACCAGTGGCTTAGCAAGAATTTTGAGGATATGATGAGCATTAGGGAGTAAGAACGATCCATACAGGAGATAATGTTGTCCAGGATTGTTACTCCGATCTATAAAGAATTTAATTTAATTAAGCAAATTTCATACATTTGAAGTTTGATATTAAAAAACAATTAATTTAAATAATTTTACCTGAAAGTCTCGCTCGTGAAGACAAATGGATACATCCCCAGTTTCCTCTACATTTGGCAAGAGTTCATTGAGCACCCAAGGGCGATCGTTTTGGCAGTAGCTAATGAAGATGTCATATACGGCGCTGGGATCCCTTTGGGATATACGAGTGAAGTTATCCGCCGACTCTTTCGAGGCACTGGACAACAATGCAGCTGACTTCAAGGAGGAATAATAGTAGTGGATATGCCATCGCCTCAGGTAAATAATGAATCCCAGTATGCAAACACCAACAATACTGCCAACCACAGCGATCACAGTATTCGTAACCCGGTGCAACTCCTCCGTAAGATCACTTAGCGTTCGAACCTGACAGTTGAGCTCATCGACCTGGAGTTGATCGGTGTTATTAAAGCAATAATACTGACTGGCCTCGTAGTCCAGCAGCTGAAATTTCAGAGTGAGATCTTCTCCGAATTCATCCAAATGATATGAAGCAGATGTAGAGCACTTGGTAACCTTATAATCCTCGATAGAGAAACGGAATCTGAATATATGATTAACACGATTAAATTCCTTTACGTTAGAGTAACTCTTCTTCAACTTGGGAAAATAGCGACTCTGCCAAATATTTCGATCTATATTCAGTAACTCTGCTGCCGTTATTAGATCGCTTTCCACCGATCCCTGGCTATAGTTTAGGATGTTGTAGGAGCAGTCCGCTTCCTTGTTATTCGCAGCAGCTACCTCCACGACCGCTCTCAAATGACAGTCGCATATAAAAGCATTATCTCCCAGACTTAGGTATTCTAAACCCTCAAAATCCTTTAGCATCTCGTTGGACAGCATATTGATGGTGTTACTCCTCAGATTTAATACCCTCAACGCGGAGTTATTGTGGAAGGCACTGCGATACCAATTGCCCACATGGTTCGAGCTGAGATCTAGGATTTCCAGCGACTCCAGGTTGTGGAACATCACCGGGGTCAGGGAATTTATATTATTACCCGAAAGACCCAGCACTTGGAGCTTCTTCAACGACTTGGACCACTCCAAATCTTTCAGGTTCGAACGCTCAAAGTACAAATACTTTAGGGTGTCAGCAATTCCATCAAAGGCGTCATCGATAATGTTATAGGATAAATAGGGGTTTCCCGACAAGTCCAGACCCTCCAAAACCGTATTCTTGAAGATAGCGCTGCTCACCATGGGGATAGCCGTATAGCACAGACTTAGGAACCTCAACTTATCCCCTAGATGGGCAAAGGCCACAGCACTATTCCGGGTCATCTTTGAGTGGGACAGGTCCAAGTAGATTAATTCTGGCAATAGCTTGAATACATTCTGTTGGATTTTTAGGCCATAGATCAGGCTGAGGGCCATTTCAAGAGTAGGCAACTGCAATTGATAACTGTAGGTCAGGAAGTTGGTGAAGGAAAGATCCAAATATTGCAATTTCTGAATGTAGAAAAATGTGTCATGGTTTAGGGCCATTATCTTGTTTTCCGACATGAAGAGCCGCTTCAGGTTACTGATGTTCTTGAAGGCATCTTTGCTCACATACTCTATGCTGCAGTTGCTAATGTCCAGCTCCACAAGTCGAGGGAGTTTAGGGAAACTCGCCCAAGCTATGGATTGGGCTGTAGAAAGAAAATGAAAACGTTTTTAATAAAGGAATAAGATTAGCTAGATCACTTTAAAAATTTTCACAAAATTTATTTAATATTCAAAAAACAAAGATTATGGCAAGAAGTGGGATGCATAACCTAAACTAAATTTAAGGAATCTATCCTTTCTACTTGTTGTTATCCAATAATGTGTTTTTCTGATTAATAGTGTTTAATTTGTGGTCTTACATGTCTTTCCGTGATGATGAAAACGACCTCTTAATAAATTAATATAGTGCTCATAGTCTATACCGGTCGTGATTGAGTGTTCCGTGTTTGTGTTGTTTTGAAAGTATAAATAACACTCCCGATCGTACAGATCGGTGGCATTATTATCGCATTTGTGTTGTGAAGTGTTGCTTGAGTCCAAGCGGGTTTCATTTAAGAATCGACCAAAGGCTAAAATTGCGAAGAATAACTGACCATCAGAATATGTTTACCATTCAACTTTGTGGGTATGGAATATAGAAACACCACTGCCATGGGAACCTACCTTCAGCATCTGGGAGCAAATCAGCGAAATTGTTTCCCCGCAGCGATAAAAACTTTAAGGATTCCTTCATGGTGTGTAGGGTTTTGAACGGTGCAGCTCTCAACGAATTAAAGGCGGCCGAGAAGATCTCTATTCTCCATCCGATGAACTTTCTCGCTGATCTGGTAGCATGCAACAAGTCGGAGTCTTCCTTCAGGTTACCATGCGATAGATCCAAATACATTTTGTATGCTTTAAATAAGTAATTATAGTTATGATAAAATGTAATGAAATGACCTGCTCAACAATCGATTAGGGTTTTTTCTTAGCTATATTTAAAATCATACACCTACCTACCTTAATTATACTTACAGATAAAACTTATTTACAGTACTTTATACCGATTCAATTCTGCAAATAACATTCTTGAACAATCTATTTTTGCCAAGACCCTGATAGTAGCAAATAGCTTTGTTAAATCCACCCCCTAATTCACCAGTTAAGCAAAGCTTTTAGCGATAACAGGTACAATAATAGTTAATGATTCTACTGGCTTAAGTTAACACTAAAAAGCTTTTATCAGCAGTCTATTCGAATTGGCGGAAGCGTGAAAATATATCACTTTGATTGCTGTTAACAATGTTCAATCAAATGAGCTATCAAATCAATAGAGCTAACCGATTTTTATAGTGGGTTTTTTGAAGAGATTTACCGAATTTTTTAGTTCCTTCCTTTAGGGTTCCGTTAGAATATATCCACCATATTACATCCTCTTTAATCATATCCAAAAGGCAAATATTGCCGTCATCCGATTCGTACTTCAGCAAGAGGGATTTAAGATCAGTTGTCTCTTTATTATCTTCATCACTGTCCTCACTTGATGTTAATGTTGAGTCTAGATCTGTGGTTATTCCATCAGGAGTCGATACCTCAGAAGATATCACATTCACATTTCCCAGCAAAAGGGACACTATTATAACATCCCATAGATATTTGGGTGTCATTTTCACTTAATTACGCACTTATATTGCGTACGAAATGGTCTAATAAATATCACTTGACTCTTGTTTGATTGCACAGTCGCCTGGATAGATAAGCGCGCTTAAATTGTATAATCACTGGTCTAATGTCATATATTTTTAGCCTTAAATGACTTTCATTTTCACTGGCTATTAAGAAATTTCATAAACATTTTGTAAGACTTCACGGCTACCGAGTTTGCACGAAAATTCTATTAGTTGCCATTAAACGAAGCAATCGCTTTGGGATCCCGAAAAAGACTGACAAGTGTTTTAGTCTGGCTATTGGTCAGCGAAAATTATTGGTAGCAGCGATACATATGCCACGATAAGGCTTATCAATTTTGGCAATATCTTCCTTTGAATGGCCCGGGACTATCAGCGTATCGCTATTTCGGTGGCAGAATGCGTCCCGCCTCACGCCCACGCAGTGATTCCATATCGGATAATTATCTGGTCGTCGGGAAATGGTGATTAGTACCGTACTTCAATGGGATCGGTGCTTGGGATCAACGATATAGTTTGTATTTAGCCAGAACATAAATTAAAGTGAAACACTTTTGTTTACTACTCAAGTACTTTGGAATGTTTCTAGATAGAAAAGCGTTGATTTACTGTGTCCAGTCTGAATTGATAAGAAACTGTTTGGCAAATCTTAGATTATCAGTTTATCAATGATAGGGAAAGCTTACCACTATAGCAGCTTGCTGCACAAATTGTCCAATTAATTATACCAATTCCTTTCCGTAACAGTATTGATTGATAAATTGAAAGAATGAAAGACAGTGCTTCTGTATTTGAAATTAATAGCCTTTGACCAGTGAGCCTTTGTTCGGAAGCTTTCCATTGAGGAATATAGATTTTGCTAATCTACCGTTGATAACACAATCCTTTACTGAGACGTCAATTTTATTTTAAAGTCTTTTAAATCTTAATTAATACTTTTTTGCACTTTTTAGATGTGGTATTTGTCTTGAAATAGGGAATTTGGAATACGGAGTAATAGTAGAAAATTCGCAGAGAATAGATTCTGGTAACCGTCAGAAAACCAATGGTTAGTTTCAGTTACGCCTAACAAATGGAGAAAGAAACTGAAAAGAGAGTGGATTGTTTCCCGCTGGAATTTGAGTGAAGTGGTAGGGGGCTTGCCGAACTCTGAGCTCAATCAGAAACAGGTTTTGAGTGCTGAGATCGGATCTCGGCTGTTAGTCGACATTCAGAGCTGAACTGAGGCGGTATCTAGCGACGGAAGAAAGTAGAATATATACCTGGGATAATAGGAGATTAATCTTAAGATAACTGACCTAATATCCCCGGTGCAATATGCGCAAGTCGCCGGGCAGCCTTGCCTCCGAGGCCTTCTCCAGTTCAAACTCCTCGCTAAGCAATTCGTACAGTGATGCCAGCGATCTGGCCAACTGGGAGGAGTACGTGGCCACGGACGGTAGTCTCTTCTATATGGAGTATGTGAAAAATGAGAAGACTGGCACCTCGGCGGAGCGGCGGGTGGAGTTCATGCGCCGATCGTTGCGCCTGGGAAAGAAATCGTCGCGTCGCCAGCCGCACAGCAATAATCAGAGTCAGAACCAAAACCAGTCCCACAGCCAAAGCCAGTTGGATTCCCAGACGGAACCGCAAGAGTTCCGATTCTCACAGTTCAAGACGGCTGCCCCCGATCCCAAGAAACTAGAGCTGGTGATCACAGCCGCCGATCGTTTTCGTTTCGGTCGACGTTCAACTGCAGTGGAGTCGATCTTGGGCTTCAGGGTACTTCCGTTTCCGGATCAACCAGAATGCCTGATGGTCGATGGATTCGTTCATGATCTAAGTGCCCTGCAGCACGGCATAAAGAGGGGAGATTGGTTCAGATCACTAAATGGCATTGAGTTATATGCCAGCAATGTGGATGAGTTGCTGCAGCAATTCGTGGAACCCACTCAGGTCTGCCTTGGATTCCAGTCTTGCGGCTCGGCAGGCACAATAGGCCCCACTGATCCCGGCTATAATCAAAATCCCCATTCGGAGCAGGTCTGCAAAGTGGAGAACTATGCCATGTTTACGGAGAAGTTCGAACAAATGTTAATAACGGAAGGAAATTCCGAGAGCTCTGGAAATACCACGGATATAAGCCTGCCTTTTGCCATGTTGCTACTGCCACCGGAGTGCTACCAACATGAACAGCAACAGGATTCTCTTTACTATTTCCCGGAAACTGCCGATAACTTCCTCTTCAAAGCCCGAGGCAGTTTCCTTACCCTTCATGCCGTCCTCAGTGAGTTACACACCCAACCACTCAGTTCCCGACTCTTGGTGGATCAGGTCCAATACCATGTGAATTACCGAAGGCTTAATGGATTCCTGGTGCTGTTCGCCTATGCTGGCGGACTTTGTAGTGCGGCGGAATGCAGTCTGCGATCGGATGAGCTCATAGGATACATACGCTTCTCGTTGCCTGGCTTGGTTTTGGAGAGTTTTAGTCAGGAGGGAGGACCGGAAAACTGTTCGAATCTGAAGCTGTTCCTGCGGCATTTCTGTGAAATTCAAAGGACCCGCCTTCTTGCCAGATGTCGTGGTCATATCCGATTCGAGGAGCTCCTTGGTCAATCCCGCAGCTTGCCATTGCCCAAAGAAGCCCAGCTTCGAATCTTTGACGCCCTCAGCGAAATGGAGGCCATGGACTACCGCAACTGGAATGATGAGCCGCTGACCACTCATCGCGAGTTTTTCATCTACGGAAGTGCTTTGTACTATGATGGATTCCTAGTGGCTAGCCTGCTTCCACCGGAAGTGAGGGTCAGTGTTGAAGGTTTCCTGCGTTGCCGTGGAATCTTCGAGCTTCTTGGTGCTGCTCCGGGGATCAGAGTTCGTGAGATGTATGTTTGGGAGGAAATCGTGCTACCCAGTGCCACGGGTCGCTACTTTCTCACAATTTGCACGAGGAACCACCTGAGTCTGGCAGTGATCCTAAAGATCTTCGATGCTCCGGACATGGCTCCAGATGCGGTGGTAGGACCTTCATTGTTTTACATCGAAGAAATTCAGGAGACACTAGATCACCTAGTACAGTGTGGTATTGAATCCCTGGCCATGTTTTGGTCCGTATCCAACAAGAGACCCGAGGTGCTGGAGGCCACCGCCGGGGATAGCAGGGATCAAGAGAAGGAGCCCAACAACCGGCTTGAGTCCTTCCTTAAGCAGAAACTAACCGTTCTGAGTCCTTCGGTGGAGGAAGAGGCGCAACTGTGTTCCTCGCTGGGTGGATCCTCCATACACAGCCTGACTCCCAGCGAAGATGATTCCTCCCGCAGGCGATTGACCCCTATCCATGGCACTGGCGACGATTCAGATAGCGGTTCCGATTGGGAAAACTTTGCCGTTCAACATCCACTTCACTATGGATTAAATCTCGGGGCCGAGAGCCACAATCAGAGCCAGATGACAGAATCCATGTGGAAGGAAATCAACAATGTAGTGCCTGTCAAAATTTCCGCCGGCTGGAAGAATTCTGTGCTCCACTACGTCTACATTGACGTAGCTAATGGATCTTTGTTTGCTCCATTTACCGATAGTTCGGAGAGTTTCTCGTTTCTTTCCGAGATCCGACAAGCGTGTCACATAATCCACGCCGTGTTGGAGAAATCAAAGCACTACCGAAGGCATCTTACGGAGTCCTCAAGAGCACAGACAAGTTCCAACGGGCACAGTAGCCAGGCTGTGTCCCTGGTCAAAGAGCACGGCATGACCCTGGAGGCATGCTCGCAGTCAAAAGCCGAGGGCCAAACCGCATCTTCGAAGAGCAGTCGCTTTGTGGTGGTCGGTCGTCTGTTTCAGTCGCCAGCCAAGGAAGTCTATGTGTGTCATCGCTCCGACGTGCCCCAAAACATAGTGGAGATGGCCTTTCGATTGTCCTTCTTCTCCATGGGATAGGAAATTAATTGTTTTATAGGTTTACAAAAATGAAGTTATTTTTCTTATTTAAAATTTAGAATGATGATACATTAGATTATCCTTGGAAAAGCCCCTAGACTTTTATATGTTTCTTCTTGCCCGATACATATATTTAATTAACTTTCCTGATTTTTAAAGAAAAACAAAAAATACAGAAAGAACTAATACATTAAGTATTTAAAAAAATATTCAAACAAAAAATCGCAAATTAAAAAATGCAAGCTTTGCAAAAACTCTCACAAGTTGGGAAAATGTATATTTCTGTTAAATTGCAGAGAATAAATTGGTATTTAACATGAACGCAAACATTGTGCGAATATGTTTCATTCATTCATAGTTCAGACTAGAGAAGCCATCAAAGATGGTCACTATTTTTAGAGTTCTGTGGGAGGGTCCCATTCTATAAGTAGTTCCACGCACCAGAAGACAAGAGACATGCCGAGCAATAAATCCACGTGAACAAGCGGCTCAAGGTGGTGCTCCCCAAACACTCTGTCTATGCCAATTTCTCAAAATAAGATATTGCCATCGACAGTTCCGTTTGGGTGTTCCAATAAAAAAGATATCTTATCTGAACGCTGCTAAAAGATCTTAAAATCTTGAAATGTATAAAAGCTCACTTAGATGGATTATCTGCTTTGTTTTTCTCTCCATGGTGATGGCATTGGAGGAGGAAACCGACAAAGGACTGTTAAACATCACCAGCAATCTGTCAGATACTGAAACGGCTCCGAAATTACCCAGTGAAGTGCAAAAAGCTGTCTGCACTGTGACTGCGGGGGAGGTGAAAGCATCTGCCGAGGCTGTCACCACAAAAACACTGAAAGGAGTGTGTGGATCAGGTTGGTTGAATTATTTCTTACCTTTAATGGCTTAATCCTTATTATATTTGTTATACAGATGAAATGAATATGGCCTTCCGGAATCTGGAGAGCAGGCTTTTCGAAGAGCTCCGCGTTATGAAGCTGATTTTGGTGCATTTAGCAAAGTCAAGTGGTGTGAAAGTCAACACAGCCATTCCAACACCTTTACCAACTCCACCTCCACCCCCATCTATCAAATCAGTAAATCCATCTCCTTTGCCATTCTTCAAGCCAATAGAAACACCCAAAAAGATATCCAATTTAACTAATTTTAAGCCAGAGGAAAATGAAGTTGCTTCTGACTTTGGAGCTAAGAAGACACCCACTCTTAAGGACCTGGAGGCAAACGGTAACTCAGATTTGGTAACTCGGGATAACGAAGTTGATAAGTTTAATAACACCGTACTGGCCGATCAGGATGTAAAGTTATTCACTTATTACTGGAAGTTGGAAAACGTTACGGAACTTATTCAAGCTCCTCAGCTGGCCACAGTCAGTAGCCCAATATTTAGCTATAAAGGTAAGTAATTAATTCTAAAAAAACACATCCGATATTTAATGCATCCTTCCAATTTCAATTATCACACTTTTAGGCAAATCACTGCAACTGAAATGCACCTTCCATCACATGAATCGCGATTTGCTTAACCTGCAACTAGGATACGGAATTTTTAATCCGCAATCAAAACCCGGCCAAAGCAACAACATCTTGTTAGAAATGGATGGAATCTTTCAAAATACCAAATGGACCGAAGATGTGCCTCTAAAACATAAAATATCTATACTGGATCAGAATCAAAGCCATCGAAGGTCGCTGGATCTCAGCTCGCAGGCACTGAACAAGCTGGACATGGGCTTTTCCATCCCGAACAGCGTGCTTTTAGGTAGTTCTTATATCAAGCAGAACGCTTTGTTGATTCAGATTCTTTTATATTTGTGAACGACGGAACCACGGTTGTTTTCGATTGGGCAATTAAAACAAACAGAGACCAAAACCATGTGCTATTTAAAAAAGATTTCCATATCCTGAATCCACTTTACAGCTTGCTGCGTGCTCCCTTCGCCTTGATGTCGAGGAATGGCAATGCGATAGGATAAAGCTCCTTGCATGACTTGAATGTCACAATATCGCTGATTGGTTTGTGTCGGTCCATGTTCGTGATTTCCACAGGCTCTGCTTCGGTCGTGGCATTCCCGTCTGTTTGCTGGGACACAATATGTACGGACAGAACGCGACGTTCATCGCCATCCTTTGCGATAAATTTCTGCGAATGGTAAGAGGTTTTCAGACTGAAGAGTTTTTAGATAAGCTATATCTTCGCACCTTAAAGTATTCAACGAAATCAGCTTTGCTTATTTTTCGGAGTATTGCGACTTCAGCCTCTTCCCTTTCAAAGTGATACGTTTGCATCGCTATCTCGCCGTAGAACTGGCTGAATTGCTGGAATATGGTCTTAGGCTTTTCCAGCTTCTTCACAGCCAAAGCCTCCTTGTGGCGCTCGAACTCATCCAAGGGCATATCCTCAATTACTTGCTAAAAATATATTAAATTAGTTAAAGTATTGAGGATAGAGGATGGGGTTGTTTTACCAGATAAGTTTGCAGGAAGTTCTCAATACGATCCTCAACAAAAGACGGATGCTTCGCTGACTGCACGATTATGCGAATGCCATTGGCTCCATTGACTTTACGCACTCCACTAAACACGATGTAGCCCAGCTGCTCCTTTGTGCGCAGGCAATCGTAGCAGGGTTCGGAAAGCACCTGAGACACCAGATTTACCATTATGTTTGTGTGATCCGTTTGTGCGCCACATTGCAGATAGAGCTGTGTGCAGGAGCTTTTATGGAACTCATTCTCTTTCTCAAACAAGTAGCTGTCGCCTTAAAAGAAATATGGATAATTAATAATGGGGACCACTAAAAGACATGTTTTTAGTTTACGTACCAGCAAGCAGCTTATACTCCCGCTTTTTTAACATTTGCCGTGCCAAAATGGGAAGCTTTGCTGCATTTGTAGCCTCCAATCGATTGTTTACTCGTCCTGCGATATCCGTAGCCTGCTGCTTGGTAACGTTTCCAAAAATAAAGCACTCGGTATGCAGACGCTGGAAGAACTCCTTAGCAAAATTCAATACTCTATCGTAGGTAACGACTTCAAAAAAAACTTATCAGTAAACATTTATCAAAGATAACTTAACCTGTTCGCTTACGTTCCATAGCGTCCAAGAGCTCCACATTCGCCCAGGCATTTTCGGTTAACAACAGAGCTAAATAGTATATGGAATGCTGATAGGGTTGCTCAGCCTTAAAGTTTTTCAGAGAACGTACGTATTCCTCTTTGAGGATGTCGAAACGCTTCTCGTCGATAGAGAAATCAAAAAGGTGATCTAAAAGCTTTTCCAGCAGCACAACCTGCTTGTCACTGAAACCTCGAATAGTAAACTGCAAATGACGGGATTTTAACATTTCAATAGCTAAAAAAATAGTAGTGAAAACTTACGTCAATCCCGCAAGTCTTTCCCATGACGCTCAGTTTCAAACTGGCTAGTTCAGCATCATACAAGTATTCGTTGAGTTGATCCTTTAGCAGCATCACCATCATATGATTCAGGTTACAGTTCAGGGGATCCAGATAAGCAATGGGATTGGACATGTCGAACGTCATGCAAGCTTTCGGTTTATTGAATTGATTGTCCTGCTTGTGCCATACCCTCAAAATGGGCGTGTCCAAAATGATCGTGGGATGTTTAGGAGCATCGGCTGGAACCTCGGAAATTTCGAAGTTTGTAGGTATAAAACTGTTTGGCAGTGCCAGTTTCAGGTTCTCGTTAAGTTCACAATTTTCCCAGCACTACAAATGGGCAAACAAGGTTATTTTTTTTAAAAAGCTGCGATTAACAAATAAACTCACTTGCACTGTGTCCTTGGTCACACGCTGAACGCCGTACTTTGTTTTATAGTAGGGCTCAGCTTGGTCGCAGTCCTGCTCAAAACTCTGGCTTACCATTACGATGCGACTCTTAGAGGGAACTAACTCGTCCAATAAACTCTTAATGAGGTCTGGACGCCATTCGTTGCTCAGATATGGAGCGATAAGTACTTCTTCCAGTGGGAATATTTGCATGGACGAAACTGCATGGGTGACTAAGTTTTCCGGCTGCTCCTTTTCCTTAAACCGAAATCTCATTTCGTTGAGTTTCACGCACTCGTCGAATATCCACTTCTTGGGACCCTCTTTGCGCAGCATTCCCAAATACTGAAACACGATCTTGACAATGTCATCTACGTGCTCCAAGCCCTCCTGTGTTAAATCGACCACAATATCAAAGAACCCAAAGCCGTTTTGTGTGTTCTGATGTCCAGCCATTAGACTGCAAATGGAAAAGCTTAATATGAATGAAACGGTTATTAAGTCTCGATGAATTTACTCATTGCACCAGCCCAATCGCCGCAATTCGGACAAAATGCTTCCCTTGCCCTCGTGACCGATGAGGTGCGTCAGATAGTTATCGGGCTATAAATAAACAAGAGGTTCAGTGGGCGAACTAGAGAGGCACCTTTTGGGAATCCTCAAACTCTTCCGTAGCCACATCGCAGTGGTACCTTAAACTTACGCCCGACTTGTAGAACTGCGTCAAATCATCTGTGGTAAAGCTTATCGTTAGCGATCGGATGTCTTTAATAGGCACTATTTTCACTTTTTGTCCATAGCGCTCCTCAGCGTAGGGATGACGCGGCCAATCCGGAACTTCGACGTTTTTGTTTTCGATTTCCGAGAATTTCTCCAAGACCATGCCCTCCAGTTCGTCCAGCGATTCTGTATAAGAGTAATTAGTAACTTGTAGAAACTATCACAAATGGACCAACCTTTTCCAATGACAGCCAGGCACATAATGTTGGCGGAGTACCACTTCTTGTGAAACTTGAGCAGCTCATCCCGCACATCTATGTTCTTGGACTTGGGTATTTCTGAGAGTGTAGTCTTGTTTCCGCTACCAAACTTGCTGTAAGCATGATCCGGCTTCGCCAGGTGCCGGTTTACCTGCTTGATGCGCCACAGGTCGCTGGGCAGGTTCTTCTCGTGCTCAGAGTTCACCTGTTATGATTTAATTTCAGTTCCATGTCAAATAAGTATTTCTAAATGAGTTTACCGCATTGATTTCCCTCTCAGTGGCGCTGGGTGTGAACAAAGGGGCTATAAAGAACTGGGCAAAGCGATCTAGGGCTCCATCTAACTTGTCCGGCGCCACGTGGAAGTGATACTTGGTCATTAGGGGATAGGTGGCTGCATTACTGCTTCCACCGCTTTGCGAGAGGTATGTGGTGTAGCCATTCTCATGAGGATACTTCTCGGTGCCCAGGAAGAGCATATGCTCGCAGAAGTGCGCCAGTCCTGGCAGGTTTGTGGGATCGGACATGTGACTGTAAGTGAGATATTTAGTAGGCAAGAATTCCAAGAGTCTTTAGAACTACTTACCCCACTTGTACGGACAAAGCTGCTGCCGAGACATCTGTTTTGGGATCACTGATAAGCAGGACCTTTAGGCCGTTTTCCAGCTGCAATCCTCGGTAGTCCCGCGTATCCTGCTGCGACTTTTCAATGTTGTTTAATCTGTGGATTCGAATGATTCGTATGATGAATTAGATGATCTACTAGATATATGTACATATGATGCAGCAATTACCTCAAAACTGGCTCCATGTTATCGGTCTTTCTCGTTGGGGATTTTTGGGAACTCTCGGCTACTGTCATCTTGGGATTTCTTAGCGTTCCAATTGTTCGTTGCGTTACTGAAATGCTGGTCCTCACCGCACTTGACCTGTGCGAAATAAGTGCGATTTAATGGAGTTCGCGGGAGGAAATGTTAATTAAGGCTGCCAACCGTCGACCCAAAACCGCTGTTAAGGCAAAAATCGATTTTCTGCACGTAAGATACATTTAGTTTGTGAAATACTAGAAACTACTGAACTCCGGCTTCACGTTGCACTCGTACGTTTAAACTGTTCGAAGTTGCTGAAGTGCGTTTTCGAGCCGGTTGTGTCTGCGTTTACTCAATTTTAATCGTTTTTAGTCAAAATTAAATTTACTCGTTTCGCAACAACTACAATAGCAAATAATCATCTGTTCATAGTGTTGTCACCGTATAGAACTGCGGAACTAGTTCACTGGGTTACCTGATCGATGAGTTTGTAGTGGTTCCCGAAGTGATAATTATTAGAAAAGCTTTGATTTTGTAAGGAACTGCATTTAAAAATAAAATTTCGTTATCTTAGACCTCTCTACTTTATTAAGACTTTAGTCACCATAGAATAATATATCACTATAAAATCTAAATTGAAGTCACCTGCAGCAACCCTGAAATGAATCGTTATAAAAATAAATATTCCGTGCTTTCCCGTTCTCCGATCATCCGGCAACGACGCCTGACCATCCACAGCAGTTGTGGCAACACTGGCGCGGAAGAATTGCGGGCTGTAACTGCATTTTATTATTTTATTTTATTGATAGTGCTACTGGCAAACAAACGGTTGACTTTCCAATCCGCCGCAGTCGGCAGCCAGTTTACGGTTATGCCAATAGTTTCCCAGTCCTAAGAGTGTGTTTGCGAATGTTTGCGAACCACAAACTGCGTCGCCATCGGTGTGTGTGGGTGCAGAAATAAATGCAAATTGTTGTAAAATGCCGTGTTTTGGTGTGCGTGTTGATAAGTGCAATACGCAAAAGTAAGAACATTGAGGCAAATACGTATAATCCGTGGGATCAGGCCTTTCCAGAGGTAAGTCCGTATCACAACGTCCATGAAGATAATTTCTGGTTTCATTCGACCAGCAATCAAATTAAGTTCTAATGAAATTGTTTACCCACCGAAGTGTTTTTTATTGGCTTAAAAGTGCAAGTGTTTTGGATGCTAAATATGTTCTTAAATTAAACGATTTTTTTTTTCATATGACTCGTTTTATTGGCCCTTAGAAATGGGCCAAGTTTACCGGAACGGAGAGTGGGAACTTCAAGATCCCCTCTCACAAAGTTCCCGTGCTCTGTTCGCGTTTGAGTGTGCGTTTGGTAACGGTGTTTGTGACCGTTTTGCAATGGCACGAGAAAATCAATAAGCTGGCAAAATTGAATTGAAAAAGGAGACTTTCCCAGACTTTGTAAAATAAAGCACAAGATTGCCGCTATGGTGGGGCATACTATGTTAATTATGCTAATATGATGTGGCATGCTCTGCGAATTCCCGCTAACCGAAGTGCCTAATACCTAATTACCTGGTCAGTTTCACACCTCGCATGATGAATTACTTAGATCCTGGCTATAAATAAATTTGATTTTTAAGTGCTAAAATGGGATTTAATTTTTCTGTTGGCAGAAATGTGTTTCAATACAATTTCAAATCTAAATGTACAAAAAACCTTTTTTTTTACATACATAAAATTAAAAAGCTGAGAGCTTTAAAACTAAAGATATCCTCTATTAAACAGGTTTCCTTAACTTCCATAAATAAAATACGGCTGATCTTTGTTAAGTACAGAGTAGTAGTTAACCTTCAAAATAAAAACTTTATGCTTAATAAAAAAATCTTACTGAAGTGCAACGATAAATTAACAGGCGGTTCATAAGAAAGCTGTAAACAAAGGAAACAAATATAATTTAGAGGGTTAATGTCCGTTGATCCATAATACTGACAGAAAAGAAAAGACACCATATGAACACAATCCTGTAGGAAATTATGAAAGTGTCTTCAATTGTATTGTTATTGTTTTGGATTCGAAAAGCTTCCGAAAATAGATTGCAGCTCGACGGAAAAGATCGGACAATGGATTCCCATGCAGCGTGGGCCACGCAGGAAGAAGTGTGCTCATTGCGGCTGGAGGATTGATGGCAGATATTTTTAGTGCAGTCTCAATTAAGTTCAATTAGAGACCAAAAGAGAGCTTATCGCTTCGTATCTGATATACTTGCTTTAGCTTCCTCCGCCACAAGTAAACCAAGGGGTCAATGAATGATACTATAGCCTGCGATAACGGGGTCCAATATATTTCTCGGTATATGATATCGACGTTCTCATTACAATATTGTGGATGGGTAAATAAATAGCCTGGAAATTGGGTTTCTATAGCACAATGGGGTTTTGTAATATGGTAAACATAAACAAATAAAAACTTTTGTAGACTGAACCATTTTTTTGTTAACGTAGATCAGTTATTGTTCCGTATATTCGTTGATACTAGATCACCTGCATTTACAAATATATATCAATTTAAAAAAAAACAGTTAATTAAGTTGATTAAAATCAAATTTGTTAACGTAAACTTCTCAATGGGGAATTAAGCACGGGATATAATCGTTTCGCCTTCACACAATATGTTCATGCAGACCATGTTTTGTGTAATAGAATAATTAGCATATCGATTATTAGATGAGAAATTAGCATCAGTGATAGACTTTACAAAAACTTAAAAGCATTAAGACAGCACTTCTACGTAGTTTAAATTTATAGCCAGAGATGAGAAAATGTTCTTTTTATTGTCTACGCATTAATTCGAAAGCATATTGGAGGTATCTGCAAATTTCTAGATTTTCTTTCTTTAAATAATTAAATAAGAAAAATATTGCGTAATTCGGAAACCTCAATAAATATACCAATATTTGACATTTTAGTTTCCACAAACTTGTGCCATTGTGAATCATCGCCGAAGTGCTAGCCCAAAATGGACAACGAGCAGCCGCATCAGGAGTTGGTTAAGTGTGTCCTAGTGGGTGACACGGCAGTGGGCAAGACGCGACTGATCTGTGCAAGAGCCTGCAACAAGCATGTCTCGCTTTCCCAGCTGCTATCCACACATGTGCCTACCGTGTGGGCCATCGACCAGTACCGCATATATAAAGATGTAAGCTATCCTACTTTATATTTAATAAAATCCCATTTACATCTTCTTATCCAAATCAAAAGGTTCTCGAGCGATCGTGGGAGGTAGTTGATGGAGTGAATGTCTCACTTCGCCTATGGGATACATTTGGTGACCACGACAAGGATCGGCGTTTCGCCTACGGCAGGTTTGTAGCCATTTCAAAGTTTTAGCCATTTTAACAACTACAATGTTCTTCTTGACCAACAGATCCGATGTGGTGTTGCTGTGCTTTTCCATTGCCAGTCCGATTTCCCTGCGCAACTGCAAGATGATGTGGTATCCGGAAATTCGCCGCTTTTGTCCGGATGTGCCCGTCATTCTAGTTGGGTGCAAGAACGACCTGCGCTATATGTACCGCGATGAGAACTATCTCTCGTATTTCGGCGAGAAGGGAACCTTTGTTCGGTATGCCTAACTAACAGGTTTCAGCCGGTTATCTTGTGGGTCATTTCATTAATTCACTTATAGTTTAGATTGAAATTATTTTTAGCTTTTTTAATGAGAACAAACTGAACTGAAAAAAGGAATTAATATGATTTCTATGATTCAAAATCTGCAAGAAATCAATTTAAGAAAATGCTCTGAGAAATTATATTTAAATTGAACGTTAAGCATGGTTTTTTCTCCTAATTTAGTACATTAATAGTGATTCCTAATATAATTTATTTTACAGGGCCGCATTGAAAAGCGATCTGGTTATGCCAGACGAGGCACGAGCCGTGGCCAAGGAGCTAGGGGTGGCCTATTATGAGACCAGCGTCTTTACCTACTTTGGAGTGAACGAAGTCTTTGAAAATGCCATTCGATCCGCGTTGATTGCACGCCGGCAGCAGCGCTTCTGGATGACGAACCTGAAGAAGGTACAGAAACCGCTGCTGCAGGCGCCGTTCCGGCCACCGAAGCCGCCACCACCGGAGGTCACCGTCATGGTCGGTCACTATCGGCAGGACATATACAATATGTTCCTATCGCAGGCCTACACCGATCTCGTTCTGGTCGGTGCGGGTGGCACCAAGTTTGCCGTGCACAGATTCATGCTGGCCGCCGCGTCCAGTATTTTCCAGCGCCTGCTAAGCACAGAGCTGACCGACATGGGCGGACGGAGCAGTAGTGAGTCTAGCATGGTCAGCTCCACATTCGGAGAGGCAACCATAGCGGATTTTAACGACGACACTGAATCTCTGATACGGTACGAATCACGCACACAACGGTGGGTATAGGCTTTTCATCCCTTCTGATTAATCTATTAAAGTATTTAATTAAAGCAGCATGTGGGAACATTTGAAGCGCCGGTCCAGTTATCAGGCTTTACCGCTCATGGAGTCCACCAAGCGATCCAACGATCTGTACAGGGAGCTGCATCATCCGGTTCTGCAAAGCATTAGACTGGTGCACGTGGAAAATCAACGAGGAGTGAATGGACTGCAGACGATTGTCACCCTCAGCAAGCTTATATCTCCGCAAGCTCTGCATCAGTGCCTGAGATTTATTTATACCGGTACAATTGACAAAGATTGCAATAATCTGCAGGTATAGTAATGATTCGGCGACCTTAGAGTATTTTTTAATTCATTACTTTATGCCCACAGGAAATTAGAGAAGCTGCCGATCTGTTAGAACTGCCGCAACTGACTCAGCTACTTTCCAGGCCGCAAACCGTTATGGAGAACTCCAGCGACGAGCCAAATCCGCACATTTGTCTTGTAAGCAATTTACTGGATATTTATATGTATGCCGATTAGAACTCTAATAATTTACTATAGCGCATCAAAGAAAGCATGGAAAGGCATTGCATTGGTGACGGCTGTTTCAGCGATGTCACCTTTGAACTGGACGATGGTTTAATGAAGGTATATGATATTTGAGGATCATTTTATTCTAATTAACCTATATCTAATCAATTTTAGGCACATCGCGCTGTGTTAGTTGGCCGTTGTGATGTTATGCGCGCTATGTTGCTTGGCGACTTTCGTGAGGCACATTCCAATGTGGTAAGGCTTGATAACATTATGAAATCCTACAAAATTTATTTAAATCCCTTTTCTTTAAGATTGTATTCCCTGGCGTTACAATATACACATTCCATAAGCTGCTGTGCTACCTGTATACTGACCAGATTCCGCCAATCTCGGCCGTCAAGTGCCTCAATCTACTGGAGCTGGCCAACCGACTCTGCCTGCCGCGCTTGCTCAACTTGGTTGAGTGCCGCGTTATCGGTTAGTAACTAAAAAAAACATTTTTTACTATTACACAGAAAGTAATTTTGTCTCCTCAATTTTGGTTTTCGTGTTTAGAAGATCTCACTCTAATTTCCCAGAACGAAACCAATGAAACGGTGGACCACTGTCTAAAGTTGTTGGAGCCAGTAAAGGTAAAATTAGTTGAACTATTTTTTCTTAGCACAAATTCTTAACTAATAAATATTCTTTTTCCAGCTGCACAACGCACATCAGTTGGCCGAATGGTGCATGTCGTACCTATGCGTCAATTACAACCTTATTTGTAAGTTCTCACTCAAGGGCCTGAAGGCTCTGCATCAGGATAATCAGGAGTATTTGCGCGAGCATCGCTGGCCTCCAGTCTGGTATCTCAAGGACTACGACTACTATCAGCGCTGCCTGAACGAGTTGAACAAGGAACTGAAGCTGAAGAGCTCGAGGCGGGAGTCACCGAGCGATGACGAGGGTTGTCTGTGCTTCACGGGTGGTAAGTTTTTCTTCTTTTACGGTATTATCTGCTCCACATCCCAGCACACTTGACATCCCAGACCCAAAATTCTCCAATTGGAGAATTAGCTCAGGTTTTAGTTTCAGCCAGATAATCATTTTCTGTTTGCTGCTAGCATTAGAGGATAATGTTTGTATCGTGTGAACGGTTTGTATAAGTAGCCAGGTGTCTCGTTACGGTTTTCCTTTCCTTTTGATTTCCTTGCTCATTTACAACGACAACGCCATCATCATAATATTAATTTGCGAAATTTGGTCAAAGTATTCTCTTGCTGGCTGTTAGGTAAATCAAAGCGCAGTGGAGACGTGAGCGGAACTACGGAGAACAGCAACGCCGATAATCAGATCTTTAACAGTGCCGGAAACTCGATCAATCACATTGATCTGGAGGCAGACATGGACTTGAATCTCTGACACCCAGCCCTCGGGCAAGGAAGGTTCGTAAACTATCTTGTATTAAAGAATATATTATAAACACACTTACATCTTTCAGATCACTGCGCTTCATTGTGATCCTGCCGGTCCTTATCTGTTTCATCTGTACGATTTTAAGTATTTTAATACTTTTCCAAATCCACACATAACAAACCTCAAGGACAGACAACTTGACGTGGGCGGGGATAGGGATTGAGAATGGAGGGGGAGTGGCGCGTCTGCTTTTGACATTACGCAATATATAGGAGCGCAAAATTTGCCTTAGTGATTACTAACTAATAAGTCCAACGTAGCTCGACCCAGAACAAAGGAGCATACTGCAAAGTGCTTCGGATTTCTTATATTTATACGCCTATATATAATGCAAAGCATAGACGAGTATGTATGCACATGCACCTCGGCGATGCGAAGCATTTCGCTGTATTGCCTTACGATATATCGATGTACACCCATCTTGTTCTGCACGATTCCACGGAATATAGGAAGCGAAAGGACGCAGAACATGTGTATATCCTTATATTTGTACCTTTACCTAAGACATGTATGTATGTATATTTTTGAATTCCTACTTACGGAAACATTTGTCTAGCCATAGCCCTAAGCAATACTTTACGATAAGGACGCATTTTGTACAGAATGATAGAATAAAGCAATTACGAACAAATCATGTATAACCTTGTTTTAATTAAGACATATTTGATTGAACATTTACACATCATTAAATGTATAGCTAAGTGGAAAAAACAGTTCACATGCCGGATAAAAAACAAAACTCAAAACGCATTTTAAAGCACTTGGGCAGGTTTAGCAGTTCTCATACTCAATTGAGACACAGAACCATCTTCAACCTCGAGATCTTGTAACATGGCAATCATCTCCTCATCCGTTATAACGACCTCCGTCTTTTGGTTGTTATTATTGAACGGACTGAAGGTAGCTGGCGTTGATTCGCCACACAGATCACGCAATTCCTGTTCTAGCAGATCGTCTTCCTGGCTAATGCTGTCCGAAACGCTATTGGACATGACGTCCTGTACTTCCCGATGCTGATCGAGAGTGTCCCGTACGTCGGCCAGGACTTCGTCAACGTTGTCGTACTTCAAGCCAGATTCCGAGAGAACCTTCTTCAAGGTATTTGAGCCTATTTTGTAAGCGTCTAGAACAACGCCACTATTTTGAGCCTCATCCACGCTGGACAAAAGGGATTCGATGTTGTGCAGGGCAAGACTTCGACGTTCTAGTTAAAATTAAAAATACATTATGAAGTCAATTAAGTAAGTAAGTCAAATAATACCATGGTTTTTCTCCAAGAGATGCCTTTTTCGTAGATATGTTTTGGCCATTTGGCGCTTGTTCTCCTTCAATAATTGTCGAGCTTTGTTGTCGTTCACCTTAATATCTTCCTCCAGGTCTTCTAGTTGCTTTAGTAACTGAGCTTGAGTATTCTGAAGATTGTGGACAGCATGATCTTCTTGGCTTATATTGAGATCATCGCCCTCTTTTTCTATATACAAGGTAAATTATGAATAAAAGAATGCATTTTTATATTTTAAAAACTTACTTGGGATTTTTACCAAATGGATTTGCCGAAACCTTTTTTCAATCTTAAATTCTAGACCGACGATTTGTCGAACATTTAAGGCTAACAAGCAAACACATAAATCTCTTTCTGAATAAATTCGGACTTCTTGAGCTTTGCAAAGCGATTTAAACGCATCGAAATGAAGGAGTTTCCCGCTGTTTTCCGATAGAACTTTCTCTGCTATAAGGTCACAAGTACTCTGTAAAGATGTAAATTAGATTAGATTATTATATTGAAAATTTCAAAAATATTAAAATAATTTACATACGTTTAAGACATCTAGATGAATCCTTTCAATTAAAGCGGTTGCCTCCAAGTCCTCCGAAACCACGCTGTACTTAATCTTGGACCAGCCCCATGAGAGGGGACGTTTTACCAGGCTGTTGACCAGCCAGCTGCTCCATGAATTCGCCGGATCATGCTCAAATTCACTGCGGAATCGAATCTGTTTGCGGTGGTGCATCTCGGATATTACGGTCTCCAAACAGGCGGGCAGCTGGTCACCCCGCATGAACTGCAGTTGCAGATCGCGCAGACTGAAGATGGGTCTTCCGCTGAATTTCAGATACTTCACAATAATATCCATCCAGAATTTCATTTTTGCGTCGTAGTCCTCGGTGTCCAGATCTCTTGATCGGAACATGGCGAACTGCAGCTTCATCTTGGCATTATCATTCCAGCTCTCGGGAAAGCGAAACTGTCCCGTTCCATTTGTCTTATCCCCGCTTGAAAGGCTCATCTTTAAGGCCCCAAAATACCGTCGCTCTGATTATAAAAATTGCGCGTCGTTTCTTATGTTTATGTTTGGTAATATCTGCTTATATCGATAGTCAGCTGTTACTTAGTGCTGCACAATGATTAAATGTTTTCAAAGATCTGCAACGAAATTTTAAAAAATTCGGGAATAGAAGATTATTTACATATTACTATATAACATTTTAAAAGAACAGAATAATAAAATTTCAAATGCTTCATAATTATATAAAAGTTTTCTTAAAGTTAGTTTGTTATGATTTGAAATATAAATATAAATTAGTTTCTGCAATAATACAGTGAGAAAAGATGTCCACTTTGGAAACCTGTCACTTAATTAAAACTATAATACCATCTGAAATGGAATAATTTCATTTTATAAAATAAATGAATATAAAGTACATTTATAAAATAAATATACCTACGAAATAATTGAATACATAACGTTTATTAATCTACCATTTTCCAGCACTGTCCGATAACTTAGATATCGATTCACGTTTTACCCCCATTCGGAAACAGCTGTTCTAATTCAGGCTACTAGATTAAAAACTTCTGACAAAAATTTTGTTTTGAAGTTTTTGTTGAGTTTTCGTGGAATTTGAAACGGCGTATCTTTGCATTGGAAATTAGAACAATTCGGGAGGACTTCGGAAATGCATAGATCACGAAGCTAACTTGACCGAGCAAGGATTCCCGCAGCATCGATGAGAGCAGCACATCCCAGGCCCTGAGTCACGTTCTTGCTTCTTTCGCCACGGTCCATTGGCAGTTCGACCAGCCCGCTTTCCCCGCTAAGATCTCTTCGTCTACTCTGGAAACATCTTGATTGCCAGTACTGCCCGGGCAATCTTGACGTGCGTGCGACTCTACAGTTACTCCATTGTTATAAGGTGCACTGACTCCGTCCAATTGAGTCTTGCAAATCATCATGATGGACATGGACGACGACCAGATTAACCTGCGCAATCAGTTGGCGAGGGGTAAGTCTTGTTTTTGCAAGAATCTAGAAAGTTTCATCTTCATCTAGAAAAGTGCAATAAATATTAGTACTCTTGAAGATTCAATTTATCGGTGGTTATTTGTTTTTCCAAAAAATGTTAGTTACTGCCGTTTTTTTTTTTTTTTATATTTGCAAATTTAATAAGATCAGATGATAGCATACAAATGTATCTAAATAAGATCCAAAAAAGTCATATAATAAAAGAAACATTTACATAACTGTACATAATAAGATAGGAAAATAAAATATCTAACAATAAACCTCTTAACTTTTATAAGATAAGTGAGAGTCTTCAAGATAAACACTGTTTACAAAGTAATCACATGATTTATCGCCTTGAAGCTTCAGTGATGATTTTTTGGCGGGATGTTTAATATTGATAAAAAACGGTTTCATTCGTTTATTCTTTTTTGAGTTTTTTTATATTTCTGCTGATTCCTAAAAAAATACGAATATAGTACAATATTCATTCAAGTTATGTTCGTTGCAAGTCTTGCACTTTGTTTAATTCTTTAGTTTAGCCAGTAATAAGAACGGAATTTTAAAGCAATGGAAAAATTGCCGGTTCAGCAGACACATGCAAAAATCTTAAAAAGTAAGAGTTGCAGGCGGGCTCAGCAATTTCTTAAAAAATTAAAAAAAAAAAAAAATATTGCAACAATTACGTTAAGTACTTAATTCATTGATAAACGATGTTTTTCTAAATAAGAGCAAAATAGAATATAGTTGTAGTTTTTAGATCCGCCACAGATTGGCGTACTTAATCATGACTGTGATAAATTTACACAAAATCATTATAACGATTTTATGCTTTGTAGGTACACAAGTAAATATAATAGATAAGATTAGGTTGTAAATCACCAGATCATTTAGCCAATTAAGTTATAATCGAAATCAGTGTCTGCATATGGAGAATGATTCTTATTTTTCCGCTCAAACATACATACATATGTATAAATTATTTGAGATGGTCTTACCATCTCAGCTCTCTCAGCCTAAAGCTTTTTTCGGAGGTTTCTCTGTTTGGAATTTGAACTACCATTTGTGGACGTTATCAGGGCTCTTCAGACTCTTATCACGCCTTCTGTGCCTGCAGAGAGAGTGTAGTGCCACAGGTCCGTACATGAATGGCCAGATGATTGACTATGCATTGGCTAGGAATTTTACCAAGTGGCTACCCGGTGGCTAGTCTAGTCGCCGAGGTAAATGCAAAAGCGGACGGACGTAATGCCGATCCACAGACGTCGTAAGGTTCATATTGGGTCGACGCTGCTCTGGCTGTGTTTTAAATGTGTTTTCGTAATGATTAAGTTCGGTTCGGCTCGCCGATGTCCGCCGCTCATTAATACGGCTATATGAGTGCCCAACCATATGTACACATGGCGTTTCAGTTCGTCGTCTGGAGCTTATACATATGCGAAAGCCGCAGCGCAGCCGCTGCCGCCGCTTCGGGCACTAAAATTTCATTCAAACGCGTTTCACGTCTGTTTTCGAACGGTCAACACAACGGATGGGATCGGATCGCGCGATCACCAGTTGTCGCCACCGCCATAACACTCACACTCACTACCAGCGATTTAGAAACCCATGAACTAAGCAAACACACATCTTCCGTGGCTGACCAATGGTCCATAAACCCCCTTACCGCCTGTGATAAAGTGCCCGTCTCTGAACTTGTAATCTAGTGTGTGTCAGCAAAAAAAAAGCAAACAAAATGAAAGTCCCCACGCGCAGCTCAAAATATTCATTCAATTTGAAAATATTCAAATTGCATAACGATAAGAAACCAACTAGCCCCAGTCCACCAACCTCACCTGTGATCTCAGCGAAAAGAAACTCATGGCGCGCTTCGTGGCGATCTGCATTGGGCTCCAAGAGCAAGTCCATCGCAACGCCCACAGACGACGGGGATACCATCGATTTGGAGGCGGAACCAGAGTTTTTCGAGCGTACCAGGTACCACAGCTCTTGCTCCTCCTGCTCGGATCAACTGTTTCCCGCCATCCAGATTCCCCAAGGCGATGAGCTTATGTGTAAGTTGGTGAGACGTTTTAACAAGTTTTGGAAGTATTCAGTTCAGCAATATAACCATTTTCAACTTTCAAATCAGACATTTTTTTGACAGATTTTAATATACGAGTATTAATTTATTTAGTTTACAATTCCGTTTTTAATTTGCCTGTTAAGAGAAGTTAGCCTTATATGTATATACAAAATAAAAACCAAAGATAGAGATAAATTCCTGAATTTCTAGTAGTTGATAAATGCAATATGACAAGATCAATAGAATCAAGTAGCATAGTCAAGGGTAACCTAAAATTAGATAAGTACTAAGTGCAATAATTCGATAAGAACTTCCCTTGAAGCGAAATTATCTCTGGTGCTATCATCTATTGAACCACCAAATAGTTATATTATTAGAATTTGCCCTTCCTCTAAGCAAACGAATAAACAAATACTAACGTTGATTTTCTCAGAATATAAAGTATGCACATAAAGATAAAAATCACCGGTCTCTTGAATTCATATAGTTTTAAGTAAAGATTAAACATCTTTTAGTGTGTGCATAAATAGAGTACAAGCTAAATGACTGATTAGATAAACATGCCAGGGGAGTTCTCCAATTGCTAATCGACATGTGAAGATCGGGTGAATTGGGCGGAAATATAAAAATACAGGTGTAGTGTAATGGGTGGAGCCCACTAAATGGTCAATTCCCTGGTCAAATCGGCAATACCAGACCACGATAAGCAGCAGGCCCGGAGGGCAGATAAGGAAGGTGTGTTTACCTGCCTGTGGCGCACATGCGTTCATTTCGATTCGATTCCCCATTTCGCCAGCGTTTCAGCTGTTTACGGCTAATATATTATCCGGCAGTCAGTCAGTCAGTTGGAGCCATCGACGTGTCGCGCTTGGTCGTAGTCGTGGTTGTGGTTGTGGCGTCCGAGTGAAATGTTTCCGGTTTAGGCAATCTACATAGCATACAACCGCACTGTGCTCGTCGTAATGAACCAAAAGTTGTACACACTGGCACATCCACATCCATACCTAAGCGAATCGAAACGAAAGCTCCGTGGCCGGAATATACGTACACCTAAATAATACGCATTGCCGGGGTCTCTGGGTTGGGCAAAGTCAAATAAAAAAGTAAAACGCGTTTACCAGTGATTACACGACAAGTGTTATGTGCAGCGGATTCTATACTCGAACGGAATAAACCAGCGCCGCAGCTCCAAGTGTTACATCATGCCGGAGGCGCTACATTTTACATCGATCTTTGATCTCATCATCAAGAGCGGTGCGTGCACTTTCAAAGTTCAGTTTGGCTTAGAAAAACCCACCAAGGGTTGACCTTTAGTGGAAGGTTTATTAAACAACAAAGTCAACGGGTATATAAATAATAATGATGGATTGATTGCCTACCAATTCAATATAATGATAGCTTGATCCAAGTTAATATCTTGCAAATATGTTAGTACTACTATAGTGTGTACTATTAGATTCCAGTTCTTGTTCTAAAAAGTATTTCAACTCTATGTTTATGGTACATAGTAACCTAGTGACTTTTAGCCGATATCTACTGTATACGATAAACAGATAATGTGAAGTACACGCGATACAACAACCTTTAGCATACCAGTATTTGTGACATAGTTTGGCACCGATTTGATCTTGACACCATGAACATGAACCGCTTTCGAACATTTAGCAGCTCTGGCGTTCGATTTCTTTTTGCTCTTGTAATGTTTTGAAACTTGTTGCTTTGCCAATGAATCCGTGTCAAAAAACTGCACCAAACATGTTTGTCGTAGTTGGTTTCAGACAGGTTTGATATTACAAATGAAACAGATTTATGATAGAGTGTTGCAATACTATAAATATACCCAACCCTGGTTGATAAACTCCAGGAACTAAAACAAAATTTGACAGTTAAATATTAAGTTCGAAATTTTGAAATGCATTATTTGTAAACTGCGAATATCCATGGAGTTTGTATAGCCGCCCAAAGTTTTGTTTAGCCTGAAATGTGCCTAAAGAAGCGTTTCTGTTATGGCTTTATAGATACAGGTTGGTTGAGTATATCCAAGAAGTAAAGGGAATCTTTGGACCTATATATAATATATAGTATTATTATAAAAATGAATAAATAACTAATGACCAACATTTCACCATTCTAGCAATGCCATGGTTTGGAATGGACATTGGCGGAACCCTAACAAAGTTGGTCTACTTCGAGCCCAAGGACATAACGCCGGATGAGCAGGATCGCGAGGCTGGCATTTTGCGGAATATTCGACGATACTTAACCAAAAACTCGGCGTACGGCAAAACCGGACATCGAGATACGCACCTACAGGTGAGGGGAACCAACTATTGAAATGTATATTCGCCGCTAAGGAATGTGGATGTGCGATTTTGTAACAAAAGCGCTATGACGCGGGCCATTAGCATCGGTATTATCATCTACAATATTATCAATCCCAGGGCCCCGAGTCGCGATATTTGCTTGTCCAGTCAACAAGTCATCTTGTGCGGGTCGGATCGGGTCGTCTGGTGATTTAATACGGGTACGGGTGCCGGGGTGTTCGAGTGTGAGTGCCTCTGCTGTGACCTTCACTCTGGCACACACGCCTACACAGAAAATAAATTCATACTAGTTAATTGATTCATTAATAAAGCTAATCTCAAAGAGAGAGAGAGTTTGATAAGAAATTTAGAAAACAGTTTTTAAGTCTTTAAGAAAGTGTTGATTTTTTATTGATAGTCTGTTTTTGTTTACCGTGTACCACACGCTAATCTCTCACAAAAATATTCCTTTGTTTACCCTTAAAGCCAAGTGATTCACTTTTACGTTTATTTGTTTGCTTTGTTTTAATATCAGTTAACGTGTAAATCGTAGTAAATACAATCTTCAAAGCGGATGCTGGGAAATAGGTCACTCGTTGGTTTTATAATTAAAACCAACAATAACTTAATGGAATCGTATTCTTCTTATTTGTTTGATTAGTTTTTTATTTTATTTAAAATTCCCCAAAACTAACACAAGAGTTTTTGTTAGTTTATATATTTCGTTGATTTTGAGTTTCCATCGCCTAAAATTTGTATTTATTTATTTAAGTTTAAAGTCTAATTTAAAGTTAGGGGTAAATGCCCTACCCAAAAATAGTATGAATATTTCATAGTCTGAGGCATCCAATTTCGGACTTGTCTGAAGAACTATGTCAATTTACAAATGCTAACTTTTGCTTGGTAGTTTATTTAATTTGTTAATTTTGTACAAATTACCCTTGTACTTTGGACACCTTAAATTAAGCGCATATATATATTCGATTTATACTGTAGGAACAGTTTGGAAAGCTTACGCGATGTGAACGTTGACTTTCGTACTTTGCATTTTCATTTTGTAATGGGTTCTGAAGTCAAATTTTTATACTTATGAAGTACATTTCACTCTTACGACCGCGAAATTTATTCAAAGTTATAGTATATATACCTTAATGTAACTAAGTCCTTTAACTGATTTCTCATACTTATTCTCTTTAGATGGACAATGTCGAGATACGTAAGAGACGTGGCTCCTTGCATTTCATTCGCTTCCAGACCACGGACATGGGCAACTTTCTGTCGCTGGCCAAACAGAAGGGCATGGCCGAGTTGGTGACCACGGTTTGTGCAACCGGCGGCGGAGCCTTCAAGTTCGAGCAGGATTTCCGTGATCAAGTCAACATGAAGCTGGCCAAATTCGATGAACTGGACACGCTTATTAAGGGCATCCTTTTCGCCGACCTGCACAATCGCACGGAGTGCTATTACTATGAAAACGCACGTGACATTCTGTAAGTGGAGTAAGTGCTGGCTACGAGAAGTTTCTAACTATTTTAACTTAATAAAAATTTTACAGAAAAAGCGAGAAACGACAATTTAACTTCTCCCAACCGTTCCCGTTTATTCTGGTTAATGTCGGATCTGGAGTCTCCATCCTGGCGGTCTACGGTCCAGACAACTACAAGCGCATTTCAGGCACAAGGTAACTCAGTCCTGCGTTGTTATTATTCGCTTCTAATTCCGTTTTTTTTTTTTGCTTAGCTTGGGCGGCGGTACATTCCTCGGACTGTGTTGCCTACTCACCGGTTGCACATCCTTTGAAGAGGCTATCCAACTGGCCACCAAGGGCGACAATAGGAAGGTGGACAAATTAGTTAAGGATATTTATGGCGGTGATTATAACCGCTTTGGTCTGCCCGGTGATTTGGTGGCGTCAAGGTAGCTTAACCGAAAATGAAAACATAAGCAACCAGTTATGAATATGTTTCCTACTTCCAGCTTTGGCCAGATGCATCTGAATGACAAACGTGTTTCAGTATCACGTGAGGATTTGGCCAACGCCACACTGGTCACCATTACAAACAATATTGGCTCTATAGCAAGGATGTGCGCACTGAATGAGAAGATCGATAGGGTAAGATTGCAAATTTAATGAAGAAACTGTTAGTTAACTTATTCCTTCACATCAGGTCGTCTTTGTGGGAAACTTTTTGCGAGTAAACCCTATTTCCATGAAGTTACTGGCGTACGCAATGGAGTTCTGGTCCAACGGCACAATGAAGGGTCTATTCTTGGAGCATGAAGGATACTTCGGTGCCCTGGGTTGTTTGCTTCAATTCAACGGTGAGCTGGCAGCCGCCCTCAACGACGGAGTGGATCATCCAACTCACACATCTACGGAAGCAAGCGAGGTCGGTGGGTGTGTCGACGCAACGACAGTTAGCTCAGCAGATGAGCCACCAGAGTATGCGCCAACAAGCAAACACTCCACTAGGTAGTCGCTGTAACCACATGTTCCTCCTGAGGGCACCCGAAGTGGGCCATCCCATTGTAGTACATGTACAGTAGACCTAAGATCTAAAAGGCAATGGCAATGACTTTGATCCTTCGCAGTTTATCTCGGTATTTATCGTAATTCTTTATCGGCTTTAGTTGTTACTTGACGCACAAATTGTAAATGCATGAAATTACTGAATGGATAAAGTGCCTGCTAGCAAGCAACGAATTTTGGCTCCATCAATGCCGACCCACAATTTATATCTTAATTTTCACCCGCGTAACATTGTTCTATATATGTTACTATCATGCAATCTTTGTCAACTTTCGGTAGTTTTTAGTTTCTTTTCTACAGTGATAGAAGTTAGCTCTCTAAAAAGTATTACAAATACTTGACAAAAGGCAACGCAATCGAAAGTCTTGCGCGCAACAATTAGTTCAAGAGCCCATGTCCCTCGACAATATTCATGCATACCTATAAGTTTTTATCTTAACGTTTGTGTACATGATTTAAGTGGATGTTTTAAAGTTTTCTTTTTAGAGTATAAGTTTGTGGTCATGTTATGATAGGATCCAATTTGTCGGCAGGTCAATAAAACTTGTTTTAAAAACACTGTTGGAATACTTCTTTCAGGAGTCGTTAAAATCTTTTCTTAAATCGGTTCTATCTTAATAGATGGGAATCTCTGATTTAATTTATAGTGTTATGTTTTGCAAACTATTTTTTCTTTAAAACTATTGTTTAATTTGGTTATACCCTAAACTAAATGATTTATATAATAGATACATTGATAATAGTATTATAACTAAGGCTGTTGTAATAAAACTAACACAGCTATAACGTTCAGCTTTCGGGTAAATATTTCAAATATTGGTCAAAGGCAATAATGATCTTTGGACAATTGACTAATATTTCCTTTTACAATATTTATAATTATGCCTTCGTTATGGCATTGATGCTGCTATAATCCCTTCGAATTCCACAGCTTGCTTTGAAGTCAAACACACGCAGGTTGTGATCGGTAGCCACGAACATATATCGGCTATCACAGGCGAGGCTATATACTGGCGAAAGGCCATTGTGCTGTCGGGTCCTTCCAGGGAAGTATAATTGTACGTATTTTTTCATTCTTATATCGTAAAGGTTGACCCGGGCATGTCTGTTGGTGCCGACCAGCACCCCATACAGACCATCATACTCCAGGGAGTAAAAGGAAGAGTCAAACGGATCCTCCCAGATTGACACATCTCGATCTACTCGTCGGTCAAACATCCTAAATGTTGTATCGAAATTGGCTGTGAAAACAACATGATCGTCTTTCAACTTTAGGTCGTATATTGACATTGTTTTGGAGTTGAATTCCAATTCCTCTCCACTGTTAAAAATAAATGGTAAGACGGTATTTGATAAAAATAAATTTTTAATAGTTACCTTTCAACATTAATGGCCCTCAGAGCCCGACGTTCAGCGTCATCGTAGAGACCGCCATATAGCCACTGACCATCTGAACTCAGTTCTAAAGACCTAAAGGCATGTGGCAGATTTATCACCATATCGAAGTGTGTCAATCCAAACTCCTGGGACCGCTGCCACAGTTTACAACAGTGATCGGTACTGGTGGCGTATAGATTCTTGACGAAGTCAACGCAGTATAGATACTCATTGGCCGGATGCATCCTTTGTTCCGTAATGCCATCCGCATCGTAGTGGAAGCAAGATCCACACACCCTCCCCGCAAATATGGTGTCTTGCTTCTTAACAAAATCGGAGATGTCGCTCAGGGTGGACGTACTGATTTCCTCCTCGAAACGACGATGCAGTGCATCGGTGTTGGAGCGCCGGTACTTCCGTAAATAGCCTGCATGGGTAATGAACAGGAAGTTCGCCTCCAGGCACAGTTTGGTTGGAAACATCTGGGCATGGTGGAAGTAGGGACGTTCGAAATATGTCCCACTAACCCAGTTCTTGGAGACCTCAATGCGTTCATAGTTCTTTAGGCGGGTTCGGTTTCTGCAAGGTTGGCAACGGGGTATTATTGTGGGGTTATTTACTTTATCACATCGCCTACCTCTGCTCGATTCTTGGACTATTCCGGTGACCACAGAGCAGCAAATCGTAGGCCAGTGGATAAAAGTAGTGGGTGTCTATAATATACTCCAGGTACTGGTCCGCCAGGCACAGGCGCAGCAGATCCGCCTCCGAGCAGTAGTCAAAAATGCACAGCAGGCAGTCGATGGTCAGATCTTTTAAGTTCACATGGGATCCATGCATCTTTCGTTAAAAAACTTGATTAATTTAGAAAGCATTCCGTCGATCTGAGCAAAACGCGATAAATGTCTATCGATTATTCCACATTCATGTGCTGATTTTCCAACACTACAGAAAGACCGTTAAATTTGACAGCAAAGATTAAAATATTTATTCCTTTGTTGTATTTTATATTTTCCTGCAATGAATTTTCATGGAACACGACCGTCTAGATTCGCGAGACAGTTCCGAATAATCTTTGTGTTCAGAAGCTGACTACAAATCTCTTAGGGTATGTGTCATTATTGCAAAGAATAACGTAATATGACCTGATATTGTGAAATTTAAAATATAGTATAGTCTTTGCAAAAAGTTGTATATATTCGAAACAATTATTAAATTATTTAATCTTTGCAGAGAGAAATTTAAATAGTATTATTTAAAGCTTTATTATTCAAGTATGACACAGTATTTGCTAAGTAAATATAAGAATAAAAGTTCTAACTTGTGCTTTTTCCTTATCTATTAACTTTTAAAAGCGTAAAGTTAATACAAATTTAAAACAGGAAGCGCGTGTTAGATAGATAAATAGACTGAAAAATGTATATTAATCATTACCGCCCCTTTTAATCCATAAGGCTCTTTATATTTTACTATCTGAGCTTTTGGGTTTCCCAATGGTTACCAATTTCCTCAGGTTGTGTCAAGGCAATAAAATACAATTCATGAAAAATGGTTAATTTATTTATTCATTTTGATTACGCTGGAGGTTAAGTTACCAAGGCTAGAATTCAGGGAGCCCCTCTGACGACTGACAACTTTAAAAGATGAGTTTTTATCTTTAAAAAAAGTAGGTTTTTTATGTATGACAGAAGGTTGATTTGAGAACTATTCGCATCGATTGATGTAAGCCGACTGAAATGCCAGAAATAAATAGACAGGAACTGCACATTTTGGGGGCAGAAGTCTAAAATATATATTATTCGTACGACCACGTACCCATACAATTGCAACAATTTAAAGTTATTTAGAACACTGTTTCCGCAATTAGGCACGAAACTGCCGAGATTTTTGCGCTAAATACCTTAACTGAGCATTTGATTGACTTGAAATAGCGCACATACTGTCTGATCTGTCTAGAAAGCATCTCGTACACATAATGCCAACAATTTATTTGCAGTTTTATAGATACTGCAAAATGCTGCATAAAGTTTTACGACTTCTGGAATGATTCAGAAAAACCAGATAAAATGGTTATTAAGAACTTTGAATAACCTGATGGGTACTTAAATAAGTAAACATAAGATAATCATATAATAGAAGACAATATTCACTTTAAGCAAGATAAGGCAGAAAGTAAAATATTGGCCAAACAAAGAAGTATAGGAAAAATCTTGAGTATAGAAAAAGCAAAGTCATAACAAAGATAAGTTTAACGGCTATTTTTGGGTCAGGGAAAGTAGCGTAACTGTCACTGTTCAGGTCATGGGTTTATGGTTGCCAACGCACTTAAAAGTTTTAGAACCTTAAAAGTGAATTTCTAACTGTGCTAGACCTTATCTAGGGTACACCTTTGTACTTTCTATTTAACATACTTTTTCTACAGTATTATGACCCGTCTTAGAAGAACGTTAAGAAGTATTTCATGATGCCAAAAAGTAATCAGGAAAAGTACAAAGAGTCGTGACTTTCAGGTTAGTGAAAAACGCTAAATTTCTGGATCGTTCGTTCCGTTCTAAAAGCCCCCTTAAAATCTTATCAAACCACACATGGCAAAGGTTTTACTCTTTCAAGTTTAATATTAAAATGATTTAAGGATATCGAAGGTAGAAATACCCATCCTTTATATGATTAATAGAATATTGTGAGCTACTATCGTTATTATAACACTTAATCAGCGATTTTTTTACGGAAAATATTAAATAAATTGTTGTTAATTTAGTAAGCTTAGATTTGATTCGGTTTTGATTGATTTAATATGGTCTTAGATTCAATAAATATGTGTTATCGAAATCTTAATTTTATATTAGCATAAAATTATCTATAACACAAACAAAAATTGTGATTTCTAGAACGGGTAATTTCCGATGGGTATTTTCCAGTCGGTTCTAGACTGAACCGAGCGTATCTAGGAAAAGTTCATGCGTGGCACTGAGCCCCAAAAATTGATAGTCGCAATCTGAAGGTGACGTAGCCGTCAGCAGTTTTCGCGTTTTGCGCAGTTCTCGTTCTCTCGTCGACAATTTCATAATCTGAACAAAGTGCTTCGAGCACAGGTAAAAATGCTTGAGCACACACACACACATAGACAGACCCCAAAAAACTGGCATACATGCGAAAGAGCCCGTCACGTCGGCACATCAGATGACAGTCGTGGGACCTCCGCATTCGCAGTTATATTAGTTTTATTGTTATTGTAGAGCAAAGTCACAAATATTTCCGTAACCAATGTCACGTTCGCCAACCTGATAACTTAAATTCACTTGGTTGCATTATCAACTTTGGAATCTACACAGCAATTAAGAATCTCACAGCTCACTGACTTAGTAATGTTTCTAATCTGTCACTCTCAGAAATCTCTCGATTTTTTTCTTTGCAAATTTTAGAGAATGCGTGAACAAACTATTTACCACCTTTATAAAGAAAATAGATTAGAATTGGAAAAACAAAACAGAATCGGGTGAGGGCTTGTTTTGATATTTTGGCAAAAATATTTATCTGATCTTAATCAAATGTTGAATGTTGTATTAGTAAACAAAATGACGCATTCAGACCAAAAATTCAATCTTACTTCCCCTGACTCATTGTTTTCATCTTTTGTTGCCGTCCAGTTCTGTGGAATTTATGTAGAACTCAACAACAGTTTATAGTTACAGTTGATAGCTACAATCTGGTGGAATGATTATACTTTCAAGATAAAAATCTGGAATGATGAAATTACACTAACCTTTACTCCCGAGTTAAATATATATATCAATCGAGATATATCACATTTTATATTTCCCAAAAAAACCCTTAAGAAAAAACACTACCTTTCGTAGTAAGAATTATTCTTGGTGAGATCAAATTTCAATGTATTATGTTTTTTTCACGATTTTTTGACTTACAAGATTTTAATAGTAGACGAAGCGTAATACAGAAGTATTAAATAATAAATAACAATTTGCACTCGTTGCATTTTTTAACATGGAAACTAATGTGTTTTAAAGCCCAAAAACGAATCAGGGCGACTGTCCTTTGATAAGATCAACAGTTTGCAAAAAAAATTAAAAAGTTAATTGTATTGTACATAGGTAGGTTTTAGGAAGAATCGGTTGCAGAGAGGAGGCTGCGAAGCGGCGCGATTCTTGAACGAATCGGGGCCGCAGCGCGATTGGAAGGCAGTGAGTTCTTGTGTGTCTAAGAGAGTGTCTAAGCGAGGCTTTAAGTCTTTGTTGGCAGTACCACCTGCAGGAAGACGACGTGGAACGCAGTCGGATTCGGCGCGACCAAGGGGGCCAGGATGTTCACAATGGCATATCATTCGATTTGTCCTATCCCGGCGACTTATCAACCGGGTTTCAGCCGATTGCAGTCAACGCGCCAGCGTATCCCAGAAAGCAACCCGTGGGTGACTTCACGAGCGCTAATCAGCCCATGTCCACATCTGTTTCAGGTTCGGGCTCCGTGGACAAACCATTGGCATTCTGGGCCATCTGGAGCGTGGTGCGAGTATAGTCCAGCGGCTCTACGCCAATGTCCTCGTATTCGTGCTTGTCGCCCAGTGAACAGAGTCCGCTTTCATCGTCATCCATCGCATCGGTGCTTTTGCCTTCGTCCTCCTCCTCCGCATCGCTCCAGTCCTCGGCCACTTCCACGTTGACGGGTAGGTACATGTGAAAGGGTCTTTGCTCCCGCAGCCACGGTGTCAGAAAGATGTAGTTGGCGGTCATGCGTTCTGTGAAATCCTTCCGTAGTAGTGACAGCAAAAGCCAGCGCACCGACTTGGACAATGTCATAGGAATCTGAACGTTGCCATGACGGATCACGGTAATGAGGTTACAATTGGCCTTCTCGTAGAACGGATACTGGCCGACCAGCATCGTGTATAGGATCACGCCCAGCGACCACATGTCCGCTGGTTTGCCCTTGTACGTTGGCTGGGGGCAAAGGAGTTCCGGAGCGGTGTACAATGGACAGCCGATTTTGTCGCTAAGAGTATCATCCTCTCCGTCGAGGATCATAGAGCCTTCCAGGGATTCATACTGCAGTTTGGTTCTGTAATGGTAAATAAGAAAATCCGAATAAGAATATGCCGAACAGGGAAATAAAGGTTTTCTTTATTACAGTTCTAACGTCGCTTTGAAATTAAGAAACGAATTTCCAAAGAAGAAGTTCTTGATATATTTCATATTGCCAATAGAAGTACCATGCTTTCTTCCCCAAGAAGACTTGAAAGTCAGACTACACCTTCAGTTGGCATTGCCATTATTCTGATCGCAACTGTACCCGTACATCAGACCCATCGAGCTCTACATCATGTGCAATCCAAGGGACTTGCATAATCCCCGATTTTGTGGGGCCATTAGCTAGCGCAATATCGAAGAGACTTGAATCGATCGGCCACGGCGTTTCAGTTTCAGTTTCGGTTGTAGTTGTCTTTGGCGTTGGCGTGTTGACAAGTTAAAAGGCGAATTGGCCGAGAGAGAGAGAGCATTGTGAGTTGATTTGACTTAAATTGGTGACGAAAGCGCAGCTTGCGACCCCCGACACCCATGAGCGAGTGCCACCGCCCCTGCACTCCCCCTCCATGTTGGGCCACTCCAATCCACACCACACTCCACTCCATTGACATTGGCCCACATTCGAATGCAAAAAGTAAAAAAGTAACGAAAACGCCTGCAAACACAGCGAATAGAGCCGAAAGAGAGTCAGCTGTGAGCAAAGTGACGTATCGCAACTTGTTGCTGCAACGGAGCTTCTGCTGGGATCCGAACACTAGTACATTAATGGCACATTCGGGGGATACGAGGGGTGCGACGATAGCTAAACGAGAGATATACAAACACACGGTCGCCGTGGTCTGGTATCCAAACATCCAAAGAGCCAAACACAAAGCAGGCCAAAAAAACCTCGAGCTGACCCTGAACGAAAACAAGCTTTGAAAACGCGCCTCTCCTCGTCACAAATTACATAGTACACTGCAAGAAAGGCATTACCTTCAACTTGATATTAACAGGTGGGAAATAAATATAGAATTGACTTATAATTTTAGAAATTTTGGTGTATCAATATTAAAAATTAAATATATTTTCTATTTGAATAATTGGTTATACTGATTATTAAATTTACTGCCATCTTTTTACAAAATATCTCCTTCATCTTTGAATTTCTCGACCCGATATAAAATATTAACCACATTATATGTATATTTTTAAGATCAAGGTAGGTTTTGTTGAATAGAAGAATATATAATGATGGATATTTTTTAAGATCAAGGTTTTATACGAATCGATAAAGATATTATAAAAATGTTGCTGTGCACGGGAAAGACAAGTGGAGATGTGAAGTGGAGAATAGTTACAGCTGATGGCCTCGATGTGGCATATAGAGAGGCTTTAAAGAGCATCTTGTTGAGATCTCTCGGTCTCTCTTTTTCTGTTTGGCACAAATTTAACGTGTGCGATAGAGGTTAAACTTAAATCAGAAACGAAATACGGAAAACCGGCGGTGGATAAGTGCTCAAACACCTTGGAAGTATTTATGTACAGGCGAGGCGAGCACACAAAATAAAAGTATGACCACAGATTTACATGCATAAATACGTATAAAATGTATATAGGAGGCACTGGCATATAAATGCGTTAAAAATACAGAAGATCAGAGTCAGGGCCATTCACCGCACTGTGACCTTAAAAATTCGGTTCGTTGTTTGGATGTGCGTGTGTTCGCCCCTTCGGTTATGGATATAGCTATAGATATGGATACACACGCCTATAACTTGTATGTACACCCTGTACTTATCTATATAGTATTTCGTTTTCGAATGGAAATGAGCGCTAATAATCGCAGCGCATTTAAGTCTCATTGAACACTTGTTGTTTATTTCTCGCCAAGGTGAGAGAGGTATACTATATATTTAGATAGAGATCTATGAGTTTCTTCCTTCCGCCGTTTTTGCACTTGGCACAGAACTGACGAAATGACGAAAAAATCAGCAGATATTGCGCTAATTGTAAGCCATACGGAATCGAACAATTGTTCACGTCATTTCGTGCTGATGTCAGTGGAAAAAAGCGACGATAATAAGAACGGGAGACAGCGCGTTTTCGATACAGTTGTTATTTATTAGCATATGCGAAAATACATACACTTCAAGTAAGACGACAAGGTGGGGTCAATATTTCATCAGCCACTGTAATCTACATGTTGCTCACTCACTCAGTAAAATCACCAAATAAAGAGAACACTGTAGTAGGTGGGCCCCCATCCATACTGCAAATGCTATGTTGAACAATTCTTGAAATGTGGCAATGCTAGCTTCCAAAATGTGTAATGAAAAAACGGGTGTGCCAACAATTTGGCCATCACTGTGGAACATTGGGCCCTTGTGTGTATGTACACAGATACAGTTGAGGGCAACGAAATAAAGTAAAGGTTTATCTAAATATTAATAAATAAATATTTTAAATTAACTGAATAATAACAATTAGTCAAACAAAATTGTTAAAATGTGTGCTATTATAAATAAGTTTTTTATATTTTATATAAAATTTCAGGTAGCTTTCAAGCTATGCTTTAATTATTAAAAATAAAATATTTTTAAGTAAAAAAAAACTTTTAAATATGAATATCCATTATCACAGGGATAAATATTTTTAACTAATTTCAGATAATATAACTTTTGTGCTTTATCTATAAGGCTTGAAACTACTATTTTTCCCTTTGCTGTGCATACAGACGTACGCCGTGCGTTCATGTGGTTTGTCAGTATAATTGTTTTTGTTGGCCTATTGGTGATTCGATTGCAACACTTGTTAAATGTTCAATGTTACCCACAACGACGGCGCCAGCAACTACAACAACAACATGGGCCAATAACAAGAGCAACAATTGTGGCACCACCAACACACGACCACAAACAAGATCTCTCGCTCATAACGAGTTTCCATCGAATTGCAAAATAAAGCGACTAGCCATATGCAATTGAGTTGGTATACGGTTGGTATATATGGTGTATATGGGTTTTTTGAAGGTGTCACCTGGACACGCAACTCACCTGGCCTCGTCGATGAAGTAGAATCGCTTCAGCTTAAGATCCCTGAGGATAATCCCATTGCGGTGGCACACCTGAACGGTCTGGCAGATCTGATGGAATATGGCCCTTGCCTCCGTCTCACACAGTCGCTTCTCGTGGCGGATGTAGGTGTGCAGATTTTCGTACACTCCCGTAACACCGCCTGTAGAATCCCTCTCCTGAGGAACGGGTGCTATCAAGATGTACGTGCGATCCTTGGACAGCGGTATTATATCATGAACGGGTCGGATCAGTGGATGACCATAGATGGTGCTTCTGCGCAGCTCCTCATCCTGCTGTTGCAGTTGGAAGTAGGCTCGTTGAACCTTATGCAGCGGTTCGTTGACAATCCTGCAGAGAAACTGCTTCCCGGTGGAAATATCCTCACAGCGCAGATTGGAGGCGGTCAGATCGACCAGGTGGCGATAGGAGGCGGGCGTCTTGGCGGCCACGGCTGCCGATATGTGACTAGGCTGGGCGCTGATCAGATAACGCTGTTGGATCAGCTTAACGGGCTGCTGATCCGTGGGTTCCGTCGCGATTCCCAAGGCCATAAGGTCACAGGAAGAGGTGGACGCTGCTGATGGCGAGGCTGGTGATGAATAGTTGACTATTTTGTTGGTTGACGCCGCTGATGACGCTGCTGTTCTGCTGTTTTGGCCGCTACTGTTATCCATGCTTGCTTGCTTGTTTACCACTTAACTTTATCACAGTTCTTGCTCTCGCTTCTTCTTCTTTGCTTATTCTTCTTGCTACTTTTTTTTATTCTTCTTTTTCTCGGCTGTACTTGGCTGTTAATTGTGTTGACATTTAGCGACGCGCCGATTAGTCTGCGATTAATTTCGATTTAAACTCTCGCTTAAACTTTAGGTTACTTGGTTAGTTTTGCCATGTGCAATGCAATGCGGGTATTCCCTGACGAAATGCGGTGATTTTAAAACAAATCAAAATCCAACTTAGGTCCGCGCACACGTCTTGCCGCTTCGCCGTTTTCAAAAAAACTGTGAACGAAAACACGCGTGGAAGAAAAACGAAGCAAAACGAGAATGAGAAACTACACTCGCGCAATCTCTCTCACTCGCTCTCGCTCTGCTGATCTCTCTCTATCTCGCTCGCTCTTGTTGCGAGGTGAGAATGCCGACGGAGGAGAGAGAGGAAGAACAAGAGCGACGTTACTTTTCAAAATGAAAATGTTTAAGAGAGAGAGAGAGAGAGCAAGTGGGAGAGACACAGCAAGAGCATCGTTATTTTTGAAAAAATTGCGTTGAACGCTGAAATTCCCATTTCCGACTATATTTGAAATACGTAGCTGTATAAACACTATCTTTACAGCAACCCTTAAAACTTCTATGATTTTACATAATAATCTGCGCACTAATAAAACGTAGCAATAAGTTAATTAGAGAGGGGGTAAATAAACCAATGGAATTTAACATTTAAATATCAATTTAATACAAGTACAGTCAACACGAACTTCGTTCTACAAGTATGTATGTAGTTAAAATAGTGCTGAGAACCCGTATAATATCCGCTATAACTCGAACATATCTTTTGCGGTTTCTAGTTTTAAATACGCGCGGTTTTCCTAGCTCCAAATCAAATGTGATTTTTTTCAAGTTTTTATGAAATACTACATATGTTCTTGAATTACCACGAATTTTTAATATGTGTTATTAAAATTTTACTCTTTGGGATAAAAAAAATGTACCACTTACGAATCCACCAAATATCTGTTTCATGCCTAAAATTTAATATTAAATTGAAATTTTAGATACTGTTTGTTTGAAATAAGTTATAAAATATAAGTAATTCTTTGACAAAATTATTTAACGTTTATCAGTATCAAAAATAAATATTTTTAAATTTGGATTTAGGCATGTCTATATGATTAAATATAATACTGTTTAAATACATAAATACTTATAACTATGTCGAAAGAAAGTGATGTATTTTTTATTAAAATTTCTCTTCCCCTTATCTTAATGCATATTATAAGTACGGTGCAATCTTACGGATCCACCAAATCGATCATCGAATTTTTTCCTGTGCGTGATCATTACTCATTTGTGTATGTACGTGTATGTCTTGCTGTTTGTCTTCGCAGTGCAGACGATTTCATGATTTTTGCAGCTGTCCCAAAACGAGGATCACTGGGCTACGCAGGAATTACGACAGCGACAGAAGGTAGTGATCAAAGATCCTCAAGGAACAGGTAAGAACCACCGAGCGGCATTATGTCGCAGGTAGATTTCTTCTATGTCAGCTGCACTATTCCACCCCTAAGCACCATATATGTGTGGATATATAGTGCATCGGTGCAGGGCTGTACATGCGATGCAGTTGCAGTTGCAGCTGGCGCAAGGTGATTTCCCACTAAAGACATCCGTCTGAAGATACACAGGCCCACAGATGAGGTCAAAATAATAGTACCGACAATCAATATGTGTTTAAATAAATTTCTTTTTTAGTTACAGATTTAATTTGAAAAGTCTTTTTGAAACTATAATTTGTATTTAAATGTTTAAAGCTCCAAAAATTTAATGCTTTTTATTTATCCGCAACTGTACATACAGCATCGTATTTTGGGCATTGCCTTTATCAATGCGTTTTCCACCGATCTTTTCGATTAAATTCTTCATATTGTAACGCTCTTTTTGAAACGCAACGTCCGTTTCAATTTCTTCTTCTTCCCACGAAGTAGCCGATAAATACGAAAACGAGAAAATCGCGAACAGAACAAACAACAGCAACAACCAACGTCTCACTCTTTCTCTGCCGTCCCTTTCCACATTTTTGCATCTGTTTCTCAAAAAAGAAGATTTAAACGAGAATTATACTGGTACCGTGGCACCAATCTAACCAAAAATGGGGTTAAATTATAAGGGTGGCGATATCACTTAGTAATTTAAAAATAAATTGTTTAACACAGAAAAAGCATTTTATATACATATTTTTGTTTGTTTTTATATGACATACTTATTTGCAGGCGTTCATTGTTTCGCTCTGGTCACTGCACTTATTATTATTATACGATTAAATAGGCATGAATATTTTGATACGAAATTATATATGCGCATATGTACATACATATGTATATTCTATAGAAATAAGCACGTACACTTGTATTCCAGTAAATTACTGTTCATTTCATCATGGTCCGCAATTATGATTAATTTTAAAGTGCACTATAGGGAAATTCAATTTCTAAGAAGTTTGAAACTAAGATTAACAATTCCGTCACTCACGATAATCAGAACTAAGTGTTTTAGATATTAAATTTTTAAAATAAAGAACGTAATAACAATTTAAATTTATTGAAATTCAAAACAAAAACTCACATTTTTTGATACTATGTATATCGTATCTCTTATTTTTAAATTTCACCATATTACAATATTAAATGAAACAGCAACCTTTGTCACACTGTGGCCTAAGCCCCACCAAGAATACGTTATATTTTAAATTTAAATTCGAATAAATGGAGACGACGTGTTCAAACCCGAGTCCGTTGAAGTTATCTTTTGAAAGCGGTTACTTTTCTACGAGACTCGTGGATTTTGCTTGGCTGAAAGTTAAGCATGCGCTTTGCTTTTGTGCAAATGAGCGAATATTTTGTTGTTGCCAAGCTGGCCAGAAATCTAGATTTCTCTCCCGACTTAAAAATCAACTGAATGCGTCATCGGCTGCGTCATCAATTCGGGATGACGACGCTTCGCAATTCCGATTCCGAATTCCCCTTCCTGATTCTCCAGTTGAAGCCCCGTCACAACGACATTCCCCAAACAAGCACACAAACTCGAACTTGTATATGTATCTTGTATCGCCAGCAAGCAGGAGTTTCATACTTTACTCACTTTAAAGTTTCAGATTCGCACGAAATTATAGAAGGCTAAGTTCTCGAAGTGAGTGAGTGGTCTTTCGATGGGCAATGCCTGATGCATGGTGATGATTTGGCATTTATAAAAAAAGTAGATTAAAATGTTGCACGTGATAAGCACGCCGATTGCACTGTCAAGGAAATTTCAAAAAATGATAATGTAATTAGCAATTTTGCAAAAAACTATATTTAGACAGGTTAACTGTACCTGGTTCAGGTAGGTTATTTAAATCGTTGTGCTGTTGGTTCTATTAATAATCGGACGACAATCGCAAAGATTCTTATATATAGAATCTGTTTTTATATTTATTCAAAATAAATATAAATAAATCATCATCTTCAACTAGGGAAGCAGAGATAAATATTTGTTGTGTATCAATACTAATAAATGTTTGTCTTTCCCCGACGTTAAGGTATATATATACATATATCTAACCTATGGAAATTCAATGCTTTCTAGTCCTAATGAATTTTAGCGGATCGGTGTAAAAACAATATGCGAACGGTAAACCGAATCGGGCATCACAGAAGATACACTCTCACTCTTTCGAGCGTGCAGTATATGATGGTATAAAACACAACAGGTTGTCGACGGTGTTTGGAGAAAGTGCTTATTGCCAACAATAATATCAGGTGCAATGACCACATACCTAACAGCCTAGGTTGATGGTTGGTTCGAGAAAATTGTATAAATTGTCATGGAAACGCGACTCTCTTTTTATGGCAAAACACACGAGGGAACTTGATCTGATTAAAACTCATTATATACCCTGGTGGGATTTTCCGACGAAAATATTTACTATGGAACTAGCAAATACCTTAAGCTTGTCCAACATTCGGCATTAGGCATTAGCTGCTAACCGTTAATAGAAACCATTAAAAACTTTCTTTTCATTACGAAGAGAAACATGACCATGTAATGAATAATGTCGTTGAACTTTAATGGTATTAGATTTATAGAGAAATATATACAAATATTATCTATTAAAGACAATTTTACTGAAGAAATATCATAGATATAATCGTATATTTAAAATTAAAATATTTATCTGATTTATTTTTATTCCCAGCCAAGTTTGTTTTATAAGAAACGATTTCGTTCCCATGGAAATTATCTTTAATGCTGTCTTTCAGATAGATATACTTCTTCAGTACATTCAGTTTGAAGGACACAACCACGGGTTCAAGTACAGCAAACACTTTCTCGGTCACACACAGCTCTGCGTAGGTGGTGAAAATTGCTGCCCTTTTTTCCGGGTCTCAATTCATTCCCAGATGCGTTTCCCAGATGCCAGCATGCTTGGGATTAGGCATTGTCCAAAATATTTGTAAGGAAGAGATACCCCGCCGAAGTAGTATTGATGTATTCTCGGCACACATGCTTGGAAAAATTATTACCAGTCACGGCGTGGGAACTGAACCAAAGATCTACCAGGATCAATGTAGAGTATTGCCATTTCTGGATGTAAGGATTTGTAATTTGCGACATATTCCTAATACGGGTAGCACCGGCATTTCCCAGGTGAAAATTGTACAACAAAAATAGTGGTCACCCTGCTATTCAAGGTAACAATCCACAGCAAAAAATTAGCTTGTCATAGAGAATGGATTTTTCAAGAAAAAATTAACCCCTTATTCTCATCTTGGACACAAAAGAAAGTGAGGTACAGGCTGCAGTACACCATTAACCCTGTCAACCCCTAAATAACAATTGTTTGAGCTATCAAAAGGATATTTTTCAATAAAATATTATCCAAAATAGTTTCATTGCGGGTATACCCTTTCTTTGAGATATGGTTTGTTATGCATATGTGCTTTTCCAGGCTTGAGAAAAACCCATTCCTAAAGGGCACAACAATTTCACAGTTTTCCACACAAAAGTGAAGGAGAATCCACATTTATGAATGGAAAATATCCTTTAATCTTATCTCCATGGGGTGGGTTTTGACCGAAATTTTTGTCAAGTTTTCACATTTTTCACGATAGATTCAAACGAACTTTGGCCCTTTTATCCAATTTTGTAATTGCGCCGTTTATTTGGCCATTGTATTTTCTCGCGACCCTGTTTCACCTGGGATAAGCCCTATCTTTTGTTCTTTTATGACACTAAACTAGCTGGAAAACCTCTTTTTTTTATATTGTCATCATTGTTACAGTTTTTTATAAAGAAAAAAAATTTTAAGAAAAAAAATATGCGCAATAAACGATGATTTAATCATGCAATCAAGGTTCCGATAAGGTTTATTTTTTTTGTAATATTTTTTGTTGGATTTTAATTGAATTGCCCCAAAAGTTTGCTACGCTCGCTGGGTGGTCAATCTTAAAGCAATCTTTTGAGATTCACGCCTTTGTTGTCCCGCTTAGCCCGCGCGTAAGTTAATCCAAAAAACAAGTTTTCTGTAGGAAGATTTCAGTCTTTCGAGTGACTGATTCAGCATCCCTTAATGAAATTCTACGCTACTACGCACTAAAAACAGCCTGCAGTCGAAAAGGACCTACAAATGGTCCTGTGCACCACCTGCTTCCTGTGCCTGCTGCTGAGATTTCGGAGATATCCTTGCAGCTGAATATATGAGAATGCGCCTACGCTTCTTATTAGGGTAGGTTCTCTGCCTGTTCGATGCCTTTGAAGGTCCTAAAAAAACGATATCAACTGTACACAAGCCGAGTTATAAAAATCCTACAAAATGAGGGTGAACTTTGTTACTATTAATCTTAAAAAGTGAATATTTTTAAGACAATTTACAGGTTTTTTGTGTTCATATCCAACTAAAACTCATACCCACAATTTGTATACATGAATTAATATATTTGCAAATATATAATATTGTATATGCTTATTTACACAGTTATAAATATATAGTTGTTTAAAGACATGTTTGTATGTACTATTGTTTAACAAATGCCTTGTGTGCATAACGTTTAATAAATTTATTTGAACGTTTGCAGAGTAAATATATTGTTTTTTTGTTCTTGTTGTTGTAATACCATTACTGCAATATTGTTTCGAATAATACACTGTAGACAGATATACCGTAATGTGGTAAAGGTACGTTGCTATAATAGATTCCAAAGTTCTCATAATATGTCTCGTTAAACGTTGGGTTTTTTTTCTAGGAATGCGTAGAATTGGAATGGGTTATTTATAGAGAGTTTATTAAGTACACCTGTAGCAGGACTTCTAACCGTATCAGTTTCAGAACGATTACAAAACAATATCCGAAACCTTCGCTTTAACTGAGAAACAATGTATTAAAATAACAGATTTCTTATTGGAAGTTCTCAAAAAATAAGCTTTAAGTGTTTGGAACTGCTAAAACTTAATTAAAATGTAAAGAAAATTAAGAAGTTTTATCTATTTACATTTAAGTTTTTGAAAGTAATAAACCGAAAACCGTAACCAAAGTATCTTTCTATGTTTTTTAACCGATTTCGATTTTAGTCCCTGATCTGTGGTTGTGTTGAAGCATTGGATACATTTTTTGGAAGAATTGACTTAGGAATATCCCGAGGTTTCGTTTTCGCTTTCCTCCACGATGGATTTCTTGTCCTCCGCCTTGCTGCGACCCGTGAATCTCTCGAAGATGGAGTGCTTGCTGATCTTTTTGCCCCCAGAAGCTGCCTTGAAGGATCCCCAGGGGACCTTTCCAGCCTCGGAAGTAGTCATCAGGATGGAGTACGATGAGCAGACCTCACCCTCTTTGCTGTTGCGAATTCCGTATAGGAAGTACACCACCATACCAATGCAAACCCAAACGAAGAAGCGCACCCAAGTCACAGCATCCAGGTGGACCATCAGCAGAATGTTACAGAAGATTCCCAATGCCGGAACAAAAGGAACCAAGGGTACTTTGAAGATCAGGCCACGGGTGTTCTGGTTGTGGACAGCTATTACAGCCACACAGGTACTAGCAGCGAAGATGATAAATCCGTAGATGATCAGGGCCCACCAGGTGCCCGTATACAGTTGCGTCCACGATACCTTCAGCTCCACACAGATGGCGAAGCTCAAAAAGATAAACAGCATTACGGCAAAGGAAACCACGGAACCAGGTTCAAAGCGTCCTAGCAAAGGTTCCAGACATCTGAATTGGGCCTTCAATCTTCCTGCTAGAACTTCCTCAATCATCTCACTTGTGGGCGAAGATGTATCCATGCTGGACTGAGATGCCAAATCCTCATCATCATCGTCGTCATCGGGACTTCCGGCCACTGCTGGAACCCTGATAGTTGTATGAATCCTCTCCATAGGTCTATATCGAAGGATGATCACACTGGCCGAGACTATGGTGTAGGCCAGTAGGGTTCCAATGGACATAAACTCCACCAGCTTGGCCAGATCAAAGACCAAAGCCAAGCAGGCACTCATCACTCCGGATACCACTAGGTTCAGTAGGGGAACCTGGGTAGTGGGATTGATCTTGCCGAAACAACTAAAAAGCAATCCATCCGAGGCCATGGCATACATGCACCGCGGCAATGCAAAAAGAGATCCCAAAAGGGTGGTGGTCATTCCGCATAGAGCTCCGATGGAGATCAGGTACTTTGCCCAAGAGAGATTTAGTTGCCCAAATGCCTCCGGCAACGAGGCAGCCGGATTGATCTCGCTAATAGGAATCATTAGGGTCAGAGCAGCACTCACCAGGATATAACCCACTGTCACCACAAACAGGGAGATCACCGTGGCTACTGGTATGGAAACCGATGGGTTCTTGGCCTCCTCTCCGGAAGTGGCTATAGAATCGAAGCCAACAAAGGCATAGAAACATGTGGCTGCTCCCGCAATTACTCCTCCAATGCCATAAGGCAGGAAACCACCTTCCGCCTCAGACCAATTCTTGCCATCCGCATACCAGAATCCAACGCTGATCACCAAAACCATTACGGCTATATTGACCAGGGTGAGGAGACTGTTAAACACCGCCGTGGCCTTGACTCCTCCGGCTAGGGCAGCTGCATAAACTATGCAAACGAGAAAGGCCAAGATATCCGGATATTGGGCCAATCCAGGCTCATGGATTCCACCTGTTAGCTCCAGAGTTGTGTTGCCAATCCAACCACCCAGCATCGAGTCCACATATCCGCTCCAAGCTCTGGCTACCGATGCTGCTCCTAACATGTGCTCTAGCAGGATGTTCCAACCGATGACGAAGGCCCAGAACTCACCCATCGAGATGTAGGTGTACACATAAGCCGATCCCGCCTTGGGAACTCGAGTTCCAAATTCTGCGTAGCATAAAGCAGCCAGCATGGATATAAATCCGGCTAGGATAAAGGATAGTATAATGCCTGGTCCAGCCATCTCCTTGGCCACAGTTCCGGTGAGAACGTAGATGCCAGCGCCAACCATATGGCCGATGCCTGGGGGTAAACGGTATAGATAAGAACTTGTTTAGGGGGATGCTGATCAAATTTCTAGATTTTCTAAAGTAATAATTTTGGTGTTAAAGATTGAAGATAAGAAGTATCATATTTTATTCTTCTGTGGTGTGTTTTTAAATCTCCAGAGATTTTTGAACCCATCTGTACTTTGACTTATCTCTCTATCTCTATATTAAAGATTTTTTCCTTTGCGTTTTCTGAAAATACTTTCGAATTTAAGAAAACTTTGGATCTTTTGCTTAACAAAGACTGTTCGGAAAGTTGAATACAATATATAGCTTTTAGAATAGTAATCAATTATTAATCGCTTGACATTTTCCTAAAAAATGCATTTGAAAATATTTAAAAGAGGAATTAAATCATCTTTAAGGTTCCCCCAACTCCAAGTTCCTATCTAGCAGATGTTTGACAAAAAAAGAAAGGAAAACTTCAAAAAAGTCCTTCAAAGACCAAACATATTGTTCCTTGACTAAGCAAGAACATAAAAAACTAGCCGGTAATCGATTGATTAATTTTTAGTACCCAATAGAGCGATGTCGAAGGTGTTGAGGCATCGGTTCAGCGGCGTCTCCATGACGTCAGTGGGCACCGACTTGGTGCGATTCATTTTGGTGCATATTCCGGACAATATGTGCCTCAGAATAGCACGCCTTGAGCTGGGCATTCTAGTGGATTTAATAGAAACCAAGTACGAGGATTTTTACGCCCTTTAGGCCACTTTTAAGGATCAGAACTTAAGGATTTGTGGCTATTTTTTGTGGAATATTTTTTGCGGCACTCGGAACACTTTCACTTGTTGTACACAAACAGCTGTGACTGTATCGATTTTTGCATCAAATTCAAAAGCTCAATGTCCGAATTGCAGAATGTTTCCACATGGAAGGCAAGCAGCTTTTATCTCTGAGCTTTTTTTGAAGTGCGATAAAAAATGTTACACTAAATTTTCTACCCAATATTAGTAAGGAATATAAATTGTTATTAGTAAAACTTTAATTTTTAGTTTAACATCAAAACAATGCTTGCATGACCTAAAGCCTTAAAGTATACCTTTCCAAAAAAGTTTTCTCAAAGATTTAATAATTTTTAAACAACAAAAATCTGTGATTTAATATTATAGCATACTTTTGAAAAAGTCACCCAAGTTCATTAAAAACTTGCTTGTGTTTGTGTGTTTTTAAAACCGGAAATTCAATAGCCGTAACCATTTTCTTTGAGAAGATCGTTTTTACGCTTGCCAATCAATCGATCGACATTTATGGAATGCTGTTAAATGTTGAGTATTATTAATCGTTTTTGCCAAGTTATCGTCTGCACTGACTCGAACAAATTAGACCGTAATTTTATTAGACAGGCATCGAGGTTTAAACATAATGCGTAGAATTAATATGCATTTTCATGCATTACACAAGGTATATGGTTTAGATTTCAAGATGTTATATGGCCTTATTTATGATGGACTTTGCCTTAACTGGGGTTATATTGCTATTCTCATTTTTAAATTGATGTATAACCAGACGTAAACGTCAAAAACCATAAATAAGTAATTATTACTTACTTGGTTGTTAAGCATCGAAATTAATTTTATTTGCCATAAAGGTGTGCCTGAATGAACTATCAAAACTTGTTAGGGAACGAGTAATGTTAACTTTTGCCTATTTCTATGTTTTAAACTATGTCCGGTATTAACTTAAACGCGTCGACTGGACCTAGGCCACGAATTTGTTTTGACATCGGAATTGTCGGCTGATTATATGCAAGAATATGTGATCGTTCGTTGATCAACGCAATAGATATTTTGTCACACCCTTGATGGGACCGAAATTACATTTTCTATTATAACCATAAGTTGGTGTTTTTATGTGCAAGCCCACAACATTTCATTATGTTTTGAAAACGCTAATCAACCGAAGTATGTTTTTGGTAATCATGAAAGAAAAATCTAGTAGTTGCTATATTGCCGAATGGAAGATACCCGTTAAGGCCAAGAAATTTATATTTTTTTAACTGATTTTTAATGATGATTAATGTCAGGGATTTACTAATCATTTCGAGGAGAAGGCCATATAATCTCCTTAATCTCATGTAGATCTCAGGATTCTAATACATATTCCTTTGCTGATTAATTTAACTAACAACTTTATACCATTAGACTCTTCGAGTACCGGGTATGATTAAGTTGCCGTCTAGGTTACGTGATGTTTGTCAAAGGCAGAAGCGACTATGGCACCTCACCTACCTATCGCGCTAAGATCGTGCATGCATATGGGTATGGACTCGGATTTAGTGTGGATAGTCAGCTTACTATGGCTAAGGGAATTACCTTGCCATCCATCTCCATCCGTATTCTTCCCATGGCGACAGCTCCGATCGGCGCTTCACCATTACTATTACCATCTCGCCATGACCGTTGCCATTTGGCTAAAATCTATCAGCATCACGAAGCGGACGCTGGGCTTCCAAAAAGTTTGAATACTAATACCTGTTAGGGATGACCAGGCGCATCGGTGCTCTTCGGCATCGGCTTTTCGGCGTCAACCTGTCCGCTATGCCGGCTTTAGTTGCATGACAACATCTCCATCTCCATCTCCATATGGCCAAAGTCTTCCCAACCCCCTCTTTGAACCCACAAACCTCTAGTATAGGTAGTTACAATGACGGATTTTGACTCTTTGGCCCTAAAAGCACACCGGCGAAGGTGCAGTTTTTCAGCTCAGTTTTCTGTTTTCATTATTTTCAGCTACGAAATGTGCCAGTCGCGCGCTTGGGTCAAGATGGCTAAGATGGCTAAGACGGCTAAGGCTCAGATGGGTAAGACTCCAAATGGCTAAGACGGCGGCGTGTGGCCGCTGCTCACGCGTCGCTCTGCCCACGAACTCCACATGAATGGAAAAAATTATTGGCTCCAGGCATTGGGCTACTGGATGCTCTACCTCTAAGCAATCAATTAAAAACTGTTTAAATTGATGATGGTGACATGATGCAACGATTACGCCCATTAAAGTATTGATCGTAATACCCTTAGGTACTTATTCCAGATATTATGATGACCTTGAGCCAGCACCCAATGCAGATGGCTCTAATGATCGAATAAAAATTAGGCAAAGGGTCAATGGCTGTAAATGAGTTTTCTTTGATTTCCTAAATGTTTCCATGATCAATAGCTGATTCCAAATCGGGTAATCAATCAGATTAATGATTTCCGAAACTTTTTATGTTCTTTTAAGGCAATTTGCTTTTCAAATTTCCCACCTTAAAAGCTTTTTAAAAAGTTAAAAACAATGCTAAATACAAACTAGGTACTTCCTATGATTACAGGATCAAATATATGAAATTTTAGGTATCTTAAATGATAAACAAATGACACATCGACATCTCTTACTTGTTTACTTATAAAACCGATTAAAATTCATATTCCACGTTCTCGTGTGTATATCTATCCCGTGATCCTATAACTTGTTTATTCCAGCAAACAAATTAAAATGTATTAACCATTTTATCAGATAAACTTTGACATTTTGAAACTTCACTTGAAAGCTGGTACTCTTCAGCTTTTTTTTTGTCAAATGCTTAGAAGATAAATCCTAATCTGAATTCTTTTTCAACTTATGTATACATTTATGTATTAACTGCGGTTTGTTAGCCGTTTAGTGGGGGGGAATAAATAAGCCCAACTTGCCAATAAATCGTACTACCCGAAGTCCAGTTCAGTGTGCGTGTATAAAACCACGAGCGACGTAAAATAAACAACAATATATGTATAAAGCTACTAGCATTGGTTGTTTTTTTTAAACTTTTTTTTTTTTTTTTTTTTCGTTACTTGCCGCGTCTTTGGATTTTTGAGGCAATATCCGAAACGATTTTTGTTAAATCATACGCCGTGTGTGTATATAAACGAAGACGAGTCTCTTCGGCGCTTAGTGCGGCAACGTCCACTTCGCCAGCTGCATCCCAGCGATCTTTCCCCAAGCACAAGTCCACAAGCCAGTGCAGTAAGTCCAATTCGTCCAAGTGATATTCTGTATGATCGGTTGGTCAATCTGTTCAAAACTGAGAAGCATTCAAGTGATTTTATGTGACTACCTCGTTGCGCCACTAATTAAGGCCAGAAAATAATGTGATTCGATTTAATGTACTGCAAGTGAATGGTCCACAAGTGGACTCGGTGATTACTCAAGAACTTGTCTCAAAAACAGTTTAAAAATGTCAAAAGGAGAGACTAAACTTTATAAAGGAAATTGGTCGTATTTATGGAATAACTTTCAATTTACTTGAAAATAAAATTATAAATATATTAATTTTTTTAAGACAGAACCATATAAGAAACTTCAAAAACTTAAACAATCGTTAAAAATATATGTTTTGAAAAGTTTTAGCAAGTTCCAGTGACATCTTTTAGATATAAGGAAAACCGAAAAAGCATTTGGTGAAATTAAAAAGAAATTTATAAATTTTACAATTCCCAAAATGTAAATAATTAATTGTTTTTTGCCATTAAGAGACCCACGCAGATTCGACCTTGTATTTTACATTTAGCCGGTTATCAAATATGGTGCTAAAAAAGGTAGAAAGTGGAATGTCTGTGACGCAAGTAGTTATATTATATATCCTAAAAATCCATAAAAAAAGAGAATTACAAATATGACAACTTCTGGTTAAACCCGAAATAATACGGATTATAAAATCTCACGGTTTCCAACTGCGTATATCTTTAATTTTTGTACAAATGATCATCGGAGAAGATAAATTGATTTAAGCGTTTCGGGATTATTAGATAGCATTCTTTTTGTAAATTCGTTTACTCGTTTTTGCCTTTCTTTGTAATCATTTAAATGAGAAACAAGTTTCACAGATCCGGTGTTTGAATGTCATTTGCATTTCGTTGTTTATTTGTCAATATTGCTAACTGTATTTTATTTACTTAAGTACCTCGAAATATCGTTTTTTATGACACTCCCCCTTAAGTAAATTAAGAATGTGGCATTTTTATAGCCTATTTTTTGAGTTCAGCAAACTTTTTGGTTGAAATAAACAAAAATATTGTTTGCACTTGGTAATCTATGCAAAGCATCGATAAATACCCAATTAGATGCAACACAAAAATGTAAATTAGATTGCTTATAACATGTCTATTTTCAAACAAACAACAAGCTTACCAAATCGGCGCCTCCCCAAAATTGGCCATAAAAAATCAAATCAAGATGTGGCCATAATAGATAGCCACAATGCAAAAATAGTAGCATTTCACTGATTTGTCAATTGATTTAAAGCCAAATTATGAGAACCAATATTGGAATGTCGGTTAAATCAATCGCCAGCTGGGAGATGATCACAAACGGATTTGGACTATAATATATAGTATAATATACATACGTGCCTATGCATATTGAAAAACCCCGCGGACTAATCACCTGTTCGCCGTGATTAATACCAAGATATACGCCTATTCGAGGCGCTGAAATGTCAAAAGTTCAGGGTGAAGCCATCAATGTCCAAGCTGTTTTTATTAACGCTCAATCGTTAGCCAATACAATTGAATATGATTGCTTATGAACTGGGTAAACACACTCAGGATCCGCGGGCGGAACACTTATTCTTTCTATCATCTTCATATCTTCAGATTTCGACACCCAAATCGCCCAAATCAATAATGGCTTTTTCAAAATTATAATTGACCAATTATTCGTTGATTTCTTAGAACGATGATCGTGTACCTATAAATACACATATTCATATTCTAAAAGTTAGTTGTCTTCAAATCGATATAAGCCATTAATGAGTTTGTCTAACAATTAAATAAATGACCTGACTATTAATCTCTCCTTGGCAAATAACTATATCATGATAACTGGCGAACATAAAAATATGGTATACTTAAAAACAGGTAAAAACATCGAAAAAAACAAAAAAATAAATGAGCAATTTTTTGACATAGTGAACCAATTTTTATCAAATTGGGCATAATTATGCAGTCATATAAAGAAAAAAAAATGTGCAAACTGAGATATCAGGCCAATGCTGTGGGCCACCAAAAACCCAAAAACCAAAATTGGGTCGTCAAAGATTAAGCGAACGGAAAGCTGGGAGCAAAAGAGATACCATATTAATCGTGTTGAATATGAATCGGATGTATGAATGGGCGCTCTTTCATCATCATCATCATCTTGCTAAATTTAAGGTGTTTTTTTACAGCCGCGACGAGGTTTAACATTTTGGAAAAACATGTACATATTAATTATTTCGTGGAACTGAATAATAATCAAAGCAAAGTTAGAAAGGGAATCACTAAAAGAATCAAAGTAAATTATTCATAAACTCAAGTTGATCTTTTATTACCACGCTAAATATTATATTTCGTACCCTTAGGGATGTGTTAATGAGAGATTTATTTATGAGATAGAACATGTATTTACCCAAGGGGCCGCGCAGCATTGAATTGAACTTAAGAGTGACGTAAGAACAAACAGAAGACTTCACACGCCAAATCATCCGTAATCAAATGGTACTTTTTACGTCTCGTTAGGCTAATGCTTGGAATAACCTAGACAAAAGGGGCCACAATGAAAAAGCACCTAATCATCCGGGTCTAACCATCAATAGCAATAGCAACAGACATTCAGCAAAAAACAAAAACCAACAACATAGCCATCCAAATTGCAGAAGCCAATGCCACACAAAAGGCCCCAAAATCGAATCGAAGCCGCTTTTATCAACTGCGGCTAAGCAAATGGGCACTCGTCACTATTTGCTTTTTTCCTACTCCCTTCGTGTGTGAGTGTTGAATTTATGGATTTTGAAATCAGCAGCAGTTTTTTTTTTATATTTCTTTTTCTCTTAAAGGTTAGTTGTATTATTTAAAAAACCAAACCCGTTTTAGTGACGGTGCAGCACCCTCCATTCGTCGGGCAAAAGAGGTCCGGCTGTTCGCATCTCGTGTAAATACTCGACAGGTTGCACTCAACCGTAATTAGCGATAAAGAAGATCTTACCTCACCCAATGCTAGAGATCCGTTGACAAACCCAACGCATGCAAATAACTATCTTGGTTTTCGTCGAATTAATTTTTCGTCACTTCTTTTGATTTGATTTACGGTCTTTTAGATCATACCGAAATCGCCCTTTTTCGCATATCATATGAGTCACTAAAAACGAAGGTTGATCGTGGGATTGAATTACTGCAGAAGTACCGAAATGCCCATAAAGAAAAGAAAAAACAAATTAACAGTTAAAAATTTAAAACTGTAAACAACCTTATTTTCTTGATGTTTATCGATAACAGAAAAGTTTTAAGTTTGTGGGGAAAATAATTTCTGAACTTTTTACGTATTTATTTATATTTATATTTAAGTACTATTTTAACCTTAAGTAGACATTATTTTTCGAACCATAAAATAACTATTTTCTTTATATAAATATTTATTATATTAAAAAGTCAAGGTGCCATTAAGTCATGGAACATTGAGTAAAATTAGGGTTGGTTAACCACCAGATAAGCAATAAACTAAACTACACAACTTCGAAAACCGTAAACAGTAAATGTTATACCATAAATTTATTTAATACCCCTCCACTTATTTCAGAATAAAGTTTAAGACTTACATTTAAGATGGTCAACATCGGCCACATATTCGTGTGGGCCTTGCTCTTGGTAAGTACATGCATTGATCCCCTGTCTAGAAATCATAAAGTTTACGATTATTATTTGGTATAACACTCAAGGTCACTACATCGGGCACTGATCTGACCGATGATGAGGCGCTCAATGATGTTTTAAGCGAACTTGATTTTGACGAATCTTCGCCAAGATTAACTCGCGACACTTCTCTGTCAGCTAAGCACATCGAGAAGATCGATGTGAAATGCGACCAAGGTAATGGTATGATGGTTGAGGTGGAGTTCTCCGAGGACTTCGAGGGAGTCATCTACAGCCAGGGATATTACAATGACCCCAAGTGCAAGTAAGTATTACATAACATTGAACCCGTATATGTACCTGTTTTGTTAATATGTATTTTATTAGCTACGTGAAGGGCGACCGAGGGGGTCGTAGTTTCACATTTACTGTGCCATACGATGGATGCGGCAGCAAGCCCTCGTGCTCCGTATGCGCCTCAATCGAGAACATCCTGATTATCCAGGATGACAGAGATATTCAAAATAGCTTCGATATAGCACGGAAAATATCGTGCAGTCGGGGTGACGAACGTGAGAAGACTGTTTATTTCAAGCCATTTGTGGTGGACATGCTGGAGGTTATTTCCGTGGATACACCAAGTGGTCCTGTAGAGTGCTGGATGGAAATTGGCACGGGATCCCCGCCCAATATCAAACCTATTCAGGGTACTCTAACCCTTGGAACTGACATAACGTTTACCATAAACGTTAAGCATTCGGAACAGGCATGGGATATTAATATACTGCAATGTTATGCCTCCGATGACATGGACTTTGAGGCCAGAACGACGAAGAGATTACAGCTCTCGGACAAGAGAGGTTGTTCGATTAAGGAGAAAATATTTGGAGAGTGGCGAAAGTTCGAAGCGCCTTCCAGTCTAACAGCTACTTACTATAATACTCTGAAGGCCTTCAGATTCCCCGACCGATCTCAGGTTTATCTCAAATGTGACATTGAACTCTGCAATGGAGCATGCAAACGGGACTACTCTTGCGGTAGCGAGAGGTCAGGCCCCTGTCCCGAGGGATCAACTGACCCTCAATGTTTACAGGATCATCTTATTTCTCCAAAGCCTCGCTGCTATCCAGGATCCAGGGAACCAGGTTGTCCAGTGCCCACTTCCCAGCCACCCACAACTATCAGGATACCGATTGCCTCAACTTTCACGCCAAGGCCACGGTGCTATCCCGGATCCAGCGATCCAAGTTGCCCCCAAACTCCAAAAACAACATCCAGTCCCAGTTGTCCTTTGGGCTCAACTGATCCTCGTTGTCGCGTTGGGCCATCGCCAACAACAAAGCCAAGGTGCTATCCGGGTTCAAGTGATCCGGCATGTCAACCAGCTACTTATCTTCCACCAACAACTAGAAGGACTTCAATAAAACCACGTTGTTATCCGGGTTCAAATGATCCTGATTGTCAACCGGCAACACGAGCGCCAGTTACTACATTGAAACCAAGATGTTATCCCGGCTCTGATGATCCTGAATGTCAGCCTGCAACTCTAATACCCCAAACGACGAGAAGGACTCCAATTACAACAACGCGGCCACGTTGTTATCCGGGATCAACAGATCCAGACTGCCAACCAAGAACAAGACCACCAGTTACCACACAAAAGCCAAGGTGTTACCCAGGATCGCCCGATCCGGAATGTCAACCGGCTACTTACCTTCCCCCGACCACAAGGAGATCTCCAATTCCAACAACCAGAACCCCTGTAACTACACCTAGGCCGAATTGTTATCCGGGCTCAACGGACAGTCGGTGCCCACAGAAACCTCCAACGACTCCAAGGCCTAGATGTTATCCTGGATCCCCAGATCCAGCCTGCCAGCCGGCGACTACCAAGCCACCAACGACTCCGCAGCCGAAGTGCTATCCCGGCTCATCAGATCCAGAGTGCCTAAATTGCTATCCTGGTTCACCAGACCCGCGATGTCCCAAGGTTCCTACTACCAAGAAGGCAGGTTGTTTTGAGGGCTCGGATGACCCGAAGTGTCAACCGGCGACATATTTGCCGCCATCTTCTCGCCGCCCTCCCACAATTGCACCTAAGCCAAGATGCTATCCTGGATCAACTGATCCTAGCTGTCCGCAACCAACTCAACCAACAACCAGAAGGACACCTGTAACTACGCCTAGGCCTAGGTGTTATCCAGGATCTGACGACCCAGAATGTCAGCCAACTACTTATACTACTCCGACGACCAGAAGGCCTGTAACTACCTCCAAGCCAAATTGTTATCCTGGTTCGACTGACAGGCAGTGCCCACAAGAACCCATTACGACACCAAAGCCTAGATGTTATCCTGGCTCACCAAACCCTGAATGTCAACCTGCAACTTACCTTCCACCAGCAACTGTACGAACGACGTCCAAGCCAAGGTGTTATCCGGGTTCCAATGATCCTAGTTGCCAACCTCCAACAATTGCACCTAAGCCAAGGTGCTATCCTGGATCAACTGATCCCAGCTGTCCGCAACCAACTCAACCACCAACAACTCGGACACCTGTAACTACTTCAAAGCCAAATTGTTATCCGGGATCAACTGATCGTCGTTGTCCCCAAAAACCACCAACGACACCAAAACCAAGATGTTTCCCGGGATCAACAGATCCTAGTTGCCAGCCTGCAACATATCTGCCACCAACAACGGCAAGGCCAACCATTCCCACAACACAACCAAGGTGTTATCCTGGTTCAAGTGATCCTTACTGCCAGCCACCAACAACAAGAAGGCCAATTACCACATCGAAACCAAATTGTTACCCAGGCTCCACCGATAGTCGTTGTCCACAGAAGCCACCTACGACTCCGCAGCCAAAGTGCTATCCCGGCTCATCAGATCCTGAATGTCTGAATTGTTATCCTGGCTCTCCAGATCCACGATGCCCCAAGGTTCCTACCACAAAGAAGGCTGGGTGCTTTGATGGTTCAGACGATCCCAGGTGTCAACCTGCTACTTATTTACCGCCATCCACCAACCGAACTCCTACAGTTGCTCCTAAGCCAAGATGCTACCCGGGATCAACCGATCCAAGATGCCCGAAAGTGACACAGCCAACAACAAGGGCACCAGTTACTACAGCAAAACCACGATGCTATCCTGGATCTAATGATCCTGAATGCCAACCAGCTACTTATTTGCCTCCGACAACAAGACTTCCTGTGACAACATCTAAGCCCAGATGCTATCCAGGCTCAAGGGAACCTGAATGCCAGCCTGCAACTAGACCACCAATTACCACGTCTAAGCCGAAATGCTACCCAGGCTCCTCTGATCCTGAGTGTCAGCCAGCAACTGTCAGAACCACAATTCCAACAGTTCCGACGACCAGAAGGCCGGTAACTACGGGAAAGCCAAACTGTTATCCAGGCTCCACTGATAGACGTTGTCCACAGCAACCGGTAACGACACCACAGCCAAGATGTTACCCTGGTTCACCAAATCCTGAATGTCAGCCTGCTACTTATCTTCCCCCCACAACGTCCAGAATTACTACTCCTAAGCCCAGGTGTTATCCGGGCTCCAGCGATCCCGTTTGTCAGCCAACCACCTACACGCCTCCGACGACTAGAACTCCTGTAACTACATCGAAGCCTATTTGTTATCCTGGCTCCACCGATAGTCGTTGTCCTCAGAAACCGCCAACGACTCCGCAGCCAAAGTGCTTTCCCGGCTCATCAGATCCTGAATGCCTCAATTGCTATCCTGGATCCCCAGATCCAAGATGTCCCAAGGTTCCAACAACCAGGAAGCCAGGATGCTTTGATGGCTCGGATGATCCGAGATGTCAGCCTGCCACCTACTTACCTCCTACATCTCGTCGTCCAACCACGATTGCACCTAAGCCAAGGTGTTATCCAGGATCAACGGATCCCAGCTGTCCGCAACCAACTCAACCAACAACAAGAAGGACACCTGTAACTACATCTAGGCCTAGGTGTTATCCGGGATCTGATGACCCCGAATGTCAGCCAGCTACTTATACACCTCCAACGACCAGAAGGCCTGTAACTACCTCCAAGCCTAATTGTTATCCGGGATCGACAGATAGACGCTGTCCTCAGGAACCGGTGACGACACAGAAACCTAGATGTTATCCCGGCTCACCTAACCCAGAGTGTCAACCTGCAACTACGGCCAAGCCAAGATGTTATCCAGGTTCAAATGATCCTGATTGCCAGTCGCCACCAACAACTAGAACTCCCATTACTACATCAAAGCCGATTTGTTATCTAGGATCAACGGATAGTCGATGCCCTCAGAAACCACAGACAACTCCAAAACCAAGATGTTATCCCGGATCACCAGATCCTGAATGTCAGCCTGCCACTTACCTGCCTCCAACTACGTCCAAGCCAACAATTCCCACAACGAGGCCAAGATGTTATCCTGGATCCACTGACCCGTATTGCCAACCGAAAACGTATTCCCCGCCGACATCAAGGCCTCCCATAACTACATCGAAACCCAGATGTTATCCTGGCTCACCTAACCCAGAGTGTCAACCTGCTACCTACCTTCCCCCTACGACAGCACGAGTTACAATCCCAACCACTAAGCCGAGGTGTTATCCTGGTTCAAACGATCCCGATTGTCAGCCAACCACTTACACGCCCCCGACAACCAGAACTCCTATAACTACATCGAAGCCCAATTGCTATCCAGGCTCCACCGATAGTCGTTGTCCTCAGAAGCCACCAACGACTCCGCAGCCGAAGTGCTATCCCGGCTCATCAGATCCTGAATGTCTGAATTGTTATCCTGGCTCTCCAGATCCCAGGTGTCCCAAGATTCCCACTACCAAGAAAGCAGGATGTTATGATGGTTCAGATGATCCGAGATGTCAACCTGCCACCTATTTACCTCCATCCTCTCGCCGTCCTCCCACAATCGCACCTAAGCCAAGATGCTATCCAGGATCAACTGATCCCAGCTGTCCTCAATCCACTCAACCAACAACAAGAAGGACACCTATAACTACATCTAGGCCTAGGTGTTATCCGGGATCTAGTGACCCAGACTGTCAGCCAGCGACCTATTCGCCACCGACTTCAAGATCACAGATTACTACCTTGAAGCCTCGGTGTTATCCTGGGTCAAGGGATCCAGAGTGCTCGCCGGTAACTTATGCGCCCCCAACTACAAGGACGCCTGTTACAACTTCCAAGCCAAATTGTTATCCAGGCTCAACAGATGTACGCTGCCCTCAGGAACCAATTACTACACCAAGACCCAGATGTTACCCCGGTTCAACGGACCCTGAATGTCAGCCCGCAACTTATCTGCCACCTACAACAGCACGCACAACGATTCCTACAACCAGACAAAGGTGTTACCCGGGTTCCAATGATCCTAACTGCCAACCGGCAACGTACTCACCACCAACAACTCAAACGCCTATAACTACGTCGAAGCCAAATTGTTATCCAGGATCGACAGATAGTCGGTGCCCACAGAAGCCTCTGACTACACCAAAACCAAGGTGTTTCCCGGGATCAACAGATCCTGATTGCCAACCTGCAACGTATCTGCCACCAGCAACGGCAAGGCCAACCATTCCCACAACACAGCCAAGGTGTTACCCTGGTTCAAGTGATCCTTACTGTCAGCCACCAACAACAAGAACGCCAATTACCACATCGAAACCGAACTGTTATCCTGGCTCCACCGATAGCCGTTGTCCACAAACGAAGCTACCATCGACTCCGCAGCCAAAATGTTATCCTGGCTCATCAGATCCTGAATGTCTGAATTGTTTCCCTGGTTCTCCAGACCCAAGATGTCCTAAGGTTCCAACAACCAAGAAGGCAGGGTGTTTCGAGGGCTCGGATGATCCTAAATGCCAACCTGCCACTTATTTGCCCCCAGCTACTTATCGTCCGCCTACAAGTGCACCGAAGCCAAATTGCTATCCAGGATCAACTGATCCAAGGTGCCCGCAACCTACTCAGCGGACAACCATTAGAACTCCAATTACCACACAGAGATGTTACCCAGGGTCTTCTGATCCCGCTTGCGAACCACCAACAAGAGCACCCATAACAACTGTGAGACCAAGATGTTATCCTGGATCCAATGATCCGGAGTGTCAACCATCGACCTACACTCCTCCGACAACACGGACTCCTGTAACTACTTCTAAGCCCAATTGTTACCCAGGCTCTACGGATAGACGCTGTCCGCAGACACCTGTGACTACGCAAAAGCCTAGATGTTACCCCGGATCCCAAGACCCTGAATGTCAACCCGCCACTTATCTCCCACCAACAACTCCCCGTGCAACGATTCCTACGACTAAGCCTAGGTGTTATCCGGGTTCCAATGATCCCAGTTGCCAACCGGCAACGTACACACCGCCAACAACTAGAACGCCAATTACTACACCCAAGCCACGTTGCTATCCGGGCTCAAGTGATCCATTCTGCCAACCCGCTACTTATCTTCCGCCGACAACAGCCAGCAGGTGTTATCCTGGCTCCAGCGATCCTGTGTGTCAACCTGCCACTACAAGAACTCCTGCAACTACTTCCAAACCCAACTGTTATCTGGGCTCTACGGATAGCCGCTGTCCCCAGCCCACGACACCTAGACCAAGGTGTTATCCAGGATCAACGGATCCCGAGTGCCTGCCAGTGACTACGACAAGAACGCCAATTGCTGGTACCACTCCGGTCTACTGCTATCCAGGATCTATTGATCCACGTTGCCCTGATTCCGGATACAGGGGCACTAGCCGAATTCCTGCCACATATCTACCGCCGCTGAGTGATCCCGGCTACGATAGAACCATTCGGAATGCGAAGACCCTGTTCTTCAATGAAATAAATCACTTGGCCTTCACCGACAACAATGTCTTCGAACTGGAAGATGACGAAAGCGAGTCATCGAGGGTGAAGCGCGAGTTGAAATTCGACGAGGATGACCTCTTGTCGAAGAAAATCATGAAGCGTGAGTCCAGCGAGCAGCCTGCAGAGCAAGAAGTGATTTCCCTGACCCTCGGAGTAAGAACTGGCATCAGTGTAAAATAGTCGTTGAAGGTCTAGTAGATGTTAAGCATAACAATATTATAATATCATCGTACACCGATATGTATTTACCTAGAATGATATTCATTAAATATAAACTATGTACAAATGTACGATCTCGTATATATTCTTTTAAATGGGAGTCAGTTAAGAACTTCAGAACTTACCTATTTTCATATATGTAGTTCAAATTTTATAAAGTCGATTGTACTTTAATAATTTAATTAAATACTTTAGTTATGTTTTAGAACAAACGCTTGAGCCAATTAAAGTAGTTGATTTTAAGACTCCGGATAGCGGCAATAGGAATTGCTTTCAATAGATTCGTGCGGAATCCACTCCTCGTACAGAGGCAATCGGTTCTTTAGGGTCTCAATCTCCCGCAGAATCCTCATCACATTGCCTCCAACCAGTTTCTTAATGGCTGCATTTCCCCACACCCTATCCCGTGCCAATTCTGCAAGCAGAAGGGCATAGCTTTTCGGTGCTCCTCCCAGTCCAATGTGATCCACACCGGCCACTTTGCGTACATAGTTAATGGCAGTGATGGCCTCTCGGACACCCAGTGTACGATCACCACAGCGTTCCAGGTTAAGTAAAATAACTCCACCGTTTTCCGGCAACAGGCTAAGAACATGATCGGGAATGGAAGCTGTGCTGCTGCTATTGCACATGGAAAGTGGTGTGGCATTTGTGAGTAAAACCGGTGCCTTGGCGGTTTTTAAGACTGCCAACATGGCAGCCTCGCTGAGCATCGAAATCTCCACCAGCATTCCCAAACGATTCATCTCGAAAAGCATTGTCTAAAAATTTCAAAAAAAATGGATAAGAAAAGATTTTAGCTAGGTAGCAGTTAGTACTAACCTGTCCGAATTGGTTGAATGAATTCGTCACATTCTCCTCGACAAGATAGTCGGGTCTTCGGATAGCGGCAGCCGCCCAAGGAGTGGTGCATTCCAGACTCGTAATGGAAACAAATCGAGCTCCCAATAAGTAAATGGAGCGCAATACAGCCGTGCTGGTGCCGAGAGCATGGCCACCACTAATCCCCATGAGAACAGCAACCTCGCCACGCAGATGAGTCTGCTCCATCTCATCCGCTGACTCCACAATGTGCATAGAATCCGTGGCGGCAGTAACGCGCTTAGCTTTGTCAATCCCCTCCAGGGTCAGCTGCACTGCGTCCAGATACTGAGCTCCACATGGTACCGCAATGGGCCAAAGGACAGCACCGATATGATTTTGTCGCACCTCGAACAGATTGCTGCTGTTCAGACTCATGGTGCTAGGTGGCTTCCAGGAGCCCTCGATTAAAGGTGACTCCGTCAGCAGGCGACGGATGAAGGCCAGGCGAGCCTCCAAGAGCGACGAGGAGCGTAGTTGAAGAGCCAGCGGAATACCACCAGCCATGGCGATGCAAACGAGCACCAGACCCACTCCTAGTAGAATCTTTCGTCCTCGGGATCTCTCCGGTCGTTCGCCCGAGGACTCGCTGCAGGAGTCCTTCTTGGAACTGTAGGTGGGAATGCCACCATTAGAGCACCTTATCTTCTCATTTCCACCACCAAACTTGGTTATCTCCGCGGGCAATTCGATGTCCGCTATCTCCGTGAACACAAAACATTGCTGTTTGCAGTGCGGTTGATGCTGGTGCAGCGGATGGACCTCCAGGAATTCGCGGCTCGGTACGGGATTCATTGCATCGTCTGGTAAATTATCGGATCAACCAGTCAATTCCCCAAAGCGCAGGTTTCCCTTTTATCCCAAATCTATTCAACAAGCGTGCACCGCGACGAAAGCTTTAAACTGGGATACTATCGATTTTTACCACTTCCTTGCGTATCCTGTCGTCTGGCCAAAAGGCTTCCAAGGACATGCGCGCTAAACAATTATTTTAATCAGTACGCCAGCATCCAAAGTTAAGCGGGTTAATTATGTTTAAAAAACCGAATTCTCTTTATAGACTTACAAATTGGCCATCGCTATTTAAGTTTTAACAATTTCAATCTATTTATATAAACAAATTTTAAATGGTTTACAATTTACTCAAGCAATAAAGAATATGAAAATTATAATACTCCACGAATTCGTATAAATTATTTAGAATAAATTTGGATATTGCAATTGACATAGAAACCGACTTACTTTTCCAAAAAGCTTTATCCTCTAAAATATATTTAGTAATTTGAAATTCTACTACTTTTTATGGGCTGCTATAACGATTTTCATTAATTTGTGTGTTGGTAACGATTCGAGAATGCACAGCACCTGAATCTGATTGGAGATGCAGTTTGCGTTCATGGCGATTTGCACAGCTTGGGCAAATCGTTCCATGCACTTCTGATAGGCAGCATCCGTTTCGGGTACCGTTTTTGTTTCCCGTAGCCGCGTGCAGTAACTCTGCAGAGCTTTAACGATTTGCATAAGATCCTGGAAATGCAGCACTGTCGACTCACCACTACTGACAAGCTGTTGCAAGGCTCGCAGAAGGGAAAGATGGAGATTACTGTAGGCGGTTCGGTTGGAAACCAAAGGAGCCAGGACCACCCATCGCAAGAGTCCTGCTAAGGGAGTGGTGAAGGGCATGGCGATTGCTCCGGCGGGCAACACCAAAGGTTGCTTTGACGCCTGACACAACGTCGGATTTTCCGTCATCCATTCCGTTATGGTATCAAGTAGTGCATCTGGCGGGGCATTTAGAGTCTGCGAACGCTGCTCGTTTAAATACAGATCTGCCACGGCCACCATAAAATTGGCCGCAAAATGCGGACCCACCATGGGCAGCTGCTTTAGTTGTTCTGGCGTTTTCCGAGAGTATGAGATGAAGTCACTCACTATATTTTCAGCTACCTCCAGGCTCAGTGGTGTCTTGCAACCAACTTGTTGCATCCAAGTGCCAGCGGAGGAGAGTAGTGGAGCCACGGATCCTGAAACCGCTGTGCTAATTAGCCGAGACAGCAATTTAGATCGTTGTGTGGTCAAATGACTTCCGAATAGCGATAGAAATATAGCGTTGCGGGTTGCATCTCTTCCTGGTCGCGAGAAGTACTCAATCAATACTATAATCAGTTGAAATTCCTGGAAAAGATTCATTTGGCTGATGGGCACCGCTTGTGATTTTCGCACATCTGCATCCTTGCTCGTTCTTTCAAGGAAAATATACTCTGATATGATTTGCATCACCATATTCTGCTTATTTCGGCTGGCTATTAATGTTTCTGCAATTTTATGATTAAAAATGTGCAAATAAAAGACCACATTTAACTTTACCGAGTCGAGTAAGTGCCTCTACCGCACACGTGGGATAGTTCTCCAGCTTCATATCGCCCTTTCTCGGCATGGACTTATTGTTGTCCACCGACAAAGACATTTTAAAGTTCTTTATCTATTTTAATAACCAACGCCTGGTTTAAGAGTATGTCAAAAGCGCATAACAAAATAAAAACAAATCGTAAAATTAGAGGTGGAGCATATTTCGATTGGCGATTCGATAACTCACAGCTAAATTAATTTTTGTAAATTTTAGCAGCGGTCACCCTAAAACCAATTATCCGTTTTATCCGCCAATTTAGGCAGATAACATTTATTATAAATTTAAATTTGTGTTCAACAGGTATAACAATTATTTTAAACCATTTTTAATTTAAATAAACAATTTTAATTTAAAGTATATTTTTATTCGTTTGTTGTAGATATTTGATGTGAGCAATATGGTAAATATCATTAATACATTATGCTGATAAAAAATATTATTATAAATAAACACATAGATTCTAAAGTTTTCTACTGGTGTAACACTTAACATAATTGCTTAAAACATATAGTTGAAAAGGCAATAATTTTTTGAATGGTAAATTTACTTAGGGATATCTTTTGACATATGTAGGAGGATATTTTGAAATTTAATTCTTATCTAAAATTTGGAAATACGGAAAATGTAAGAAATGTTTAATGAAAATTTGTGTTTCACAGCCGATTTCAATACTGACTTACATTGCTAAAATTAACTTATTTTACATATTCTACTTAGTAAATATTTACAACTACAAAATAATTGACATGGATCTTTATTATCCGGTAATAAACTCATTGCCATAAAATGATCTACATATTTGCAGACTGTTTAACCTAACTAAATAAATTTATAGTTACCAAAAAAACGCATAAAATTGACCAAATAATAACAAAAACCAACCAGGCACTGGACTTGAAAGGGCTTTGAAAACGATTGACTACGCCGCTTCCCAGAAGCTCTGAGCAAGTGCGCCTCGAGAAATAAACCAGGAATACCGGTATTATATATTGAATGCCAGTGCCTGCATAGGTGCCAGTGAATGCCACCAAACTGGACAAACTCTCTGTAAAATATGTGATACAAAACGGTGGGATTATAGCAAGAAGTGGAAAGCATAGACGCACAATAACACCATAGGATTCATATTGCGACATGTCCAGGAAAAGGGATTGAAGATTGTTCTTTAGTGTTATGGCCACAATGGGAAAACTGGTGGACAACGTGAAAATGGGGAAGAGTGCCAAAAAATAATCAATGCAAATTAATAGACCAGACCAGAAGTCTATGTAGGCCACATCATAGGGTAGGAAATCCAATGTGTAAAGGTCTTCGATTCGCTCAAAGGCAAAAATACCTGTCATGGCTAGTAAAATGTAAAATGCACAAATAATTATATAGTCGATTGAGAGAATTTTCGATACCATCGACTTGTGTCTGAGGGGAGCCAATAAACTGGGCAGTGAATGGTGGCACATAAAGGAGTAGACACAAGCGCCGAAAAGCGCAGGAATACCATATACGTTAAATGTTTCCGGATGGCCTTTGGCACCTCTTGAAATCAACAGTTTCAGCGATATGCAGATCATTAATGTAAAAGCTGTAATTAGAAATTTGTTATATTATCTCTCGACTCGAAATATTTTCACAACTAACCCATCCATCGGAAAGCAGCTGTGAGCATTTGCAAGTATTTCGTTTTTTGAACATTAAAATAAGCAAATGGACCAAAGATCAATGTGAATCCAATTAAAAACACTCTGTACATGCTTAAGCGGGATATCGTATGTTCTTTCCAACAGGGCTGATCAGTATTATTCTCAAAGTCTCCTGACCAATACATTAAAGTTTTAGTGTCCGTTCCATTTGTATGGTCGCTGTTAACAAATTGTAAAATGTAGAGATATAAACAAATTCTCTTATATTTTTTTTTGTTTCCAATTACTCACCAAACGACGTCACGCAGACTTCTTGCCACGGCGGCAGAATATATGCTCAGATCCCCGTAAAGATAAACAATCAGGCATAGATAGAACATAATGCGTCCGAATTCGTTGAAGAAGAGTGTTGCCATTTCGCCTAGTTCGAATTTGTGTGAGAGTTGATAATAATGGAACTCCCGGTTCTGAATAGTCAACGGAACCCGTTCGAAGTCTCCAACTTGATCATTTCCCGATTGCATCGAAACCTCATCTGCATTATCGTCGTTTTCACTGTTCTCCGCAGAGCTTCGACTTTGGCGCAGCGCCTGAAGAGTTTGCCAATTTCGTATGGCATTTGCACAGGCCATCGCCTCGATGATAAAGGTAACCGTCATATAACTAATGATGGCCAGTAGAACAATAACGATAAGAGACAACATCCATCCTGCCCTGGCAAATACTCCGGGTAGCGTTAGAGCTCCAGTTCCAACGATAAGGTTAAAAATGAATATGAAGCCAACCTGTGGACGAAAAAGGATTACTCACGGAGCGACAGGTGTTCCGTTTTAGAAATCCAAAAATATGTGCACACGAAGCAGAAACAGTTTAAGTGGGCGTAGTTTGTGCAGCCTTTCCTGTTTTCACATATGAAATAATAGTCACTGCACTTTTTGAGTCGTTGACTTCATATCACAAATGCACATATCTTTGTGAACTATTTAAAACTAGAAATTCATTGCACAAGCATCAAAACAAACACGCAACATATGTATGTCCTTTGTTTTGGTGAAAGGAATCTGCACTTTTATTTTTTAGTCCTCACCAAATTTGAATACGTGGGTGCGGCCTCCCGGCCATTGACAAGACGAGGCATCTTTAAGCTGGTTCTTTGTCTTTCTAGTAGTCTTCTATCCAATCAAATCAAATGCTCAACAAAAAAAGAAAACAATAATAGACATGCAGAGCAGATTGTGCATTTGTCTAGTGTGGCCGAAGAAACCAAAAAGGCTAATGCATAAAATAGTATATTAAAGCCGGAAAGGGCGCGAAATTTAAAAATTATCTGAGAAGACAAATTTGCGATTCACGGCATTTTTAATTAATAAAATAAATGACTTCCTTAAAAACTATCAACAATTCGAATTTATTTCAAAATAATTAATTTGTCTTCTAATATATACATTGCACAACAAGCGAGGGTTTTGTGAATAATAAGCTGAACTAAAATATCCAGGCTTCTAGAAATGTTCGATTTAGAAAGGCTTTTTCATGGTTTTACTCTTTTGGGGCTACATTAGCGTTTTGCCTTTTTTTACGGTTTTCCAATATACTCGTGATAAAGAACTCGCCCGCTTTGTAGGAGCTCCGAACCAGAGGACCACTGGCCGTATATAAGAAGCCTAGTTCGTTTCCGCGCTCTTCCCAGTGTTTGAACTTCTCGGGCGTAACATATTCGATAACCTTAAGGTGTTTATTCGTCGGTTGCATGTACTGACCCAAGGTCACACAATCCACACCAGCCTCTCGCAGATCCTTCAAAGTGTTCTCAATCTCCTGATCTGTTTCACCGAGGCCCAGCATAATGGAACTCTTTGTAATGAGATTGGGATTGAATTTCTTTGCTTCGGTTAGCACCTGCAGAGTTTGACGGTAGTGAGCGCGTCTATCCCGCACATAGGGTGTCAGTTTTTCCACCGTCTCAATGTTGTGCGCATAAACATCCAAGCCGCAGTTGGCAATCGTCTCCACGCACTCAAGATTACCTCGGAAATCTGGCACCAGACACTCCACAAAAATGTTTGAGTTACTACAAAATAACAAATTTTAAATTTGTTATCATTTTAAATATATTTAAGCTATTTACCGTGCTTTTATTTCCCGTACAGTTTCAGCTATATGTTTTGATCCGCCGTCCGGCAAATCTAGAATGAAATTGAAAGAGATTTAAGAACGGATTAGTTAAAATCCTTTTCAATGCTTACCATCACGATCTACTGAGGTCAGGACAATGTAATCCAGACCCCAGGAAGCAATAGCCGTAGCTGTGTTCACGGGTTCATTGACGTCCAGCGGTGGTGGTTTACGTGCCGTCTTCACCGAACAGAAACGACAGCCTCGAGTGCAAGTATCGCCCATGAGCTAGAAATTAATGAAATAAACATGAGATTGCAATTTTTATAAAGCAAATAATTAAAAAGAAAACTGAAACCATTTACGGAATTTTAAATGCTATAAAGTCGATGAAAAAATGGGAAACTGCACAATTACAAGGGAATAGTTTAGGAGAAAATATTTTCAAATTTCCTCCATATTGCCAATGGAATCAAATATAGTCTCGAGTGCTTGAAAGTGCCTTAGCATACATACATACGTATTGCCAAATTTTCAAGTGACTAAAACTGTGGAAAATTCTGAAACAACCTAGACCTTGATAGTGAACATGTTCGGTTATCAGCAGAGGTCACCAGGGGGTCTGTTCCCTTACCATAATCGTGGCTGTCTGCGTTCCATGCTCGCCGCCACCCCAGCACTCGCCGATATTGGGACACCGTGCCTCCTCGCAGACGGTGGACAGCTTGAGCTCCCTCATCTGTGCCTTGATTTTGGCGTAGTTCTTGCCAACAGGAATCGTGGTTTTCAACCAGGGCGGCAGTCGCAGACGTTGCTCTTCGCCCTTTTCGCGTCGCAGCTTTCCCTCGTAGTTTTCCCATTCACTTTTTGAGTATTCCGGATTCTGGACAAAGTCCTGGAAATTGGGTCCCTTGGAAAGGCGTTCACGAATCTCTTCAAGCTTTTCCGCATTTGTTGATGCCGCACGCTACATTATTCAATCAGAATTAGTTGTTTTTATATTTGATTTTAGGATATTTTACATACGGTGACAATTACTATTGGGGCTTCCACGTGTGATTTTAATGCTCGCAACATGGTGAATTCTAATTTTATGTGCAAAATCAATTATTTATCACGGATTTATTTTGTTTGTCGAATCTTATGAAATAATTAGTGCGACCTTTTTACACCTCGCTATATTTTAAGCGGATCAGCTGATTGCTGTTCTTACTATTTGTAAGTATTAAAAAAAATACAAAATAGGCGGAATCGAATTTACCACCTGGTAACACTATTATGAGTCGCTTCTCCGTCAAAACAAAAGAAAGTTTTTCCAAGCTACATTTACTTTGGCTCCAATAATTGTAAGCATTTCCGGCTCGTTTCATTAATATATCTTAATCGGTAGTGATCCCCCTTGAAGTTTCCATCCCACAACTACGGCTTCGCAGGGGGAGGCGTCCAGCGCTACGGAGGCGAACGAACGCACACCACTGATGGCTGCTGTTAATCTCCAGGCTTCGTGCTCCTCCGGACTCGCCTCCGGAGACGATGCCAATATGGGCAGCCAGAACGGCGAGGCGGAACGTTTGGAACGTCCTCCAAGGCGGCAACAACAGCGCAATAACTACGGATCCGGCAATCAGGATCAACCGGATGCGGTAAGTTCCCAGGATAGTTGGCTAAAACTACTGCTAACTATAGTTTCTATTTCTGCTAGGCTATACTTGCAGTTCCCAATGTGGTGATGCGGGAACCTGGCGGTTCACGCCCTTCAAGACTGACTGGTGGCGGCGGAGGTCCACCCACAAATGAAATGGAGGAGGAGCAGGGTCTGAAATACGGCGCTCAGCATGTGATCAAGTTGTTTGTTCCCGTCTCCCTGTGCATGCTGGTGGTGGTGGCTACCATCAACTCCATCAGCTTTTACAACAGCACAGATGTTTATCTGTAAGATTAGCTATATTTTGGTCAGTCTGCTGTATTATCCTCACAAGAATATGTATTCTATTCCAGCCTTTACACACCATTCCATGAGCTATCACCCGAACCAAGCGTTAAATTCTGGAATGCCTTGGCCAATTCTTTAATCCTTATGAGCGTGGTTGTAGTGATGACCATTTTGCTAATTGTTTTGTACAAGAAACGTTGCTATCGCATCATCCATGGCTGGCTGATACTCTCCTCTTTTATGTTATTGTTCATCTTTACGTACTTATACTTAGAGTAAGTAGAAAGAAATTTAATTTACTTCTTGAATAATATTGATCTTATATTAGAGAACTTCTTCGAGCCTACAACATACCTATGGATTACCCCACTGCCCTGCTGATTATGTGGAATTTTGGAGTAGTCGGAATGATGTCTATCCATTGGCAGGGCCCTCTGAGATTGCAGCAAGGGTATCTTATATTTGTGGCTGCCCTGATGGCCTTAGTGTTCATCAAATATCTGCCTGAATGGACTGCATGGGCTGTTCTAGCTGCTATTTCTATTTGGGGTGATTTTGGATTTAGTTTTCATCCTTTTGTTTTTTTGATTTGTTTTCTAAATTATTTACAGATCTCATAGCTGTTCTTTCCCCAAGAGGACCTCTTCGAATACTAGTAGAAACGGCCCAGGAGCGTAATGAACAAATCTTCCCCGCTCTGATCTACTCATGTAAAAATGACTTCTTATATATATGTATCACCTTTGTTCTTAATTAATATTTTTGTAGCTACTGTTGTTTATGCACTTGTGGGCACTACTACGAACCAGCAATCGCAGGCCACCGCATCATCATCACCCTCATCCAGCAACTCTACCACGACCACGAGGGCCACGCAAAATTCTTTGGCTTCGCCGGAGGCAGCGGCGGTTAGCGCCTCACGCTCAGGTAACTCCCATCCTAGACAGAATCCACGGGATGACGGAAGTGTACTGGCAACTGAAGGTATGCCACTTGTGACTTTTAAAAGCAATTTGCGCGGAAACGGTACATATGCATTATATTATTTTATGATTTATCTTCTCTCTTAATGTGTACTTGCTTATTTGGCATTTCGCCTGTTTTTTGTACTATTTTGTATTTATTGTATTGTTTAGTTATGTTGGGCATATGGTATAAAGCGCTGCTAGTAGTATATCATTCAAGATCAAGCCGCGAAATTGTCACTTTATGTCAATTTCAAAGCATGATGTTAAATCCATTCTTTAACCCAAAATGTTTTTTTCAGCCGAAGCTGCGGGTTTTACACAGGAATGGTCAGCCAATTTAAGTGAAAGAGTGGCTCGTCGTCAGATTGAGGTTCAAAGTACTCAGAGTGGAAACGCGCAGCGTTCAAACGAGTATAGAACAGTCACAGCTCCAGATCAGAATCATCCGGACGGACAAGAAGAACGTAAGTATTTGAAGTAAAACCATTTCAGTATTTTAATGATTAATTTTTCCAAGGTGGCATCAAACTGGGACTCGGCGACTTTATCTTCTATTCGGTATTAGTGGGCAAAGCCTCTAGCTACGGCGATTGGACGACCACAATCGCTTGCTTTGTGGCCATCCTGATTGGACTCTGCCTCACTCTCCTGCTTCTGGCTATTTGGCGTAAGGCGCTGCCCGCGCTGCCTATCTCAATTACCTTCGGATTGATATTCTGCTTCGCCACCAGTGCGGTGGTCAAGCCATTTATGGAGGATCTTTCGGCCAAGCAGGTGTTTATATAAACTTAAATCAAAAGACAAGGACATACCAAATGTCTCACAGTATCATAGTCTAACAAAGCTTTTTGTAATCCACTTCTTTATTTAACAAAATGCATAGTAACAACTCCAACTAACTATTGCTTGCGCTTGATTATTGTTTTGTCCACTATGTTGATGAGCCAGCCAGGTTCAAGGCCATAAAATATTTGCCTGGGATCCTTGGCGGTGTTAAGCATTTCGAAGGCGGAATCTTCTTCAATTTTGGGTAACTGATAGCCGTACTTCTGGGCCAGCACCAGCCTGTCTTGGCTGATTTCCTCGGGGTTGGCTAAGTAACCGCGATTTTTGGGATTCGTGTAGTAGTCCACGGCGTCCTGAGGAGGCAGCATCCGGCTGGGAATAGGCACTCCCTTTTGGAACCACTTCTTAGGATTCGACAGCATGTGCAGGCTGCGAGGGTCATAGTAGGCGGTACGGATCACTCCGCCGTTTTTTTCGATAGCTGCTATGACTGCTTCGCTGGCATGTTGCACCTCAATGTTGATCTTGGCCTGGAAATTGTCCAGTCCATCATCCGTGAGCTGGAATCCGTATTCCATTTCAGCGGGTTTCAGATTCAAGAGACCAGAATTGCACAGTGTACTGATGTCGATGGGCTGGCTGATGTCTATCCTGTTGGTGTCTATGAGCACCTGCAGCTGCAGCAGTGAAATAGGCGGATACTGGCGCTTCATGTGGTGTCCCTTGTAGTAAGGCTCATAGGGGAATCTCAAGTAGAAGGGCTGATTCCCTGTCTCATAACCCAGCCGCATGAAATTCTGCCGCTGTCCGGATCCCTTGTTGCCCGCTCCGTGCTTGTCTCCGCCGTGCTGCGCCCTGCCACGCTTGTCCTGCCGGCAAATATAATATAAGTTGACGTTCTATTTACCAATTGCATGTTGTTATTTAACCACTCACATTCTGTTTTGAGTTTGGATTTGGTCGCAAATTGCCAATCTGCACGCGCGGCAAAGTGCGCAATAACTTTAGCGCCTTATCCGAAGTTTCTCGCAGGTGTGCCATGACCAAATTATCTTAATTTATTTGATAAACTCAAGTTTTTCTGACGAAAAATTAAACTTAACACGAGCAGATGACAAACAGCAAACCGCAGCTGGTCAGTTTAGAAATACCAACAGGTTAAAATACCATAATTTAGCAGAAATTTAGCGATATTTATAGTTTTACCAGTTTGACCAGATCGGTCACACTTATTGTTGTCGCTAAACAAAGTACAAATTTTAGATCTGGTTACACTGAGTGCCAACGCGGAATAAAACAAACAACAAATCAAAGCCAATGTAAAAACAATTGTCCTCATTGAAATAATTACAATTTTCCAATTATAAGTATGACGTGTGGAATATGTCGCGGACACAAGGAGAAAACTGTGAAGTGCCTTGTAGCCGCATTGGACACTATCAAACAGCACGCCCTTAGTAAGTCGAACTTTGATTCATTTTTGTTGATACTAAATAAATTATACTATCTGCAGTGATGCAACGAGACTCGGAGGAAAACGCCCGGACTATAGAAAACCTACAAGCCCGCAATGAAAAGCTGCATAAGGCGTTGGACTTGCTAAAAAATCGTCAGGAATCCATAATTCCCGCAGGAAAGCGCAGGAAACTGTCGCCAAAAAAAGTTGTAGATGACATTTCCCCGCAGCCACAAAGCCAGAACTCCTTGAACATGAATATAGCCATCAGCAGTATTGATCTCTCCGACGAGGATCAGGAAATGGAGGAGGATGAAAGCATTGCGGAAACGGAGACTACTGTACTAAGTCCGCGTAAACTAAAACTACCTAACCGGAAGCCGGACATCCGGAATTTGGAAAACGAACAGCCAAACAATGTTACTGCAGGAAGTAACAATTGGATTCGTAAGACGCCCAAAAATTCAGGAGTTCTAACCAAATTGTCACTAACTCACAAAAGCTCTAACTTGCACTTAAAGCAAACACGCCTCAAGTTCGAAGCAAATAAGACGAACACTAGCGAAAAGGATGTCATAGAGGAAAGCCCCAATTTGAGCCTTAAAAGATCTCGGCCCCCAAGATCGTTAATGCAAAGGTAATTATGAATACTATTCACTTAAAAGATATCACAGAAATCTTTCCTAATTAGGGTCATCGTTTACTTTTATACTTTTCTGTTAGATTAAATTCAATATCTTCGTAAAGATTTTTGTGACTCTTTTAGCTATCATTCGTTTTAATTGTAAAAGCTAAGCTTGCAGGACAGACAACGTGAGCGTCTTAAACGCAGACGACTCGCTTACCACCAGCAGCAGTAGCATCATCAAGTTCAGCAAGTCTACTTTTGAGATGGACATGGACGACTTTAATATAGAGTGTTCAAAACAACCGATGATGCCACCACCAGCCACACCTCCGGGCCTAAAAATTAACAGCACGTCAGATAGCGTAGTAATACTGACGCCTGCCACCCAGGACATAATCTTCGTGAATGATACGATTGAAGAAATTAACAAATTGGGCACCATGGATGTTCTGGCCGAAATTATGAAAGACGACGACGAAGACTGCTCAAGCGCCTTAAAGCAGTTTGAGAAAGATATGATTGACCAGCAGAAGCGTCTTCTACCAAATCATGCTAAAGCGGAAAAAACCATTCCAGTAGCAAAAGCTGTTAAAACTGAACCCGTATCTCAGCCAGAAATAGATGTGGGCAATGAATCAACGAAACTCTCGCAGGATATTGAAAAGTATCTAATGGAAATAAAAGAAGAGGAGAGCAAGGAATTGGAGGAGGAGTTCCCGCGACCGCTTTTGGTTAAAAAAGAACCTGAGCTGTCGGTAAAAGAACGTTTCAATATTGAATGTGTGGAGTGCGAAAAGGTTTGTTTAATTTGTTTATCCTAATATAATTTATATTTTACCCGCTTCTTTCACTTTAGTTCATAAATTTCATGGGTACAAATCTGACTGATGAGAAGATCGAAAAGTATTTGGCCAATTGTAAGCACGTAGATGCCATTAGTAACACGCCACCGGGATTCTGGAATCCCCACATGGTTTCCTTTGCCGAAGACGATCCACGTAACGAGGTGTTGATTGACACTCGGTTTAGAGACCAGCGTTTAAAGAAATGACACTTAAGCAATAATTGTGAAATAAGTTGTTCTGTTTAGATCATTTCATTTATTAGTTTTACATGTTGGTACACATTTGTTTCACAAGTTACCACGTTTGGCCTGTTCAATTTCTATTGCCGTGAACAAAGACTTAAAGTTTCCTGCGCCAAATCCCTGAAATAGTTATAAATGTCAATGACTTTTCTTAGAAAAAATAGTTTAAGCAATAAATCTTACATTGTGATTATAGCGTTGGATAACTTCGAGGAAGAGAGTGGGCCGGTCCTGGCAGTTTTTAGTAAAGATCTGCAGCAGATATCCGTTCTCATCAAAATCAATCAAAATGTTCAACTTCTTTAGGACCTCCATGTCCTCCTTAATCTTGGTACGGCTATGCGAGAGCTGTTCCTGAAGCAGTTCATAGTACGAGGCTGGAATGGTCAGGAACTCGGTGCCCCGAGCCTTCAGATTGCTCACCGCCTGAATGATGTCATCCGTGTTGAGAGCAATATGCTGGACACCGCCACCACCGTAGTACTCGACGTATTCCTGGATCTGTGACTTCTTCTTACCATTGGCTGGCTCATTGATTGGCATCTTCACCGTCTCCTCGTAGTTGGCCATCACAATGGAGCGCAGGGCGGAATACTCCGTGTGGATTTGAGAGTCATCCACCGACCAGAAGCGATGAAACTGCAAAATCCTTTCGTACCAGGACGCCACACTCTCCATTTGCAGATCCGGCTGGTTGCCCACCACATGATCAATGAAGTTCAGTTTGGTGGAGGGCAGGCCCTTCAAAAGAACATCCTCAGCAGATTTCTGGAATCCGGGTAGGAAGTCCCCAGCATAACCATTTCGCTCCACGAAAGTGTGGGTGGTATCACCGTACTATATGCAAAATGTGAAAATGATTTTGATTTTTTGTATAAACAATTGTTCAAAGATAAAAGTTACAATATACTTACGGTCTTGATGGTAGCGAATCTCACGAATCCCTGATCATCGCTCTCTTCCCAGATGTCACGAACCACTTCGGCTCCACGGGACACCGCTAGCGTAAAGATGGCATTCAAATCCTCCACTTCGAAGGCTACATCCTTGACACCGTCACCATGGCGCATCAGGTGCAGTCCATGCTCCTTGTCATCCGGTGTGTAAGCAGAGACGAACACAAAGACGATCTTGTTCTGACGGACGGCATGCTTGGCGAAGCGTCGCTCTCCGGTCTCTAATCCCTGGTAGCCAAGTGGTTCAAAGCCCAGACGAGTGGTATAATAGCTGGCCGCCTGCTTGGCGTTGCCAACGTAGAAAGTCAAGTGATCAAAGCTTAGAAATTTGCCGGCTTCAGGCTGTAGAATAAAGAATGTAATTAGTAATGGTTTTATATAATAATATGACATATTTTAAGACTTACTTTGGATCCTTTGTCAGTATAGCTGGTCTGTTGGTGGAGTTAGAAGTGTTAAAATTGGTATTAGAATATAAATTCGGTAAAAGTTTAAATTTAAATGTATAAGCATAAAAACTTAAAAGATTTTTTAAACACACATGTTCAAACTTTTCATTGATAAAATATTTAATATGTTCGAAGTCCACTTTATCCACAATATGTTACATAACACTTGGCACATGTCCCAGCCTATTTACCATTATCACTCAGACTCAATTTATGCTAATCCTCTCCTCACACGCGATATAGATTTGTACGTTTCGTTGATCTTACACGATCTTCAAGATGATTATGGCCTGAGCTAAGCAAATCGGGGCCTTTATATAGGGCCCCTAGCTTCGGTCAGGTGAAAATCCTGTACTAATTTAAATAAAAGCCAAACTAGTATTTTGTTTATTTCAAATGCTATATATATCGGAATATCTTAAGTAGCTGGTTGTTGTTCGCATATTTTAACTGAACTTGCAGAAATTTGTTTACTAGAACAGGTGGACTACAGCTTAATTAATGCAATCTGGAGAATGAATTGCAATTTTGTAAGCTGAGATGGGCCTCCAATGGGGTTTATTCTTATCATTGCGGTCTTTTAGAAGTTTTTATTGTCAAGATTTGTACTTCCTAAAGACCGTTACATGAAAATATCGCTTGTCATTATGCAAAATGTTTGGGCTCATGCCAGAATTCAGTTAAATATTCATGAGGCGGCAGTCTAGTTTGCTCGCAGATCGGTTGCCAAGTCACATTGAACTTGATTCAAGTTTCGAGCCCCCAAAAACGCAACAATAGGCAAACTGAGTGTTAATGTTATCTGGTTTGTTATTGTTATTGTTAGAGTGCATAATATGTAGCGTTATTGAAGTTGTTTTGCATTAGAATCGCTTTGAAAAGTTTCTCAAAACAAATCTTGCGAAAACTGGTTAACAAAGTCGCCTGTTGTTATTATTTAATAACACGGCGCACGCTTCACATAAATAATAAATTTTTATGACTGTTTTCAATCGACTATTAATTGGTAGGATAATGTCTTTAAGAGGATTACAAAAGGACCATTAACTTGATTATTCTTTTTTTCACTTTTGAGGCCTTATGATTGAGTTGTATTTGAATAAAGACTGGTTTTGTGAACTGGAATGTTATTTGAATTATCATTCAGGAATTAATTTTGGCCAGTTCTGCTATTTTTGTTGAAATATTTTTAGATAAGCTTGAAAATGTTTACTTTCTAATCCTAATGCATCATTGCGAAATAATATGACTGCAATCATTTCACTTAGAAATATATTTTACTAAATTTTCTAGATTCTAGATATCTCAAGTTATACCCAATTTCAAGATCCCTTCATCAAGTGATTCACTTGCTCAATTTTTTTTGGGATAGGGCAGTTCTCTAAATCATTTTGACTGACGATTCGTGTCAGGTGTTTGGCAACATACGACAAGTCCATAAATTAATCGTTTTCGAGGGTATGTGGGCTGCTCTAGAGGGCCGAACACATGGCGTATGAGCAATTCAGGCAGCTAAGCATTAATGATTAGCCCTAGACACAGCCTTCTCAGCTGCTGCTGGCGACAAACTACTGATAAACTGACAGTCCAAGAGGGGCAGTGGAGATGGGGGAAAGTGGTTGGAGGGCTACGATATGGTCGATTGGTCATTGGCCAGAAGCCAAATCGATGCTTGACATTTATTATGATTGGCTTATTAGGGCGCTGCAGAGGCGCTAACCTGACAAAATTGGCGGGAGTTGGAAATAAATACTTGTCGCAGAATAGTCCCAGATGTTGTTGTACTCATAAAACCATATGCCATAAAATTGTTTTAATATCGTGAACCAATTAACTTTTTAGGTGAATGAAAGCAAATACTTAAAGAAAGACTATTTAATGCCTAAAACAGAATATAACTTAACTTCTTTTCCCATCATATTATCGTCCTCATAAATAACATTGACTTCTATTTGTTTTTTCTACACCTGGCGCTCCTTGGATTCCATTAGTCGAATATTCTGACGCACTCCACCGGACCTATCCCAATAAAAATCTTTTTCCAGCGATTTACCATTAGCTGAGCAAACTTTTGTCCTTGACGAAGGCAACGGTTTTTTTTTTTGCTCAAATTGGGTTTGTTTTGGGTTTGATGTGGGTAGCCTGTTGCTTTATGGGGATATTATATTTCCAGGAATTCTCCTGCGACCCTTTTATACCCTCTTTTCTCTCGAAATACTCTCTTTCGGTTAGATGGCATTGCCAGCAGGGAAAGTTTCTCACTTGGGGGTTGCTTTCTAAAAGGACGATTCCCAGACAGAAGGATGTGAGTCTCTATTGTTGTCGTCAGTAACTTAGACGGCGGTACACAGAAACAAATTATGAGATTGATTTATATAAGAATCAAAAGTAAAACATACATAAGTATGATAATATGTTTTCATTTCTGAATTTATATTTTTTATTACTTTTGTTTTCAAAATTTTATAAGGTTTCAGAATAGTGGCTTTCGTTTTAGTTATATTACGAGGTGTGTTCAAAAAGTAAGGTGATTCTTCAAATTTCGCGAATTTCAAATTTTTCGATTATCGATTTTTTTGTTTTGTTATATTGGTACACTCTTCCCTAACATCTGTACCAAGTTTCAATGGAACATCCTCTTTTGTTTGGTTGTGAGAGGCGTAAAGTTACAAGTTATTTTGCGAGCTCGGCGATTTTTTGCTATCGAAAAATATGGATCAAAGGATTTGGATTTTTTGGCCAAAAACAACACCACAATAATGCCTCAGCCACCATATTCACCGGATTTGGCCCCATGTGACTTTTTCTTGTTCCCAAAACTGAAGATAATCGAAAAATTTGAAAAATTTGAAATTTGAAAAGTCACCTTACTTTTTGAACACACCTCGTATAACTTCTAAAAGGTTTCGATAATCGAAAAATTTGAAATTCGCGAAATTTGAAGAGTCACCTTACTTTTTGAACACACCTCGTATATATATTGATAATGAATGATATAAAAGTGAAATTTCAAAGAGAAGGCATTTCTCTCAGTGTTGTGTTATTGTCCTTGTTGTTGTGGTTGTTGTTGTTGTCATAGCCGCAAGCTGTCGCCGGTCTACGTCACGCTTTCCATATCCTTCAGTCGCGTTTACTGCGCTGCCCAAACAACAAGCCAAAAAACAAGAGTCGCAGTAAAAAAGATTACAACAAAAATCAGAAGTGTGTAACTACTCCAAAATTATCTAATATTATTTGTATAATTTTATAAAAATAAGAATTGCAATAACTTAAAAATCAAACGTACTTGAACTGTCGCTAGTGTTTTGTGTTTTGAGCCAAAAATCATTTGTCGCCCCAAAACTTTGTTTTTTTCTGCCTGCTGTAAAAATTTATGTTTATCTTTTTTTTTTTAAGTATTGACAAATTGGTGCGCCTCGTTGTGCGATTAAAATCTTAATGTTTAAAAAACGGGAAAAAACAACACCAAATAGTTGGCCCCGAAACAAAAAAAAACGAACAATTTTCGAGACAAAAAATACCCCAAAGCAAGGCAAAAACATTTAAATGTTACAACATAAATTATCTGAAAGAATATGCTCTGAAAGCATTTTTTAGTTAGTGGTTTAAAAATAGTTTATATATGTTATTTTTGCGATTTTGTTGATTGATTGTTCAGTGTGTGAAAATGATCATAAATTTGGTAAAGCCTTTAAAAACACTTGGAACACAGAATTCATTGTGTTGTTCAGTGCTTTGAAAACTGTAAGCGGTGGGGTTACAGTTTTAGATCCGCAGACAAAACGAGTTTTTGTTTGCAAATGAGAACATTCGTTCTTTGTAAATTGACTCTCTGAAAGGATATTTCTCTTGCTTTCTCCCTTACCTTTAAAGGATTACTTTTTTTGGGGTGTTTCTTTGCTGACAGGGGTTAGGAAACTCTACAGAACGCGCATGCGCAGCCACATACCAAATATCTTAGGGTAGGTGAGATTTCGCATATCTTAAGTTCTAAGCAGATGTTTTCTGTTTGCTTTTGAAGTTTCTAAGGTAGGTCGGTTTTTAGGGATGCATAAATTACAATTTTAAAGAACGTCTTTGGAAATAACAAGGAAATTCGTGAATTCTATTTATTATTAAGTTATGCTATTAGATTTTGCATATTTCGTAAGTTTTGGGAAGATTTTTGCTTTTGGTTCTGCGGTTTCTAAGATAACTTGGTTAGGTAAAAAAAAGTACAATTTTTTTAGTATAAGAAATAGATTTTTATAGACTTCTAATGAAAAAAGTAGTTTACTTTTGACAAACTTATGCCAACACCATTTGCGGAGCCTGAGGTAAAACCAAATATTTGCATGCTAATTTGCGAATATAATTCGGTTCGCGTGCTTAAACTTAATCGAAAATATTCGACAGAGTAATTTTTTCATTATCTAACATATAGTCGCGCCCTTTTTAGTGGCCACTTAGAGAGAGAGGGAGAAGTGGCTCGTTAAAGCCATAAAAACATTACCAGAGGGAGGCATTCTCGGCATGATTCACTTTCACCTTGACACGCTTTCCCCGCCTCAATATCCTTTACAGTGAGGTGGAACGGTATTAAGTTCTTTAAGCCAGCTGCCGACATATATAAGATATTTTCATATATATATAGTTGAGATATTTACACGCGGAATTATGGATTTAAGTGCTGCGGTAGATGAAACCACATCAAGCGAAAGGCATTAGGAAAATACAATAACAGCCCACAGATCTTGAGCCCGGCAGAATTTAATAGTCTTGGGTAATTCTAGAAAGTAAGGTCCATAAAACGATGCTTTCCAAACACAAGAAATCGGACGGTTTGGCCTGTTGAGATTTACGATTTTTGGATTGAGAAAAGCAGAAGGGCCGCTGCCATGCATAGCAGGTTGCAGTTGTACAAATAAACAAAAGATTCGAGTAGGAAAACTTCCTAGCCAGCTCGTTTATGTGAATTTTCATTTTATTTTTAAAACACAAAATTATGAAGCCCAGCGAAAATTACACATGCATATATATATCGTCTAGGTATAGATATAGAGATGCAGATCTATATCTATTTCGAAGGGATCGTTCCGGGGCATTTAGGTGGGCATAAATTATAAAAATATTTCAATGTATGTCAGATATTGTTTGTTCGGTATGCCAAGGTATGTTTGTTGTTATGGAAGGGGAAATGGTTCTGCTACATTTTTAACAAATTACTGGGCTTATTAAGAGCCAATATTATTAATGGAGCATCAGTTTTGAGGCTATTTGATTAAATGCCTGTTGATGGCTTGCGTTAATAAGTGGGAAGTGAAATGAGGCTGTGTTTATCGCTCTGTAAATGCTGACTTCGCGGTTAACGATCTTATCAGATTTTAGATAAATTTATACTATATATCTTAGTAGATTTTTTAATATTTAAACTTTACTGTATCCTTAGTGTTGTACGGCTTAGTTTTTAACCTTTTTTTTAATTTATAAAAAACGAGATAAGAATTACTTATTATTATTACTCACTTCGAAATTCCTTTAAATGCAAGCGTTTAGTGGCTTTTGCTTTTATTCAACTCGAGAGGCTTCCCCCAACTGGCGGTCGGGCATTTAAAGCTCCACGAAGGTAGTACTCGTGTTGAACGTCGTTTTTTGATATCAAGGCACAGTGTGAAATCTTCTTCACATATATTAAACAAATATTGTGTAAATTCAGCTACACTGCTCGGAGCTTGGGAAAAGATAATACTGTTTAATTAATAAATGAGTTTTTCATTTTTTAATGTAAATAATAAGTTAAATGACTTTAATACATATTATATGGTGTAGTGTATATCATTTTCAAATTATAATTTCATAAAGCTATTACTTAAAATTAATTTTTAAAAATTTGTATTTAATGGCGATACTTTGAGTTTTCTAAGATATTTTAATGATATAGAATAATTATATAGTGACAAATTCTTTAGTATTTGTATAGTCCTTAATTTGACAGCAATACTGCCGTTCTGGCCCACTGTGCGCCGCTCTGCCGCAGCGGAGAAGTCAGTGCGAGTGGCTCAGAACGAATTTGCATAGGCTGGGAATCGGACGTGCGGCCGTCGATCTTGATGCGAAACCATCGCAGCGGTACGACAAATATTATTTCTACCACTCCACCTCCTCACGTGCGTTTTGGGTTATTTGTAACTTGAATTTATGAGATGCGTTGAGTGAGTCCGCCGGCCAGCTTCTTAATAAATTATTCCCCAAAATACCAAACATTTTTCGGTGAAAAAGAAATATCAACCAAAATTCTAAAGCAATTTATCAGCAAGAAAGCAGATGAAAGGGGAAAGATTTTGTGCAATATTTTGTGGATATGTGGAAATGTTTTATTTTGAGTTTTAATTTGAACAAAGAAATATTAAGGATAAAGTGTTAGTTTTTAATTCGACGAATAACCAGATTAATTTCTCGAATAGTGTTACAGAACTTATTACCAAATATTGAAAATTCGCAAAGAATTTGCTAACTAAACCTTGATAGTTATGATAATAATATAAAATATCCCCAAACTTGCAATTTTATAAATCATAATTTAATTAATTGACAATTTGCATCTATCTAAAAATTGGCCTAGTTAACCAACTTTAAGTTGCCTGCCAAATCAAATTACAGCAACCGAAAGGAAAGCGATAAAAATTGTTTAACAATACATCAGAAATGCCATTAAACCAATCAGCTGTAAAGTGAATTAGACAAAAGTTGTTCGTGTGGAAAGCACATAGAATCAGAGCCTTATATGCGATTGGAATCTATATTCAGATCACGACCGCATTCTAAACATACTATATAGTCTTGCCCGATATCTCTCTCTAAATCTGAATCTTCGCATCCGTGCGACTTACAGATCGTATCCGATTGCTGCGACCGCAACGAGAGGCATTAACTAAACCGAAATAAAACGCCAATAAAATCCAGCTAATTAATGTGATAATTGTGCACAATAAAAAAAAATGCTCGAAATCGAAACACTAAGCACGATGAGGAACGAATTGGTATACTTGGTACTTGCCGTTGAGAACTTCCAGTGCCCGAGATTACAGCAATTACAGCCGTCAAGATCCATCGATAAACCTTTAATCCCAAAGGTCAGCCTGCGTTATCAGTCCGCCATTTTCCCATCATTCCTGGCCCTTGGGATTGTGCTAACGATCTGCCTCGGATCAGTTCTCGGTGCTCCCCAATCCTCCTGTATCATGTGCAAGGAGGAGGACCTGCGACCTCGCGTTCCACCGTATAGCGAGAGCTTCGAGGAGTACACCTTCGACCACCAGGTGACCCAGCAGGCGGCCATGCAATTCATTTTGAAACTCAATGGGAGTAAGTATTCCGTGCAGTGTGATTCCAAGTTCTCATTTAAGCTTAAGTGTACTAAATACTTTTTAATGTTATCTGAGAATTGGGGAAAACTATCTTAACTTAAAAATACATTTTTTAAACAAACTTCCTTTGTTGTAAAATGTTTATATAATCTGTCTTTGTAGCAAGAGGTCAGAACAATGCCTGCAGTTCGATCACATGCCCACCGAACACCTCCAAATACTGCCTAGGAATTCAGGTAGATAGTATAGATAATCTCTATTCCTCATTTTTAATCGAATCTAATCATTGTAATGAACTATATATATTTTATACATTTCTTTTGCAGTTCATCAAAGATCATTGCTGGTGTGAACTGCAACATCGAGAAGGTAAGCTGATAGTGAAATTATTTACATAGGTTGATATTTATGACTTGCCACAAGAGCTTCAGCAGATGGCGCCAAACAATAATAAACAAAACTTTGCAACTTCTTTGCTGTAAAAGACTCCCACAGTAAACACACAAAATAAAGACGTGCCACTAACCCACTTGCAACGCAGCGGCAAAATCAACTCTCTAAAGAGGCTCATTAGCTAATTTTGTCCGATTCAGCAGAGGCCCTTAACAAGCTGCACTCACGCAAACTACTGGGTATAATTCTACCCTTGCGATGACGCAATAGTCCAAGTTACTATCTAAGATAAAGCCACAGAACTATCCCATGGTCGTAAAGGTGGCAGACACTTATTCTATCGGTTGTTGTTCTCTTCCACTTGGCACGTGATGCGGCACGGAAGTTGTTAAGTCTGGTCCATTGATTAGACCGCACTCTAATGCTGCGACACGCTTCATTGGCTCGACTTGCAACCAAAAGAGTGAGGCTTCTGTGGGAAAATCTTATGGTTTTTGTAGATTTTATAAGATTTATTTCTATTCAAATCTCCAATATTATCTTTTTGTATATAAAAATGTGCTTTGGTGTTTGGTATTTTTGATTATTTCTTACATGCTATGTTATCTGTGTCATCTTAAGTTATATCTACTGTACTATTACTTTGGAATTCCTAATGTCCAAGCGTCAGTTTATAATTCGTTCAGTTGATTTCTTCTCTGTTCAAATTTTCGACTTGTCGATATGTGCATTCTGCCTTGTTGGGGAGAATTTTTGTGGGTTCGGCGCTTGGGTTGTCTACAGTTGAATGATTTTCTTCAAGGCGCGCAGTTTTCCATGCCCCTGTAGTTTTCCTTTTCGAATGCAACCGACTTTGAATTGAATTGTTTTGTGTGGGCCACTCATTAAATTTAATTTTGTTAATTTCACTTTATTTGATTTTGGATTGTTAGGCATTTGGGTTGGTTGTTAGCCCTTTAAGTTCTCTTGCAGGAAGAAAGTGCAGTTGTACAAATATTTTCTGACTAAATATTTACAAACAAAATATTTATGAATTCCTGGAAACGCTCTCTTAAAGGGCTAAAAATTTGTAATTGCAGTTGTTTATTTACCCAAGATAATGATACTCTGAAATATCTGATATCCCTCTTTCCGGTTTACTTAACGTTTAACTTGATCATCTTACAACTGAATTGGGCCATAAAACGTATTGACATTGAATTTCGTAACCGCCCTTAAAAATACTTATCACCTTATCGCTTATAGTGCAAAAACTTAAGTATAGTATCTGACAAATACTTTTTCTCTTGTCAAGCACAAGCTTATGATCACAGCAAAAATATTATATTAATATTGACTCAACATTTTTCTTTAGTATGCTATAGGCAATTCCAACTACCGGCAACAAATCCATTCGATAGGAAACGTGCCTGAAATAACAATCGGAAAACACCTGCCCGGGCATCCAAGTGGGTGGCTATTCCTAGTACTGTTCACTGGCCATTTTTAGGTGCCGCTTATAGCGCCCAATTCCAAAATTTCCATAATTTTGCGCCATTAAATTTGACAGCAATTTCGCTAATTCCTTTTTTTTCTCTAAACAACTTCCCAATTAAATCAATTTATTATTTTAATAATTATGGAAATGTTGACAGATGAAATGTGAATCATAGCAGCTTTGAAAATAATCTCTATATAGATCGTTATTTACTTTTCCTTGATAGCAACATTTTTCGTTGCCTCATGTAATCAATCACGATCATTATACATTTTTCTTTTTTAACAATCTGTCGATTTTTATTTATTTTTCCCATTGACCTCGGCTACTCAGTCGTCGCTAAAGATTATTAACAATTGCGAGAGCAGTCACTAAATTGACCCGACATATTACACGCTTATACCCGTGTCTGTTTACATTAAGTAATAATTATTTAATTGCATAAATATCTGCGACACGCACCATCAAAAACTACTAAATATTCATTGTGTTGGCTTTTCAATGTTCTACAAAATGTAGACATGGAACTTCATAAAATTCAACACGTTGAGTTTCTGTAAACAAATGGGAATCTTTTATAAACAGGGCAACCGAAAAATAATACAGGCATGTGTTATGACCCGATCGAAAAACAATGCCGTTCATATTTAGTCACTAGCCTAAGTTTATATTTTCTTCAAAATTATTGGGCGCTTTTCGCGCGCAGCTCCTAATAAACATATTCTATTTTATTGATTTCCGTTTCTACTCAAAGCGAAAAAGTTCCATAAATTGTATATTTAAATTAAGTGGTTTCTATTATAAAAAGTTAAGCACTTGATTTCAAAATGGGGGCAGCACATTGAATATTTTCAAAAAATTTTCTAATATTTTCTCTATAAAGTCAGCCACATAAAATATTCAATATTTATGGTTTTGTAAATGACACAGACAGCTGAGTATTCTGTAGCTTAAAAACATTGACTTGAGGTCAAATAAATTGTTAGGATTTATAATATTTAAGTACTGAATTATGATATTTATTTTTATTATATTCTATAATATAAAAATTTGTAAATATTTTTAGTTGGATAAAAAATCAGCCTACCAAATTTGACTCAGTCAAATATATTTTAAGGCAGTCATCGGGAAGTTTAGAAACATTTTACATGACGAATACTATACACCCGTTTCCGTCTTTAAAAAGATAATTTCATTAAAAGTATTCTAAGTCATTTCAAAATAATCTTAATTTTGTGACACACGCTACGTGACGCATTTTATAATGTAAATTGTGGGTAAAAATGTGAAAGATTCATAAAATAAATCAAAAACAACAAATTAACATCTAGTAATATCATCTTAGTAGATAGGAAATATAAAATAAAATTTATAAAATTACAAATTATTTCAGAGGGTCTGCCCTATGTGCCTCATACTTGCTTTGCGGACCAGAAGGTACACACATCCTCCGTGGACTCCTGCTTCACATTTGTGCAGGTCAAGGAGTGCTGTTGCGCTGAGATCTGGTTTAAAAAGTGTAAGTATCATAAACATTTGCATTACTTACTTCCCATAGAGCATTTATCAGCTTAACTCGTAATATTTTCATCTGGAATAACAAAATCCATGCTATATGCCCATGCCACTCACACATGAGGAGGGATTAACAAAGCAATGCTAATTTAATAATGTAAATATACTTTTTCGATGATTCTGTTTCAACACGGCACCTTCGATAAACATTCAAATACCAGAAATAACAGCAACAATAGCCAAGAGATCATGTCAATATCATTCGCTGGCAGAAAATCGAATCATGCTAATTATATTTAGTTTATAATGCTAATTGAAATCGCTCACACCAAATATTCGGTTGGGCGTCAAAAGAGAGATCTAAATCATACAATACAAGCCTTTAAATATGGCAAACTATAAATTTGAAAAAAGGGTAATTAGCCTTGGTTGTATATTATCGTTGTGTAGTTTATACCAAAAATTTTTTGAGCAGATTCTCATAATAAACATAACACTTTGCCTAAAGTCAGCTCATAAATAAATTTGAGAAAAGCTGGAATAACAAATTTGAAACATTTTTCCAGAGAATACTTTGCAGCTGCTTAATAATATTAAATTGCATTGGGATTACTCAGCCAAGTAGAAAATGAACTAATAATTAATCCTGCATTTTTATTTCAATATTTCCAGGGCAACACATTTCCGGCAGCTCTCGAAGCCAGCACATACCAAAAACATTAATACTCATGCTTTCTATGTTCAGTGTGCTCCATTGGATGAGTAGAAGAAGGATATTCTGTTAAAGTTGAGACGATGAAGATCGAAGTCATCGTGTAAAAAAAAGTTGTACAACATAGTCATAGCAAAGTAGGATCTAGATGTAAAAGCATTCGAATAAGTGTACTTAGTTCAAACAATGTCCAATGGTAATCAAACCTACTTGCTAAGCATATATTTAAGCGTTAATAAATACAAGTTTATAAAGCTAACCGACTTTAGTTAGCGTATGGCTTAGATCACTAAATAAAGAAGCTGTAACTGCTTGCGTGCATTTTAAATAGGACAACATATTAATGAACAAAATTAAAAATAGTTTATAACACGTGCCGCGCTAAATATCGTTTGCTTATTTGCTAAATTTCGCCTTAATAACTAGTTTCGGTCCACTAAACCTCGAGTTCAGCAAGTCGGCCTTAAAAGTCTATAGTCTCCACGATTTTTATAAGCTGGTACGGCTGTTAAGCGTACGCTGCAAGGCATTCACACAAGACAGCACGTCCTCGTAGTCCTTGGACCATTCACGCAAATTACGTTCCAGGGACTCAAGTCTCATCTGCCCCAAGCGCATTCCTCCGTGTTTGATGGCCGCATAGCAGGAGCAAGCCAAAAGTTTGAAACACTGCCGCCGCACCGCGTTGTGTGCATGGCTCTCCCAGTTGGGCGTACTGGCCACACATTGCCAGGCCATGGAGACGTAGTCTACCAGGGCGTCCCAATGAGTGGAGTCGTGCAGGCGTTTGGCCTGAGATTGCAGAACTCTTTTAAATTCGGCAAGATGCATCGACGCTTTTGAGTAGGCAGCCGCATCTGTCTTCTTGCATAGTCGAGAGGTGGGAAGAGATTTGAATATGAGCCGCTTAGCATGGTGCAGCTCCTGCTCCAGAAAACTGAAAACAACAATAACAAATTATTCAATTATCATATCTTTAAAAGATGCTTGATCATCAATTGAGGATAGTGTGGAAATTTACCTAATATCAGGCGTGGGCAGCTGCCTTCGAATATCCCCCTCATCACTCGCACTCTTTATGTTGTTCATAACCAACTCGATTAGCTGTTCCTGAGATAGACCCTGCAACAGGGAAGGTAGCGATGCTTCGGTATTCGTCTGCCCCACGGGACGATCTTCCATTTTTAGCTTCTTTACTATTGGTGTACCGGGCCAGAGTTGCTTGGTGGTGACCATCTTAATGGGCGAATAGGTGTCCATGGGCGTGGGCTCCGGTGGGGTGCTGCCCATGGTTAGCCGCTTCCGTGGAGAGCTACGCAGGATCATGCCGCTGGTCATTTGCAGATTTTTGGTGGGCGTGCGCTGAAAGGGGCTACGCATAGAGGAACCACCAGAGGCACTTCCTGCTCCTCCATTTACTTTATCAGGAGAAAAAGTGGTGGTGAAACGTCGGCGACCACGTTGTCGGATGACTAACTCATCCGGTGATGGAAGCGGTGAAAAGACGAATTCCTGTGCCTGCACCACGTTAACATCATTATCCACCCGCAGGCCCAATCCACCGTTGGCGTTTGGTGTGTTGATTATGGCCGCCGGAGTCGGTTCATCCGGAGTCCGGCGATTGGCGTTAGTCGGAGTGTTGGCCATGCGCAGCGCCTCCAGACGATCAGGGATCTCGGCCAACGCCATTCGCGTCTGCAGCGGGGTCGTCATTGCGATGCTGGCTGCTGGAAAACAATTTGGATACGCATCAGGATTGTATAAACATTTTCACGCCGCCCTGCACCTGACGTACCACTTGAATGCTTTGCTTTATCTTCGCTGCAGAGGTAACAATCTTGGCGTGGGCGGATGTTTTGTCTTCCTGGCACTCAGACCTCTTCGGGTTTATCTTTTGGCGTCCCTCCCGCGAATGCAACTGTAATATTTTGCTTATTTTTGTTTAAATTGCGCCAATTCGCTTAAGGTGGCAGCGCGCTCTGGAGATGTGCCTTCTTAATCGATACTATCGCATCTAAAGCTATACCGTACACACAGTTAAACACCATGTCAACAGGTATGGAATAATTTTATTTGTATTACCAAATTTGTAATTTAAAGAAAATTTCTGCTTAATAGTGCTTAAAAAATCATCTTATTTCATGTTTGTAAAAAGATGATTATCGTGGAGTGTCTGGCAACTCTTAGACGTTTTTATGTGTATGGCCATCCGGCAACCTTCTGCCAGGCAGAACCTGCCTTCTTTCCATCCGAATTTCTTTTGGTTAAGGTCGTTTGCGCGCAATAAGTTTCTGTTAAAAACTATAAAAATGGAACTGATCCAACTTATAATAAGCACATTAGATGCTCAACATAAGAGCATAGTGTCGTTTCTAAAATGTGACAATTTACACGACGTTATTAGGTGAAACAACTGGCAAATTGGATTTTATGGGAACACAATTTCCACGTGGTGCAATGTAAGACTCCTAGAGGCACTTTGAAATATTCTTATTTCTAAGGTAAGTTCTTAAACAGTACTTAATTTTGCTTAACAACTCGAGTGATGACATCTACATACCCAATGCAGAAAACTCATGTTGAAAAATACTTAACATGCATCACCATCTGATCGAGTTTTTTTTAAATTAGTGAAGGCTAATATATTCAAGAATCTAAAATTTTTAGTTTACCATTGCAGGTGAATGAAATCTTTGAAGTTAACCAATAATAGGAACAATGCTGTCTTCTTCGAATTTTTAAAAGGTAATGCCATGTTTAATTTTAAGAAACTGTTTATTTCCCAAATTGATGACAACTTCATACCCAACTCAGAGAAATTATGTTGAAATCTTTCTAACATGCATCACCATCTGAATAAAAGTTTTAAGTCTAGTTTATGTTAGTAAAAAACATTTTTAATTAATTTAGCTTGTCTTCTATTTTGCAGGTAGTACGTTGATGCTAAAGGAACAGTTTTTAGCAAGGATCATTGATGGGATCTTCAAAAGGTAATTACCATTCCTTAGCAAATATAAATTTTATTGATTAAATTGATGACAATTTTATACCCAACTCAGAAAAATTATGTTGAAATCTATTTAACATGCATCACCATCTGAATAAGAACCCTTGAATAAAATCATTGGCTATTTTAACTTTTTTTTAACTAAACGTCTGTCTTTATTTTGCAGGCTGAGCTCCTTGGTAAGGATTTTCCAGTGCATATATGTAGTTTGGATCAAATTTAAGGTATGTTTTAATATAATTTTTGTGTACATAATTTTTACATTCCTATTGATGACAACTTCATACCCAAATCAGAGAAATTATGTTGAAATCTTTTTAACATGCATCACCATCTGAATAATACAAAAATATTAATATTCCTTTAATTTATACATGCATCATTAACAAAGATTTTTTTTTTATTTTCCAGGCATTGTTTTCCTTACCATCTTCGGACAAAAGGCTTTTTAATATATAAAATAAATTCTTTATTTAAGCATAGAAAATAAAATATTTTAACTGTCTTAATTTGAAGATCTTACAAAACTGTTTAACATGCTCCCCACAACAATAACAAGCTGAGGAAGAGGATTTCTTTCTTGTGCAATCCATTCCAACTAGATGAAGCACCTATTCCATCAAAGTACACCTCTTTGTGGGCCGTTTTCCGCACAGCAGCACCTCCATTGAAGTCGCGCTTCTTCTTGAAGCTCTCATAATACCAATCCATGCCGTCTTTGCGATCTACTCGATCCACCTGCAGGAGTTCCACCTCTGTGCGTTTCTGGGCTTTAGCCGTGAGCTGATGTTCGCTGGCCACCCCCTCGTTATCCGCACTGGGCGTAGTTCGTTGGTATTCCTCCGCGGTGGGTTGGGCCACCTGTTGCTGGTAAGGCGTGTACACTTTGGTGATGGTGGAGCGTCCTCCACCTCTTAACGGTGGAGAAGGAGGTGGCGGTGGTGGCACTGTGCTTGTGGGACGGGCTGGTGTGACTTGATAGTCAGTCGGGCTCTGAGGCGTTGTGGTGGTCACCCAGGAGCGACTCTTGATCTGCGCCACATGCTCTTCAGCAGGGGGAATTAGCAAGATCGTCTCCGCTGTGGTTGTCTGGACCATAGGAGGAGGCCTTAGCAATGTCACAGATTGTGCCTCCAGATCGTCATCATCATATTGTGATTCCTGCTGTTCACTGCTGGATGAAGTGTCATATATAGTAGTGCCTTGGGTACTAGTAGTTGTAGTACTCCTTGCTGTAGTCGTTGTAGATGCTCTGGTTGTACTGGTGGTGATCCTTGTCATCAAGGGTGTTGTCGTGGTAACATCCGGAGTGGTTTCTGTGACTTCATATGTAGCCGTCTCTGAAGATTCACTGCTACTTTTGGTTGGCCTGGGACTTGCCTGAATGGAAATGGGTATAAACTTTCTTTCGCCTTTGCCTTGGATCATTTCCGGTGATTTTGCGGTGACATTTACTGCCTCCACCAAACCACGCCGTTGCTGAGGATCATGTACAGGCATAAAACCACCGACATGGACTGGAACAATGGGACGGAAACCACCGCGTTCGATGCTTGATGGCTCACGAAAGGTGGTGCGAAAGACACCCACTGTGGTGGCGGCACTTCCACTCTCATTGCTCAGTGCATCCTCCACGGAAGAAGTGGTGGACTCCGTATCCACATAACGATTCCTGGCTATGTTCTGCTTCTCCTGCTGCTGCTGATCCTTCAAGTACTTTTCAAACTCGGCACTGTTCGGCTGATACATCCTCGTTTTCCCACGACCACTGGGCAGATTTATATGAGCCATTCGATGGGTGGCGGGCATCTCATCAATACCACCATCCGTTCGCTGTTTTCGTCCACGATCTCCAAAACCGAAGAACCTACCCAAACTCACACTGGGCAAGGGATATCCAAAGAAGGTAAAAGGTGATCCATTTCCTGGCTGAGGTCTTCGATTAAAATATTTCGTATTGAGTATGGTATTATTCAGATCTAGATTGCTGTTTAGTGTGGGATTCGGCTTGGGTCGCTGTGATGTACTGATCACGGAGTTGGTGGTATCTGGTGCTTCGGTGGCATCTACATACTGATCATAGAAGTACTCGCTCTCCCCGACCAGAGGGCGATCGCCTGGTAGTCGTGTACCCTCACTCGCCTCACACTCATCATTGAAATCGTCAGGCAAATCTCGTTGAAAGACATCGCCGTGCTCATTAAGGAGTGGCAACTGATTGCCATCGGTTCGTTCATTGCCATAGATATCTGGACCCACACAGAGACTCCTCTCCATGCGGGCTGCTCTTAGAAGTCGGCCATCTTGGCACTTGGGTCCTGGGTATGGGAAATTTGTTTCCTGCAGCCACACAGAGAGCCACTGCATTTCGCAATTGCAGTCAATGGGATTGCCTGGTATATGGTAAACGTATTATTACTTAAAGTTATATATCTTTAGTTCTTCTTGTTATGGTTTATCTTACCGTCCACATCCAAAATAGCAATGTTTCCCCGAAGGTTTCGGAAGGTACGCTCTTTAATGCTTCTAAGTTGGTTATTCCTCATGGAGAGAACTCGCAAACGGGGCATCGTTTCGAAAGGAGAACCCTGTTTAGGAAATGTTAAATATTAATTAAAATATATGACAGTCACTATATCAGTTAACGTACCTGAATCCTACATATCTGATTGTTGTCCATTTTAAGTTCCACCAACCAATTAAGTGCCTTCAATGGCATTGTGGACACCAGCTTGACCCCATTGGTGGACAGATCCAAAACTTCCAGATTGCGCATGCTGCGAAGACCAATATTCTCCATGTTTCTAAAGTGATTATTGGATAGATTCAGGAAAACCAGGGAATTGGCATTGTGGAAGCTTTCCGGAGAGATGTAGCGCAGTTTGTTGTACTGAAAGTGGGATGCCAGCAGATTTGGCAGCTCTTCAAAAACATGATCCTTCAGCTCCACTAATTTATTATCAGCAAGGACAAATTCCTGAAGTTCATCAAGTCCTTTGAGAGCTCCAGGTTCTACATTTCGGATCTCATTGCTGCTTAGATCTAAATATTGCAGCTTAGGAAGGTTTCGGAAAGTTCCTTGCTGAAGCTCTACAATGAGATTATTGGACAAACGAATCTCCACCACATTTCGCCAGCCACCAATCACATCGGATTGGACACGGGATATTTGATTATAACTCAGATCGATGTCTCGCAGGTTGTTTAAGTTACCCAATCCCACTGATATGTCCAGGAGGGCATTTCCTGAAAGATCCAGATACTCCAGAGATCTCTGAGTATCGAATGCCGTTGGCGAGATGCTCCTTATGAGATTCCTGGATAGGTCCAGCTGCTCTAGCCTACTGTTGTTCGAGAAGAAATTATCTGTAATGGCTTCCAATTTGTTGGACTGTAGGTTTAGATTCCTTAGTTCCGCTAAGGGCAGCAAAGCTCGCTCATCCGCTTCACCCAGTTGATTTTCCTGTAAGTGTAGCAGCTCCAAACGTTGGATTCCTATAAAGGATGTGTCCTCCAGTTGACGTAGCTCATTCTGAGCTAGACTCAAAACCCTCAATTCCGAGGCCCCCTGAAAACCATGTCTTGGGAGTTGTTCTATGCGATTCTGGCTAAGATCCAGCATTCGCAGGTTGGGCAATTGCAAGTCTTTGCTAGCGGCTGCTGGTAGTGAAGTAATATGGTTACCCTTCAGCGAGATGCGCTCCACAATTCTAGGAAGTCCTCCGATAACTGTCTTTAGCTGATTGTAACTGGCATCCACTTCAAAGAGTCTCTCCAAATGGATTAGGGTGGAAGTGTGGATTTTGGTCAGCTCGTTGGAGGATATGTTGAGAGTTTCGAGGAGGGGATTATGACGAAAACTATTGGGTGCCAGTTCGGTTAGCCCATTCTCGCTAAGATCCAGACGTCGTAAAGAGGGAAGCCCGGCCAGCAACTGGGAATCCACTCTGCCAAATTGATTCTGAGCCAAGTCGAGTCCTTTTAGGCCAGGAAGATTCCAAAATGGTAAAGGTAAATCCGAAGACAGACTATTATTCCTCATCCGAAGTTCCCTCAAGGCGGGCATGGCCATCAAAGCATCCCTTTCAATGAGTCTCAGATGGTTGTGGTTGAGATGCAGTTGCTCTAGAGTTCCATGACCACGAAGAGCCCCATAGGGTAGTTCGCTCAACAGATTGCCACTCATGTCCAGATAGCGTAGAGTGGGTAATGCATCCAACAAAGCCCTTAAAGCCTCCACATGACCAATCTCATTATTGTAGATGTGGACCGCCTCCACGCCACTTCCACTAGCCTGAAGTAGAGATTCGGGATGTATCCGTCGGATGAGATTGTTCTGCAGATAAATTGTTTTCAATTGAGGTGTGCGCAGGAAAGCTCCATATTGCAGTTCCGTAATCCTATTATCATTTAAGTGAAGCTCTGAAAGATTGGGCAGATCCACAAAGGAGCCGTCCTCTATAACAGTGATGAGGTTGTGGTCCAAACGCAGTTTCTTCAAATGCTCCAGATCCTTAACAATGCGGCCCACCATGCCCACATCACTGATCTGATTGTAGGAAAGTTTTAAGCTGACCAAGTTGGGTAATCTGGACAGAGCTCGCAAGTGAATCCAATTAAGACCATTGTGGGAGAGATCAAGGTTCTTCAGGGAAATCAAACCATCAAAGAGACCCGCCTCCAAGCGAGTGAGACCTACGCCTCCTGTTATATGTATATGCTGTAATTTGGGGAGATGTCTAAAAAGATGGGAAGGCAACTCCTGGAGAGCTCCTGTTTGGACACTCAGATAGGTCAAACTAAGCAGTCCAGAGAAATCTGGAAGATGCTTTAACTCATCACTCTGGATGGTGATGGCCAGCATATTAATCATCCCGTTTAAACTCTCCGCTGGAATGCTGCGCAGTTGAGGTTCCACCACAAAAATCTCCACCAGTCCGTTCTCAAGCTCATTCAGCCATCCATTGGATACCCTTTCGATGCTATTGTGCCGCAGCATCAGTCGTACAATCTGCAGGCTGCCAAAGAAACGTCCTGGCAATGCTGGTAACTGGTTGTTCTCCAGCACCAGTTCATCAATCCGTCCTTTTATGTTTCGTTCCACAGCTTTTAAGCCGTCTATAATCTGAGGCAGGTTGCTGTGTGAGCACCTGTTGGGAAAAGGTAAGTCTTCGAATATTTAAAAAATATTTAGCACTTTAACTTACCATATCTGGATTTCCTTTCCGCGCAAGGAACAGCGACAGGGTAAAATAGCCTGCGATGGAGGACAACTTTCTGCCCTGATCAGAGTAAAGCCAATACAGAGCAGCAGGAAAATGGGCAATAACATCATGGCAATAAGCTAGACCATTGGTTTTTTTGACGGAATGGATTTGTTGTGGCCAACTGGGTACATAGCTGTGGGGAAAAAAAAATGCATTTATAATTACAAATTTATTTATTATTTCTTTTAATCTTGTAATTCAAAACCAAGCTCAACAATCTATTACACGAATTAAGTTATTTGCGTTAAAACAAAGTCACTAATCTGAAATTTCAACAACAAGTGAAATCAATAAATATCATCTAAGAATAGCAGCCAGCAAACAAAAATGAAAACAAACGTCATAAGGGAACAGGTGGTTAGGAAAGCCGTCGTATATTCATCATATTTAACGCGCGAAATAGATTGAATTAAAAATAAATTATGGTTTATTACGGCCAATAGTTCCGCCAAACTCCAGACAAGACCCCCTCGATAGAGATTTCAGTTCCTATCTAACACGAACAGGTGCACGCTAATCGGGACATTCATGCACTTGAAAAATATTAGTATGAAAGGTTCTAAAGATTAAAAATAGAAAAATGCATAAGTTTTCATATATAAATTAATAAATTCGAATCCTTAAATAATATTAATTATATTTTAAGAATTTCAATTTATAATAGTTATTTATTGCTCAATCAGTATCGGCTAAGAAGTGGAACCACCAATTTTTAGAGTGTGCCAGACAAGGGTATCTCCATAAATCAGGGGCGACACAGGGCCCTGTTTCGACCATGAGATAAGAACCGACTATATAAAGAAGGCCCCACGGTCAGTTGGTCAGCAAGCTCGATTGCCCACAATGAATCCAATCGTTTATACCCTACTGTTCAGTTTGGTGGCGGGTCTAGCCGTCGCCGAGAAGTCGGACTATTGTCTGAGTGAGATCATCAAGTCGGATGAGAGGATCCGTTCGCACGGATATCCCGCGGAGACGCACAAGGTGACCACTGAAGATGGTTATGTCCTGACCCTGTTTCGCATCCCCTACTCCCACAAGCTGAAGAATCAGAACGAGAAACGTCCTCCGATTCTACTGCAGCACGGATTGTTTAGTAACTCGGACTGTTGGCTGTCCTCCGGACCGGATAACTCCTTGGCCTATCTGCTGGCCGATGCCGGTTACGATGTGTGGCTAGGCAATGCCCGTGGTAACATTTACTCGCGGGAAAACATCATCATCTCGCTGAACAGTCACAAGTTCTGGCACTTTGACTGGCATGAGATCGGTACCATCGACATCCCAGCCATGATCGACTACATCCTGGACAACACTGGCTTCCAACAGATCCACTACGCTGGACACTCGCAGGGAACTACTGTCTACTTGGTAATGCTTTCTGAGAGACCTGAGTACAACGACCTCATCAAGTCTGGACATTTATTGGCTCCATGTGCCTTCTTCGAGCACGGAACCTCATTCATCTTCAATGCTATGGGTCCTTTGGTGGGCACTCCTGGAGGAATCTGGAACCAACTGCTGGTGGATACAGAATTAATCCCTCATAATAACCTGGTCAACCGTTTGGTGGACAACAGCTGTCATCTGTCCAGCTCGATCTGCAACAACGCTTTCGTCATGTTCGCCAACGGCGGTTACGTGAATGCCAATGCGGTGAGTACGATCAAGATATATACGTAACGAAAGATGTCTGTTAGATTCTTAACTAAAATATGAAGTAATCTGTATAATACCTCCCTTCTCTTTCCAGAGCTCCATGAGCGTCCTGATTGAGACCCACCCAGCTGGCTCCTCCAGCAACCAGGGAATTCACTACCTGCAGTTGTGGAAGTCCTTGAAGTTCCGTCAGTATGATTGGGGCACCAAGAAGAACAAGGAGCTGTATGGCCAGGACTTGCCACCAGATTACGATCTCAGCCTGATCACCGCTCCCACTCATTCGTACTCCAGCCACAACGATGCCCTTTGCGGACCCGAGGATGTTAATACTCTGGTGGAGAACTTCATACATTTGAAGGAGGACTATCGTGTGCCTGTGCAGAGCTTTAACCACTTGGACTTTATCATTGCTAGGAACATGAAGGAGCTGGTCAACGATCCTATCGTCGAACGTATTAACTCCTACGAAGGTCGTTAAGGGAAAGCCCCAATAAAGATATCCGTAATGCACTCATTTTGGTGGTCATATTTTCGGAGGTATGAATTTGAATTTATAGGTGGGCCTTAGATAGAAAGTTACTTAATGATTGCTTAAAATTCACCTTCAAATAACCTTCAATTTTCTCATAAAGTTTAGAATTATTTTTAAGGAAAAAACCCAAAAATAATGAAGTGCAATACTTTTGGCCAGCTTATCAAATGTGCAAGTGCCAAGTGAAAAAGTTTATGAAAGGGTTTTCATTTGAATTTATTAGATGGCTTCTGGCGATTAGATATCGACTTCAAGCATATAGTACATGTCAGCTATTAATCACTCCTTCAACTGTCTGGCTTTTGTTTTAAATTTATTGCTTATTAATAGGTAGCTTCTTGTTAATCAAAATTTCCACTTTGATTAAAGCAATTTGTTCGGTTGAATTAGTCAAAAGAACCTGATTATACATTCCTTTTATCTGCAAGTTTAAAGAGGTTTGAGGAAATTTGGTTTAAATCGATTGAGATTAGATTTGTATTTGTAGATGCCAGGTGTTTAAATATGAATAGGCTAAATTTATTTAAGGGTTTTAAGATTTTTACTGTTCGTATCTCTCGCCCATTGTTATAAATATCATACAAATCTTCATCTTTGAATTCACTTCTAACGGCTCATAAGTTCCAACATTTAAGGTTGGTCGTACGACAGGAAGTTATACATACGAACCTAACATACCTTCGCTGTCTTGTGCAATAGCCAGGCCCAAAGACTCGTCGCGTCTTCATAACGTATAGACATTATACCTTTCCATGGCATCGCTATAACCATACCACCCTCACATGCAACTGCGCAACGCAAGCCGAAAAAAAAGAAACTCTTTGCGCCAAGAAGCGTAACATGGCTTTTCAACGAAAATTTTGTAATCATTTAACAAAAAACTTCGAAAAAAAAAAAGAAATATAACACAGTAGCATTAGGAAGCTAGAGAAGCAGCTGCAAAGCATTGGCCTATAGTGAAACGCTAACCGCCGATTCAACTTCGGTTTTGGCTTTATCTTCTACTGCCGTCGCCGCTGCCGTTTCTACGCATGCGCAGCGGAGTTTACATCAAACGAACCTTGAAATTATTGTCGTTTTCATCATTGTTCGACTGCGGAGTATCTGCATCTGTATCTGAATATCTGCAACAGTATCTGTATCTGTAGTCGTGGTTGTGTGTAATTTTTCTTCTTGCATTGCACGCCTGGAAGTCACACTAAGTGAAGGCACCGCCCCCTCGTCTCCATACCAATTCCCATTTTCCCCTCAAACTCTGGCTATAACGACAATTTCACCTGCTCTGATTTCTATTCGGTCCCCCCTGAAACTCTCCTAATTAAGTAACTGTTTAGTTCTACATCAAACGGTTCTTTCGAAAATGTAGATTTAGTATTAAGATGTAGGTTAGTTATTTAGTTGGATTGCAAATTGGAACTCTTAAGAAAACTTAGTTATACTCATAGAATATTTGTAAGATATTTATGTTGAGTAATTATTTAATGTACAAGTCTGATTTATTAGGGTTTTTACAAAGAAGAATAGCAAAAAAGTTCAATTTTAAGAAAATACTTTGAAATGCAAATCATTTTGTTGGTATATACTATATAGTATATATTATATACTATATACAGCTTTTAAGATTTAAAAATATATCTAAATTGATATTAATTTCTTGTATAATAGTACAATAAACTCCATTAACTTATTCATTATATTTATTGAAAAGTCAAAAACTCCTTTGGACTTACTCAATTGCTAATTAATCCAATAGATAATCCTTTTCGTTGCGTTATTAATCCGAATAAACCAATAATAATCCAAATAATGGTAAAGTTAAATCTCTTTCACTTTGTATCCTATATAAAATAGTAACACTTTTTCTACTTTTCAGCAATATTTAGACAAAAACCTTTTCGTTTTATTTTAATTTAATTCACTTCACTTTCGAAAGCACTTTTGCTTTTCCTAAAGGCGTTTTTCATTCAATTAGCCACCAACAACACCTGAAACTCATTTGCCATGGATAACGATGAGTTCTCCGCGATTTTCTTAAAGTCGAACCGTCTCGTTTGGAATGCACGCGAAAACTGTTTCTCGAAAAACTTTACAGCCCAAGCAGATTACTCAAGATCTCTACCAGAAATGTCGGCTTGAACGGAGTTTCCTGCCCGGGCCATATGGGAGTTGGATTCCACGTTGGGCGCCACACTTGGCTGATTCTCACTGAGGAGTGGATTCCAATGTGGAATTCAAGTTAGTCGATCTGTGACCACGGATCAGAGGTCGCTCTCCCTCTTCGAGTTCGAGGGTTTGGCCAAGTCGGTACTCAAAAATGTTTATAGTCATTTTGATGAAATTGCAAGTGAAATTATGAGAATTATGGCAGGAAATCACTGTGGAAACAAAGGCCAAGTGCTAATTTTGTCATTTAATTTGATAAACTTCATAATCCTTACTTTTATTATTGTTTTTATGCTTTTCCAACTTATAATAGTTTAACTAGAAAGATTTCTTAGCTTTGATATTCATAAAATTAACACTATTAAGACAAAATAAGTTATAAAAATTTCTTTTTCCAATGCACTTCTTTGTGATCCTTCAGATTTTCGGACAATGCTGCCTAATTCGGGCTCGTCTACTTCTGGCAAATTGTAATAGTCCAAAAATTCCGTATTCAGGATATTATCTTCGTACTCCCCAGGCTGATTTCCAGGCGGTGAATACCTTACTACCAATATCTTTCTTCCATGTTTGTTTCTGGAAATAAATCAATTACCATTGGCTATAATATTTGTATGACTTCTACTTTGGATCTTTGGCTGCCCATCCATAGCCAATTTCCAACGAGGATTTCCATGTGATTGCTGAGAACTTTTCGGCCAGCGATTCCTCATCTTTGGTCCTACTTTTATTTGATTTGCCATAGCACTTTGCCCCTTCAACAGACCAGTACCTAACACAAATATTGTTCTTAAACTCGCAAATGTTTTCGGTATACCTTTCTTTATCTGGATCGGATAAGGGAAAAGCCATCTGATCCACAGGGGTATTTTTCCCTTTAACGTGGTCGTACAATATTTGATCTGGGATTTTCATGGAAACCAGTTCCTGCGTAAGATGGTTATTTAGTGCTAATAGTTTTAGAATAATTTTTATACTTTTGCATATTCCTTAGAGTCTTCAGATAGAGTATGGGACTCTGTAAACTCTGGGACCATCCAATTCCTGCGATGCTCATTGTGGTAAGTAAAAACATCATCCATAATGGTTTCAAATCCTAAGCAAGGTTGGTAGATCTATTATGTGTTCATTATTTATAATTGGTTTCAAAAAGTGTCTATATCAAACAACCTTGGAAATCACCAACAATAGTAAAATAACCATATTTATACTACATTTAAATTTAATTTATTTTTTATTCAAAAAATGACAAGTTAATCTAAGTAAAATAAATAAACAAGAATTTATACCTTATATATTATTAGTAAGTTCTTAAGAGTTAGTTAGTCGCTTTAGATGCAAAACATGCAGCAAGGAAAAAGTGAAAACCGCAGCTGTTTTTGTTTTTCTCTTGGCAAGAAAATATAAATAATATTTTTAGTTCTATATGCATAATATTTACGGAATTTACCCCGTGCAAATCCATGCATCTACGTCATCCAGTCAAGCAAATACGGGTTGTCATGGCCATTGTGCACCCTGTAAGTTTCCGAATGATAAGACCACCACGGAAACCCAGTGAACCAGTCAGTCATCGCCATCTCAAACAGTGCTTATTCATTGCACTTTACTATCTGGCCACTACACGTGTCCGATTTAGATTCGGATTAGGATGTCTAACCCGCTAATTGGAATCCATGCCAAACTGACCCCTGACGGACCTCAACGAAACTGAATTTTGCACTCAAGGTTAATTTGATTTGCGGCACATTCGCGGGTTCATTTATCATTGAGAGAAGGTCTATATGTGCTTTCTATAAGGTGAATGTGTTGCTAGGTCACGGGATCCATGATGCTCTATGAATGGAATGTATTTTAGTTATAGTTCCCTTGGTAACAAAACTATTTGGATCCCCTTTAAACTGGAACTATTTTAAATGATTTCACATGATTTTTCTTTAACGGCACATCAAATAACATATTAATGTTAACATCTTTCTGTTAAAAGCCGTCCTAAAGAATGTAAACCGCATCTAGGACTTACTCTCGAAAACGATGTAAAATAAAATTACAAGGATCCTGGAAATTCCAATCTTCTATAAGTAAAGACCATTCGAAACATCCCAGACACACCCCCTAAAATTGGCTGACGTTCAAAAAGAGGGGCCTGTCCAAGAACTCAATTACCGAGCACCCTGTAGCCATCAATTGGGCTTGCATAATGAAAACCGCCAGCCAACGCAATATGTATTATACGATGTTTTTTTTCGCACAGATTTAGACATGCCACGGCACCAAAAAGGAAACCCATCCATCTGGGGCGCTTGTTGTTGTCAATTGGCGGGCCTCCTCCATACAATTTGCTTTCGTTTTTATTGAATCTCGCCGGGTGCCAAAACAAAATCGTTGTGCCATGGCGACAGTTCCCGTTCCCGTTCGCGTTCCATACCCCAGCTCATAATGAATTTGACTGGCTGCCAACTAACACTCACTAACTAAAGTAACTTAGCGACGGCCAGACACGAGACGTTCAAAAACGACGGGATCCGAGTGCTCAGGCGATATATATGTGGAAAACATATAGCGGAAATCAGGCGCTAATGTTGAGGGCTTGGTGAAAAACATTTTGCGAAACTCGAAATCAGTTGAAAACCGTAGCTCGCCGGCAGCGTTCGTCGCGAATTGAGAGATCTTAGATCAAGTGTCCGGAAAATGTTTCGCAAATGCCTTGCCAGCCTGGCTCTGGCCCCTGTTCCCAGTCCAATTTCCATTCCCAGGATAACCCCGGTCATCAGTCAGCTTATTCAACGTCGCTCGGTCCACCAGGTGCCGCGACAGGGTCGCCCACCCAAAATTCTCATCACAGGTCAGTCGTCTCGCCACGTGGATCGTCTATAATTAACCGCATAGCTATGCGTTCAAGGCCGGTCAGACGACCCAGCTGTCCACCGGACAAAATGTGGCACATATTAACATATAATCCGCACGCGCCAATTTACAAAATTTTCCAGTTGGAAAACGTTTAAAAAAAAAAGCCAAATTTTAACGTTCTTTTTTTTTCAAATGCTATTAATGTAATGAAAACGTTCATAATTGTGATCAGTGGTTGTTTAAAGAAGTAATGAGCATAGAATTTTAAAATTTTCCGTTGTTGTGTTTAAAAATACAAACGAATTAAGAATTTTACCACTTAGACACCAAGAAGTGATTACATTAGAAAACAGATTTAGTATTTTAAAGATTTTTATAAAAGCAAGAACTTAAGTAGATCCTGATATGTGTTGTGCTAAATATGAAAGGAAACAAGATTTTGTAGAAGTTTAAGGTTAAAACTACGATTAGTCTAGGCATATAATATTTTTTTTAAATCTTAGATCTTTTAGAACTTTAAAACTATTACCGAAACAATTATGCCTAAAAGAATGCTATGAAATATAATCAAACAATGCAGTTGTACTAAAAATATGCTAAATCCAAAAATAAAATTAAAATATGAATATTTAAGATGTTTTAAAAACCACAAAGTATTTATTTTTTACCATTTTATACTTTTTTTTTTAGGTGGTCTGGGACAGTTAGGAATTGAGTGCGCCAAGCTCCTGCGTACCCAATATGGTAGTCAGAATGTAATACTCTCGGACATCATAAAGCCCAGTCAATCGATTCTAGAGAATGGTCCTTACATCTTTGCCGATATCCTGGACTTCAAGGGTCTGCAGAAGATCGTTGTGGACCATCGCATCGACTGGCTGATTCACTTTTCTGCCCTACTTAGTGCTGTGGGAGAACAGAATGTACCATTGGCTGTGAGGTAAGATATCTAAAATTATACATTGCCTTTGTTCTAGTTACTCAAATTGCTGGTTACAATGATATGGTATTATCATATCGCATTAACACATTACGCTATTACTTTCTAATAAGTAAATAAATATGAATACCTAACAGGGTCAACATAGAGGGTGTTCACAACGTCATCGAGCTGGCAAAACAGTATAAGCTCCGAATCTTTGTACCTAGCACCATTGGAGCTTTTGGCCCAGATAGTCCCCGCAACCCCACGCCCAATGTTACGGTAGGACTCACTTACTTGACAGCCAAAAGTTTGTTCGATACTTAAGACCCAATTTCACAGATTCAACGTCCTCGCACCATTTACGGTGTTTCCAAGGTGCATGCCGAGCTAATTGGCGAATATTATTACCATAAGTTTGGCCTGGACTTCAGATGTCTGCGCTTCCCCGGAGTTATATCCAGTGATCCGCCAGGCGGTGGCACCACAGGTAACCACCCGAACTTTCTATGTAAACTTTCATGCATGTCAATCAGCAGGAAAATATCTTTGAGATACTTTTCCCAATGAAACTGTGTCGTCAAGCACATTTCAAGCTTTATTTAATCCAATTTTATGTCATAAATGCCTCAATTGATGATAGTTTATGATAATCAAAGAGCATGACAATGGCCATTATGATATACAAGAGGTAGTGCCGCCAACCTGGTGACCCATATAAACTTTTTCTTTGAACAATTGAATTGATTAAGATAAAGATTTTTCAAGTCTCTGTAGTATTATTCCTTGAAATGCTTTCAATTTTGTTATTTAACAATTAGGGAAAGTCAATTTGAAAAAAAAAACTCTAACAATATTTTTTCTCAAAATTTGCAATATTTAGACTATGCTGTGGCTGTATTCCATGAAGCCCTTAGAAATAGAAAATACACATGCTACCTGCGTCCTGATACAAGACTGCCTATGATGTACATCGAAGATTGCTTGCGGTAAGTTTAATATTATTAATAATAAAAATAAATATTTAGTAAAAATCTACTCTTCTATCAGCGCCCTCTTGGAGTTCATGCGAGCACCTAATGAGCAGCTGAAGCGCCGCGTCTACAACGTAACTGCCATGTCCTTCACTCCCGAAGAACTCTTTTCTGAGCTGGGCAAACATATACCCAATCTGCATGTTAGCTACCAGCCGGATAGCCGCCAATTGATCGCAGACGCATGGCCCGAGGTGTTCGATGATTCTGAAGCCCGAAAAGATTGGCATTGGGAGCATAAATACGATCTGGCCAACTTGGTTGACTTTATGATCAAGGACGTCCATGAAAACTATATCAATGTTCAACAGGAACAGCAGACTCTGCAGATCTAATGAATTTGGGGAGTGCAACAACCGCATCTAGTATTCTTAAGTCAAGAAATGCAATCGCATTTAACACTGCATTTATCTAGTGAATACCAACACAAAACTCTGTACTATTGTTACCTTTGAAAATACAGTAAGGCATTTATTGGAATGGAAAGTTATTAGGTCTATTGTTTTAGAAACCCTATAAAGAGCACTCCCTTATCAAGTAATAGCAGCCTTGAATTTAGCTTCGCAATGATAGCTTATTCTTTATTTGAACTCAAATACTATTTCTAAGCACCTTGGAGTTGCGATATGCGAGAGCTTATATGACTACTTAGGTTAGGATTTACAATGTTCGTTTCGGAGTTAGTTGGTGGCTACAGATAGCCTTATGGTCTATGGTTCATATATCAGACTCCTCTAGCTCCGACCTGCTGAGCTTACTGAAGTGATGCAGACAACCGCCATGTGTGGCTATATACAGGTCTGCCTCGGCTTCGCTGCCTATTGATTTTATTTTGATTTTCTCAATGGGATCTTGACATTTTCTTGACTTTTGCTGCGATGGTCGTTGCTCTGCGGATTCTGTAAACGAGCAGATAGTGGAGAGAGTTGTCTATCAGTTTTGGGTATTTAACTTCACTTGTTGCGCTTGCTCTATAGATCTTTCACAAAGTGTTTTCTTCATGCTCTTAATTGATACTTCTTTCAAAATTGTTTGATTCTTAAAAATTTCATTGTATTCTTTCAGGTAAAAGCTATTTAGTTTACATTCAACTATATTTGCATTTAAAATAAGTTTTAAAAAACAAATATAAACATATTTCTCAAAAATATGGGAATATATATATAAAAAATAGGTTGTATCTGTTGACAAAGAAATAGAAAACTATTTTATAAGTTTGATAAAAAAAATTCCATAATCAATATATAATCTATGCATATAATGACAACTTGAACTTATGGTGATAGATCTTAGAAATAAGTTAAAACTAATATTACTTCACATTTGCGGTTTTACATGATAAATAAAAAATGTAAATCCAACACTTTGTGAAGGCTTCAAGCAATCGCGTCAAGCTAATTGAACATTTCACTTAAAATAATATTGCTTTTGTATTAGCTGATTGCAATGTTTCGCAGGTCTAACGATTACGTATTGAAATTAGTTAAGTATTTAATTTCTTTAGGTAAATAAGTACAGTTTTGAAATGTCTCGAATACAAAGTATGTTCGACTAAGCTTTTGTTTGTACAATAGGATGTGTGTTTAACAATTTATACAGAATACTTATTGGTTCGTTCGTTTGCTGATTTTTATTTTTACAAATTTTTGTATTTGGTATATTGCGATTCAATTATTTGTTTGGCTTCTGAGTAATATGCGAACCATTTTGGATACATTGGCATTTTTACAAATATAGAAAGAGAGACGCGTCGTTCGGTGAACTGTTGCATGTGTTTCTTGTGCGTTAGAGTACATGTTCATTTTTTTTTGGGTTATATACAATTTATATTTTGTGTGAACGAGGGCCCCTAAATCATGTGCGACATCATGCAACGACTCACATCACGGTTAGCGCGATGCAAATGACCTTGATAATGCTGATTAATGCGCTGATGTTGTTGCTGCTGCTGCGGCTGTTGATGTTGCTGCTGCTGCGCTGGAAAACTTGTCTCCGATTCCATCATCATGCCGCCGGTGGCCTGCATCTCATAATCCATCAAGCAGGCCTGTGTTCCAATTACTTGTGTGGCAGGCAGTGAAAAGAAATCTGCAAGGTGGAAGAGAAATTTATTACTGAGCTAAGTTTTTGGATCGATCTAATACTTAATTGTAAACCTTATGTAAGACATACAAGGAAACGGATTTTTTGTATTACAAGTATGAGTACATACATTTAATGGGGAAAAATGTTACAAAACCAGTTTTCCCAATTGGTGTGCATGATATAATTTTTATTTATTAGCTGCTTAGTTGTCTTCCATAAAAAGAAAAAATTGGTAAGGCTCTTACTAATGTAAGAGAAATACTCAAAATATATTTTTTTCTGTCAGTGCATCGACTATGCAATGCAACACGTTGACGCTATCGATATTTGCTCCAATTACCGATCGTTTATTTATAACCAATTCGAGGCAGACTAACGTGTTGTCATTTCTTATCTGTCAGATAGTTTTTTTTATTTGCTTTTTGTTTGCGCTGATACCTTATCTTATCTTATCTTATCTTATCGGAAAATAAAAAGTAACAAATCCACAAAGTAGTAGGAAAAAAAATCATTTTTATTTAGTTACTAATTACTATAACATTATATTATATTATTATTAAATTATTTTCACAAATTAATTTTTTTAAGTTGTAAATTAATAAAACCAAACTAAGCCATCTCTAATCAATGTAATAAAAAATGTGTAATTAGTATATTTAACTTTCATAAAAACAAGCATACCCTTAGCTAGGGTATATATTATTGATTCACTCTCGCTAGATATACACACATTTTTTTACCGGCTGTATAATACATATAATCCACCCCCACTCTGCCCTCTTCGCTTTGTTTTTGTGTTCTTCTATTGTTGAAACACTTTTGCAAATGCAGATTGATTAAACTTGGAAAGTAAGAAGAATTGGAACACTCTGGTGACCCCTTCATCTCCAAAACCCCATTTCAAGTAATCCAGTCCAGATAATAGTGTGTTTAGTCGAGCGAACACAGCGATTTAATGACTGTGTCAAGCCGGTTTTTCTTTGCTGAAACTTAAGCAACTGTCAAGTGCTTATCGCGGTTTTTTATACATATGCCAGCGATAGCTAAAATCTCACCGATTAAATAAAAACTGATAACACAGGTCACAGAGAAGAAGAAAAAACTCGGTCGCAAGGCCATAAAGTTTTGTAAATTTACAAGTTTTACGACAATTTTCACGCAACGTCAATTAAATGTGCGGGCCCAAAAAAAAAAAGTCCAAGGTCGTATGATTAAAAACGAAAATTACAGCCTAAGTCATTGAGTGAGTTCCGGTTTTTAAATTCAAAAATAAATCAATTTTGTTTATTTGCATTATTTTCTTATATGGTTCAAGATCCCCAATTAAACTTTTAATTTAATTATGAATTTTACATTTTTCTGTATCATTTTTGCCAAGCAATAAACATTAAAAGCTTTTGCCCATTTAATAAGATTTATTTTGGATGGGAAAACAAGCAGCCATTTATTTAGTTTTTTTTCTGTGTAAATAAGTATTTGTTCTAAACCGCAAGGCAATAAAATTGCGATAATATTTAGGAAGTCAATAAAAATAAATAATTTATTGGGATATATATTTATGTGAGTATGAATGTAAATACACACATACATATGCATATCGAACTGAGGTAATAATTTAAATGGGGTTGTAAAATCATGGATTTGCTGTCTATAACAGGTGGAATATGAGGTACAGTCCTAAATCGGAACAATGTATAATAAATATATTATATATTTAGTACACAGTGAAAAACTACCAAAACAAACATTTTGAATAACTTGGAAGCCATTACTTCAAATTTGCATTTTGGAAACTCCATACGATATTTACCATTGCAATACTGGGCAGCCAGATCAGCTTCATCGTAGCGACATCTCTTGGTGTACACCGGCTGTTCAAGATCCGCATCCTCGTCAGGAGTTTGACCAGGATTCAAACGCTTCTTGCAGCGCAGGACACTCAGGTGCAGGTTTTCCGGCATCGGTTGCCCCTCAATTTGATTGTTATTGTTGTTATTATTGTTGTTGGCGTCGGTCATAAAGGTGACGTCTCGTGGATTAAACGGATCCATTGAAGGACGTAGTGTTCCGGTTTCGAAAGTGGCGGCTGTCGTCGGATCACCATGTGCCCAGCACTCGAAATTCGTCAATACCATCGTACGCTGACTGCAGTGGAAATTCCCCAAAAATAAACCGAAGCGACAAAAAACGCGCGTCTCAACTGTACGAAATCGTGCGGCAAACTGCAAGCGCGTATTTTTTCAATCTTGTATACAATATAAAATATGGATTTTTGCTGGCTGTCGGTTAATTACCGTCGGAATATACGTAGCAATTGCCAAATGGCTGAAATAAATTTAATTAACACACGCAAGAGGTACGCGCGAGCAATCGGCCAAAATGCGAAGCGAGTGCGATGACGGCAACTGTTATAAATAAACCAATAAGCAAGTTTTTACATTTTGCCGCGTGCGCCTTTTGATTCACGATTGCTTTTGTTTTCCTTTCGCTCCAGTGGGACCGCACTACGAGTGTCGCAATATAGCGTCCAGCCCTGGTCAATATACTTAAAAATACTAAATACGAACGAAGCGATAGTACAATAACGGTCAAGAAACTGGAAGTATTACCAGATAGCCCTTTTTTTTGTTAATACGATTTCAAATTTAAATAATATACATAAATATAATAAAACATATAAATTGTTTACATGGTGCAGCTTAAAACATGTTTTTATTCATTTTTAAGATATTTTGATATGTTACACATTATTATTGAAGAAAGAATTTTATTAAAAATGAAAAGATTTAAAAAAAATCTGTCATATACTTTCTCTAAAGAACAAACTTTTACTTAGAATTCAAAACTAATTCGATAACTATTAATCTAACTTAACTCTATTCTTAACTATTCACAGTGATTTCCAGTATATTTCGAGGCGCTTACGGTACTACCTTTTTATCATGTGATTTGTGATTTGTCAAATATTTCTGATAACCGAATGGCAGGTCAAAGCAAAACCCGAAATTAAATAAAATTACTGCTTTTTTCAATTAATCCGGGTTCAATTTAGCTAAAAAAAAATGTCGAAGGTAAAGAAAGCTGCAGGCGGTGATGGAGGAGCATCAAAACAAACCCGCCAACAGTCCCATGTAAGTAAAGTAATAACTTAACTTTGCCGGCTTACTAATCCCTTGTTTATTTTTGTCACACGAAGGATTCGCAGGACTACAGTTCATTCAAGACAGTACTCTTTTACTGCATGCTCATCGTTTTCCTGCCCGTGCTGACCTTTTTCGTCCTGAAAGGCTTCGTTCTGGATCAATTCCTCGACATATCGGAAGTAAAAGTTAATATAGCATCTGCCGTGGGAGCGGTTGTGGCATTGCATGTTGCTCTTGGACTTTATATCTACAGAGCTTACTTTGGAGCTTCCGGTTCCAAGGGCTCCAAAACGGACTAAACCTCATCTACCCAGACTGTTAACCCATTTCCATTATCTATAAGTCGGAAAACACTCTTGTACATACATACTATACGGATACAAATGTTTACTCGCCAGCAAGGGAGGAGAAAGTCGCCTGTAAACTGAGTGTAATCGTTTTCCATTGCATAAGTTTCGATAACAGCGTGGAAAACGTGTTGTTTTGTGTTCTATGTGCATAAGTTGTATTAAAAAAGACATAAATAAGTGAAATGCGTGTACTATTAAGAAATTATTCCCTGATGGAAGCTGTCAAGAGATTGCTGCCAAGACCCCGCAAAAAGATTTACAATCTGGGCGCTTGCTTTGAATTGGTGGATATACCTAAGGTTAGCGGTGTAATCTTATTCAGAAGATACATATTCAATTTCTAATTTAAGGGAAATTAACTTTTTTGGGATTACAACTAATGAAAATTCAAGTATTCTATACAAACTATCATAAAGTATAATGTCTTAAGTCTATAAATATAGGAGTCTCTCTTTTCTGTGTGTAGAATAGTTTCCTCTAGCCGATGTTTACTTCAATGGTATTCAATATGCTGCGAATAAATTTAAACAAAAAATATAAAATAACGAGTATTAAACCTAAAACCACTGTCATACAATTTTTAACGCCCCTGAACTGTTTGAAGAGGCTGCCACCTGTTCTCGTTCGAAGTTGCCACCTGTTTGGGATGAAAAACAGATGTTTTCAATAGCATGGGCGTCAGAAAAACCATTTCTTAGATAGGGAAAAACGAGATTAATATTTTAAAAAATAATTTTTGGGGAAAATAATACTGATTTGATATGACGTATTTAACTGAATTCTCAAACAGACATTTTATTTTTAAAGAATAAATATGTAACCCCTATTAGCTACGCCCATGTTTTGTTGTCTTTTGCTCCGCAAGTTTGTCCGAAGAATTGATCAAAAATGATAAATTACTAGGCACGCCAGAGAATTCAAAGCACATGCCGCAGTCTGCCGCAAAATCGTGCCACAGACGCACGTCCTTGGAACTCCTTGCATACGTGCTGCTATTGATTTCAACCACCTGTTGTGGCAAAGCACTCCCACTCGTCGAACCAAAATACTCAGCCACGTAGCTTTTAGTCAGTCGGTGAAATATGCTCCAACGAACTGCTAGAATGTGGACGCTGTGCGTGCAGACGGCTTTGATAGCGACCTTGGTTAGGGAAACAGTTTCCCTAAAGGATAATCTCGTGGGGAGAGCACAGGTTACCAAATTTTTTTCCTTCCCAGCTGCCTGTTAAGCATAAATCTTTTTTATCCCAACAGATATCGTACAATCCCAGCGAGCTCTCTGAATCCCGCTTTCTGGAATACAGCAATTTATCCGATAAATTGCACTTGAGGGAGGCCATCAACAATATACTTATACCCCGAGTTGTGGGCACGGGAAATCACACTATCGTGAGACAATACATAGCCCAGAGCTTAAGAGATCTAGATTGGGACGTGGAGATGGACAGCTTTCATGATGAAGCTCCTATCAAAGGAAAATTACATTTCCATAACATCATTGCCACCCTTAATCCAAAGGCTGAGCGATTTCTGGTGCTCGCTTGTCATTATGATAGCAAATACATGCCCGGAGTGGAATTCTTGGGGGCCACGGACTCAGCAGTGCCTTGTGCTATGCTCCTAAACCTGGCACAAGTCCTCCAAGAGCAACTTAAGCCCCTCATGAAAAGCAAACTAAGTTTAATGCTCTTATTCTTTGACGGCGAGGAGGCCTTTAAGGAATGGGGACCTAAGGATTCTATCTATGGAGCACGACATCTAGCCAAAAAATGGCATCGTGAAGAAAAATTGGATAGAATAGATATGCTGGTGCTGCTGGATCTTTTAGGAGCTCCCGATCCTGCATTCTACAGCTTCTTTCAGAACACAGAATCCTGGTATATGCGTCTCCAGTCGGTAGAGACACGGCTGGCCAAGCTGCAGCTACTAGAACGCTATGCCAGCAGCGGGGTTTCCCAGCGCGATCACACCCGCTACTTCCAGTCGCAGGCCATGCGTTCCTCCATGATCGAAGATGATCATATACCCTTCCTGCGTCGAAATGTACCTATCCTGCACCTCATTCCGGTACCCTTTCCCAGTGTCTGGCATACCCCCGACGATAACGCCAGTGTGATTGATTATGCGACGACGGACAACCTGGCGCTGATTATACGGCTATTCGCTTTGGAGTATCTGCTGGGCGGAGGCGAGGCCAAGTAGTCAAGTGGTCTTCCATATGAATGACAAATGCTATATCTACTTACGTCCTTATCTAAAAGACCTGTTCCGATATGGAGACAAAGTTTTCATGTTCTAATACCCACCGCGGAACCTTGGAAAGGATCTAATTGTTAACTGACTGTGTGCTTTAAAATTAATTAAGCAAATCTGCAATACGCATAATCCAAATATTTTTATATACATGTATTTATAAAAAATGCTTAGCTAATGACACGTCAAATGTTGTAATCTTTTGGTTGTAAATTATCAGACACATCTGTAGTCCAACATATACATAATAAGTAAATGTATCTTAAAACTTAAAACTCTGTAATTTACTGCACAAATGGGCAATGTGTAGGTCTTTTCTTGTCACAAGATGGGGAGTAATAGAGAATTTTTAAAATCATGAAATGATGAGAAAATGCAATACGAAAAGTAAATGAGAAACGGAAGACAAACTACATATCCATATATCTATATGGCAAATTCTTAAATTAACTTAAGAGATATCTAAAATCGTTAAACATTGATACAATACTATAGTCATTAAAATATAATCAATCACTACTCGTTGGACTGTCTTTTGGTTTAGTTGTATCTGCTTTCGTTGGAGGTGTATCCAAGCAAGTGGCTTCCAGCTTAGGCATGGATTTAGCCACTGTCTGATCTTGGCTCTTTAGCAGCTGACCTGCATTCAGCTCCTTGGGTTTCTCCACAACCACTGCACTTAGTTCGGCACAGGATTTGGATTTGGTCTTGCTATGGTCGTGACCATTTCCTTGACATTTGGCTGGAGAAGATGATATTCTGCCTCCGGGAGCATCACAAACCTCCCGAAGATCGGTTCGGGAATCCCTGCAGCAAACTTTCTCAATGCACTCAACCGCCTGACATTGCATTAGGCACTCCAGCGAGGCAGAGGCATTCTTATTCGTGGACGGATAAAACTCTGGCTGTATTGTAACCGCTCCGATTCCTTGATCGTGGAAATATGCCCGAACCTGTTCGATGATCTTGAGGTAGAGCTTAGGATTCTGGAACTGGATGTGTATGGTTGCCACGTATCGGTGGGCAGCCAATTGCCATATGTGCAAATCATGATAGCTGACAATCTCCGGGAACTTAGTGACCAGAGTACGCTCAAAGATCTCCAAATCGATAGACCCAGGAATGGTTTGCAGAAGGATCAGGCAGGATTCTTTCACTGAAAAAAGAATTTAGTATTTAGTTTTAGATCAAATGAATTTAATTAGTATACTCACTGTAAGGATAACTGAGGGTCACCAACAGGACACAGGAGAAGATGGAGAGCACGGGATCAATAAATTTAGCCGTATGCTGTTCATCTTCCGCTACATAGACGATCGCAGCACATACGATCACAAATATGGTACTGGACACATCACGAAACATTTCCACGGCTCCCTGGCGTTTGGTGGCGAAGTAAACACTACCAAATTCTGCCTCCAAATCATCGCGTAACTGACGATCATTCCGCGATTTACTGAGTTGCCTTTGCATCGGAGTTAGGGATAGATCCAAGTTACTGGACATTGGACGCTCGAGCACCACATTACCTCCAGGTGTCAGGTGGAGAAAGCTTCCCTGATGTAGGGTGTAACCTCCAATTAACAGATATGTCACTCCATTTAGGATGAGGCCCAGAAATCCCACCATCATCACGTGAATCGGTAAATGCATCGTATCTTGGTGATCAATGTGAACTAGAGTTTGTAGAGCCTCCACCACTAGCGAGAAAGATAACGAGGCCAGGATAATGAACACAATCAGCATGGTCAATATATCGATCCTGGCCCAGCCAAATGTATTGCGTAGCTTCTGCTCTCGGCATTCCCTTTTAGCCTGGGCTTGTGCATCCGTTTCGGCCAGACTGACAACCATACCCGGATCATTGCCATTTTCCTTGGTGTGAATCGGCGGAGAATCTTTTGCCTCCGGTTTTTGTTTACTATGCTGCAAGATTGCAAAGAAAGTAGAGAAACTGGTTAAAATCTTTCTATTACCATGCATCCATGCTTATGTTTTATGATTCCTTATAATAAGTAATTCAAATCATTCTCTTTCAATGTCTTCCTATTGAAATATATTTAAAATCAAAGCTGAATAGGCAAAATTAACTCTCTTTGTTGAATTCATTACAATGTTAAAAAAAGGTAGCATAGAATGAAATGGAAATGTTCAATTATCGTCATGCTTTCTAAGCCAAATCATAACAATTGGCATTGGCCCATCTACAACATGGCTGCTGGCGATTTAAACGCTCCACTGATTGTCCGTCTGCCTGCCCCATTATATAAGCTCAAAATCAGCCCACACAACTGTCCACACCTACAACACCCGTCCACTGTTTGAAAGCTTTCGATTTCTGGTGTTTGGGCCCATTTGAAACTCAGTGATTTTTTTTTTTGGCCAAGTCTTGTTTGATTTTTGCGGTTTCTGCGGTTTTGGGCCTCGTCTTTGTCTTTTGCGAAACGTGCTTGGCACGCTTTCCCATACCGGCAACGATTTTTGCATCCATTCAATAATAAAATATTAGCTTTGACTGCTCCATAAATTTTTTAGTTGGACACGGCTTATGGTAGTATTCACCTTGAATTTTAATCAATTTGTAATAAAATGATATGAGGAAAGAGATTTCAAGTTATGGAGAGACATTTTATATAGAAATTATATATGTGTTTAAGATATTAATAAAAAAGGATCAATCCTACTTCATTGCCATCCTGACTCAAATCCCTAACTACCCAGATCTGACATAACATTCAGCGCTTTCTGCCAGTCACTCGCCATAAATAAGCTGCCCCATTTCCACGAGAAATTCGAATATCTCCGTGTAATCAACCTGATTTCATGTCACCTTCTGTGTAGACAGAGGTATTTCACTCGAGGGGCTAATTACACAGTAATCTGCTGATAAGGTATACCAAATAAAAAACAGTGACTAAATTGACCGATAAGCCCAAATATTAAACTAAAAGAACCACACCCAAATAGGGAGATAAAAATTTCAAAAATTTGCCACATAAATTATCGAAAAAAGTAAAAAAAACGAAACCAGTTCTCCGCAAAATAAAAAGGTGTTTGGAATGCGTTTCGATACATTTTGTTGTGGTTTGCCTTTCTGGCCACAATAAAAGTTCAATGCACCAGCATCTGTTTCGACTTTGCACCAGCACGCGACATTTCCTGGCCAAAAAAAGTGTAAAACCGGCAAGCAAAATAAGTCAAGCTGCTGCACCGGCAACACAATTATTTCTCATAAGTAATCACAGAAAATTATGTATTAAATATTTTACTTCGTTTTATAATTTGATAACTTTTCAGTTATGTATTTGAAATTAACAAGTACCTTACCTTAATTGTGAGGATGCACCCACCAAGGGCAAAAATGTTGCACAGATTGTGATGGGAGGCCATCAGTAGGGTGAGTCCATGTGTCAAGTGGCTGAATACTAACTGCAATACAAAGTAGCAGATTGATAGCACTAGTACGGTGTACAGGGGTATCGGCCTGCATCGCTGGAGTATCTCCTTCACCGGCATTGTTCTGTGGAAGAGAAGGGTATAGACAGTCGTTGAGAATTGATTGTTCAAATAATTGCAAATTGGAGGACAGAAAGTTCAGCACCTTTCTGCCAACTAACCAAGGTGTGATCTATATAAATGCACGCTTTAAATTGGTAATACAAATTTACTAATTGCACATTTATCCCCCTACATTATAGTAATATTATCAGAAGTAGTAAAAACCGCATCACATCTATAAATCGATAGAATCCCTATATTATTAGCCATCCAATTAGTAAAACCCCTCCGAACTGTGTCAAGTTCAAGTCCCCAAATGGAGGGTTAAACGAACCGAACCGATTTGGATTTAGATACTGCACTGAACCGAGCTGAACCTGCCATATTTAGGGTTCAGCCCATGCCAACCTCGTATGCAAATCACCATAATAATCATCATGTGGGCATGGGCATGGGCATGGGTTTGGATTCGGGTTTAAGCTCCTCCTGCTGCGATGAGTTGCATGCAAATGAAGATGCTAAATGGGCTCGCTTTACCAGTGGCTACCTCAGGGTATCTCAACGATCGCCTGCGACATTGACGTAACTTTACGTGATCGTGGACATATGGCTACCGATTGTTTGCTAGCCGCCCCCCTTCTGTTTGTTTGCCGTAATGTAACCCCAAGGTTGAACCCTATTGGCCATTTATAGTGATTAAATGCCCTCTAGTAGAGTAATTATCGAGGGACATGTTGCGGTTTAATGATATTTTTGGTTAATCCAAATGAATGATCTAAAGTGGATTCAAGGATCAGTTGATCATTAAGGTTTTATTGCCCATTCTAGAATTTTAGGTATTTAAATTGAAAGAAAGAACATGCGATTTTACATGAGATCATTGCTTTTATATAAAGACCGCATCACATTTCTAGACCAATCGATTCCTGATTTCAATCTGTCGCTTCCATCTGGAATTCTCAATAAGTTCTATTTTATTAAACTATCCAACATCCCCATCACGATGACGACTTTTAAACGAGCCCATTGCATTTCAAATTGTCACACGTGCAGTTGTAAATAATTGGATTCGATCAAATGATATAATCTATTGTTTTAGTACACCCATATATATAGTAGTCATGTAATTAGAAAATCAGTACAGAAACGATAAATGGCGCCTCGGGGCACTAGAATGTGCAACCCAGCAAACAATCAAATGTTTCCCATCCTTCCAAAATAGACATTTGTAGGAACAAACAATTAACAAGATAATGCTGAACAGGTAGCAACAAACAATTTAGATACTCCTACTAGACATGTGTTTTGTTTGGTTCTATAGATAGTATATATGTATCTACCAGTTGTTCCACTTGCAACTGCCGCTAAATGCCCATTTCCTCAATTTGATTTCATTTTCATTCGAAATTGAAAATGGGTGACGGGTGGCTGGAATGCTGAATTGCCGAAAGGCAGTGGAAGAGGGGCTCAAGCACGAGATAACAAGAGATAAGCTGGGCTACAGATACAAATACTTGTTGCTGTAGTTACCAGGGAAAGATAAAGCAGATAAAAATGCGATCGTCTAGATAAAATATGGTGTGATATGCGTGGCATGTGGACGATTAAGCCTTGGACGGTACACTCTGTAAGTTTACTCAAAATAAATATGTCTAAAGAAGAAATTTGTTGTTAATTATCTTAAATTTATTCTTAGAATGTAAACTATTATACTTCAATAAACTTCATAAAATATAAAAATATTGTTTTCAGCTCTACCATACCATTTGAAAACTTCTTAGGTATATCTCTATCCTAACTCTTTGCACCGTTTTTTTAACTTTCCCAAAAATCTCTGATTACCCTGGAATCCGGATTTGGTTGGCGTAAAATCCAGATCGTAAATCTGCGCCAACGGTTGACAATTTGATTATCAATTAGATCAATGCAACCACTCACTTCATCAATTGAAAATATCAACAAAAAGCGAGGCTTGCAATAAAATTCGGGACCAATAACATTTGTTTTTTTGTTTTGATTTGCCATCAGGTGCATTAATTCTGTATTTTTTGTTTTTTTGTTTGATTTTTCGTTTAAGCCATTGCCTGCATACAAATTCAATTTGGCAACAAAAACAATTTATACTTTGATTTTTGCGTAGATTTTGAAATTGAATTAAAAAATACTTCCTATGCGGGTCCCTGGCCTGTTTTCAAAGCAGTCAAAAAACAGCAAAAATCTAACATTTTAGACCATTTCAGATACGATGACAAGGTTGCCGATGCCTTTGGAATGTCTAATTTACAAGGGAACACAAAAACGAGCTGGATGTATTTTAAAATTCTAACAATATTGTTATTGGCCAACGCACAAAGTGGGCTGCCAATATTTTATTACTTTGTTGTCGTTGGCAATTAGCTATTGTCTATCAGACATGTTTGAACCTTTTTTCCAAACGCGCCAAAATCAGACACCTGATAAGCAGACAGAGATAGCAGTCTATGGAATCCTATCGCTATCCCATTTAATGGAAATTTCGACAGGTCTGCACTGATAAGAACTATTTCAAAAACAATATCGAAAACAACCCGGCATCAGGTGGGTTAAAATACCATCGCTAAGGGGATTTTGATTTGATGGCGGATATTGATAGTAGAAAATGTTGCTACTGGTAAATGTTGCCAGGCGAGATATGAAAATATTGATTCCTAACATTATTTTAAGCTCTCTAATTTACGGATTTTTGCATGATTCGTTTTTATAAAGATATGTAGGTTATGTAGATATGAATTATCAATTGTAGGGTTTTTAATAAAACCTTTACTGAGAATGTGAAAAAACTTTACAAAGTAATTACTAAGGTTATTAGGCAATCTAAAATTCACACTAACCCAATTCGTAATTAACATTTTTAATTATAAAGATAATATTGCTCTCATTATAAAATGAATCTTAAAACAATTTACTTGTATAAGGCTTTGGAAACTTGAAGCTGTTATTAACTGAAACTTATAATGGCGACGGGAAAAATATTTGCACTTATATGCACTTTAAAAACGTCATTTAAAATTATCGTCATTTCTTTCGTAATAAACTAACTTTTATCCAAATGATTTTTAGTTTTTCCACACAGAATATTGAATCTCAATACTTAACTGAAATGTCTTTATATATTTATAGGCAATACTGTACAACCCTGACCACCTGTACATAATAAATGCAGAGGCCCACGATTCAATGAAATATTCCCATTAAAATAAACAAAGAAGTGTAAATATTTTAATTACGATTTAATGCTTCTACGTGAGATCTGCGCCTATAAATCCATGAATGAAAAGCCCAGCCAAGCACTTTCCCTGAATCCTCATCAGAAACGTGATCGAGTGAGATTTTGTTGATGTAATAATGATATATATAAACCCATTAAAATAATACACAAATTGATATTAAAGCTGATTACTAAAGACCCACTTCAATTACACTTAATGACTCGACTTTACAAAACAAAACAAAAAAGTTGAATAAAATATTTAATCATGCGTACAGTTGCGGTTGAATTTATAGTTTTAATATGTATTTTAGTGCCTATCCGAAAATGATATTAAATATATTTCCTACGGATTCCTATTAGTAAGGTCTTAAAAATGTTCCTATTTTTGGCGAACATAAATAATTTCATAATTAGTTTGTAAATAATTGAAATTTGAACATATTTGATAAGCACTAGAGTTCCTATTTCTTTGACTGTTTGTTTTCATTTTCTTCAAATAATAATAATGATAATAACTGTTTATAAAAACGCATTGGGAACGCAGCTGCGTTCTTCAGAACCTGAGCCAAGGCCCCGATCAATTTGCATTGAATTAGCTTAGAGTGAGAGAGTTTGTTTTTAGCTCAATCGCAGCCCAACAGACGAATGGATCGTAGACAGATATAACCTTTAATTAGCATTAATTTCGATTTATTTTTATACCCCGCAGATGGTGTTATTTTGGCATTAGTAATACATATTTTCGGGTAATATTATTTTTCACATTGGTGCCAAGAGGCGCGAGGCGTCTTAATAATCACTTGCTAAATGGATTCACAATCTTCCCGCTAACGAATTACAGTCATCTATATATCTATTTGTATCTAAAACAGCGGCATTAAAGGTGTGTTCTTTGCTTTCTTATACGTATATAATTCGCACAGGGCCAAAAGCCTCTTATCATTTGAGATTTTAGCTTAAAACTGGAAATTTACCGTCACTTGGACTCTGATAAGCGAAAAAACGTGTGTCCTATTTATATCCGCGTCACTGCAAATTGCTTTGGAAAATGTAGCTTTTCCTGTTTTATTATTATTAGTGTTATTATGTTGGTCACACAAAACGCACACGCACGTAAGGTATTTCAAATATTTCGGGAAACATGCGCGGATATTTCGGGAGCGAATCGAAAACAGCGTTGTTTACTGGACCGCGGTTCAAATACGAATGATCGTTAACGCCGTCGCGAAATGTATTCCGAATCAAACGGAAAGTCTGGATATTTTTCAAAAGTCGAATTCTTCATACACTGTCCATTGTTACTAATGTTGTGGGTATAATTTCGTTTCAATCAAATGAAAAGTTTTACATTTAAAAATAATTTAAGTCTAAACATTTTTTTGAATAATTTTATTATATACAATTTTGATAGTGTAACTTAAAGGTTGTAAAAAGGTTAGATTTAAAGGTATAGAAAAATCGTGGTACACAATATAACTGTATCAATCGCAAAGAGAGCTGCCAAATAAAAGAAACAACAAAAATGAACACAGCCGGCAAAATAAAACTAAGAAGAGCTGGGGAGTGGGCAATAGATAACGAAAGAGAGCGCCATTGGGAGCGAGAGGTGGCAAAAGGAAAAGTGTTTGTGTGGGAGAAATAATGCGTGAATTGTCAGCTGATTTTTAGCTATAAAGCAGAAAGAGGTCGAAAGAAGGGAAAAGGAGAGCAGGTAAGCTTGTATTTTACGGGAGAAAGAAATGAGAATAGATGAGCTTGTACATGCATGTTTGATCATATGTATATGCATATGTACATATGTACATATGTATGTATGTATTGACGTTATCTATGCATGTTTATGAGACAACAACAATCATATGATACATGCATACATATATGTTTGTTAAAGCATACATACATAGATAATCAGTGCTGATTTACGTTAAAAAATTAATACAATGATCTGAATACATACATAAATATGTATAAGGCTTTTAGAACACATAACTAAAGGCAATAAAATGCCTAATCACAAAATTATGTTTATTTTGAGTTCATTATATTTCGGCAGGGTGATTCAAGATATGAATTATGTCCATAATATATGTATGTAAAGTTTTTGAAAATCTTTAACATACACTGCAAAATATTGTTGAATTTCTTAAGAACGTCACATACCACAAATATTAAAATAAAACATTTACATACGCTTCTATTAAGTTTACCACTATTTTTATACGACTTGTTGTATTGTAAATAAGACTTTTATTGTTTTAGACCACAACAATGTGTATCCATATCAATTAGTCAACCACACGTTCACTTTTATTCAACTGCTTATCAAACGTTGATATAATGGCAGTTAATCCTTAGTTGCCGGATTTTTAGCAGATATCACTAGACTCGTGCTTACTTGCTTACAGCTTGAAGACGAATGCCAACTGAATTTGTTGTATAAAGAACCCAAGACGTTCCAATTTAACGATCCACGGGCCTGCAAATTGCAATTAAACCACGCACATTAGATAAAAAGCAGCAGGTTTCACTTTCAAGGCAGTTTTATTTCAACTGGGACACGGTTAACTTAAGTATATCTTATTTGTCAACGAATATTAGTAAATCAAAAGCACATTAAGTAGTTTATCTGTCACATTAATTACAGCTTAGCAAGATATTAAATAAGATAACCACGACGAGGTCGATAAAGAAAAAAAGTGTTATATATTAAGTTGGTAACTTTTCTGAATTAATAAAATTATGTTGTTTTCTTTAAACAAAAGTGAAAAAATCTTATTTTCTGAATTCTGAAAATGTACATAAGTAAAATTAACATTGAATTATCTATCAAAGCTGACAACCTAATTTAAATAAGCAAATTACAGTAACCACAAGATTAAAAATTAATGTTTTTCAGTACATTTCTAGTAATTTTAAAAGGAAATGTTTTAGAAATGATAACAAAAAATTCGTTTTATTTTAAATTTATTAACTTTCTTCAGTCTGGCAGCCTTGTGTCACTATTCGATATAGTTTACAATATCTTTTTAGTATTATATGCCAAAACATTTTAATGTTCGCGAAGCGGTCACACTGGCTTTGAGCAAAACCGACCCGAAATAAATTAGAATAGGAATTTAAGCGTTTAATTTTCCCTATCGAGTTGGTCCAGTGTGCCGGTACGAAATGGCCGCCATAGTACTAACCCGCAATCTCCAGCTGGCCAGTGAGTAAAGTTGCCAACGGCCAAAAACCGCCTGGCAAACAAATTATGTAATATGATGGTTGGCACGAATGTTGTGGCTAATTTTTGGTATGATCTCGGTCCATTTCTTGATATTTAGAGCACCACGGCAATGGCGTGGTGGGAGTTTTGTGCCTGCGCGGATACTCCGCCGCTGCAGCTCCGCCGGAAGATGGTCCACGTCCGCTGAAGACCACAAATACCGCTGCCATGAAACGCGGTACTGGCGGACGAAGCAGTTTCAATGGCATTGTGGCCACTGTTTTCGGAGCCACCGGATTTGTGGGTCGCTATGTGTGCAACAAGCTGGGCAAATCCGGAAGTCAGATGATTCTGCCTTACCGCGGGGACGATTCGGATGTTATCCGCCTAAAGGTCACCGGCGATCTTGGCCAGGTTCTGTTCCACTTCTACAACCTGGAGGACCCCGCTTCCATTCGCGAAGCCGTGAAGCACTCGAATGTGGTCATCAATCTGGTGGGCAGGGACTTCGAGACCAAGAACTTCAAGTTCAAGGATGTTCATGTCAACGGAGCTGAGAGGATCGCGAGGTAAATATTACATGTCCAGCATTGCTGATTCAGCAAGAACACGATTAAAGTAACCCTGATAAGCATATGTGTAATATATTATTGTTAATTATTCCAGAATTGCCCGTGAGGCTGGTGTAGAGCGTTTCATCCACCTCTCTTCCCTGAACGTGGAGGCCAATCCCAAGGACCTGTACGTTAAGGGTGGAAGTGAGTGGCTAAAGAGCAAGTACGAGGGTGAGCTGCGCGTCCGCGATGCCTTCCCCAACGCCACGATCATCCGTCCCGCGGATATTTATGGCTCCGAGGATCGCTTCTTGCGATACTACGCCCACATCTGGCGCCGTCAGTTCCGCTCGATGCCGCTGTGGCACAAGGGCGAGAAGACCGTGAAGCAGCCCGTTTACGTTTCGGATGTGGCCCAGGCCATCATTAACGCCGCCAAGGATCCGGACACTGCTGGACGCATCTACCAAGCTGTGGGGTAAGTCATCCTCTAAGCTAAGTATTTTAAAACATTCTTTATTTCCGGTTACCTATTTTCAGACCCAAACGTTACCAGTTGAGCGAACTGGTTGACTGGTTCCACCGCTTGATGCGCAAGGACCAGAAGCGCTGGGGCTATATGCGCTACGACATGCGTTGGGACCCCACCTTCCTGTTGAAGGCCAAACTGAATAGCTTCATTTGCCCCGGCACTCCGATCGGTGGTCTGCATCCAGCTCGCATTGAGCGCGAGGCTGTTACCGATAAAGTTCTGACTGGAGTGCCCACCCTAGAGGATCTGGGCGTCACACTGACCACGATGGAGCAGCAGGTGCCATGGGAACTGCGTCCCTACCGCGCTGCTCTCTACTACGACGCCGAGTTGGGCGAATTTGAGACACCATCGCCACCCAAGGTCATCGAAGCTCGCGAGGAGCTGCGTCTTTTTGCTTAAGTGGATTGTAGCAATGTCTGTGCTGATCGGAAATTTTTAGTTGGAATTGTTAAGGCGATGCGTCAATAAAGAGAAGTCGAAAGATTTAAAGGCCTTGTTCTTAATTAATAAGTAATAAAGATAAACTATATCCAGGAAATAATAAAAGGACAATTTTCTTAATCTTAGATACAAATTATTCTACCGGGACGGTTTAATTAACATTTCTTTTAATCATTTTATTTGAAAGTGTGAGTAAATATTTTTAGTTATATGTTGACGACCTTATACCTATATATAGAGAATTTTTAGAGAAATTAAAAAAAAAAAAATATATACACTCTATGTTCGTATTTAAAAAAAGCTAAATTTAAAAAGCCAACATATTAGACAGTTTCGATGGCAATAAATAAGTTGGCAGCTCTGAAATTTGTAGTATTTATTCTATTGCTATTGCCTCCAGTGGCAACACCCCGGCGACAAAACCAAAACAAATGACATCGCCGACAGCATCTGGCAACGCCCGTACAATTTTTCTTCCTTTGCGACCAGGAGCTTTTCTGCAGCCCAGCAGTTTTCCCCGAAACTTACGCCCGTGCAGATTTATGGCCGGAAAATCATAGTACGGAAAATTCGATTTCTCAACCTTTATTTCTGTGTGTGTGTGTTTGTGAAGATTTTTAACTTTTCAGCTTGGTTAAACGTCGAAAAAATAATTGAAACAACAACAAAATACAAGCGCGCGCCCGCCTCTCTTTCCGCGTTTTTGTGCGTTTGTGTGCGTGAGAGTGAGTGTAATAATTATGGCATAAGTGCATAAAAATTATGATAGCAGAATTCCCACGGTCCACTACGAATGTGAATTGTGAAAAGCGGAAAAGCAGGGAAAGCGAGGAGGCGGAAAATTTGACAAACGAGAGCCGCAAAGGCGTGAAATCGATCAGCTGTGACGTCGGCAAAGCCAGAAAGTTTAGCCAAAAGAAAAGGTCAAAAAAGCAGCAGCAGCAACAACAACAGGAAGCAGGACGAAAAGGAGAGGAAAAGGTGAAAGAGCCGCAACAACAAGAAAAAAAGAATAGCAAGAAGCTCTGTCAAAAGCAAGGGGTAAAGGATAAGAAGAAGAATCAGCAGCGAGGGGAGAACGATAAGAAGAAGCAGCAACAGAAAAGGTCAAATAATAAGAAGAAGAAGCCACAGCAACAGCAAAGGGCCAATAATAAGACGCAGCAGCATCCCGTTGTACACAGCAAAAAAAGCCTTATACTATTTTTAGATTATTTACGGCAGTGCTGTCCCGCCGAAATCGAAATTGTCGCCGTCAAACCAACCGGCTGCAGTGACGTCAGAGGGTCAGGCTGCAATCACGCTACGTGCAGTAAATACGCCGCTAAGAACGGCACTTGGAGCCATTTCGAGCATAAAACCAAAATTTATGCTCTATATCGTCACCTGGAGATCGGTGGCCCGCTCGAACAAGTGCAACAGCAACAGCAGCTGAGAGTCGGCCAAAACCAAATCCGGCTGCGCTTCGAGATGCTCTTCGCCGAGCCACCGCCCCCGCCCACCCAGGGCCATGCTCCCACCTCCCACGGTCACGCCCATACGGTCGATGATGTACAGGATTCGCCGCCTGGTGACGAGCAGGTGATACCTATGCTGCAAGATCAGCAAAACGGCGAACTTATGGCTGGTGAGTGATTTTCAAAATTTACTTAGTATTTTATTCTATCGAACCATTTTATTTAAGGGATGTTAATCATCTCGAAACATTAAAAGATATGACTCATTTAGGGAAAAGCTGATTAAGCGTCGCACTTAAGATTTTCAAAACCTTTGGTAAATGACAAGTGTGCTACATTTTCTTGTGTTACGTTTTCTCTGTAATTCATTTAATAGTGCGAGAGAATTTGTTTAAGTAAAATGCAACTGTTTATTCCCAGTCATACAAAGAAGCGTTATATATACAAATTTATCTACCAACTATTATTAAAGGCACTGCACGAAAATATGTAAATTTTTTGTTTATAGCTCTACTTAAAAAAAAATTATAAAAATTGTTATGCCTATTACAGAATGTATTTTTTTGAAAATACATATTTTGAAAAATGGTTAAAATTGTTCTTAGTATCAAGAGAGTGTTGCAATCAGAGATTTTTGCTTTTGATCACAAATACAAATATATGTTTGAGATTCTTTTACTTGGTTCTAAGATGTGTATTTTGGGTTTAGTTCTCTGAAATATACAGAAATTATTATACTGTAGATATTGATGAATCACTTGGTTTCTGAAACGTAATTAACCCATACTAGACATGAGGAAAGGCTATAGCCAAATTGATTAACTGAAAAGAATCTATATCTCATTATATTTGATAGAAAATAAAATTAGGTTCCAACTGTAAAATATAGTTTATTTTCCAGTGCAGCCATAACTATTTTTATTAAGACACTGAGGCGTATAAATTAAATTTGGTACTGCAGTTGTTCGACTGTTCGGAATTTGTTAGTTTGCGATCGGCACGCGCTATTATGGCGCGGCTCGATTTGTTGGGAACTTTGGTGAAAATATTGGGCGAGCGTTCTGGAATAGGAAAAGCCAGCGTTTGGCACGCCGTTATCGTGACCTTTCTCCATTACTTCTCCTGGGGTCTACTCACCGTGCCCTTTATCGAAAAACTATCCGCATCGTTTGGAAATCGCGTCCTTCTCGTCGATGGATTGGTCTACGGACTTCGAGGCATCTTAGGTTTTGTAACCACTCCTGTGATGGGCGCCGTTTCCGATTTCCGGGGGCGAAAAGTGGTTATGCTACTGGCTGTAGCAACTACCTATTCACCAATTCCATTCATGATGATAAAAAGTTGGTGGTTCTTTGCTCTACTCGCCTTGAGCTCCATCTGTGGCAGCACTTATTCCTCATCCCTGGCCTATGTGTCTGATGTCACTAGTGTGAGTGACCGATCAAAGGGATATGGCATAGTAGCGGCCAGTTTCGGGGCAGGAATAGCTTTTTCACCACTTTTGGGTAATTACCTGATGAAGTCTTTTGGATCAGGATCAGTTATTATGATTGCAACTATCACTGGACTGATAAATATTTTGTTTATCATTTTCGGAGTTCCGGAAAGCTTGATTGTAAATGATATAAGCCTTGTCTTAGATGAAACGGATGACTGGAGCCAGAGATTGGATGATGATGACGTAGCGAAACACATCTCAATTGTAAAAGAAGAGTGTCAACTTGAAAATATTCAAGAAAAACAACAGAATGAGGAAGGATATATTGAAATTTTTAGAGATAATGATGAGAATTTGAAGAACAAACCTATCTTAGAATTAAAAGATGAAGAACCAACGCAAATTTTGAACAAAAATGGAAAAATCGTTGACCAAAATAAAAATTTCACAAAACAGGAAAAGATATTGAATCCCTATAAGAATGAGCACATGGCAAGGCAAACTGAAGATAGGATTAACGATAATACTAAGCTCAACACATCCGATCTTTGGGCTGTGCTACGTAGAAGCCGAAAGGATAAAAACCTCATGGTGATATATCTTATAACATTCCTCTCATGTTGGGCCTTTGCTGGTGTAGATTCAACAGCTCCAGTATACCTGAAAACAAGCATGGGATTCGAATATGAAGAAGTCTCCATGATGCTAGGATTACTCTCTGTCATAGCGGTCTCATCAAATCTCCTTCTGGGTTACATTATGAATCTAGTGGGTGCCAAGTGGTTGATCCGATTGGGCTTACTACTTCTGCTCTCACAGCTCATCTTCTTTGCCTTTGCGACTCAGCATTGGATATACTGGATGAGCAGCATAATGGCCGCCATGGCCACAATAATCCCAGCAGCCAATAATGCGGTGGCTTCGATTTATGCCAGTCCTGAAAATCAGGGAGCTGTTCTTGGGATTATCTCAGGGATCGAATGTTTAAGCGAGGGTGTCGGTCCTGCTTTTTTTGGAGTACTCTTCTATATTTTTCAGGATGATTCAAAAGATCATCCTCTAATATCACCTATTCCAGTGCCCTTCGTCATTAGTGCCATTGGGGTCTTTGTGGCCATCATTCTGACCGGTTTGATTAAAAAGGAGAATATAGAAAAGGAACATAAGATGTACAAGACCTCTGATGAGGCATTGGATGATGAAGACGAGCGGAGACCACTAACGAAAGCAATCTTTAAAGACGATGATAATGGTGGTTATATTAAATTAGATTTAGAGGACTATTACGATTCTGACTGTAAGGAACGAGGCTTTAAATAAATGTAAAATTGAATTACTGCTACATTTTTTTTAGATATGTTTTTTTTTCTTTCTATAAATAGGTCCAAGTATTTACGATATTCTCAGACTTTAAGCGAAAAATATCGTCACCATCACTAGAATATATTAGCTACGCTAGAAGACCATAAAAATGATAATTTCAGCTCACCTCAGTTCTCAAACTACAAAACTAAGTACTCTTTTAGTTGTTTTCGCGGCGTATAGATATGTCCAAGTTCGGTCTGAAAAAAGTACTCGTAACTCTTGCCTCCATTTCCGGAATTGGGAAGCCAAGTGTTATCCACATTTTGGTAGTAGTTTTCCTGGAATATTCCGCCTGGGGCCTGCTGACAATGCCCATGATAGCCACTCTAAAAGAGACCTTTCCAGATCACACATTCCTAATGAACGGTTTGGTAATGGGTGTCAAGGGAATACTCTCATTTCTGTCAGCACCTATGATTGGAGCTCTATCGGATATCTACGGTAGGAAGTTACTGCTACTGATAACAGTGATCTTCACTTGCCTTCCGATTCCCATGATGACAATCGACAATTGGTGGTTCTTTTTGATCAATTCGATCAGTGGAGTCCTGGGCGTTAGCTTCTCAGTGGTTTTTGCCTATGTGTCCGATGTTACTACAAAAGAAGAACGCTCTAGATCTTATGGATTTGTATCGGCCACATATGCCGCCAGTTTGGTGATTGCCCCTGAATTGGGTAATCTTATTATGGAAATTTATGGTCTTAATGCTGTAGTCTTTATAGCTACTCTGATCTCTACGACAAATGTGCTCTTTGTGCTGCTGGCTGTTCCCGAAAGTTTACCTAGGAAAGTTCGATCCACTGGCTTGAGCTGGAAACAAGCGGATCCGTTTCTTGCTCTACTAAAAGTTAGCTCAGATCACAATATCGTGCTGTTGTGCATCGTGGTCTTTATGTTCCTGCTCCCAGAAGCTGGGGAATATTCGAGTGTACCGGCGTATCTAAAGCTAACAATGGGATTTGATTTCAAGGAGCTCTCCTCGTTGGTGGCATTCATGGCCATTCTGAGCATTACTGTGAACGTGACCTTGGGATCGATAGTTAAAACTATAGGTGCCAAGAAAGCGATATTAATGGGCCTTCTTCTGGAGCTGCTGCAGCTAATCCTGTACGCCGTTGGAGTTGAAAAGTGGCAAATGTGGCTGGCTGGAAATGTGGCAGCCTTGAGTTCCATTACCTTTCCGGCCGTCAGTGCTTATGTTTCTCTTTACACGGATGGTGAGAGTCAGGGAGCTGTCCAGGGAATGATCACAGGAATGTCCGGATTATGTAATGGCCTTGGTCCCGCCGTATTCGGTATCGTATTCTACCTCTCTGACATGGATTTGAGTCAGGATCGCATTATCATAGGGAGTGTGAATGGAGATCGTACTGTTGCCGGTCCCTTTATATTCGGAGCCATCTTTGTGTTCATTAGCATTCTATTGGCCTCGTGTATACCAGATGAAAAGGACTCTAGGGAAAGGAAAGAGGAGTTCTCAGCCTTGAAATACATCATCGAAATGGAGGAGGTCGCTACATTGTAATATAAAGAAATATTAAAACTAAACTATTAAGATAATTCTGTTATCGAAAACGAAACAAAATATATTTTTTTAAGTTGCTTTGTAACTTTGCTTTTTGTTTTAATTTTCTTTAATTTAGGGCACTGCACGCAAATATGCAAATTACTTTTTATGACACGACGTAAAAGTTAATAAAATTGCTAACCCCTTCTGGAACTCTAAGCTGGCCAAAATGACAAGTAATAAGATCTTTGGATTAAAGGATGCTTTTAAATAAGAAATCTATTACTCTAATAAATATAAAATCTATTGGAAATAAGAAGATCTATTGGTTAATAAGAAATAGATTTTTAAAAACAAAATCTGCCAAAAATAAAGTGTTTTTTCCAGTGCAGCTATAAATATTAAAATAAATATAAAATACAGAGACGTATAAATAGATTTTTTAACTTAAGTTCTTAAACAGTTTGCAATAGGAAGGCACAATTATGGCCCAGTTCGACTTGTTGGGACCGCTCGTGAAAATTTTGGTCAATCGTTCTGGATTCGGAAAAGCCAGTGTTTGGCACGCCGTGATCGTGACCTTTCTGCACTTCTTTTCCTGGGGTCTGCTTACCGTGCCCTTTATTGACAAAATCTCGGGGTATTTTGGTAATCAGGCCCTTCTCGTCGATGGATTGGTCTATGGAGGCCGTGGGCTCTTGGGCTTTGTGTCCACTCCAGTGATGGGCGCCATTTCTGATTTCCGCGGCCGGAAAGTAGTGATGCTACTGGCGGTTGTAGGTAACTATTTACCAATTCCATTTATGCTGATGGAGGGGTGGTTGTTCTTCGTTATACTTACTGTAAGCACAATATCTGGTGCACCTTACTCTGCGTGCTTGGCCTACGTGGCGGATGTGACCAATGTTGAGAACCGTTCAAAGGGATACGGCTACGTGGCAGCCAGCTTTGGTGCCGGCATAGCATTTTCACCATTTTTGGGAAATTACCTGATGAAGTCCTTTGGATCAGGTTCAGTTATTTTGATAGCAGCTATCACAGGAATAATAAATATTTTGTTTCTAATTTTTGGAGTGCCGGAGAGTTTGGTTTTAAAGGAAACTACCTTAATGTTGGACAAAAAGCATCTTAAGGAAGATTGGAACAAGAGAATGGAAGAAGTTGACGCGCAAAACTCAGCCATAAACCCAAAAGAAAAGAAACAGATTCTAGAGGTGCAGAAAGAAGGACCGGCAGAATGTTTAAACGAAAAAAGCGAAAGTGTACACCAAGAAATTATCTTAAACCCTAATAAGATTGAGGAACAGCAAAAGGAATCTGAAGGGACGACAAATGGTAATACCACGCTGAAACCTTCTGATCTTTGGGCAGTACTACGTAAAAGTAGTAAGGATAAAAACCTGTTAGTTATATACCTTATAACATTCCTATCATGTTTGCCATTTGCGGGAATAGATGCAACTGCGCCGGTATATCTGAAAACCAACATGGGATTCCAATATGAGGAGATGTCCATGATGCTCGGATTGCTCTCTATCATAGCGATCTCATCAAATATCCTGATGGGTTATATAATGAATCTAGTTGGTGCCAGGTTGTTGATTAGGCTGGGATTACTATTCCTTCTGTCGCAACTTTTGTTCTTTGGTTTCGGAACCCAGCATTGGATGTTCTGGATGAGCAGCATATTGGCCGCCATGGCCACTATAATACCAGCCGCGTATAATGCAGTGGCTTCGATTTATGCCAGTCCTGAAAATCAAGGAGCTGTTCTGGGGATCATCTCTGGAATTGAGTGTCTGAGCGAGGGTATCGGACCCGCTTTATTTGGAGTACTCTTCTACATTTTCCAGGAGGATTCAAAGGATACTTTTACAGTAATATCACCAATTCCAATGCCCTTTTTCATAAGTGGCATTGGGGTTGCAGTGGCCATTATCCTCACCGCTTTAATTTCGAAGCAGACCCTTGAAACGGAAAGTAATGAGGAGGTGACAAGATTATAATTCCAAAAACTTTTTGTTATAACTCTCTATAAACGTTAATATATTTGTTAAATAAACCTCAAAGGTATTTTATTAAGAAATATATTTTTTTAGACGCCGTGCCGTGCGTTGTCGTCATTTATTCGGCCACTTTTTTCGCAGCCTCTCAGTCGACGACCGCGTCTGTTTATTTTGGTTTTTGTTTTTAATTTTCTTGGCATTTTCCTGCTATTTATTTATAACATTTTGGTTTGGCTCTTCTTTTTTTTAAGCATAAAATTCACAACAGTTTGTTGACTCTTACGTAAGAGTCTGCCCGATTTGTTTGTTTTCCTCATCAACAGCGTCCAATCAGTAGCAAACCAAAAAACAAAAATCGCCAAAAGATAATTTATTAACAACAATTGCAGAATCCCAAAAATAGACCAAGCTGAAGACGTCCCATATTGCCCAATCTTTTGGCAAGCGAATATTCCTGTTTGTCAGATGTTTTCTCGCTTTTATTTTTGGTTTTCTCAGGTTCTGCTTGCAAACACAGGCAAAGCCCAAAACTTTCCATTTGAAAAAGCGAATCCCAATAAGTATTTATGTACGTAATGCTCAGCGAAAGAGAACCATAAAATTCAGAAAATAGTGTGATTATACCCAAACACGTGCAACGGAAACCGATTCTCTCACTCTCGGAGGGAACTGAAAATATAAATATAGGGAGAGTAAGAGAACTGGGTCTCACTGGCGTCGCCCGGTAAATATTATTTAACTGATGTACAGGGACGGATTAATTGAGTGAAGGTTGCCGAAAGGGGTATCAGAAAATCCAAAAATGTTGAATATATTTTGGAAATGTGTTTTGCCACAAATAATAGTAACAATAATAGTGGCATTAAGAAATTATTATTTCTGTGCGTGCAGGATAAGAGTCTTGTTGTAATGAAAACTCTCCTTTATCCTCGCACATTAGCACCCCTTTAGAATCAATAAACCGCCCCAGTCGTAAAATTTTCAGAGACACATAACTTTTATCTCGATATACTATGTATGTATGTTGCCAAGCTCAGCGATTTTGTTGTTTGGTTTTTTGTATCTTTTTTTCTGGCTGTCAAATGAATGCCTTTTTGTATTTTTTTTTTAAAGACGCGTCAGGGTTTTCTGCCATTGGCCTTCAATTTTGATTCTTTGCGAGACCAAAAGCCCCCACATCGTTATCAACCAGGCATATAAACATATGTTCACAGGAATCCGGCAAACATATGTATGTACATATGCACAAAGCAAAACTATTCCATGACTCAAAAGAGTGAATTTTTTGCGCCACTTTGTTGCTACACAGGGAGAAATATGGGGTTCAAAATCGATAAGCCTTGCCTTGATAAGATGTCTGACGGCCCCCTTGCTATTGCACTATTCTGCTAATGCGATGCGAATTTCTATGGGTTTTAATTAGCGTTGCGAATGTCTAATGACAGAGAAAACAAGGGAAATAGTTAGTTGCACAACATTAAAGCCATTTACTAGCTAATCCAGCCATTGCTACTGTACAAAAGTTATGTCGTTGAACTGGCATCAGGCGTCTCTTATCAATTATCTTGGAGCCAATCGGATTTTTAGCGCGTTACCAGGCGGAGAAATCGGTAACAATTTCCCCAGCTGACCGATAACACTTTGACCTTTTTGTTATAGAAGATTTTGAGTCAAAATACAAATGCCCTCGAATCCGTTGGAAATTTTATTTCCTCTTGCCACTGAACTTTGCCAATGCCAGGCGAATTTATGCAAAAAAGAAATATATTTGGGTCTGGTTTCGCTTTTTTTTTATGCTTAAAGAGAAACTACAACTTGTGAGAGTGAAGCTTCTCAATCTTAGATACCCTTTATAAGAGTTGCTACGATATAGAAAATGTTTTGAAAAAATATATTTTATGAAAAAGGTAAATCTTACCTTTTTACGAAAGCAAATTCATATTTCGTATTTAATAATCATTTTATCAAAGAAAATTAGATGTTGATAAATAGTTAATGATTATAGAAACTTAAAAAAAAGTTATAGTTAGGGTATCCAAAGTGCTTCGCCGCATTTTAAAATGTCAATCCCATGTGACAGAGCGATAAAGCACACGTGAGAGAGCGAGAGAAGCGTGGAGCAAAGCATAGAACGCGATTACTGGGGCCCCGCCTTCCTCCATTTCGTACTCCTCTTTCTGCCGGCTTTTTTTTCGGAATCTCCCATGCATATGGGCCTTCATTTCGAAAGCCCACGTCGTGGAGATCGGACGGAATTAATTCCTCTACTTAAGAACCTGTAAATGCAAATACATGTCCCGTTTTTGCTTTTGAATAGAAAACTAACTATATTTTTTTATTTTCTACATTTTATTACAGGCACCGCCAGTAACGTTGAGCTAATGGAGGCCATGAAGAAATTAGATGCGGATCTGGTGGCTTTGTTTGCCACCGCTGCTTCCGCAGAGCCACTAAAGATTAAGCAACAGCAGGTCCTGTGGCCAGAATCGGAGTCGGAGCAAATGGCCCAAGATTCGGATGATGAGCTGATCATTACGCCGGAGATTTTCCGTAGCTGCAACTCTTTGCAGCTCCATTTGGAGGCTTTGACTTTGCAGCCGGAAGGAACTCAACGCATGGAACTGGTTCAGAACGATGTGCGACCCATTTTCACCGTGGAATGCCAACTGTCCGGGGATTTGATAAAGAAAGTGCCACGTTATCCGATGTTCCACATCATGCAGTTCGAGTCGGAGAAGTTCCAGAGCCTGACGCAGTGCACCCGCTTTGGGCAGACGGCTCAGCGGCAGGTGGATATGAAGGAAAAGAAACTTGACGATCAGGATCAGAGTGCTGGTCATGTGGACATAACGGTTTGGTGGCGTGAACCCGGTACTTGTCTCAATGAAATGCTCGGCATGGGCCGTTTGGAACTAAGAGAGCTTTACAACGCATCCCTGTTGGAGCAATGCAAGTGCATTGCCATTAAGCGTCGCGATGTCCATCTGGGCAGCGTGTATGTGAAGATCAGTCTGCTGCAGATTTTGAATGGTAACCCGGAACAGCAGCAGCAGCAACAACAGCAGCAGCAGCAGCCGGGTCAAAAGAACGAAAGTGGAAACAAGGCAGCAGGTGAATATATATGACTAATGTCGTGTGGTTGCCAATCGCAAGAACCATTGATTCTTGGGCCCACAAATCGAATTCAACTGATACAAGCTGAACCACACGACTACAGTCATAACTACAACTACAACTACAACTACAATTTTCACCATCTACTACAACAACAAAAAGAACAACAACAACTATACCAATACCAATACGATATCCACACGAGCCGCCCACAACCACGCCCACGCCTCCTGCACTTACTCTATATATTATTGATTGCCGTTATTCAAGTGCTGCCCATCATTCTGTCAATAAATACTTTTCATTTTCAAAAAAGAAATCAAAAACAAACAACAAAATCAAAAACAACAAATCTGTTTCGTGTTTTATGTTTTTTATCCCAGCCACATATATATTTTAAATCATACATTTTGTTTTCCAACAGCTTTGTTTGTGATCGCTAAGCACTGTGGGTTGGGAAAACTGTTTAAACTTTTATTTTTTTGGAAAAGTCTGTTGAGCATTAGGGAAAGGACCTAGTTAAAAATTTAACTTTTTTAAGTTCCCTCTAATTTGGAAGATTATTTTCAATCAAAATTAATTTTTAAAGTAGAAACTTGAAAATTTTTGATGCAAAAAAATACTAAATTAGCTGAAACATAATTCCTTGAATTGAATTTTTTATAGATCACAGTCTTTTTTTTATCGATAATCTATAAACCTTTATATTTTTCATATTTAAATTTTAAAATATTAACCGTAACATATTTAATTTAGGATTTTTAATATTTTCTAAAATATTTTCCTTTAAAATATTGTCATTCTATCCACTAATCCTTAATTACCCACTGTGTCAACCGCTTATGATGCTAAAAGTGCGTCAATTATCGGTCTGATTTGAGATCTAGTTGGTCTATTTTTAACCCTCTAGATTCCAGAGATCGACCAAAGTTGTCAGTTGTCCGCTTATATAGCACGTGCCATAACCGATTCGACCCGGTTTCACCCGCTTGTCGTCGCAATCTTTCGTTACGCTTGAATCGATTTTTGGATCCTAGCGTCTGTTGTCAAGACCCGATAAGACCCGGATCAAAGATCGCAGCTGATTCAGTTCTTAAAGCTTCTTTTAATTCAAATCGGAGAGTTCAAGGTCCGTTTAGGAACTATGAACTGTGATTAATTCAGCCACAGCCTTGCTTGTCTTATTATCTGTTGCCACACACTAAACACTAATCCTGTATTGCGTTCTTAAATGTTTTACAGTTAACTACAATTCGAAGGCCGTTTTAACGCCCCCTCAGCCGCCGCCCCGACCACCACCGCCTCCCCAAGCCAATAACAACAACAAGGCCATATTGGAGTGTGTCAATTTCATGGCGGAGACCAACAAAGTTCGTCTCCTCAGAGGCTATCTATATGCCGGGGAGCTGCGTCAATTAACAACGGAGAATCAGACCGCATGTCAGGAGTTATCACTGCAACCATTCTGGCAATCCTCGCCACTCCTAGTAAAGATCGGCGATGGTGGATCTTTTAAGCTGCAGGAACAGTTTGCCATCATCAATGACGAGCGCTTCCTGCAGAGTGTCGAGCGCCAGCAGCTGATCCTGGAGCTACGTCCCCTGGGTGGCGTTGTCCGTCTACCGCTGCATCAGTTCTTCATTGCCTACAGAGATGCCAACATCACCAACCATCTTTGCAAGGGAAAGGTGCGAGGGGGTTTTTTAACTTTTGGGAGGATGGCATATTAACTTTTTTATTTTAGTCTAATTTATTTAATTTGGCCCAAAGCGAATATTTCATATTGAAGTCTATAAATATATTCTCAAGTATTTTTAGAATTTTTAAAGCAATTTTCTTCAATTCATTCAAGTTCAATGTCAGTTCATTAAAATAATTAAAATTTGATAATATAGACTGATGAGTAGAACCGAATGTTTCTGGTTTATAAAAGTGAATACAACGAACTAGTACTGATTATCTCCGGTTTTTTTTTCTTAAGTTTAATATGTTTTTTTTAAATTCTTTAAACTATCTTCTCTCTACCTTTCAGTTACCAGTGATTTCCATTGATGGCTGGGCACCCATTGTCAGTGCTGAGACCCAGTCTCCACTGGGTGAACTTAAGGTGCTCCTGGCCATCGGCAGTGAGTCGCAAATTGCTCAATTAAAACAGCAGCGCGGCTTCGACCGGGACAACAATCAAGTGCCTACACCAAGTAGCACCACAGATTTGCTTGACATGCTCCAAAATGCCATAACAGCTCCAAAACCAAGTGGCTCAGTTCAAGTTATGCCGCCACCACCGGCCCCACCAGCGCCAAGTAACTTTAGCTTTCAACTGCGCATCGTGGGAGCTGCAGGATTGCCATTGAATCCAGGATATGGAAAGTCAAAGAAACAAGTCAAACGTCAGTCGGCCGCCAAGCGTTTCCCGCCCAACGAACCTCCGAACACCTATGTGACCTTCCAGGCCATCAACTGTAACAGTCAGACATACAAGTCACACGAAGGATTGGTCTATGCCACGCCTATTGTGCCAAGGTCCACGAAGCCACAATGGCTCAGCAAGTTCCGGGTAGAAGTGAGCCGCGATTACCGTAGTAATGTAAGAAAATTGGCAGCTAACTTCTAAAGAACCAAAATATTAATAATTTTTCTTTCAGCCCCAGAAACTCTTCATCTTAAAGCTATGGAAAAAGGCGATCGTTAGCCCAAACGGCGTTACTGAGCCATCTCCCCATGAGGATGCCATTATTGGGTTTGCGGCCCTGAATCTCAACCAGAAGCAACCTGGCGGAGGCTTTCCCAGCGGATGGCACAACATAGTGGACTTCAATGGACGTGTAACTGGGGGAATTGAGGCTCATGTGGAGCCCATACCGCCCAGTGTGGACACCGTGATCGATCAGTTTGAAAAGTCCATGGAACTGGGTCATTTGCAGTTGGGTCAGGCCATAAAGAGGAAGTACACTGAGTTGGAGGAGATATCGCAGAGATTGCGTTCTCGTTTGGTGGATGTGACGGGGGAAACACTTAAATTTCCAGAATTCGATGTAGATTCTGCATTGGACAGTTGGCAGCAGGATGGAGATGATGATGATTTGGCGGAAGATTTTGAACGTTCTCTGCGCACTCCAACGCCTCCTCCTGACTCGCCAACGCCATCTACCAGCAACGCCGCACAAAATCTCAGAAACACAAATGGCCAGGAATAGCCCAGGGCCAAGAGTCAGTTAATGTTTTTTCCTCTCTCTACATCTCGATGTCGTCTCTGATATTGGCTCAAACTGTAGCTATAGTTAACCATCTAGTTATAGACTAAATAATAATACACGGATATTAATCTGATAATTATGCTGTACTTAAATTGGCATCCCAATTTTGCCTCGATTCACCGTCTTATGGCTGTCTATATAGCATAAAATCAAAGCTAACAACGATCACCCAGCGATCGTTCCATTGAGTTAAAAATTGTCGATTGAATATTGTTTTAAGTCACGAGAGGATTTTCCCCTGCAACCACACGGAATATGTATTAGTTTCGGAACTGTGTTAATCACCTAAGTATTTAGACACTATTACTTAATAAAAATTTAAATAAAAATAAAGAAAATGCTTGAGCAAATTTAATTGATTGTCTTTGGAAAAGGTTAAAAATGTTTTGATAAAAATGAAATTTAATCTGAAATCTGCAGAAGCAATTTTAGAGTTTAGACGTTTACTAAAAGTCTGATTATTCTTCCAAACATTTTAATTGCTTATATAGCATCCCCTTGTTAAATGATAACTATAACTGCACTCAGTCTAACAAAGTCTATTAGCACAATCTGACGAAATGACCGCTTAGTCTGAGTCACTGCTAAGGTAGCAAATAAACAATATTAATGGAAAATGTACAAAAACTTTTTCACAAACAAAATCTATTCAGCTTCACATATAGGTAGTTCAAAGTCGGTACATATACATTTTTACAAAGAGCAAATAAGTAAACATTTTGCGATTAGTTTAAGTTCAAAGCAACACGCTTATGAACACGTAAGTACTTTAAAGCCGGACTTCTAACAATATTCCCTTGAAAATAAGATCATATAACATTCTAAGTAAAAATATGCATTCTTAATCTGGGATTAAGAAAAGAATAAGTCTTAATCCTCCCTTTAAATCCACCATTGAAAAGCCTTTTAATTTCCTTTTAAATAGATATTGAAAAATATTTTAATATAAAAAATCATTACAACTATTCTGTGTTGCTTTTTTTTTTGTGGGGGCTAACCCCTCCCTCACATATTAATATATATATACTTATGTATGTTTGCCATATATGGGTTTGTTTCTTGGTTTATCGTTTTTCTATATGCTTAGTAAATCAAAACATTTGACGATTGCTCAACAAAAAGTACGATCTGGATACAATATGATTCAACTACAATATGCCTACAGATGTATGTGGATGTTCTTATATGAAGTATGAATGATAAAATTGAAATTCTTAGAATGGAGTTTGGCGTACACTTGTATTAGATAAAATGTACGATTGGGTGCTAAGACATACGGCTAAAGCAAATTATATATAGAGTAACGGCGTCTACAAATGCTTTTCTGTAACATTAGATTTGCTGCCTTGATTTATATCGTGTTAAATGTATAAAATTATATAAAATATGTATTTCAAAAAACTGTTCAACCCATGCCCAAATGGCCTTTTCTTCCTTTCTTTTTTTTACTTCGCTGACTTAAAAATTACATTTTGTTATAGGTATGTACTGAATGAGAAAGGTGTCGAAAATATGGACTTCCGATTAAAATACAAATGAGTTGGAATACGGCTGGCTGTTTATATGTGTATACTTCGATTTCTTATATGGAACGCATCGTGTTCTGTTTTCGATTGAAGTGCATATTGATAGATTGAAAACGTTTATATTTCTTTCTTCTGTTTTTCTTTTTGTTTATGGCATCTTTCAGTCAATGACCACGCGGGTAAGGAGTATGCCACGCTTGCTCAACCACAATCTATAAATGGAGTTCAATAAATTACAAATTTAATATTTAATATTGCAAACTTATCTTACCCGAAACCGGCTCCCAGCAGCAAAGACAGGACATTGGTCACCAGCAGCGAGTATAGAATTTCGCGGGAGAACAACGAGTTGGAGCCTAGACGCTTCAAGCGGATGGAGTACCCTGGGTTAGTCTTCTTTTTCTCGTCCTCATCACCAGCATCTCCAGTTACAGCATCGAAATTCCAGCTTCTGTTGATAGTAATGAAACGAAATTAATTATTTATAATAATCAAAGAAAAAGAAATTGAAATCTAACGAATTTAACTACTTTTTTTTTTTAACTCTTTAAATTGCAAAAAATAATCAATGCTTTATAAGCAAAGGGTGCACTAAACCATCATGGCATTGACAAAAAATTATCTCAGATTACAATTTAAATTGCAATCTGTCAATATCCTACTTAATTTACAACAATATGAATCAGAGTATAAGAAAAAGTCGTTAAATAACTATATCAATATCGTTCGTACTTGGGTGGCTGCTCCTCCGTGTTGCGATTCCAGTTCTTTAGCCAATCTCCATTGTCTGCATTCTGTTTATCTCCACCCTGGCAGAAAAAAAAGAAAAGCATTGTTAACAAGATCACCTCGGTTACGCCCCGATTCTCATCGCTTACCTTGGTCCAGTAGTTAATGTAGACGTTTCTGAGCTCATCGTCCGGACAAAGTTCAGACTGGGGACTGTTCGGTGGACTTTTGGGGCTATCACGGGGCGTATCACGACGGGAGCTGGCCAAGGAAACGACTCGGCTCGACTGGTTTGATTCGCGTTGAGCTTCGCGCAGAAGTCTCAGATACTCCTCGCCATTGTTGAATGGCAACGGAGTGATTCTGTCGGGGCTCTTAATGCCAGCCATTGCAGCTGTTGTGCTTAGTTCAATCCAAGATTCTGAAAAAGTCAAGGCAAAACGAAATGGGTTAGCATAAGACGCCAACACATACTAACACAAATAGATCATTTTCTCTAACATGGAAGCAGGCCAAACAATATGGGTGAAAGCAAAAACCAGATGGTGTGAAATTGAATATTAAGTTGATTGCATTTGGTACTGGCTAGACTATATATAGTATACTAGTAAACATGGTGTCGAAACCTTTTGAGCCGTGTTGAATAAACATTACGAACCGAAATACATTGAACCTATGTTTTTGAACCCAAAACTCATTGGTTTTGCGATTGACTTTCAGACATTCAAAACTATACAAATTAAGAAGTACCAATACAATATTACTCTGTATAATAATAACTACAATTCGATTTCAATTTTACTCAAATATAAAGCCAAATTAGCACTGAAAATGTGCTAAAAAAATCTTAAATCTAAAACGCAGTATAAAGTTATTAAGGAAAGCATTTCGGGTTATGTATTTAAGGAATTATCATGCAATTTCCAGTCACAAAAACTTAATATATTTCTTGCCTACATTAAGTGAAATAAAAAAAAACTCAACTCCAAATATTTGTTTCCATCCTCAAAACCTATTATTTTTAGTTTTGATCGTATATAAAATTATCAGTTTAAAATAATGACCTGTAAATCAATAAAACTGTAATTTATAAACTGGTAAACGTCAATTTAAAGCAATTACTTGACTGTAATTACACTTGTTGACTAAAATATTGTTTTTTTCTTCGTGTTTACTTAGGCCGACCATCACAGTTTTAGAGCCATTATAAATACGGCGGCAATGGCTCTAAAATTCTGACATCGTCACCCCCTTTTTTGCGTTTGTTTTTGTTTGCCTAAACGTAACAACAACCCAACCACACGTTCGGTTCGTTAGCCCATGTATTATATGTATATATAAAAACACATTTGTGTATATCTGTTCAAGTGCTCGTGCCCCATTGATAAGGCTAAAAACCCCACAACTCGTACAATTTCCGTTTCTTTCGGCGTATTCCATATATGTTTATATATATAGAAGCACACATGTTTTGTTTATAGTCTATATAGCCGATGCTTATCAATGCGCCGCGGAGAAAATTTCATTTTCAAAACAAAACGAAACCAAAACTGGCAATGCAATATGGGCACGAGAAGCGTGCAAGTTACATGATGACAGCCAGCGATGCTCGATTCGTTGATAAGCAATACAGTACAACTTATTTAGCTACAAAAATAACTTTATAATAGCTAATTTTTATTAAGTTATTGCTAAAGTCACAACAATTTATTTTAATATATTCACAAAGCTGGATAACTTGTATTCAAATTATTTAAATCTAGAAAATTCTTAAGTTGGGAATGGTAAACCAACAGGTTCTAGTCTATATATAGATTCCACACACTAAAATTTACATTATTTATTCAGTAAAGAAAAGAAAATCGTATTCATGTTCTACAAAATTAAACTTCTAATATATCTGTGTCTTCTTGTCACTTCAGTTCTTCACTTTCACTCATATATTTTTCACTATTCCGAGTTACTACTGTAGATGCAACTAATTTAGAGAATTTCCCAGTTCCAATCAATTACAGAATAGTTCACATCACTCACGTGGCAGACCAATCATGTTGACAATCGAATACTAAATACTAAATAGAAAACAGGTAAACACAAAAACCCGCGAAAACAGGTAGACGTAGAAAATGGCACAGGTAAACAATATTTGAACCGTTATCGGGAATCCGGGTTACAGGTACGAAAATGTGCAGCGAAAATGGAAACAAAAACAAAAGCAAACGCGTATCGAAGGGTGGTAATAACAACCACAACAACAAACTTGGCTTGCTGACTCACGGCACGTAGGCCTATCTCCCTCTCTTTCTGTCTTTGGGTTTCACCCCCTTTCTCTTTCTATCACTTACTCCCCTTCTCTTTCTATCACACACCTCCCCTCTCTTTCTACCCCTCCTTCGCGGGGGCTTTGTTGTGTGCATCTTGATGCGCAACTGTCCAAAAGACCCTGAGTTGAGCCCATTGAACCGCCTTTATTATTGGATGGATGACTCCTCGGGTATCATAATACAATTTCTTACGTACTATATAGTATATAGTATATAGCAAAGTGCACAAAGAAAAAATATATCGCCTAAATTGGTCATCCAATTCGCACATGTTTTAAGGTCAAGAAACAGCTAGCCGGCGTATTTTTAGCAAACTTATTTCAGTTTTTATTTTTTGTAAATTGAATGTCTGGCAAAAAATGGTCATAAATTTAAGACCCAAAAAACCTTATTTATGAAATGATATAGGGACCAAACTATATTTTAACCTTCATAAAGCGATATATCCCACAACATATGGTCCGTTGTTGGTTCAAATTGATAAGATTAATACTAATTTTGATGGAGCAAAATGATAAAACCAAATTCAGTTTGAACCTGCTTTATTTTTGTGAATGACTTTGCAGAAACATAATATAATGTCTTGCGTAGTCAACAACCTCTTGTGCAAACAAAAAATTGTTTTTAAAACAGGCCATCAATTTAGATTATAATTTTGTCATTTTAAGGTGACATTTTAAGAGATTTTAACAAGTAAAAACGATTGTTCGTTATTATTTCTACAATTGCAATATTTAAATAGGTTTATATTATTTATTTATTATTCTTCTAATTTCATCGTATTTCACAATATTGTTATATTACGATAAGCTGCTAATTTGATGATTAGCCCTTATTTGTTATTACTTTTATTTTAAAATTTCATACTTTCCGTGTTTAACCTATTTTTTCTCGCCGAGTGTAAACGTGGATGTTGATAAAGTAGGCAGCCGAAATACAATTGAAGCTAATGCCAAAGGCGCAATTTCTGGAAACGACCGATAGGGAAATGCCCTCCCACAAAATGTATTTATTTACGAATTATTTTAGCAAGCCAGACGAAGGAGCGATAGCGAGTATTGAGGGGTAAAAGAAAGAGAGCGACTGACGTCAAGCGGGCCAAGTGCAAAGCAAAGAAACATGACATGAATGAACAAGGAGAGAGGGATAAAGAGTGCGTTGGCAGCTTCTTTGTTTTCATTCGGAGTTTTGCGGATTCTTTGTTGTCTCTTTCCCTCTCACCACTGCATCAGAAAACAAGTGCAAAGTAAACAAATGAAAACAAAAACAAAACCAAAAAGCAGACAAAGTAAAGCCTTGAAATAGAATATGGGATGCGGATACCAACAAATTACAAATCACTCCATATAAAAATGTATATACATACACTTACAACAGCAACAACTATAAAAATAATGCGGCAAACGGGTTACCGTGTTATTGTTATGATTGCAAAAAGAGAGACGCAAAAAAACACGAATGAAAGAGCAAAGCAAAGGAAAACAAACAACTTACCACCCAGCAAATCTTCGCTTGATTTTGGTGTCGTAGACATTTTGTTTTGTTTATCGGTATGTGTGTTCAACACGTCAACACCAAAGATAACTTGGTTTTATTGCTTATTAACTCGATTTTAAGTTAAACTATACGTTTTTTCGAGTTATTTTGGCCCTTCTGTTTATTTCGTTTAAATGTCTGTCTGTGTGTGTGTGTGTATTCGCTTTTGGTTTTAATGTATGCGTAGGAAAATGCGTTTTACTTTTCGTTTGGCGCTGTTTTCTCCGCCTCTTCACTCGATCTGGTTAAAATTAATTGTTCCGGACTAAAGCCAACTGCTGCAGCTCCGAAATATTGCAACTTTGTTTAATGCTTCGTCTGAAGCGCACTGGCTACTACTAAAATTAAACACGATTTGTACCTACGCACAAGCTTAATGCGTAGTTTAAATCTTTTGTTGCTGTTCAGTGTTACCAGATTGTACAATGGCCATATTCTCCTAACTTTGATTTGTCACTAAAAATCCCAGGTTTCCGCGAAATTCAAAAACGTTTTATCATTTCGTGAGGAAAGATTTTCAAGCGGCAGGAAGAATTAGATGATCTATTTGGTTATTGATTTAATTTAATACATTTGTATACCAAAATCTCAACTTTTTTTTATTTACCACTTATCTCGTTTTCAAAAACAAATCGAAAGTTTCTAAATCACTTTTAGCCACATTTCGCACAAAATAAAAGTTATTTCCTTCCACTATGGTCTTGGGCGATATATACAGATCCTTTTGAGGATCATACTGAGCTCGTCCCAGTAATTTAAGGAACTCATGACGTTCCCGTAGGCGAAATTCTCGCGATGCTAAAAGCTCGGGACACTGGACAATCTGGCCATGAGAAAGTCCCATTTCCTGGTGAACAAAGCTGAATCGCTCAATAAGATATTCGGGAGCTGTAAATTGCAGGATTAAATAGAGAATTGACTTCCTTTAAATCTTTTTAAACTTACGGGTCATCATCAATCGAGGTTTTCTCACTACCAGGGCACTCAGCTCTTTGGCATTGAATCCCATTTCCTCCTTGAGAGTAAATACAGACTTTCGCAGGTGTTCCATATTGTAAGTAATGACATTAGGTTCTTTGGTGGCTAACAGTCGGAGATCATGACCACTCAAGCGGAACTCCTTTTGAAAGTAACCCAATCTTCGATCGACTCGCCGGGTGGAGAACATTAACCAATAGGGATTGTGGGTGAGAATCCTCTGCCTGGCTTCATCAGAAAATCTCTTGCTTTTTAGGTAGTCCACACGGGTTTGCAGATCATCTAGATCTTCCTTGAACAGCAGCGGGTTTTTGGTGAACATCCTGCCAAAGTCATCGGCTGAAATTCCCTGATCCACCAAGAAAGTTATATAGGGCTTCACATTTTTTTCAAAGTCTAGACCCAGCACAAATTGTCCCAATCCTTTTCGTCTTTCTATACTGTTAAGATCCACTCCTAAACTGATAAATTGCTGCAGGGTACTGGAGTTATTCACATAAGCCGCCAAATTGAACGACGGCACATGGGCCTCCCGTTTTCCGAAATCCAAAGCCACTTCTTTGGAACTCTCACGTTCCGCAGGCTTGATTTCATTGTCATTCTGTTCAGTTATTATATCCGGTTCCTTGAATATTTCTACTTCCCTCAGGGTTCCTCTTTGATCTCGTAGATTCCGTAAATGTGTGGTAATTGGCGTGTATTTAGCCGCATTTTGTGAATTTTTTAAAATCTTACGTATTGCTAAGCCAAACATGCTGGGGGCGTTGCCAGATTGTTGTAATGCCAGCTGTAGCTCACTGAAATAACTATAAGCATGAAATTAGCTAGAAATAGCTAAATAATATAATTTATTATTTTAAATAAATATTTACTTAGTAATTTTGAAAGCAATTCAGGAAAAGTATTTTTTCTCGCCCTTTATACAACAATAAATGATAAAGAATTAATCAAATTATCTTTAATTTCAAAAATACCTGTTGCACTTATTTTCTAAATAGAAAATATTTTGGTATATTTTTTCTGAGCCTGACGGTATATAATGACGGTACCGTCCACGGTCACGCTGATCCGATCTTGGATTTATTATAGTGTAAAAATTCTGGAGCACAAAAAGAGAAGAATTCTTTGTTTATAAGCCAAAAGAGTGAAATTGGTAATCTTCAGTCTGCCATTTGTCAAAGATAACTCAAAAGCATCATCATGGACAAATTACGCCGCGTTCTGAGTGGAGATGAGCCCACTCCGGAAGAGGAGAGCAGTATCATTACACAGGTAAAGTTTCTACTGGGAGTGATTTTATTGAATATTTATAAATATTCTGGGTGAAGGAAGATTATCTCCTGCCGTTCTTTTAGAGCTTCCCCTTGGGAAACGCCCCCTAATCACATGGCGACAAAAGCTGTGTGTGACTCAACGCTTATCATTGAATTAAGTTATTAATATTTTGCCTCCAATTTTTTGTACATAGATTAACGAGATGTCAACTTTAAGTTGGTCCACACGCATCAAGGGATTTTGCATCTGCTTTATCTTGGGCATTTTACTTTCATTACTTGGCTCGGTTGCCCTATTTTTGCATAGAGGAATTGTGGTCTTTGCGGTCTTCTATACTCTAGGAAACGTCATCTCGATGGCCAGGTAAGCCACTTACTGGTTTAACTCATACTTCACATGTGCCGGCTAATGAATCTCATTTCTATGGTTTCAGTACTTGCTTCCTTATGGGGCCCTTCAAGCAGATAAAAAAGATGTTCGCCGAGACCCGGCTGATAGCAACTGTTGTCGTTCTGGTCATGATGGTCCTAACATTCATAGCGGCTATTGTGGTAAAGCATGCTCATTTTTTAAGTTTTGCATAATTGGGTTAATAGTTTACTTGATAGATTAGTTTTCATTTTGGTAACAACTGTTTTTAAATCAGACGTAATGATTTCGTTAAACAATTAATTTTTACATCTGGACTTATTTTCTCAAAAAATATTTACTTTAATATTTATTTTAATTTTTAGCATATCAGTCCCAAAAAACTTTTGATTTTTCAAATATTATTTTGAATTAACAAAATTAAGCTTTATTTAAATTATTAAAAATGAATCAGCACCTTAATCAACAAACTTTGAAGTTCAAGAAAACTATTAGACTTCCAATACGATGAATTATAAAAATTTCCATTTATTTTCATTTAATTGGTTTTGTTGTTTTGTTTTAGTGGAAAAGAGCTGGACTGACGCTTATATTCATTATCATACAATCTCTGGCCATGACTTGGTACTCACTTTCGTACATTCCCTATGCCCGCGATGCGGTCAAGAAGACTATGTCCGCAATCTTGGAGGTCTAGAATCGATCACACTTCTGTACATAACTCGAGAAAAGCTAGATTGGTTTGTAACTTAAGCTAAGACAATTAAATCGTTTGTATTAATCTAGCACTAGAACATAGAACGTCCTTTATATTCTCTTATTAACAAGTATTCTCTTGGTTTGTCTTTTAAATAAATATATATATATATATATATATTATACATATATATATTTACATGTTATATATTTAATTTAATCAGTACAGTTTTCTTTAGTGTATGTACATAATTCTTTTGTTTTGGTTTTTATTTTATAGAATAATGGCCTGATCCATTTTGTTTCTGTAGCTTTCAAGTGCTTTTTTTAATAACTTCTTATTTTACTTTCTTCTCTTTTTGGGGCGACAATTTACCTAGAAAAGTGGAATGAAAAAATTTTAGTTCAAAATTGGCAGATATAAAAGTTAACAATAATATTAGTTAGACTATTTTAATTTTAATATCGTAGTGCGTTGTATTGGGTGCTTCTATGGATTTACTCCTTGACACTTGTGCTTTTTTATTGTGGCATTGCAATCCGACGAGAAATGGAGAGACAGAGAAGGGGAGAAACGCAAGGAGAATTCAAATTTAGACGAAAGATTTGAGAAAACGGTGTGATTAACCATAAATTGAGCCAATAATATAACGTAAGTCAGTGAGTGCAAAAAAAGAAAGTTAGTTAATTAGCAGGCAACATTGATGGGATTGAAGTTATCGTTGTTTTGCTATGCCACATTAAGCACGCAATATTCATATTGTTGGGCATTACAACTATTCATAAATATGAATATCATTTGAAAACTTATTGCCCACCTAATGTTGCCTTCCCAATATTAAATGTCTAAACATACCTTTAGATGGCGAAGATGAGATGGCAGGACTACTTTCTTTTGTTTTCGTGGGTGTTGATGAAACCTTTTTCAGCTGACGTTGCTAAAAAGATAAAATATACAAATTAGCATACATTTAAAAGAATATACAAATCAGTTAAAGATTTTACCTGCCAGTAAATAGCTAGGTAGACAAATGCCACCGAGATTATCACTTGGATAGTCAGCCACAGGACAATGTTGATGGCTTGCGTGCGCTCAAACAACTCCTTGCCATTCTTGATACACAGAATAGCTTCGGAGACCATGATGGCGCCGTAAACCCAACACTGGGTGCCGACTCTCTTGCAGCGTGTATCGGTGACATATACGTAATATTGCCTAGAAGCCAGAAAGTTACAATTAGTTTTACTCCCATTTTAGTTAGAGAAAAACTTACCTAACCGAAGGCGCTACAAACAATCCAATAAATATAAGGCGACCGATCACAATGAAGTGATCTGGCGGCATCTCAAAGATGTGCTTTAAGAAGAATGTGTTGAGCTCGGTGACCTGCCAGAAGATCACCAGCTGTATGACGGCGGCGAATCGCATCGCCGTGGACTTGGGATCCAACCAGCGGATGGCTGACCAGCTCTCAGGCGTGAACTGCAGCATAGCACGCTTGATCTTTCCCGTTGTGGTGGATATGTCCTTAATACTGGCCCATTTGTATTCACGCATCTCGAGAATCTGGCAGATCTTTAGACCCATCCAAATTCCGAGACCGTTGCAGATGATCACATCTAGGATAAGAGCATCCCACCAGCATTCAATGAAGTTAGGCAGCAAATGAGCAAAGGTGATTTCGGTAATCTCCCACATCACAGAAATGGCCCACAGAATCCCCATGTGACGGATCAGGATGGCCTTAAAGGCCCAACCCAAGAAATGACCCCAGGCGAAGACATCCAAGTGGCCTTTAACACGATCCCAACTGATGTCAGAGCAATTGACGCCATATTCCTGAGGAGTAAGAAAACGTTAAATATAAATTTTCTATAGACAGACATTTTCTTACCTTCTCCATATCGATGTGGAAGTTTTTCAACTTTGGATCGATCCAGTAGAATATGCTTCTAATGGTTGGATAGTTTTGGAACATCAGGAATTGTAGCGTCAGCAGGTACAGAACAGAACAACCAAATAATATACGCCAGACGGCGGGATGGGGACGCGTGAAGGGTCCATTGGGAAATGCGATCACCGAGATGATCAGAAAGAAGAACACAATGCACAGAAGGCCGGCCCAGAGATTCTCATCCACGTTCGATTCGTTTCTGTAACGATATTGCATTGCCAAGTGGATGATCTTGCTTTCCATTTCAGTCATAGTATTCCTTATCAGCATAGCACGTTTTTCAATGGGGTTTTTGGGGGTCAATGGCACGATGAAGTGAACGTCGAGTACATTACGTAGTGTAGACTAGTATATAGCGAATATATATATATATATATTTTGGTTCTTAGAACCTTCGGCTGTCTGAGCTGACACATTTGGCAAAGTATGCATGATATTTTTAAGTGCTTAACCCGCTGTACAACAACTAATCTATGTGCTAGGACAGCACGTGGTGCAGATTTTTGATTATAAATAATGATTTGGTCTAAAATTTTCCTGACGATAAGGGTAAAAAGGGCCTTCATTGATTAAAATGAGTTGGAAGGGAAGTTTTTATTTTTATTAGATTTATAGTAAAGATTTTAAGTTATTAGATTTTCCAAAACGGTTTACTTAAGTCAATAATTATGTAAATATTATCCAATACATAATTATACAAATTTATTTTCGTTACTAAGGCAATATAGTTACTCAGAAAATTTATTGGGGTGTTGTTATATCATCATTAAACGTAATCAGCAATTTTATGATTTTTTTCACTTTTTAGACAGCTTATTTAAGCTTCTTAACTGACATATCTATAGATACAATCAACTTTCCACTGCAGTGCGAATGCTAGGTGTCTAAGGTCAAAGCCAATATAAGATTAACTACTGAGTAACTACGTGAAATTTATATATCATATTTTAATATTTGAAATAAACAAAGGTAGACAGCGCACATGAATGATTTTGCACTTCTATCTCACCTGACAAAGTCAAAGTACTAAGCTCATAATAAGTATAAGAATACTAAAAATATGTCAATGATTAAAAGGAGTTGTTTTTATAAATTTGGGAATTGAGATCATATTATGAATACAAAGTACATAAGATAGAAGTAATTAAAGCATTAGGTCAAAGGTTACCAAAAAAAACGAATGTTACAAATGGATTTTGGGATCCTTAAGGATAAATTAGGGCATTCACAGACACTTTTCTCACCTGACGAATGCAAAGTACATGACGGCTAGTACGGAGACCGCCAGTAGGGTAATGGTATGTGGTTTGTAGAAGAAATCCAGCGATATATCGTCCACAGGACGTTCGTTGACGATCACAAATGTCTGCGCGATCTCCTCCTTTCGCTTTCGCCTTGCACCAGCACTACTGCCACTGCCATCGCTGCCATCCCGTCGCTTGGTGGGCGTGGCCGGGGCACTAGCTGCTCCCGATTTGTAGGCGGGATGATCACCTTCGGCATCGCCTACGGAGGAGGAAGGCAACACCACATCGCCCGACGAGGTCGGGGTGCCACGTGAATTGGAGCGCTTCTTCATCGCCCTAACTAAATTCGATTATCAGATGTAAGCGGATGGCGTGATGTGGTTGTTGTTAGGTGGTTGGTGGTTCGGAATTGGAATCGAATCGGTTCGGTGGCTAAGTACATGCGGGGACAGAAGGTTGCGCAACATTCGATTCGATTCCGCCAAGCCACTTTTTCGGTTCCTCAATGCCTTTTCTTCGGCGCACGGTTCAGCTATCCTTGATGGCTATTTGGTGGGCACGGGTCCTGGATCCTCGTTAGACGTTCGATCGGCGCACGTTTATTTTATCATTCGCCAGCTACCGTCCGTTGTTGTCAATTAACATGCTGCGCGCAACTTGGACCAATAAAAATCGACAATTGCCGGCGGTGACGTTGCCGGATGTGCTAAATTTTAGACTTGATAACAGAAACGCTGCCAGATAAGTTGTCGAATATAGATAGGGTTCAAGTTTTCACTTTGCTAATATAAATGAACTCTATTTTATATGTCTCCTAAAACAAAATATATGTAAAACACTACTGTTCCACTAAAAACTAAAAAATAAAGCAGCGTAACATTTTTTTTTTTTAAACATTGCAGTAAAATATATTAAAAAAAACTGGAACACCCCAAATGTAAAAGCTGCAGCCCTGGAACAGCTGATGGCACTTGTTGACCAAACATCAATCCACGAACATTTCATTTCCTAATTTACTTATTTAAATCAGTTTAATATGCTGGAAAAGGTTAAAAATATTATCGTAGTGCTCTCTGGAAAAGGTGGAGTTGGGAAATCTACAGTAAGCACCCAATTATCACTGGCACTGCGCAAAAATGGATTTAAGGTAAACGAAAACAATTTCACCATAAAAGAAGTCACTGGAATTATTAAAAATATGAATTTATTTTAATAGGTTGGGTTGCTGGATATAGATCTGTGTGGCCCAAGTGTGCCATATCTTTTGGGACTAGAAGGACGTGATATATTTCAGTGCGATGAGGGATGGGTTCCTGTCTATACAGATGATACTCAAACACTGTCAGTGATGTCCATTGGCTTCCTTTTGAAGAACCGCGAGGACCCGGTCATTTGGCGCGGTCCAAAAAAGACTTCGATGATCCGACAATTCCTTAGCGATGTCAGGTGGGATGAATTGGATTACCTAATCATCGATACTCCTCCCGGAACTTCGGATGAGCACATTACAGTTATGGAGTGCCTAAAGGAGGTTGAATGTCATGGAGCCATTATCGTGACCACGCCGCAGGAGGTCGCTTTGGATGATGTGCGCAAGGAGATAACGTTTTGCAAGAAAACCGGCATAAATATTATTGGCATCGTCGAGAACATGAGCGGGTGAGTGTCATAAACTAGTAAATGTTTTAAATAAGTAGGTAATCTAGCCATTGTCATATTTATTCAGTTTGGCCATAAAACATTTCTTGTTTGTAGTAAGAATTGTAAGTTCGAGTGTACTGAATTCGAAATATATAAAAACGTAAATATACATAGATATTATTTGGAGCGCTAGGTATCAAGATAACTATAGGCCATAACCTTTGGGCCTCAAACCAGTAATAAATTTTCTCATGTTTGACTAAGTTATCTTTTAATTGATCTATACAGGTTTGTGTGTCCCCATTGCACCTCATGCACAAATATTTTCTCCTCAAACGGTGGATCTGAGCTGGCCGCGTACTGTCAAGTGCCACATCTGGGAACTCTGCCCATAGATCCACGTGTGGGTGTTTTAGCAGGAAGCTCTGCTTCAGTATTGGACGAGTTACCGGATTCCACGACGGCTGAAGTGCTGCAAAATATTGTTGAGAAATTGAAACCAATTACGGTAACCTAAATAAAACCAAAAATAAATTTTTAAATTGTTGGACATTTTACACAAGACGAAAAATGTGATAGATTCGAGGTTTTTTTTAGAAGAGTTTTATGACCTATCCTTTAATAACACAGGTTTTATAGTTTATTTTCCATTCCCAAGAATTTACAAACACAGTGCCGATTTCGTTTAGCTTTGGTTTCTTTTTCTTTATTTTCAATGCTTTTAATGTCTTAAATATATTAATAAAATGGTTATAAAGGAATGAATGCAGTTGATGCTTTTAAGGGAACTAACTTGGATGTACATATAATAATTTAGTGTTTAATGAGTGCGCATTAGATAAATATATATATAATTCTGGCTGTACGGTAATTATAATTAACAATCAAACTAAAGAGTTTTCCCTACTAATACTTTCCAATTATAATTATGCTGGTTTCCTCGCGTTTGCTAATTTAAAACTATCACATTAACGTAGGTTGTCTTACTGCTTACCCTAATTGCTTTAACTATTGATTTGAGCATAGTCTTAAGATCAAAATGTGTGCTAACGCATGAAGTATGTTTCTAATGTGCCAGCTAGGTTCGTCGTTAATTGATCGGCTTGGCTTCCTTCAATGTCTGTCCTTAAATTCTGCGATATAATTTTACTGACGACGATGTTAGTTTTCTTTACCTAAGTAGTATTAAAATGTAGACTTCTTTCACTATTTTGGTATAATTTCCCCTAGACAAAACTAGATGAAAGCTTTTCAAGATCAAAAATCAGTCTGCATAAGGATCTAAATCACACAGAGAAAACACATATCTTTTCATTTTAAAATACTTCTGATCTGCACTCATAAAATTTGTTTTTCTAAATATTGTGCCTCGTAAATATTTTTTAAAACGAAATGACAAACTGAGATGGCAATCTGGAACTCTGATTTTCTATGTGCATGGAATCACAACTTATGCTTCGTTTTCCCTAGTTTCGATTCATTTTCGAACCGGATTCAAGAGTGCAACACTCTCCCGGGATTGTGGAGTCGCTGCAGCCGTGGAGTCCGCCTGATTTTTTTTGCTCTCGAAATGGTTCCTATTTTTACATACTCGGATAAATAGAAAAATAGCGCCTACTGCAAAAAATATCAAAAATATTATAACATAAATCCATGTCGAATCGGTTTTGATTTGCTCCTGAGGCACATCGGCATAATGGTTAGTAGATGTTATATGGAGGACCGTGGTATCGTTGAATTCCTTGACCTGACTGGTGGATTCAGGAGGTACAGCTTCTGGCTTATTTGTGATGGGGCTATCGGTCATCACCGAGGAGTTATTATCAATTAACACAATCTCGGTGGATACATCATTAATACCCACCGAGGTGCTCTCCGTGTTATAATCGCCTTTGGTATTACGATCATCTGTTGATGTTTCAAGTTCATCAATCGTTGTGATTGAATCAGTGAAAGTTTCTACATCTGTTGTGGGAGTTTTGGCAGTCTCAGTTGGAGGAGAATCGGAGCTAGATGTTTCATTGATTTCTGTGACGATTCTGAGATCTGGCGATTCGGATGAGGCAATTTCTTCAGGGGATTCAGAACTTGAAACGGCGCTGGTGGATTCGCTTGTATCCGGAGTGGACGTAAATATTTCAGTGGATGAAGTGGTTTTATCGGTTGAACTGAAGGATTCACTTGTGTCCGGGATGGCAGATGAACTTTCTATTGGTGTAGGTAAACTTGATGATTCGTTTGTAAACGGTATCGGAGTCGTAATTTCACTTGTCGGAGTCGAGGTAATATATTTAATAGTAATTTCCTCTGTAGTATCATTACGCCCAATCATTTCAGGTCCCCTGGTTGTGCCACCCATCGTTAATTCACTATCATCCAGTTCTTCTGGGCAAACCAAACAGCATTTTCCCTTGACCGGGAAGGGGTTACTGCACGCATACTTGTGATTGCATTGAATCGACGTCCGGGAGACTATACCATCCAGGCAAGTGCAGGTTGTACAACCATTATTTTCAAGCCATACATCACCATTTTGCTTGTACTCATTGTTATCGGTTAGGCAATTGGGTATAAGCTCATCCATTGGACAGATTTCTTTGCATTGAATTGCCAGCGGTGCACAAGGATCACAGACGGTGCACCTGTTCTTATAGAATCTCATCTTGAAACCATTGCAAACGGGTTTTTCATCATGACATTCGTAGCGCGGACAACAGCTACCGGGAAGACCATTTCCACTTTCCACCTCGACAATCCAGTTGCTGCAAGTGGGAAGATTATCTAGACATGGTGGGCACACTTCCATTAGGGGGTCATCTAGGATATCTATGTCAATGATTGGTAGAGCTGAAAGAAACAAGAAAGAGGAAATATTTAATATATAGTTATGTATTAATATTGTAAATCAGCATCAAAAGCTGTAATATTCCAGCCAGAACAGAAATTCGATACTTTCAAGGAGGCCTAAAACAAATTCCAATCTGAATTGAATGCCCTTCAAGTTCAATATTAACATATCGATCGATCTTGAAAATCACATTCCACCCCACCAAAACCAAGTAGCCATGAATTATTCAATGAAATCTAGAGGTAAATTTATAAAAATGGCAATTTGATTAGCAACACTCTTAGGAAATTTCTTCAAGAAAGCACAAAACCAATCAAAACAAACGGAATGATATTTATTTTTGGTGGAATACAAAGTACGGGGTGACACTCTCGTTTATCATTTATTTATTGTTATTGATTTTTGACATTTTATCATTGAATTATGTATAAAAGGGGGAAGAAGGCGCCAGAGCGCGATAAAAATGGGAATGGCAAAGTACAATAACAATATGAAGACAAAAAAAAAAGAAAAACAAAACAAAAAAAGAAAGAAAGATATACAAACAAGTGCACGGCCAAACAAACCTGAAAGATTTGGAGCCCTCCACTCATTTGATCGATATGGATCGATTGTTTCATTGAATCAATATTGCCCCAATTGCCGATATTATTAATTTTTTTTTTTTTGGTGTGGTTAATAAAGTCTGTTACACAAAATGCGTCGCATCAAAAAACATGTTACAATGAAACTCTCTTCCCGGATTGTGATCGAAGGTTATCAATTATTTTCGATATTGACGTCACTGTCGCAGACTTTGTAGGTGAAGCGCATTTAATTGAACGTAATTTAAAATAGATATAAGTTGTTGCTGGCTTTATTCTTGGGCTATCAGGTCGTAGCGATCTATATGACAGCCAGCAGACGGGCCAATTATTCATGTGTGTGCGGTTATGTGTGCGTGACCGTACTCGTTTGATTGAGAAGCGCATAGAAGGGCGCTGAAAATGTCAGCGAATGGTGCGTGCGGGTATCAATAGGAATTTTTCGAATACCTTCAAGTCCGCCTATTTGTCATCTATTTAGGAGTGACAAGAGTCATGCGAGATATTTAATATATCAAATTTCTTGTACATCAGGTGATATATATTTTATTCTAATCCAAATTCCAGCTTACTTAATTTCTGGACAAATTCTTGTCTTTTTCTGGTAATAACTTTACAATGACCAACAAAAATAACTCAACCACAGCAAGCCATTCATTCTGAATCTAGTTTCTGATGAAAATTGTTTTTTTTGAAATATTTATATATAAAACCTTAATGCTTAGCTAGCCAAAAAACCTGCCGAAGTGCAAGGTATATATTTATCGTTTATTTCTTATAAAAAATATTTTTTGTTGCTTTGCACTGCGGGTTTATTGACCCGAACTTATAGTGGTAATTTTTTTTATCGCCTTTGGGTCAGCAAAAAATAATATAAAAATACAATAAAAAAGAGACATGAGACGGTGGGGCGTTGGGGCGTTGGAGGGGGTTTCCAGGTTTCCAGGTTCCAAAGGTTACAATAATTCGATGCAAATTACCTAAGCACATATCCGCCTTATAAATGGGTCGGGGCTCATTAGCGCAGATCTCTGGCGACGGCGATGATGATCATTATGGTGTTGCGATTATCATGATGATGATGATGATTGTATAGGGGAGCACCAGCAGAAGTGCTACTGGCCACTTACGTCACCGGTCTGGCCACACAGATATAAACACACACACACACACAGATACACAGATACACAGAGATGCGAAGATACGGATACTTTGAAGCTGCGAACGAGGCGATCCATATTTCTTTTTGATTGATCTACAGCCGAAGGCCGGCATGCAAAAATGCAATTCAGGAGCAAAAAGATGAAGAAAAAGAAAAATAAAACGCTGAGGAGCAGCTCACAAAAACCAGATACAGATACGGCAAAAATAAATTCCAGTACAATTAGCAGTCGCTTATTTTTGTTTGGCATTTTTCCTGACACGCTCGTTGACATGCAAAGTTACTTAAACCAAACAAAACGAACATTACACGACCAAATACTAAAACAAAATCAAGGGGAGGAGGAGGCGGACGACAACGACGTTTACTTTTAACTACTATCTAAAAGGTCGTCTACGATGTGTTAGCCATTACAAGCGACAAAGACCAAATAGTTGATGGAGTAATTACAGACCGTTCAAGTTCGTTTGAAGCCAAAAAACGCGAAACTATTTATTTTTGTCATTTTTTCTTTGTTTATTTCCATTTTAGCCATTCACGTCAATCTCTTTGATAATTTTGTGATGGCGAATCTAATTTTGTGACGGGAATTATCATATTTTCGTACATTTTATGACATTTTAAGCGAACTTTTGGCCATTAAAGGCAGTCATAAAACGGTGACTTTAGTAACCCGAAAAAGCAGGAAGACAGCAATTCGTTAAACTGTGATTTACTAGCCATGAATCACAGTGATGAGAGCGGCATGAGTCACGGGAAAGTGGTGATTAAATCTAGGATTACTATTTAAGAGGTTAACTATTATTATTTTCAGGTAAAAATCTTTCACGATTCAACATTTTGAAAGAAGTCTTAAGCTAACATAGTAAAGATTTGTAAACTATTTTATATGCAAAAATATTCATCATATTCGTAGGTTGATTAAATGCTAACAAGAATCACTCAATCAAATATACAATTCATAACTGAAAAGATGCCTATCGTATCTAGAATCAGCCAACCATATATGATTAATTAACAAAACTAATTCCATTTAAATGCAGCTTATGTCCGTGTTAATTATTTTATTAACTGAACTGTATTATTGAGCTCACCCATTGATTGTTTTGTGGTCGTAAACAAAAGCTTTTGAAAACATTAAAATAAACTATGACAGATGTGATTTAATCACACCCGAATTAAACGGCAATATATATAATCCATGTATAGCATACCCGAAAAAATGTGACATCAGACCTGCGTTAATCAGTACTTTATAATTATTTTTGTGGCTACTACTGACGCTTTTTTTATTTTTCATTCTAAAATAGCAGAACCAAAAAAGCAATCAATCTTTTTTGCGAACGTCTCTCACACGTCCTAAGTAAGCGTAATTTATGCGATTTAATTTAATCGCCAGCATGTAGAGCAAATAATCGTTCGTCACTCTAGATTTGGTCTGCTTTCCGCATAGCTACCAATTAAGAGAGTTAGTTTGTTCAGATTGTTCCGTCTTACTTCACGGTTAGCATTACCATTAACCTTCCTTCCTTTTGCTAATATTTCCACCTTTTCATATTTGTACCCCCTATGAAAAGCTTTTTTTTTTTATAACTTTTTTTGGCCAACTAATTCGTTAGAATTGCGTAAACAAAACATTTTCGTAGCGCTCAACGCTTTCTATAGTTTGGCCCCGTTTAAGCCGGCGGCGACAGGCGTAGTAAACCTTATCTTAATTATAGATCAATTATAGTTGTGGAGCTACCATACAATATACTAGTACACTTGGTAAACATATTCAACCGTACATCATTAATTATAAGTGCAAACTGAAGTCGGCCATATGGGAAAGCTGAGTACTCCAAATGCCACCGAAAAGTCAACTAATGCGTGTCGCAATTCAATTTAGTTTCTGCTTTCTTTCAGATAAGTTAAGGGTTATAAATATATATTGTTTTGGCAGCATTCTTTATGGCTAAAAATATATATTTTTTAAATAAATATTTTTATTTGCAAAACAGATAAGTGTGGGAAGTTATATTTGTTTAAAAGAGAAAGGTAAAATTTGTATAATAAACAAAAGGATGGCCATTTTATAGATGTAAACAATTATTATTAAGCAGTAACCAATATTTTATATATAGAGCTAATTTCATATATTACCAATTCTATAAATTTTCAACAATAATCAAACAAAATAAACAAACAAAAATGGCAATATAACCGTAATACCAAATTTCATATGCAAAAATGAAAATAAAAAGGCAGAGCTGCCTTGAATGTTAATGTTGGGTATGGATGTCCCCCCTGGTGATTATTTCGTATTATTTTGTACAAATTTCACAATTACAACTGAATTATACGGCAACAGCGTAAAATGTCTGATTAATGACAGCCACCCCACAAAAAAAAAAAGAAATATGAAAAGAATATATGTATAGGGGAAATGAGAGCAGGGCAGCAACGAACAGATGTGCGCCGATAGCTAATTTATATGTTTTGTATACAAAATAATAATAATTATTTTTTAATAATTACTGCACTGGGAACGGAGCAGCAATGTGTTGTCTTTCGATGGTCATCGTTAGTACGATGACTGACGCCTTTCTGCTGGGATTATTATTCTGCGCGGTATTGCCATCGCTGGCAACCGTACGTAACAGATGTGATTTATATTATATACTATACTATACTATACTATACTATACTATATGCTACATATATGCAATATACTATGTAGAGAATGTAAACAAAGTTTAATACCTCAAGACAAGCTGTAGAAAGAGTTGGCAGTTCAATGCCTCAAGAAAAGCTGTAAAAAGAGTTGGCAGCACCTTTTTCTTATTGCCTTTCTACCAAAAGAAAAATAAGTTGAAAATATATTTTCAAAATTAAGAATAAATTTAAATAAATAAATAAATTTAAATCAAAACTTTGGCATCACCCATTTAATTTCAAATAAAAACAGTTTAATTTATATAATTTATCCCTGAAATAAATCTCCTTTTCAATCCATTTAAAAACCATTTCATAAAATATACCAAAAATACTTAAATTCAGAAATTGTGCCAACAATGAAAATGCAATGCAGTTTCGTTTTCCTTTTGGACCAAAAGTAGCCATCATGACTAAGACTCTAGGTTTTTAGATTCAGCATATGATGCGCATTTATTTAATGGGCTCACCCACTTGTAGCGTGATTTCGAGATACGTTGGCGGGACATCAACTGCTCGGTCATTGATCCCACCACTGCTGAGCTCTTCAAGTGCAATATTGTGGAAATGCCGAAGAAGCAGGGAAATTTCCTAAACACCTTGCTCCTGCTGCGTCGACCGGTCCAGAAGATGTGGGTGGAACTGAGTGTTGGACAGATTGCCAATCGAAAGGATCGCTTGCTTCAGCAATTACTCAAAATTCGTGTAGATGGCTGTCATCTGATTAGCTTTCGCAGCAAAAATCGCATACTGAATGCCGTTCTCAAGAAACTTTTGCAATCGGGAAACTATCCAGATGCCTGTCCCCTATTGGCGGTAAGTTATAGAGCTAATATATCTAAATCCATCACTATTATTAGCAATTCCAATCACGTTGCATTGCAATATGCAAATTAATGATGGATCAAGTAAACAATTGATTTTTTGGCGATGCATTTCAATCATAGTTGGCCGCATGTTGGGCCCATTTGACTTGACAAAAACTTGTTTTGTGGTTTAAATAAAAAATCACTTGTCCGTCGGGCTTAGTATTTAACCTTTTATGGCTTCAAGCCAAACCGCAGGTAAAGGTGGAAAATATAAAAATGTTTGTTAATGATAAAGAATATTTGACTCAAGGGAATGATTTATTTATGGAAAAGTATATTTTGGTTATAGATAGACCACTCCTATATACTTTTATTACAGTGTTCAATTTTATTTCCCATCAGCATTAGACACACCCTCAAGAACAATATTATAAAATATATAAACAATATTTCTATGTCAATAGAACTCAAACCCAAAATAGAACCCCAAAACACCTGATTAAACATTCATTTCTGACCTACTCAAAGTCGAAAATCTGATGAAAATTTCCCATGATCTTTATCTTTACGATCTGCGCGTAAATAGAGCAACAAATTAGTCAAATGTTCTTGCAAATAAACGAGGCTATCAATACGATGGTTCAAAAATACACCGCTATCATTAAAAAACGGGGAAAAATAAACAAATCAAATAAATAAACACATCAATTGCGCATTAACCAGTTGGAAAAGCCAGAGCGCAGTTCCAACGAAACGAAAACTTGGAAATCCAAACCGAAATCGATTTCCAAATACAAGCATATCATTTTCATTCCAATAAAAAAAAAGCTAACCAGCAGGTTCCGTATCTTTTTATCCACAGAATGTCAACTATACGTCCACGCGTTTTGCCCTCAATCCTGATCATTTTCCGGCCTACATGCCGGACATGAGGTTCAACACGAAATTGGTCTTTCAGCTGAGCAGGAATATTGGCCTGATCAGGGCCAGTGTGGATGCCGAGGTGATGAGACGATCGTAAAGTGAAATATTTCAATAAAGCAAAAAACAAAAAACAAAAAGAAAAACACTGAGAAATGTACATAAACCAGGGGCAAATACTTCAATATATTTATGCGTTGCCATGACTAAGTCGACGGCAGTGACTAATAGCTTTGGCATGGGATTTATATATCAGATTAGACGCCTATCTGGAGCACTACGTTTTAAGGTGGCAATGCCTTCTGGATATCTAACGAATATATATATGTATAAGCATATCTATTTTTATCATTGAACTTTGATATATCTCTTTCAAAAACAAAAATTTCACTGCCATGACTTTCAAATTTGGTTTTTGCTCCACTTTTCACATTACTTTTGCGATGATTCATGGCCAAGGAATTTGGCATCAAACTGGTTGACTGATTTCTGCACTTCACTGTTAACTATGTTAACTAACCATAAATACACAAGCCCTGTCCATAATTTATAAGCTTAAGCTTGTATCAGAAATCGGATTAAAACTTGAAGACATCAAGGGATTAAGTGATCTTTGAACTTAATTATTTAATAAACATAAATACCAATTGGCTGAAACCATAATTTAAAAGCTTTAAGCTGTAGCAGAAATCAGATTAAACGAGAAAAATTAACTAATGGATTTTAAACTGGTTTCCTGACTTCTGTGTGTGTTTGAAAACTAATTAAAATTATAAACTGACAGCCAGTCAGAAGTTAATTCATTTGATTAGGCTTGGGAGAGATATAAATTTAAGCAGAGTTATCTAAGGAATTCCACTCTGAAAGTTTAAACAAATAGAGAGTATATCACATTCTCTTTCTTTTCTTTTTTATTATAAACAGACTAACTTGTTGATAATGCGAGTGCAGGAAAATAATAGATTAAGAAAGCTCAGGCCCCTTTTCGAGTGCCGGCCAATCAAATTAAGAAATGACGTGAGTCCGACTGCCCACAAAAGATATTTAGCAGAGCATAAATAGAACAGCGTTTATCAAGAGGCCCCAAAAAAAAAAAAAAAAAAACACACGCCTTTCACTCGAACAGTCTGCAATGTCATGGTCACAGAATCTTTTTCGTTTTCTTTCTTTTTGCTTAGAGAATTGCCCCTGATAAATTCCTTCTCGCACCGCGAAAACTCAAGTGAGCAAAGTCTATTTATCATTTATTGACGTCTGAATCGGAGTTCGTCATCAATATTTCTGCCAAGGCCAATAAACTCTAGCCCCCTATTGACTTAGGCTGAAGGAAAACCTTTGTCAAGGCCAGTCATAAAAAATAAAAAGGAAAGTGTTTCCGGCCAGTCATTTTCATTCACATTTCCATACCCATTTCCATGGCCCACCATCGCATTTGCATTTGCCATAACAAAGTCTGGAGTGGTGGGAGTATGGTGACATAACCCGAACTCGACGAATTCTAGGCCAAAATGTTCTAGCCACCCCTAGTAACTGAAATGGGGGAAATGTCGTAGCTCTAAATAGCTCACTAAGTGGGTTAGTCAGCCAGCTCGTTTCTAAGAGGTTAGCGGGAAAGCAAATGCACTTAGAAGAAATATTTCCAGGGAAAACACTTCATTTGGAAGTGAAATTAAACTTTAAAAATGCTTTTCTAAGAGGGTTTATTTCAAATATTTTAAGCTGTAGTAAAAAAGTTGCTTTACGTTGTATTTTTTACGTTTGAAAAACTTCTGTAAGGATTGCAACGATCTGCCAGCAATCTTCTTTGTATAAGAGTTAAGAATATTATTTTTACTATCTAAAAGGTGGTATTACTCTAGTATTTAATACATTTTTGCCGCTTGAACGCAGTGTTCTATATAATAACTATATTTCCAACACTCATCCAAAGTGCTTTTACTTTCCTAGAGAATTTTCCGGCACGAAAAGCGGATTACAATTTCATTAGGTAATGGAAAATACTGGCCTGCCCAAAAGAGTTATTTTTCTTTATTGGGAAAGAGGAAAACTGGCTAAGCGCTGAGAGGCAATATTCCTTTGTTCGGGCTGTTCTAAGTTCATTTTATATAGCATTCATCTGGATGGAATTTGTTGGGCAAACACACGGCAACAAAAACTACCAGTTGGACTTGCCTGTATATGTGTGTGTATCTATGTGTTTATACCCCATTTATATACGTAACGAGCAGCGCTGTACAACACAGACTATCTGTCGTTTGTCACCGATTCGCACCAATTTGATAAGAGCGCCGCAGATTAAGATGGAATTCCATACACAAAAATGTGTGTGTTTTTTTTGTATTCTGTTAACAAAAATCAAGACTCCACTCCACTCCACTCCAACACTCAAGGTTAAGTTCATTAGATTTTCTTAAGATTAACACATGTTAGCAGCGATATCTATTTGGAGTTCTTGAAACAAGGAAATACTTTATATCGCGTGTATAGCCAGGTGAGAAGTGCAGCCGAGCTATTTTCAGCATTAATCACAGAGTCAATAAGGGGCTTTACTTTAATTTGTGTTTCAGGTATTGGTGAGATAGTGCTATCTACTGGTGTATATTTGCAGATTTCTATTTGCAAAAAATATAATCTTAGCATGTCCATTTATTATTGATATTTATATGGTTTAAACTTTAAAGTAATCAGTGGGCACTTGTAGAAACTAATTGGCAGAAAGTCTAGGGGTTTGGGTAGGGAAATATTTTAGGAATTGGTTTTACCAATGCTTGTATTTTGATTTTTAGATAGGTAAACTACACTACAATTTCTACTGCTTGAAATACCCAAAAAGTTAGTGACTCATTTTTAGCATCTCCCTTTAACCAGCTTCAAAAACTTACCTAATTTTCGATTCCCCCTCTCAAAATCCGCTGTGACGCACTTCAGGTGATTTTGTTTAAACAAAAGCCTGCCCATGCCCTTCGCTGCCCACTATCAAGGTCGTTTGGGTTCATAGAAAAACATATGCCAGCGAAAGCCAAACAAAAACGAATCGAATAAAAATAAACAATATTTTGAGAAATGCCCCAAAAACACGAAATAAATTAAGCAACAAAAAGAAATGCGAAATATACAACCGAAAATACAAATACTCAGATGATACGCTGCCCATTTGAATTATCAATGAAATTCAGAAAAACAAAACAAAACAAAATGAAACGAAACGAAACGAAAAAAAGAACAAAAGCAGAAATCACAAAATTAACGCGCCAACATGTGTTTCTTTTGGGGGTAGAAAATAAATAAGCAAAACAAAAAAACAAAAAAAAAAAACCAAAAAACAAAAAACGGTATGCAAAGAATGAAGAAGAAGAAGAAGATGATGAGGAGATCCGCATATATGGCATATGGCCAGAAGTCGGCGCTATAGATAGTTTTCGACACGTCATAAGAGAGATCGAAACGTTATATATAGCCACATGATGCCGCTGCTGTGACGTAGGCTTTCTGCTTTTCCACTTCTGTTTTTCCTTAATGGAAAAGCATCCCAACAGAGGTCAAAGTAAACAATAATCGAAACATCTGATTAAAGCCGATTGGCGGCAGTGAATCACTTCATTAATGAACTAATTTTGGCAGAATTTACTCACCCAATGATTTGTGAGTCCATAAGAAGAAGAAGAATATGATTAACTTGGCCATGTCACGTGAGCACTTCGGACGAAGTCCAAAAATTGAAAAGGTCTATATATAGTTAATATATATCTTTAATTTATTGTGAAATTTGTTATGGGAACGCGTTTTTCCCTTGATCAGTTCAGTTGCACTGCACAGAATGCCTGGAAAGAAAAGAAATTAGAAATTAGAAATAATAATTAAAGTTTATTAACTTTCTTTTCGATTTATGGTGTAATCAAACTTTCAATTTCACAATTAGCTTTATTTCTATTACCCCAACCGAGGAACTGTACGGCTCAACGGCCAAAAAGAAACTGCATATAATTACGACTCGCATCGCTTTAAATAGTTTCTCATTCGTCTGGAGATGCAATCCTATTATCTTATCTTAACATTAAATGACTAATTTAAATTTATCGATGTGGCCCTGAGATGCATTTCTTATCTTATCCGATTTACCTATCTATTTTGGTTCCTTTTTTGGCATGCCAAAAGTTATTACGACGCAGTCTGGCATTGAGATTCATATCTGAGATTTTGTGCTTTTGGGCCAAAGTTGTAACCAAGTTGGCAAGTACACTCTGATTACCGCAGCAAACACGCTACCTGCGTCGTATTCTTCGATTCGCACGATAAGTGTATGTTATAACATATGCCAAAACTGATTGCCTGATAACTCTTCATTTCTGATACCACACACAAGGAAAGCCACATGGAAAGCCAGCCGATGCACACAGTTTGGGCCAAGTTAATAATGCTGAATCGGCATTCGTTTGGTTTTTCTTTTCCTTGCTTCAGCATTTTACAATGTCTGTGATAATATGATTTCCGTTCAGGTTTTTTTTTACGTTATGTTAAGTTACTTTACGTTTTCAGTTACAATTTGGATATGGCTTTTATATGCATGCTGCATTTCTGAAGTTTAAGTTAGTATTTACGAATAAAGAAGTATATGGAATGAATTTAATATAACATATGAAAAATCTATTTAAAATAATCTGCATTTCATAGAATAATTGTCGTTGTTATTGTGACTTGCCCAATAATTTTGTTGTTAAACTTTTAACAACCTTAGATTATGATCATACTAAGTTCAAAGTAATTAGCAAAGCAAGAAATATTAATCTTACACAGCAAATATAGCCACCTGTCATGCAGATTTGTATACATTTTGTAATATTATTTAATAAGCATTACTATTCCGACCACAGCTGTACTTAAGTGCAAGCAAATGAAGTGTCTGGACGACTTAATGCAGACATATATATGTAGTAATTAAATTTTGCCCGTGGGCGTCAGAATGGAAAGCTGTTAGTCGCCGTTGCAAAGGAAATCAGATTTTTCCATTATTTGGCAAAAAATAAAGGGGGGGGCGAGAGGTGCTCGCAAAAATACCGCCGACACGTGCATTTGACCGATTCGCCATATTCGTTATATCACAACAAAAGAAAAGAAAAAATGTAAAGCTCATGCGCAGAGACCTCAGAGTTGTCAGTTTTTCAATTTTTTTTTTGCCATAAAAGGAAGCAGCGAATGAAATTCCATCTTTCGCACTTGCAGCGCAATTTTGCTCACATTGGCCAGTAAAATACAAAACAAAAAAAAATAAAAAATAAATAACAAGATAGCATAAAAGCGAATAACATAAAGCCAGGGGAAATACTTAGCAAACGAAATTAGGTCGCTTGGCCTACGCAGATTACGAATATACTTATATATATTTCTTTTTTGGACTCGATTTTTGGCTTTACCTTTACTTGACGAGAGTCCAACTGATCCAAAAATAAAACTTCATTGTACTGTTTGTTTTCAATTGACAGTTTGTCTGTCCATTTGGTCTCTCGCTGTCTATGCTGTTTTGTTTTCCTTTTTAATTTATTATTTTGGCAATGCTACGTATTTTTGTTTTGTTTAGACTGACGCTTTTAAGGTGATAATATTATTTCGGGTATTTCTCGCAACGCTAACAACAGCGCACAACACAGCACAACCGATTTCAACGGAGGTTCTCAGCAAACTAAAAAGATGTTTGCCAAATCGCAGAAAGTGCTCTCTGGCTCGCTCTACTCGAGCTCTCTTTGAATACGACTCTCTTTCTCTCTTAGCTGCTCTTCTGATCTTGTTTGTACCGTTTTATTTTTTTTTTTTTGTGTACGTTTGGTAAATAAATCTGGCTAAATGCGTAATTACAAAAGGCAAAGCATTGATTAATTTACTTAAACGTAGTGATTGTTGGTAAATTACGATATTTTCATATTTTATACGTTACGATATTGTTTAAGAAGACGTGAATTCAAAGTTTTTATTAAATAGGTTATTTTTTTTATAAAATTGTATTCTTTTTTATAGTTTGTTAAAAAATTTGATATATTGGTATATATTCATATATCAATTAGCAGTTTCCTATCTGAAGTCATAGGAAAGATAAGAGAAATTAAAAATAATATATTAATTTTTAAAATTATGTTATGTTGACATAAATCAAAATTAAGACTTATAGAGTAAAAAGATACAAGCTTTCGGAAACAAAATATATAGTTTGCATTACTTACGTTTTTGTTAAATTAAATTTGTAAAAATTTATTTTTCGTACCACTGTTCGTATGCTTAATATTTAAAAACCGTTTGTTTATTGTGCGTATACGCGATAACAAGTATACGTTTGTTGTGGCCTATCGACTATTTCAAACTACCTGCTTATCGATAAGTCCAATCAGCTGTTGCTATAAGTGTTGTAAAATGTGTAAATACAGCACTATTTATTTCATATAGTTGCCAGATAACTAGAAAGAGAACCGCTGCTATTAGACCTAGGGCACTTGTTAAGTTTTAGTCAATCTGGCAATATTAAGACTGCACAAACATTTCGTAGCTTGCTTTTGGGCTGAATCTGGAATTAATTTAACCGAAAATTAAAATTATAAATTGTTGTTTTTTTTTTGCAAAGGAAAAGAAACTAAAAAAGAATTAATATGAAAGGCTACTATCCAATCAAAGCAAAAATTATCCTTAATATGTTCTTTTTTGCCCAAAACCCAATCTTAAACTTGCTCTTAAGTTTAAGCTTAAAAATGTGAATTTCTGCCTTTGATTTTTTACAAAAATGTTCGTTTTTGTTTTTGTTTTTACTTCTTCATCCCACATAATTGAAATTTATTTGAAAATCCGTTCGACCGACTTACGCATTTTTAAACATGTTGTGGCGCCGCTGACGTTGACATTTTCCCGCCTGCCATTTCTTATTTTTGTTATGGCCGCTAAAGTTGCTGCCAAAGTTGATGTTGCTGTTGCCACTGGAGTTGCTGCTGCTGCTGCTGCTGGTGCTGGTGCTGGTGCTACTGCTACTGCTGTATGTTGCTGTTGCTGATGTTGCTGCTGTCATTGGCTGCACTCACAACTGGCATTGGTAATTAGCACGCGCGCTGCTAATTAACACTTTCTGGAAGAGCGGCACTCGCACTCCACTCGATGTGTTTGTGTTCAGGGGCCGCTTGCAATTCCCCGTCGACTGCAAATTGCACGCGTGGCTGCTGCAACACAGCTCTTAGTTGCTGCAACACTTAGAATAAAAATAATATTCGGATATCCATACTTGTATTGGGACAAACTAAAAGCTTTGCTAGAAAATATATTTGGATTTTAGTAAATGTTTTTTTTTAAATTTTTATCAAGATTTTCATGATTATTTAAAAAATTTCAAAAAAATTCCTTTTAAATTTCAATTTAATAAATTTAATATTAATTTCTTTTGATTTAAATTTATGTGTGTTTTTGAGGGTCAAGAGGTCGTCGATTGCCTACTTAAGAGGACAGTCTTGGCTGCGAGTGCATCGCCAGTGAAAGATTGCTCCTGGGTTTGCCTCAAAGCGAAAATGCCGCCGCACTGTTTTCGTTCGTTGGCTAAAATGTAAGCCCAAAAATGGTCAAGGTGTTTTTGTATTTTCGTCTTTTTTTTCTGCGGCTTCTAGTTGGTGTCTTTTTTTGGTCCTGACGGTCACTGCAGTTCCCCCCCGCTTAGGTCCCAGGGAAAAAAGCGTGAAATTTTAATTGTGCCTTTCGGGGCGTTGTCGTCTTGGTCGATCGGCCGCCGCCTCGACCCGAAATAAAGATCTCTCGCGGCGCACACAGCTCATCCCGGGGAGATTCCTCCCGCCCTCCTGCCTTCCCACTACCAAAAGTTGTTCATGCCAAAAAGGTGCAAAAGGCCAAATAGTATTCTGTTGTTTATGTTGTTACATGGCTCGTTGTCTGTGTCTTTTTAGCTCAGCAAAAATGTCCGCTGGAATTCGCCCAAGCCGAACTGTTGAGCTTATGCGGTTGTCTGCACCTACAGAAATCTCTGTCAATCTAATAAATTGTAATAAAAAAATTTAATTTGGTCTACTAAAAAGCTTAAAAATAAAATTTAGGTCAATCATTTCCAAAGTAAAAAGAATTTACATCCCAAAAATATAAATTAAAAGAATTTCTAAATAATTTTACATATTTCTTAGTGCAGTTTCCCTTATGCAGTGCCCACTGTGGCTGCACCTGATGTCATCCCCAGCGCCTGCAGCCGCCGATCATTGAATGCGGCTCTAGGGTTATTTTGGCTGGCTTTTTGGCCAAAAGATGAATCCACAGCTTGGCTGCTGTTAATAGTGGCTGCGGGCCAAATCAATTCCAGGCCCAACATGTTGGCCTGTCCGCCGGATTGGTATTGGTCCAAGGATGGACAACGTTGCCCTCTTGGCCGTTTTATTGGTTGACAATAAAAGTGAGCCAGCCAAGTGTCCAAGCGTCTGCTCCGTGCCATGCATAATAATTATAATCCATTTAATTTCCGCAGACTCCTTGGCCAACAATTCCATCGATCATTCGGGGTCACGTGTGTGCGCTGACCTCTAGGAGTTTGTTTTTGTTTTTTGTGTTTTTTTTTTTTTTGGTAAGTTTTCAGTTTTCCTTTTGCCTTGTGGCTGGCATTGTACGTCAGTCAGTGGAAAGCCAAAATGCCAAATATCTAATACGCTTCCACCGAAATGATCAAATTCATGGAATTTTCGCATAAAGCTGCGGACCAAGCATTGCATTTCCCTTCCCTCTCCACATTTCCCCAAGCATTTCCCCTCCATCTTTGCGTAAGGCAAACAAAACGACGCGACAGGTGAATCGGCCGCCCGTTGACTCGCCCCATACGGGGATCTTCGACAGACGGTCGGTCAAGCGGATTCGAATATTCCAAACTCGGTTTGGCTCTTCTTCGCCTCCTTCTACTGGGCAAACGTTCGATGCAGGACGGGATCGGTATCGGGAGTGGTCGACGCTGGACGATGGTCGGTCGGTGGGCACATCTTTTTCGGTGTTCACATGTGCCAAATGATGTCGATGGCGGCGGGCGAGGCAAATCGAAAATACAGTGGGTTGCAGGAGGTTAAAAAGATTTTATTTAAGTTAAATTTTATTTAAGTTTAACTGGAGATTTACCAGCTATATTTCTTTCCCAATTATTATCTTTTTATCTCTCTCAAAGCCCAGTCAATAGATCGCAATTCTTCCCTGATTTTATCCCTAAAATCTCGCCTTAGTTTCACTGTCTTAGTTATCTTTTTGTCAGCCTGCGTGTGTGTGGCTGTTTGTTTCGGCCACCCGCCTTCAGCTTCCTCCTCGCTTCACCCACTTTGCTTTTATTTATTTTTTTCATCTTGGTTTTCCCCTGGTCTGAGTTCAGCTGGGGGATCTTCGGGTGACTCTTGGACTGCTGCTTTGGCTGCTGGATCGACTGCTGCATCATCTAACGCAGCGGCGGCTGCCAAGATCGATCGTCCTCCGCCCGAACCCTGCTGATCAGCTCCACCTCCTGGGCCTTCCTCTTTTCGGTTGTTCAGTTTTTCAGCTTTTCAGTTCGTCTATATGGGCGCGTTGTCGTTTCGATCGATCGTCGTCGTCGTCGTCGTCGTCGTCGTCGTCGATGGCTCGGGTCTTCCGTCTCTAAAAAGACTGCCTGGAAAATAATAATAAAAAAAAAAGTCTGGGCTGTGACCGACCATTACCTGGCTTTGGTCAATTGATGACCAGCTCGATTAGTTGTTGTTGCCGGCTTGGTTACAGCCTTTTAGTCTTTACACCTTCTTTTATTATTTTCCTATTTTTTTTTCTGCCACTCCACCGGTGGTGTTGTTGTTTCGATGTATTTAAATTGGCAACATAAATTTTATTCGCAATATTTGCTTTAATGAAGTTTTTTTTTTTTTACCTGCCGTTGTGTTTTTCTTTCTTTCCAGGTTGCTGCAATTGGGCATCATAAAATTGTAAATTGGTGAAAATTGTGAACAATTTGTTAGCAACATGTTCGCGTAATGGCGAAAGGAGAATGTGTATATATCTAATCTTTATGTTTTTTAAGTACCTTAATTTTTGGACACACAAAAGATAAGCTAAGTCGAGAAAAAGAGGCCTTAAAATAGCAATTTGATTTAATTTAATATTAATAAATATTTTAAAATCGATTTATTACATTTTTTAAGAAATATAAACACACTAAAACCATGTAAAACAAAATAAAAATAAATAAAAATAATGTTTAACTTAAATTACAAATTTTCTATTAAGTTACATTTTTCCCTTTAATCCCTTTAATTCAAATTGATTTTCCAATTAAAGTTTAAATAAACCGCAGATAGAGAAGGACTGATGTCGGAGATATAGAAAAAGAAAAGAGAGGCCCATAGGCTAGAAGAAAGAGATGGGCAGTCGCCATTTGTGGGCACCACCCATCAGCTATGAAGTTTCATCACGTAAGACTAATTAACAGCAAAATAACCTGGCGCACTTGTTTGTGGAACTCTCCATCTCCATATCTCGAAGCCCCCCGGCCCCCTACCCACTCCCCTCAATCACCTGTACATATATATTTTAGCCTGGCTAACCGCAGTCATAATTAACTTGCTGCCGCCTGCAAATTTTAGTGGTTGTTGCCTTTGCGATTATTTATTTTTCTTCTTCTCTTTTTTAATTTTTTCTTTTTTTTTTGTAGCATCGCTCTCGACCTCTGTTGGTGAAAAATTTAATTTTCAATAAATCACCTCGCAAGAAGCTGATCTAGTAGAAGCAGCGGTGGGTCGATCGGTTGGCGGTCGATTTTCGTATGTACGAGTATATAGTATGTCTATAAGGAGAGGGGGTAACATAGCACAAAGAACCTTGGTTTAACGTGTGTTATTAGCACACCTCCTTTTTCTTTATCTAACGATATGGCATATATCTTTTCTTACTAATTACTAAATGTAATTTCTAATAATTTTCTAGTTTAGGGGGTAACTCGTTAGATATAGAGTTCCAAGAGCCTTTAACCAGCTTTTCTCCTTAGGTCATAACACCTTGCCATTAATTTTTAAAAGGCCAAAAAAGTGAATCCCAAAAGCGCCTGCAACAATTTGTAGGCAACTTGATTTTAAGTGGGACATGGGAGTGGACCTACATATTTGGATGGAACCCCCAAATACCAACATTTTATGGCCACTATCATAAAGAACGAAGAAGAAGAAGCAGAAGATGCAAAAGAAGAAGAAGAAAAACTTTGCCAAAATGCAATTACAGTTTCGTGTAATTTCCCACATTCGCAGATCCGTTTCAAAGAGCATCCGATGATGTGAATCTAGCCAAGGGTTTCAAATTCCATCCGCATTTTCTTCTTAGCTGGCCAAATAGTTTTCTCCTTTGATGGTTTTTGGTTTGCAGAATTTTAATACTCTTTTTTTTTTTTTTTTTTTGGATTTTTCTTCATCGTTTTTTTGTGGGTTGAGTTGACTTGGCTTGGCTTTTGTCTTGTAAACTTTTATTGGCCCACGGATCGTTGGTGTTTGGGGGGTTTTATATGCAGCGCCCATTGCGCAATGTGCGTCGTTGGCACAGTGGGGCACCGACGCGTTTTATTGGCACGGCAATTAATTGCTACATTTTCCAAAGGAAAAATTATGAACTAACATCAATTAGGATGCGCTGGAGTGTGCTTTGCTTGGGATCTCAACTCGCTGGGAGTTGTTCGGGCCAGGAAGAAAACAAAACGTAGAGCGCTTAATGATTCAGCCTTTTTAATAGGCCATAAAATCTGAAAATCGGCATAGGACCATCGTATCCCTGACCGAGAACATATTTCACATGTTTTTATGTTATTTTTGGGCCAAGGATCTTCTTCGTTTTATTGCAAATTCTGATGTTTTTTT